AAGGGGCCATACAAGTCCAGATTCCCTGATGAAGCAACATTGGAAAAAATCCATACAATGTTGCCACTCATTGATCCAAAATTGGTTCTTTGTAATGCATCTACTGGTGAACAACATATGGAAGGTGTCACTCAGTATCTGAAATACAAGATTGTGAAGGAAATGATGGTGCTTCTTTTGGCGGGTGAAGCGTATTCTGATGCAGCAGATCGTGCGGTCAACAACTCCTGGCACGATCCATCAAAATTTTACCGTTTTCGCGTAGCCCGTATTTGGTTGGGGCTTTACTTGGAGACCGGAAGTATCCCTCTCCACCAACAAGGAAAGCATGCGAAGAGGAGATCAATCCTGAGTGATCCTTTTGTGAAAGAGAAATGCGTGGAGTGGATTCGTGGCCAGAAAGCCACATTTAGAAGTATCCCGGCTCTTCGACTTTATTTAAGACAGCACGTCTTACCGGAGGTCTTGGCCATGACGACGGAAGTACAGGTTGATGCAGATGTGATTGTAAATGATGAAGTACATCCTCTGTCAAATGATGCTTTGTCAACTTACCTGAAGTCATGGGGGTTCGAATACAAGACAGGTAAATACAAGTTGCAATTAATTAATAGTTACTAATGGTTAAACTTTAATGTTTTTTTGTGGTATGTGCATAGGAAAAGATCAATGTTACTTTGATGGACATGAACGGCCGGACGTCATTTCTTATCGTATTAAGTGGGCCCAACAAATGATGGAATGGCACAAACGTATGGAAACCTATACACTCGACGATGAGAATTCAGAACCAGTTCAACCTAACCTGAAGGAAAATGAAAAGAAGATGGTTTTAGTTACTCACGACGAATCAATATTTTATTCAAATGATTGTAAAGTCACTCGTTGGTGTGAGAAGAACGAATCCATGATCATTCCTAAGGGCCAAGGAAGATCTGTTATGGTTAGCTCGTTTATGTGTCCTTGCCATGGAACAATGAGAGGTACCGTCAATGGTATTGAAATAACTTCAAGAGTTATCTTTCTTCCTGGTAACAGTAACGGTGATGGTTATTGGACGAACATTGATTTAACTAATCAATTAAAAGATGTAATTCCTCTTTTTAATGAATTACATCCTGATTGTATTGGTATCTTTGCCTTTGACCAGAGCTCTAACCACAAAGCCATGGCTGATGATGCTCTTGTTGCCTCAAGGATGAGTTCCGGTGTCACCGAGTATAAAGATACAAATAAGTATAGGTTTCGGGATACCACTTTTACTGATAAGGAAGGTCGAGTGAAGGCCCAGCCCATGTACCGGACCGAGACGGTGAATATGGAAGCCGTGAAGAAGATTGTTGCTACCAGAAGGGCAAAGCAGCAACCAGTGTCCTTTGAAGACCTCATGAATCAATACAGGCTTCCAAGAGTAAATATTTGAACTTAATACATGACATGAAAATCTAAATTTCAATGATTACATTATATTTTGTAGGCACGTGAGGTCTTCAGAGGCACGCTCATTTTGTTGAGGGAGCGCGGCTTGTTGGACAAGAATGCTTCGCTGCGCAAGGTATGCCCTTCTGGTACAGTGCATGATCCTGCTGTTCGACCTGGCTGCTGTGCTGAGTACTTGCTTTCTCAGCAACCTGATTTTTTGGCACAGAAGAATATGTTGGAGACTGTGACGTTCGAGGCTGGTCACCTCTTTACATTATACCCAAAGTATCACTGTGAGACTAACTGGATTGAAAGACATTGGGGTGCAGCCAAAAGATATTCACGAATGATGTGTGATTACTCCTTTTATACTCTGACGTCTAGAATCCATGAGTTTCTGGACAATGATGAGGTTGTGCACGGTCCTAAAATCAATAGACGGTATTATAACCGTGCCTATAGATATATCGACGCGTATAGCAAGGGTAAAGATGTCATGGAGGCTGATGAGATTATCAGAAAGTTTTCCAAAGAATATCGATCACACAGACGTGCTGTTTAGTTGCTCCTTAATGGCTTTCATTCCATTAAAAAAAAAAACCAAAAAAAAAAATCCTTAGACTCCCCCCCCAAAAAAAAAATTAGACTCCCCCCCCCCAAAAAATAAATAAATATCCTGAAATTTTTTTTTTTAAAAAAAAAAAAACCTTCCCCCACATTAAGATCTGGCTATGAATCTATTTCCTTTTATATTGTTTGTACGAGTCGGAGGTGAATCCTTCAAAATGTCACAAAATTGATTTTGCTATTGAACTCCGGATGCACTCTACTGACTGATGCACAAGAAACCTATTTACATCACGAAATCCGATAAGGCAATACAGGTTTTTAGTCTTAAGGGCCCTCGTAAGCACATCAAACTATTTTTTAAAGATCCCGATTAAGGACATTAATTTTTTTTTTTTTTTTTTTTTTTTTGTGAAAGGTTACAGTTTTTCCAAATAGAATCTTTTAAATTTTAATGATGTAAATGGACAATTTATTACAACATTGAATTTTTTCAGCGCCAATCCTTCTACAGATAATATTATTTTAAAAAAAATTGAATTAAACAAAAAGTTTTCTATACTTATCTATTTCTATTTCTAAGTCTAGTTCTTCTTCTACATCTACTTCTAGTTGCTCTTCTACCCCCTCTAGCCGCCCCACGTCTATTTCTACGTCTCATCAATTCCTCAAAAATGGTAACCCTTCAGCTACTACCGCCTACATCAGGTGCGTCTTCATCTTCAGGAACAGCTGCACTATGATCTTGAAGGTGAACAGTGTCGGTAAACCCGGTATCACCAAGGTCGATACACATATTGTGTAAAATACAACATCCGGTAATCACCTCGTTGATCTTCAACTGGTCCAACATGTAAATGTACTTACCAGTAAATTTCCAACGAGCCACCAACACACCAAAGGCTCTTTCGATCGCCATTCTTGTAGATGAATGTACACGATTGAATGTACGCTTGCGACTGTCTAACACGCATTGACTCTCAGGAAATGGTGTGATCAAGTTGGGTCCCAAAAGATAGGCAGAGTCACCGATCATGAACGTGTTGTCAGGAAAGTGAATGTCTGGGTGGCGAAGAATTGCACTCGCTATATCACTTGATCGGAAAGCAGCAGCATCATGCGTTCTTCCTGAAGTAAATATTGTTGTGTTAGCTTTTATATTGTTTCATCGTAGATCATTTTACTACAATACCTGAGTCACGCACTTTGATGTACGTGAATCGTAATGTAGAATCGCATACGGCAGTAAGCTTCACGGAATAGTTGTTCTTTCTATCCCTGAACATAGCACCCACGGTTGAAGGAGAATGTTGGTAAATAATAAAGTTCTTACCATCCACAGCACCAATTACACCATTCAATCTATCTCTAGTGTTACTCCCAAAACCGACAGCGATCGCATTGGATCTGACAGGATCTGATGGCCAAGTCAAGAAATGACCAAGCTGATCCTTAATTGCTTTGAGCGTTCTTATGGTGAAGTTGTTGTAACTACCTGATGAAACACCCAAAAGCAACATCACGGATGAGTGGCAAACTATCCCCCTCACCCTCAAACGTTAAACAAAACGTCTATAATTTATGGGTTCAGGCTTATTATAACTAGTGTTGATGATTTCGTTTTGGGGAATAACTTACTTTAGTAAAAGACCTAATATCACTTTTTTAGGCTGGCGGAATTTTAAGTAAATAAATACATGCGAAAAGGTCAGTCGAAGAAGCCAAAATTCTAGGCATCGTTACTGGAAAAGCAAGAATTCGTTCTGAAGTTGAGAAATACCGATAAAAAAAGTCAAAAAAATGAAAGAGCCCTGATGACAAACATACATTCATTCACATGATCTGTTGGTACTTGCTGAAGAGACTCTTTGGAATAACGAAAATGATATGGTGTGCAATGATTTCAATTTCACTAACAGCTTCGTTTTTTTTTGAGACAATCAAGATATGTTTACTCGTAGTGTAGGATTGGGCACAATTGAATCGGGTTTATTAAGTGTATGATTTATGTCATCGCCATACTATAACGTATCAAGCAGAAGAACAGACAGGGTTTACAAAACGCAATATATATATATATATATATAATTCTTGGCAAAATGAGGGTCCAATAACACCTTGACTGTACTCCAGAGGGGCTTTATAATTTTTTACCTGATTTTGTATTGCAGATTGTTACAATAGATATATGGTGCTTCTATTCATGTGTATTCTTACTCACTCCTAATATCTCGCTTGGATTTTCCTTTAATATATACGCTCAAATTTCAGACCAAACGATCCCAAGGGAGTAAGTAACAATGGAATTGTCCGACGAATAATATATATTGATTCATAATTATCCGTAATTATTACATTGTTTCGCTTCAGTTAATCAGCCTGTAAAATAAAATGTTCCTGATCCAAGCTTTGTGTACAGACCCACTGTAAGTACAACATAGTTTTTGACCTCTTTAAATGGCAGGGTTTCTTTTTTTTTTTTAAAAAAAAAAAAGAACAAGTCGAAGTTAAATAAAAATTTAGCTTTATCACATAAAAACGTCATTTGACGAAAAATACGAAAAATCAACAAGATACATACTTATCATCAAATTTTCAGACCAGTTACAGTAATACTAGAATGAAGTTGTGTTTTCTATAAAATTCTAAAATTACAACATTGTCATACGTTTCGCAAACGCTGGTCAGTCTTTCTGTACAAGAGTCCCAAAACATGGGAAACTTCGTTACAATTGACATTTGTATGAAGCATATTAGGTCATACAAAAAAAAAAAAAAAAAAAAAAAAAAAAAAAGTAAAAGTAAAAGTAAAAGTAAAAGTAAAAGTAAAAGAGCTGCCACTTTACTTCAGTTGAAAAAAAAAATAAAACAGAAAAAAAAAACAATTCCGTTTGTTTGCATCTTATGATCTAAGGTGTTACCTCAGGAGTGTTTCTAAGAAGCAAATTGATGTGGCGAAGCTCTTTATTTAAAAATGAATTGGTATTTATTAGTCTGATGTCAAATTAATATTATAATTTGTGTATATAAAGACTAACTGTAGCAGCAGTAGGACAATGAGGATTAGTGTGTCTATGTTTGAACGCATCGATCTAGCACTTAATGCACTTTAACTAAGTCCCCAACTCCCTTCCTTCTTTCTTTTTCTTTTTTGATTTGTACACATGTTACACTTAAAATTATTTGAACAAATATAAATACTACGAGAAGAAAAAAAGGAGGTATTCTATTTCCATTAGTTTTCTTAACATTCTCATGAAACCATCCCTTACGGCGACGGCTACATTTTTATTTTTGGAGCCGCAAATATTGTTATAGCACAAGACGTGAAGGCTAAATATGCATCTTGTAAAGAAATACTTAATATAATTACCATTATAAAAAATAACTGACGTTTACTAAAATTAATTCAATAGCATGCACCTTTTTGTCTAAAAAAATATACTGTTATGGAGGTTTAATAGATGGTGAAGAAGATGTTAGTATGGTGATGTTAGATATCTTTAATAACAGTGGAAGCACAGCAGAGGAAATGAAAGGCAAATGGGCTATAATCTACCCCAATACCCCTGCCGATTTAAATGCTAGACAATATCCTCAACATATGCAAACTGATGATAAAACCCTTTTAATAAGTGGTGGTAATAATAAAGCTACTACCAGACTAACAGCTCAAACAGCCACGTACAACTCAGAAACAAATTCTTGGAAAGAGTACCCGGAATACCAAGAGGGGTCTTATGGAAACAGACAAATGTAAAAGCCCCTCATTTCTCCCATAAAAAAAAATATACATCCATAAGAGTTGAACTAATTTGCTATTTATATTTTTAGCTACCATGCATCTTCGGTCTATGTTCCAAATTTGGGTGTAGGATTCTACGGTGGAATTGAGGCGTAAGATTATCAATACTTTATTATACAATTCTTATTAATATTGAACTTCAATAGAAAGTATTTGGATAACTGGACTTACCAAGATGTAAATGTAACAAAATATGAAATAAAAAGTTCAAGAATGAGATATATCGGGTATCCCCGGTTGACTTTTTTGGACATTGAAGACCCTATAAACGTAAGCTCATTTCTGTTCGAGTGACTTAAACTTCTACTAATTAAAAATCTTTATATAGCCGTGGTCAGTCTATCCCGTCCAAAACAACATCCCAGCTATATTTAGCTTTTATCAGACATCGATATATGATGATAAAAGTAAACGCATCTTCTTTTTTGGTGGACGTTACACTGACTTGGTTAACTTTGGTCAATATGATCATACTTTTGATAACTCTATCACATTCAATTTAACAGATGGTACGTGGGGGAGCCAAAATATGTCTGGAAATACAAGACCAAATAGAAGAATACATCATACAACCAATATAGGTGAGCCTACTTCTTTATAGACTCTTGTTCACTCGATACTTACAATTTTGATGTAGTGGGCCCTGATCAAAGAGACGTTTTATTGTATGGAGGTCAAACTCTTACAAATGGCGAGAAAGGTAACAGCACATTATTAAATTAGTATGAGAGTAATTTTATTGACAGAAAAAAAAAGCTCTCCCCGATTATTGCTATGTTTTGAATCTTGACACATACCAGTGGAAACAGCACAACTTTGAAAAACTCAATGCGGCTTTGGTTAGAACTAAACATTCAGGTATAATTAAAATTTGCAAGTATAGTTTTTGTCAACTGTATATAACAATGATAATTTTTTTTTTTTTTTTTAGCTGTTGCGATCAGCAAAGAAACACTATTTATTGTTTTTGGTCAAGATATTAATAATGAGCCTACCTTATCATTACTTATGCTCGATGTTAAAAATCCTTCCAATATTACTTTAATGGACAAATACGTTGACCCTGCCGCAATTGCACTTTCACCATCCTCCAACTCCACGCTAAGTTCTGCCAAAGAAACAGAAGACGTTAAGTTAAGCACAGGAGCAACCGCTGGTATTGCTGTTGGAGCTAGTGTCGCCGTAAGTATATTAGACACTGAATACAATAACAAATACATATTTATTCTAACTTTAACATGTTAGGGTATCATTGCTATTGCTGCTATTGTTTTTTGTGTTTTAAAAATGAGGAAGACCATAATGAAAGAATCCGAAAGTGATCGAAAAGAAAATTTTGAAGAGCCAGTAATGGAGGTCAATTGGGATGAAATTGACAATAATTATGTCGAAGTACCTACCAACCCTATCTCCAATTATGGACATAGAAATCAATTTAAATACCCATCACAATTAGCTGATGACAAATCATTGTTAGCTGATGAAAGTACTACCATCCAATCTGAGGGCATCCCCGAGAAAAATCGAGATGCAAGTACTCATCAGCGTCCAGATGCTATCGATAATGATAATGCTGTTTTGTATAATAGAAGCCATAGTACAGCTTTACCAAAACCAGATGGCGCATAAATGTTTGCTGATTTAACACTCTGATCTTTGCATGCATGCTTATGACTAACTATATAATGTCCCCAACAGTATGTATGTTCATATCAACTTAAATTATTTAGATTATAATCTTTTCAATAAAAAACAAATACCAGCTAAAAAAAAACTCAAACTGAGGTTCTTACTTGTAGTTAACAAGCGTATATCACGTACATAAATGGCAGAGAATTACTCGAAAACAGCAATTACGCATATATTACGAGACCAAACCGTCATTTAATTTTTACTGAAGAAACACATTAACTTGTTGCAAAAAACAGGTATGTACTAGTCTTTTTTTTTTTTTTTTGGAAAATAAGTAGTACCCATGATCTTTAGTTAGTTTTCCTCTAGCGTTGCTTGTTTAAAAGTAAGAGTACTAAATGCCATGACTGAATAAAAAGAGATGCCGGAGCCTGTTATTATTTAAGATGATCTCTTAGGTTTGGAATTTTACTGCGCTTCTATCTAAAATCGAGTCTTAAACTTCAGAACTGATACAATATTACCCAGCCCATCCTGCAACCACTGTTACTTAGTATAACTTACGACGTTTTGACTAATGCTTCGATTATATAAATTTCTAAATGGTTTATTTTTAAGGGGTGTCTCCAAAAATATCATTCCTCAAAAATATACAATGTGTTTAGTCTCTTGTATTGACATAACTCGATTTTTGCTCCATAAAGGACTGTTATAATGCTGGATGGACATAGCATTTTTTAAAACGAAGATAATATAACGAAACCTATTTGTGATACTTAAATTTACACCATTACTAGGTATTATGTTTTCGATATGTGTATCAATCACGGCTAGTGAATCATATGACTTTTTGTCGAAGGAAAAATTGTCCGTTGATGATAAATCAATTTCTAGACGCAACTTTACCAGCTCTAGTTAAGAAAAACAATTTTAAGATTGACCCTTGAGGTTATAAATCTATCCTAACAATTACCTAATTCTATTGAGCAAGAACGTAGTAGCGTATTCTCTTTCTGTGGAATTTCGAATTCGACTTTAAAATTTATATCAATGCCTGAACTTGGTATAATTTGTCCTTTTTGAATAACAATAACTCTGTCCCCAACATTTATGCAGGCATCGGTGCCATCGTCTTTATAATTTGTATAAGACAAGTAAGGTTTATCAATCCCAGTCACGGTCAGCTTCTTGAGGATTAGTCCATATGTGTTCCCCGCCGCTTTGTGTGGATCTCCATACTGGAAAGCATTGTAAACCAAATGTTCTTCATACAGCGATGGTTTTAGTGACTGATTGATTGTTTTTTGCATTATTACTCCTTGTATATCTTTTTCTTTCAGTTCAATGATATCGTTGAATTCATCCTGCAGTGTTCCTGTATATGCTTCATATAGTAACGAGTGATATTTCATCATAGAAGTATTTTCAAAAATAAAGATATGATCCAATTCTTGAAATTGATAGAATTGGTCCATATTTAAAATATACGTAATGGCTATCGAAGTGATGTCTCGAATAACTGGTCTAAAGTTTACTATGACGTTACGGAGAGTGGTATGGGTTCTGCAATTACAGTCTGTGCTAATATTCAACTCTATTTTATCGTCTATGGTCAATAAGTCATCGCGGAAAGACAACTAGTTTTTTTAAAAAAAGATTAAAGGAAGCACACAAACAATATATAAGAACTTAACTAACAATATGAAGCATCTGGGAATTCAATGTGTCCAAAACACTTTTATAATTGTCTAGCCTATAACAATCCCAATTTGAACCTTGGGCTTTATGTATGTCGCAGTAATCTATGTTGTTATCGGTTGCAATGTTATTCAATATGGATTTACACAACCTGTCTTTCAAATTCTCCATGGGAACTAACTTATCTATGATAAGCATAGCCGTAGATATACACTTTCCCATAAGGTCGCATTGAACAGCTTGATATAAGGCAAAATGTATATAAGTATCGTGCAGCTGAGCTATAACAAAGAAAGATTTGAGTTTGAACTCCTGACCAATAATTTTCTGAATAACGGGCATTAAACATGACCCAATATTACATAGGCGCACTTTTCTTCTTTCGGCGAGTTCCTGAGGTACATTTCCAATATAGAATAACTGCTGTATATCTTCTTCAGAGATGTCTATATATTCCATAAATGACGCTTCAATTGTTAGAACGTAACCTAAATTCTTGGCTCTCCAATCATTTCCAGAATGTTTGTCCAGAAGGACAGACACCAGTGTGTTGATGTAACTCAAATACATCAGGAGAAAAATATGAGTATACTTTGTTTGAAAAATGGGAGTGATAGGACCGTAGGTTTCTTTGATTATAGAATTATTTGCTGTGGAAAAAAAACTGGCCATTTCACTTTTTCCTAGAGATTCTAGAATTGTTGCCGAAGCAATGTCCTTATATAGTGACTGAATAGGATGTCGTCTAACACCCGGGTAACTGTCTAGATAATCACCAAAATTCTCTTCCATAAATTCTCTCATCCTATATATGCACATAAATAAAGTATCCAGAAGCATTATTTGCTATCAAATAGACTATACCTTTTGGTTGTATGAAGTACTGGTTTTTGGTATATGAGCAAATGTTTAAAATAACTGTCTAAAGGTCGGATATCCCTATATTTAAGCTTGAGTGTTACTTATGTATTTCACTATAAAAGTTAATGGATACCTACAAGCTTTTAAATTCAGAGAGCCTTTCAACTAAATTATCGTCCCCAACAAATGCAGATACATGTTTGACTGATTCGAGAAAAATGTCTGATTACAAAAAAAACACGTTAAATATTTAATGAAATATGCATATATATATATATATATATATATAAATTTACTTGCTTTACCTATATTTATAATAATATTTGGTTGTGAATTTTTAAAAAGAGATCTGGACACCATTTTACATTGTCCTTGTAAAGCTAGATTCCTTGGTATTGTTGCCGGGGACCTTTGATCATGGGAGCGATCCGTTTCATCGTTTAGTAAGGACCCGCATTGCACTTTCAAATATGAACTATTTCCAAATTCCTTTTGATTATCTCTGATTCTACTTTTATCAAATGAAAATAGCCTGTATTTAAAATGTTTTTCGATGGATTTTTGTATAAATACTTTCAGTTCATCGTCAAAAGCTTCAAACTCGTCTGTTAAGACATTAAGATTGCGTCGGATGTAAATCAATGCGTCTATTTTCTTGTTTGTGTTTCCCGAAAGCGTCTTTATATGGTGTAGAAAATCTTTGCTGACAGCACAGAACAAATATTGATTGATTTCTTTCACATGTAGAGACTGTATAGAACTGGTTTCCTTTTCACCCAGTCCATGGATATGCACATCTATGAAGGGCATTGTTTTCTGATTCCCATAAAAGAAGGGCTGTATAGCAGCGGTCAGTACTAATGTATTTCGGAAAATCTTTATTGTCACTCTTTACCTGGCAGGAAATGTGCCGGTATATTAACCTTTCTAGCAGCCCATCTTTAATAGATCTTACTTTAATCCCTTTATCTTTGAGGCATAAAAGTATACTGTTCTTTAATTTCTCCTCGACTGGGACACTAAAGCAGATTGACTTTAATGATTTAGCGGTATTGGAGTCTAAACCTGAGCCTAAGAGTGGATACTGAACTGATATTAAATCCAAGGTTACAATGCACTTGCCCTTGATAAATTTTGGTGCACATAGTATATACTCCCTACCATATTTAAATTGCTGTATGGTCCTGTTTCCATCGACGATATATTCATTTTGTAGATATCGAAAGTTAGATTCCAGTACAGTGAAAAACAATAGCCTGCTGTAATCATCGCTTTCATTAATAAGTCCGGCTTGAACAAAAAGCGGACGAATGATTTTTTCTCGTACTTCAAAGTCCCAAAATGTGGGAAGGCTTACCACATAATGAAAGCCATCATTTGGTATATTGTTGACAGCAAAATTAGTTCTTGTATGGCGAAGGAATATTACAACAGCGTTCAGGATTACAGTGTCATGCGCATCATGTATATAGTCGAATAGCTTTGTTTTGATATATATGTCATACAGTTCCACCAGAATATTATTCACAAAAAATATTTCTTTTCGGTCCTCCTCATCTTTTCTTACGTCAGCACCAACCCCGATAGCCAAAATGTCTCCAGTAATAGCATTATACAGCAGAGAAGCTCTTTTTTCATTCCTGTTTTAAAAAAAGTATCAGAATTTTTCTTGAGACAAGTAGTAGTTATGTTTTATATCATACTAACATCGTATCAATCGCTCTTTTTTGGGCAAAAATACTGCATCTGTAATAACTAATGCTAGCTGTATCTTCGTCAAAGCCTACAGTCAAAAATAATGTTAATGGTTCCCGTTAAATTGGGTAATTCATCCTTACATAAATCGATGCAGCAAGAATGCTTGGAAAAGTTATAAGGAGTACTCATATTATTGATAGTTAAAGTGCATTACAAGTATAAAAAGAGAGCAAAAGAAAAGAATGATGATGTAAATTTTAGATGAGTTCGAAGGTAGTGCTAAGTTTTGTGTCACTACATGATTGTGTGTTACTATACGGTTTTGTAAAACTGAACAACATACCTAGTTGAATTCCAAGTGTTTTGAAAGACGTTGATAATAGCACGGTCTTAGGTAAACGACATGTGGAATTTTCCTTTCAACTTTTATGCACTTCAGGATATGAATGATTTAGAACGCTGCTTTTATATAAAAAGCATATCATGTGAGCCCCGGAGTTAGCCAACTGACCACCACAATATATAGTTTCTCTCTTGTAGCTTTTCTCACACTGCATTTTATGCAATATTTGATAATATGATAGCTCCAAGCTATGTGACATTTGTCTTTAAATCTGATTTATAATCAATCACTAAAAAAAATGTTCATAAAAGGTTCGGAACGCTGTTTGATTTTTTGAATTCGAATAAATATAGCCAAAGAAATCAACTGACATGATGCTGAATCGTTTGTATGTTAAGATATATATATATATATATATACCAGCTAGGGTGTAGGTCAATCACATGCAGGTGAGACAGGAGAACTTTGAAGTTAGGGACAATAATATTATAATAATCCATGGGTGGTAGAATGATTAGCGTGAAAATGCTGTTAGCATTTCGGTTAATCATATTGATAATAAATTGGTGATGTGGCTAAATTACTTGTAACCAATAAACCTTTTCTCATATAATTGTCTTTTTAAGCGCATTGTACAGACTTCACCGATTTTTCCTTCGATCGTGGATTGTGTAACAGGCATATCTCAACACAGCATATATTTTTTTTTGCTGCTCCCTTACAGCCGTGCCAATTGGCGGCTTTGTACAGGACCATAAATTTCACAATTAACACACCGCGCTTTTTAAAGTAGCTTTATTTTTGTTATTCTTTCCCCCCCTTAATTCACACATTAACACCATGAAGCTACGTTTGTCTAAAGTAGGCTTACTGGTAGTAGCGTATGGCACACTTGTGTCTGCCATGAAGTTTGAGGATTTTAAAAAATGTGACCAATCCGGTTTTTGTCGTCGTAACAGAGCGTATGCGGATGATGCAGCCAGTTCTCCTTATGCTTTAGTCAAGGATTCAATTCACACGCAAGAAGACCGAATTCATGCGGATATTCTCAACACAGAGACAAATATTGTCTTGACATTACAGGTGCATGTGTTGAAAGACAATACGGCACGCGTCCGTATTAATGAAAAGCAACCCATCAAGCCACGTTATGAAGACCATGTCAAATTTACTTTGGTGAAGGAACCCGAGACGATGAAAGCGTTAAAGACAGAGACATCCGATGCTGGTATTATTACCATTCACATGGACAAGCAACGAAAGATTGTCATCTCACCTGAGCCTGTTCGTATTGAATTTTTGGTGAATAACGAAGCAGCTATTACTTTGAACGACCGCGGTTTCTTCAATTTTGAACATTTACGTACCAAGGAGTCTCACGTCAAGAAAATGGTAGAGCAGAAGAATGAAGATGGTACGGTTGAGATGGTAGAAGCAGAGTCTGAAAAGGATCTTTGGGAAGAAACCTTCAAGACGTGGACAGATCCTAAACCTAACGGTAAGACATAGTATATGCTAGCTTTTTTTTTTTTTTTTTTTTTTTTTATGCTGACCCTTCTCTCCTTAAGGTCCTGAATCAATTGCATTGGATATTACGTTCAATGGATTCTCTCATGTTTATGGTATTCCTGTAAGTTTTTTTTTCTCTTTATTCACTTGTGTGTAAATTGATCCATTGTTCACCATACATCAACAATTTAGGAACACGCTTCCAGTCTTTCATTAAAGGAAACCCGTGGTGGAGAAGGCAATTACGACGAACCTTACCGACTTTACAACACGGATGTGTTTGAATATGCTCTTGACAGTCCCACCTCTCTTTATGGTGCTGTACCTCTCATGATTGCTCATAAAAAAGGATTATCCGCTGGTATTTTCTGGATGAATCCTTCCGAGACCTGGATTGATATCGTCAAGACGCAACCTGAACAAGATTCCAAGCTTCAAAAGATCTTTTCTCACACACCCCAGGTACCTTCTACACAAACGCATTGGATGTCTGAAGCGGGTGTGATGGATATTTTTGTGTTTTTTGGTCCTACCACCAAGGATATTTTACGTCAATATAGTTTATTGACAGGTCCCCCCGCTATGCCTCAAATGTTTGCTATTGCGTATCATCAATGTCGCTGGAATTATATTAACCAGCGCGATGTTTTGGAAGTCGATCGTAAATTTGATGAGCATGATATGCCCTATGATGTGATTTGGCTTGATATCGAGTACACGGATGAGAAAAAGTATTTCACATGGGACACACCCAAGTTCCCTAACCCTATTGAAATGGAAGAGACTTTGGATAACAAGGGTAGAAAGTTGGTGACAATCATTGATCCCCATATCAAGCGTACCAAGGATTACCGTATCGCTGACGAATCTCATCAACAAGACTTGTTCATCAAGAAGCCCGACGGTAAAGATTATGAAGGTTGGTGTTGGCCCGGTCAATCCTCTTGGATCGATTTCGTCCAAGAAAAATCGTTCAATTGGTGGAAGAAACAATTTTCTTTTGATCTGTTTAAAGGAACAAGAGAGAATGTACATATCTGGAACGACATGAATGAACCTTCCGTCTTTAATGGGCCTGAGATCACGATTCAAAAGGAAATGATGCATGATGGCGGTAAATGGGAACATCGTGTCTTACATAATTTATATGCTGGATTATCTCATCTTGCTACTGCCGAAGGAGTGCAGGAACGTACCGCTGTTCAAAAACGTCCCTTTGTTTTAGCCCGTGGATTTTACGCTGGTACTCAACGTGCAGGTCCTATCTGGACCGGTGATAACATTGCTAATTGGGAATCGTTACAATACACCAACCCCATGATCTTATCCAACAGCATGGGTGGTATTCCTTTCTCTGGTGCCGATGTCCCTGGTTTCTTTGAAAATGCTACTCCCGAACTTTTAGCTCGTTGGTATCAAGCAGCTACCTACCAACCCTTTTTCCGTGGCCATGCTCACATCGATACCAAACGTCGTGAACCTTACTTGTCTGCGGAACCATACCGATCCATAACGAGAGATACACTCCGCGAGCGTTATGCCATGTTGTCTTTCTGGTACACCTTGTTCTTTGATGCCTACAAGGAAGGCACGCCCATGATGCGACCCATGTTTATGGAATACCCTGATGATGAGTCTTTGTTTACTGTCGATGATCAATTCATGGTAGGTAGTGCTGTCCTTGTCAAACCTATCACTGTGGAAGGTGCTACTTCTACCGATGTGTATTTCCCCGGTGAAGAACCTTGGTATAACACCAAGACACACGAGGTTGTTGGTAAGAAGGGATTGCATAATGTGGAAGCTCCCTTGGACACCATTCCTGCATTCTATCAAGGTGGAAATATTATTCCTCGTCGTGAACGTGTACGTCGTAGTTCACCCGCTATGCGACTTGATCCTTTCACTTTGGTGATTGCCAAGGGATCCAATGGAAGTGCTAGTGGTCGGTTATACATGGATGACGAAGAAACTTTCTCGTTCCAGAAGGGAGCTTATGGCCATACCTTGTTTGAGTACAAGGACGATGAATTGAGCTGTCAAAGTGTGCATGAGGATGCTACAGGTAGTGCGGCTAAAAGCTTTATTCAATTGAATAAGGAGGTACGTGTAGAACGTGTACAGATTTTGGGACAGGTTGTGAAGCCAAAGGATGTACAGGTGGTGCATCGTGATGGAAAAACCGAAAAGGTGGAGTTTGCATGGGATGCCACTAAGAAAGTGTTGACTGTAAAAGATCCCAAGGTTTCTGTGCTTGAATGTGGCTGGAAAATAGTCGTTTATTAAATTGAGACAACAATAAAAAAATAAAAAATAAATGTATGTAAAATCAAGGGATATAAAATAAAAAATAAAAATAGGGTTTAATGTTTGGCAGTATGAGCTAATGTGACGGAACTTTGTAAACTATGCATTTGATATTTACCAGCCGAGATTAATGATTTAATGGTATCCTAAAAGGGGGGGGGGTTAGTCTTAAGTGAAAGAAAGATAAAGGGAAAGACTTACAATGTCCGTTTCTTTACGGTGACGCTCAAAGTCAGCTCTGGCAAACTGCATTAATTCCTTTGCATCGCTTTTAGACATGCCTTTTGTGCATCTACAAATTTGTCGGTATAAAGAAATGACTTGTCTTTTCACTAAAAACTATCCAAAAAGGTGTCAAATGTCAACAATATGCCGGAAAATATAAAAAAAAAAAGTCTTACATGATTTAAAGACAAGCCCTTTTCAAAAAACTTTGGCATGGCGGGTGCCTTATGAAGTCTAGCAAGAGTAGGGAACATTATGGAATTAGTGTGAGAGAAGGGAAGAGGTGGATTGGCAGCTTTATTTTTCTTTAGAGAGAGTGTTTCTTTTGAAGGATAGGTGACTGCCAATCATCCCCCGCCAACCCCCTCTATTTTTTTTTAAAGAAAAAAAAAAAAAATTGCCCAAAACCCTTCAACCTTTTGTTTACTTCTTAAAAACATTACGAAAAAATGAGACAAAACTTTATTGGTATGGTTGTTAGCAGCGCAATGCAAAAGACCATTAAAGTCAAGGTCACTTCTCAAAAGCTTCATCCCATTGTTCTCAAGGTAATTTTTTGTTAGCCATTTAGACAAACCCCCTGGTTTTTTTTTCTCACCTATTTTTTTTATAAAAAAAAAAAAAAAAAAAAAAATTAGACTATCAAAACACACAAGAACTATCTTGTTCATGACGAGAACGAAGCTTGTAAATTAGGTGATGTTGTCCGTATCGAAGCATGCAGACCTTTAAGTAAACACAAGCATTTCTCAGTTGCCGAAATCGTTAGAAGCTCAAAGGATGCTACCACCGCCACCACCACCACTGCATAGATTTATTTAAAAAACCTTTTTTTTTTCCAGAGAAAAACAAAACAAAAAAACAATAAAAAAAGAATAATGTACACATCCAGTCATTTAGCAATCAAATGAAATCACACACACACACACACACAGCAATTTGCAGGATTTTTTTTTTTACAAGGTGGAAGTTATTTATAGGGTGTTGAAAGAAATGTCATAGTTCTCGATACGTACGGGTTAATGGATTTATGTCAAATGTGTAATTTCCAAGGAATTCATTGTGTGTAATCTCCAGCTAGTTCTAGGTACTTATTTTCAAAGACTGTCTCGTCAAAATATATACTACAGACAATTTATGTTAAATGTATATATGCAGTGTATGTAACAATAAATACATCACACAGAAGAAGAAAAAAAATTGTATCTTGAAGAGTATCCTATTGGCGTATCACGTACTAGTTTCCATAATGAAACCACTCAATTGACATGGTACATATAAGTCTAGTCGTTATAACAATGTTCCTGCCATGTCATGTAAATATTAGAGCAATGAATATCAATGAAAAAGTGGAGGCAGAATCACTTGTACTCTTACTAAGTTCAAAATGTAGTATTGCATCAAAGACGTACGTCACAATTAGTCATAATTCGTTGTCAAGTAGTTGTGGGGCCAGAGTTTACCGAAAAAAATAAAAATAAAAGCATATGTAGTATGCTAAATAAAGAAAGAAGGACATATAGCTCGTCACAAGATGTTTAAACCAATAAACCCTCGGCCGTATAATTATTTCTTTTTTTGTCTTTTCTTGTTTTTTTTTTTTGCTTTTATTCTTCTTTGTTGTTGAACAATAATATGGCAGACAGTGCATTAGGGTTAGAGAAAGTAGCGATTGCCATCATTCAGCAAGCAATTGACCTTGTGCATAGCCTTCAAGATGAGCACTATACGTACGACTCCAAAGTGATGCCTGCTGGTACGATTGGCAAGCATATCAGGTAAAAATAAGAGATGGTGTTTGTGTGTGTGTGTTTGATGAGGGAATATAAAATGGTTAAAAGAAAGATATTAAACTATAGACATGTATACGATCATTTTAATTTGTTACAACAATCCTGCACAGACAGTGATAGATCCATCGTGCTGGATTATGATTTACGATCCCGAAATGTAAGATTTATATAAAGTGTGGTAAATCGTTGATTTTTTTCGATTTATTTAAAAAAAAAAGCATGTAATAATAGAACCCATCAGAAATGGATAGATCGATTGCGATCCAAAATTTACATCAATTACAAGAAAATATCCCACGCATCCCGTTAGGGAAAAATCTAAAGTTATTGGCAACCATTGATGCTAGTGATACAAACAAGTATGAATTTCAGTCGTCGTTTGGACGAGAATTATTCTATAGCTGTATTCATGCTGTAAGTGATATATCATGTTTTTTTTTTGTTGTTGCTCTTTTTTCCATTGTTGTTAACTAGAGTATCCTAGATTCATCATTATGCTGCCATCAAGGCTATCTGTATAGAATTGGACCTGACTGTTCCAAAGGACTTTGGAATGGCGCCTTCTACTTTACAAGCTGCATAGAAAAACCCCTACCCAAATTTAGCACTACACACACATCTTTTTTTTTTTTTAGTGGGGTCCGTTTAAAAAAAATAAATAAAAAAACTAACGCATTTTTTTTTTATTTATCTTTTTTTCTTTTCTCTTTAATATTTTTTTTTTTTTTTTTTTTGTCTATATAATTGATACATAAAAATGGCTGGTAAAGAAAAAAAAACACACTTAAAAAAAAAAAAAAAAATGTACATATAAAAAAACTAGTGGCCAAACCAAATAATGCTTTAGTTTTTTTTATCATGACAACTTTAAAGATCTCGGTTTTGATTTTCCCGATGACGATTTTGAACAAGAGACCACGCTTGACGATACACCATTTGAAAAAGACCCTGATTATGTAGATGATACAACCGAAACATTGTTAATAAAGGCTGAAGGTAAAAAAAAAAAAAAAAGAAAACAAATAAAACAAAGAAAAATGTGTTCACATCAAAAGAGTAGAAGAACATCAACAAGCAGAAGACGAATTAGAGGACGAGTTATTGGCAGATGAACACATGTCACCCATTGAACGTGTGTATGGACTTGGAAAAAATAATGCTTTAATCAATAGGTTAGCTTTTTTTATTTTTTTTTATATATAATCTACAACCCGCACCTTGCAAAAAAAAAAAAAAAAAAAAAAAAACTAACTAGAATGAGATATTAGACTTTTAGTGGCCAAGGAATTAGTCCATGCATTAGAAGAAGTCGATCTGAACGAAGCTGTAAAAGAGGTCTTACCTTGCATGGAAAAATTAGCTGCTGATACCGACGATACTGTCAAGGAAACATTTGCCAGCGAACTTGACCAAACCTTGCTTTATTTTTACAAGGTAAAAAAAAAAAAAAAAACACGCGCGACTCTTTGTTATTGTTGTTAACTAACTTTTTTTTTTTTAATAATATACAGAATCTTCCCGCCATGTTTTCCAGTAGCGATGATTCAATAGCACAAGAAAAAACATTTGCACCCATGATCATTCGTATTTTATTAGATCAGAGTTCAGCCGTGGCTTCGTTAGGTCAACAAGCTTTAGTCACTGTTGTGACTGAACTTCGTCGACTCTCAGATGAAAGAAATAATGGGTTATTTCAGCAAGTGATTCATTCAGAGATATTCAAGGGGGTAATTGAAGGTCTGATGTTGATTGTAGACGGTAAGAGAAAGACACCTAGAGCAGAGGACGAAGAAGAATCTGAAGAACATAAAAAACAACGTGTCTATCCCGATACCAGCGCGGGTGGTGAACGTCGCAGATCTTCTGTCACACCGGGGTTTGAAGCTTCCTTGAATATACATCACCAAGCTGTGGATGATGACTTTGATCAAGGTGAAATCAGTCTTGCTAAAATCACCTGTATCTCGGTAAAGAGTAACTTGTTTTTCTCATTTCTCTCTCCTTTTATGTGTGTATGTATATATCTAACTCTCTCTCTCTATTTTTTTATTATTTGCAGTTAATTGCTTCCATTGTTGGTGCGTTTGAACCTGAGAAATGTGTCGATCAATGTTTACCTATTATTGAAAAATTGGCTTCAGATCCATTATTTTACGTGCGAAAAGAAGCAGCTACTGCGGTTGGTAGTATGGCCCAGGTGGTAGATTCACATATTGCGGAGACAAGACTCCTTCCATTGTTCAAGCAATTTTCGGAGGATCAAATCTGGCATGTACGTCGATCGTGTGTTCTGACATTACCTCAAATGTGCGGTGTGTTATCGGACGAGTCCAAAACCGAAATGACAGTGACATGTGTTGAAACCTTTCGTAACGACGTATCTCGTAACGTACGTAACGCGATGGCGGATATTGTGGGTGAATTAGTTTCCAAGTTTTTACCTCCTGATTGGGCACAAACGGGACAACCCGGTAAACTACCTGAACCTTTGCTACAATATTTCTTGTCATTGGGGTCCAATGTCAATAACAGTAACCAAATGCTCAAGTTGGAAATCGATCGTACTTATATCTGTGCTTATAATTTCCCTGCAGTTGTCTTGACAGCGGGTGTAGATTATTGGAATTCGCACTTGCGAGAAACTTACTTGAACCTGACCAAAGATTATCAAATTAAGGTGCGCTGTACATTTGCACATTCGTTGCATGATATTGCTCGTATCATTGGTCCTGAACGTACGGAAAGAGATCTTGTGCAAATCTTTGCGCTTTATCTGATGGACATGGATGATGTGAAACAAGGCGTGTTGGAACATTTGGCAGACTTTTTAGGCACTTTGGCAGTAAGTTCGCGTAATGAATATATTCCTATTCTAGCAGAAGTCTGGGATGGTGTGTCCACGAATTGGCATTTACGAAACATCTTGGCTGCACAATTGAAAGAGATTTCAATGTTATTTGATGCTTCGCGTGTGGTGGAACATGTGTTACCATTGGTGGTCCGTGCCTGTCATGATGAATTTGCGGCTGTAAGAGAAACCGGTGTGGAGGTATTCCCTGTGGTTTTGGATGCAGTGAAGCATGCGGTTGAAGAAGATGGAGAGTCTCTATCACAAGCGGATGGATATGGAGATGATCTTGCTGAAAATAAGCGCAATTTCGCATTAGCTCTTTTATCACATGTGATGGAACGTTTGGATGAATTTGCTCGTTCTGAAAATTACCGTGGTCGTTTGGTCTTTGCTCAGATTTGTAAAGCATTGATCCAATCAGGTATAGGTGCATCTGATTTTGCTTCGTTCTTTTTGCCTAGATTAGCTCCATTAGCCTATGATCCGGTTGTTAATGTTCGTATTGCCGCTTCACGTACAATTGGTACCATTTATACCAACGGTAAGCTTTTTCTTTTTCTTTTTTAAGCTTTATATTTTTTTTTTATTGACATTGATATGTATTAGAACCTTTCCGTAAAGAACTTAGCGAGATTGCAGCTCCTTCCCGAACAGTCAATGTAGCGGGAGAGTCGGGACATGCTTTGGATCAAATGACGTATCGGTTTGCGCTTGATAAAGATAGGGATGTACGGTCATTTGTGATGGCATTTGTTGATACGGAAACACTTGAAAAGCAACGTGACAAGGAGATGAAGGCAGCTGTTGAGGTAGCAGAAGCAGCTATTGAAGCACGAGCAGACGAGTCTTTTGATGATGATGATGATGAAGAGGAGGAAGAAGAGGAGGAAACAGAGACGGATGAACAAGAGACAGAAGAAGAGGAAAAGGGTTCCCCGATGCCTGAGAAGACAGACCCGATGGAAATTAGTAATACACCTGATGAAGATGAGATAATGTCTGAAGTCGATCCTATTATTAAGAAACCAACCACTACAGCAGTTACTTTATCTTCTGCTGATAAGAAAGATTAACTTTTTTATTTTCTATACATACATATATACATTTTACTACTTTTAACCTTCTTTTTTTTTTTTTTTATTCCAACTTTTTGTGTATTATTTCTTTTTTCCTTCCCCCCATCATCTCTCTCTCTCTCTCTCTTTTTTTTTTTTTCTTTACTATAAACAAAAACCAAAAGAAAAAAAAAATTATGTACATCTTTTTTTTTTTCATGTTTTTCAATTGAGAGTGACGTACAAGAAAAAAAAAAAAAAAAAAAAAAAAAAAAAAAACTTAAAATTTTGTGACAACCCTGGCAAAATAGATAAGGCACGGCACGTACACAAATAAACAAATAATAATAATAAAAAATAAAGGTGCAACAAACATTTCCCGAAACAAAAAAATATATAGTGTATTATTTATTTATATATTTTCTTTCCATTGTCTGTCTAAACATTTCTATTTTTGGCTGGTTTATAATCTATCACGAGAATAGCTATCAAAAAGGGGGGGTTAATATTGCAATCTTCATTAGACATGGTTCCCCTTCTTTATCGCACACTTACGTCTTTTCGAACTTTTGATTCACAGTCATGAACTTGACTTGTGTATCTTGGTCAATGTTTTGCCAGGGGTAAGGGTTGTTGGTACGATCCCAGACGACTTCAGGGCCACTAATGAATGTAAAAAGCGTAAGTATTATTGTTATTCAATTCAAACATTTTAAAAAGAGTTGAATATTTTACCGAGCAAGACGGGTCAAGTAGTATGCGGAGAGACCGACGGCAGAACCGACAGTCAAGTAGATGGGAATAATTTCATGCTTGTACCAGATACTCCAGAAAGTCTTTTTAGCAGCTTGACCGGCAACCATTTTGATATATTTTGTTAGAAGTGAAGAAAAAAAAAGAAGAAAAAATCTTAGAAACGCCCCCTAGCTCTCTTTTTATATTTAATTTTTTTAAAAGCAAGTTATCTTTATCGATTGGTCCAAGAAAAAAGTTTTTTTTTTTTTTTTGTCGGTTTGTCAAACTGTCTCTAAGTAACAAATGAAAATCAATCTCAATTAAAAGCACCTCTCAGAGACTATTTCTTTGTTTCACTGCTCCCTAATTTTCTAGTTTTCTTTTTTTTATAAAACAGATCTTTTCTACATATATCGTTAGTCATCTTCCACAACGTCATCATAACCATTTTTCCCTTGTGGTTAATCTTGATCTTACCACTATATACTTTCCTGTACAAACACCATACACTTAATCTGTGAGAATCATGCCTATCACAAAGCTTGGCCCTGGATAACATTACAGACATCCTCTCTTTAATTTTCGAAAATAGGCGGAGTGCAAAATTATATTTGCTAAATTGAGACTTGTGGGGAAATTGCACTGTCTGTTACTGCTCAGGGAAACACAAGGGGGTTTTAAAAGAAAACAAATGTACTGCTTTATTGTTTACAAGAGATCATTGAGAAAAATACTTTGCATATGAAAGGCATCTGATAGCATGCTGTGATTTACGGAACAGATCTTTATAAATAATGATACAGATTTTAGCTTTTTTTTTTTTACGGGCTTAAACATTGTACCCGTGATTTAAACAATAAAAATGTTGTCACTCGTAACACATTCGCCTGAATACGGGATCATTTTAATCTGATAGTATGCAAGTGAAAAAAAAAACTAGGCCTTTCTTTTTAGACATCATTTACATATCTATGCTTTTGCTTATCTATAGCAGTAATAGATCTTCTTAGTGTGGTACCATTTTAAACATGCCAGTTTGTAGTCGTAACTTTTACAAGACAAAATATAAGTATTGGTAGACTGTGTGTGATTCTTATTGACTTGTATTTACTTATGTAAAGTAAGCTCTTTTTATTCCTAGTTGCGATGCTTCTTTGCTATCTAAACATCCCCAGATCATCGTTGGTTGTCATAGTTAAATAAATATGAAACCAAATATGTCTAAATGATTCAATTGGAACCCTAATTTTTCATACTCCTTTAAGACAACTCCAATTATGCTTTCATCCTACAGATTATTGTATCAGAAAAAAAAAAATTCACAAAAAAAAAGGGGGGGGGTTTAGCCGGCTCCCTTTTTCTAGTTAATTCAAGATAATATCTAATTGTATATTGCAGGTTAAATGATCTTGGTTTAATCAAAGGAAAGCAATGTAATAGTATGCATATTAGCGAATAAAACCTCAATGTCATAGCTAAGAGTCAATTGGCTGAATACACAACTTTATGACAGATTAATATGGTAAAACATGAAAATAGCTGGGTCTATCAAGATCTGTGTACCTTTGTAGATGATCTCTCTTACTTTCTGTTTACTTAAAATACTTGTTGAATAAGGCGAAGGTTCACCAGCTGTCTAACATTGCCGTAAGTTGCCGTGTAGGAGGGAGAGGAAAATGATTCAGCTATAACGTAGAGAAATCGTTATGTGAGATATCATAAAATTGGCTAAAACCACAGGCAGCAATTTATTGCACTCTATTAATCGGTACAAATAATCATTAAAAAGGCTGTCAAAATAATGTAATTTAAAGTGTCTTAGGTTATTGCTCTTGAGTGTGTATTGAGGCTTAAGATCATCTTAAGTGTGTTTGCAGTTTAGTATATTTTATAGCTATGGTAAATTTCAACTTGTATTTATGGACGTTTAAGCGTTTAATTACTAATTGAATGGCTTAAATGTATATTGACTTTTATTTGTATTGCACTGCTTATGTTTACACAGTTTTTTTTTTCGATTTCGACCGGTAGACTCCTTCCATATAAAGTATAAATCATTAAACTTTGTCACTCAAAACATTACTATATAAACGTTACTATGAGTAGGCATATCAAGTTGCAATAGAGATTATTTTACTTCGTTTGTGATTTATATTGATGCCGGTAAGAAAATTGAAGACGTTTGGAAATTGTGAAAGTATATAGTTGATTTATAAGTTGATTGCGAATATTTTTACATGAAGTAAATGGAAATTCTGTTTAAAACGCAAACTTTTCTATTCGGCGTTGTAGCAAAAGTAGGCTTAAAGAGGATAGTTTTGCAGAAAAAAAAAAATGTAGAAAAAAACAATAGAATCAATTAGAATTCTTGTCAGAGTTTATTGATGTTAAAGTTAACTAAAGATTTTAAGAAGAGGAAAAATAAAGAGTATTTATAATAAATGGAATGGACGAAGCTGAGGATACTACTCTTAACAATATTAGTATGCTATCAATAACAATATCTATATTGGACAATTAGTGCTACGCATAGTCAATAGAGAAATAATAACAATAACATGTCTTAAGTTTGGACATTGGTGTTACGATACCGTGACACTTTAAAATAGCGACCGGCTTTAGCGAATTCCTTTTTTATGCCTGATCATGATTTAGCTATCATTTATCAGTGATGATGAGATATGAATTTATTATATGTACAATCTATATGTGTGATTTAGCACATTTCTTTCTCTATAAATATAGCTGATAAATTTCACTTCTCCCAGTTTTCTTTATCAGATATATTTCATAATCATCTTCTCTTTTCTTTTCCTCTATTCTTAAATAAATAACCTACTCTTCAAGAAGCTATTCATTCTCTGTCCTGTCCTGCCTGTCTCGTTCCTCCCTCGTTCCTGACACCTCCTGCAGAAGATCAAACCATGACGGAAAAGTTTGCCAACGTAGCCCAAGACTTGTTGGAGGGTATTGACATGGACACTTTCTTCAGTGATGAAGAGGAATTTGGTCCAGCTCCAGCTCCTCCTGCAGAAGATCAAACCATGACGGAAAAGTTTGCCAACGTAGCCCAAGACTTGTTGGAGGATATTGACATGGACACTTTCTTCAGTGATGAAGAGGAATTTGGTCCAGCTCCAGCTCCTCCTGCAGAAGTCCAAACCATGACGGAAAAGTCTGCCAAGGTCAAGATATATAATGGCTTCAGCGAACCAGAGTACGTGGGTATTTAAACCCTTCACCGACCATATTCTTGTTACAGTGATGAAGAGGAATTTGGTCCAGCTCCAGCTCCTCCTGCAGAAGTCCAAACCATGACGGAAAAGTCTGCCAACGTAGCCCAAGACTTGTTGGAGGGTATCGACATGGACGCTTTCTTCAGTGATGAAGACGAATTTGGTCCAGCTCCAGCTCCTCAAACCATGACGGAAAATGTTGCCAAGGTCAAGATATATAATGGCTTCAGCGAACCAGAGTACGTGGGTATTTAAACCCTTCACCGACCATATTCTTGTTAGGTGGTGGGGAAAAATGTTGTAAAAAAAATGTTGTAATTTCGCGGGGTTTAGTTTAACCGGATATGCTTAAGCCACTAAATGACTTAGCCGATTTTACAAAAAAAAAAAATTACCCCTTTTTTTACCTTTTAATAAACATGTCAAAAGTAACGTTTTTTAAAACACAATTCCCTTTCAACAACGTTGTTGAGACTTCCCCTGCACTTTTCTCGGAAGATGCAAATAAGTTTGTCGATGTCGACTTCAACATTGGGTGGGCAATGAAGACTGTCAACTCTTATTTTCCCAACAAAAATAAAAAAGTTGCTTTAAAGGATGGCGATCATGTTAACGACCATCGAGTTGTCAAGAAATGTCAAGGATCTATTATGTGTAATAATAGTGCTTGTGCTTTGTACGAAAAGCAATTAAGACCCCCTGTTGAGCAGAAATTGATTGCGATCAAGAAGTGTATTCACTGCAACAATGCAATGAAATGGATTCAATGCGCAGTTACCGTGGAGTATTACTTCAGTTTTATTCGATCCGAGTGTACTATGAGCCATAAAGTAAATAAAATTAAGAAGATCGAACACCTGCACTCTTCCTATGTACAAAAACATCTGACCAACGATCAACAAAAAAAGGTCGACCAGATCATTTTGAAGAACCCAGCTGCAACACCAGGCGGCGTTATTGCTGGAATCAGTATGAGATCTGATGAGATTTTAGAAGATGTCGAAGATATCAATCCTGTTCTCCTCAACAGAGAGAGAACAAAGCATGAACTCCGAGCAGCCAAAATTAGAAATGGCTTGGCTCTCGTCAAAGGAACAGATTTGTTCGAGGAATTTTCCAAGATTGAAGATGAGTACCCTGGATACATCCTCTCAGCGGAATTGGTAGCCTCCAAGTTCTGTATCATTTTCTCTTGCCCTGAAATGGCAATGGCTAAATTGCCATTTGAGAATTATCCCATGATTACGGACGTAACCTTTAAGGCCGTTCCCAACGGTTTCTATCTTTGCTCGACAGTAATCTTTGTGCCTGAGATGAAAAAACACGTAGTCATCTTCCAGGCTATCATCAAGAAGCTTGATGCCCAACAATTTGCTGTTTATTTTAAAGCTTTGTTTGAGAAGTTCGCAATTAAAGCTGATAATTTTTTGGGAATGATTATGGACTTTTCTCAGGCACAGCGCGAAGGATTCTATCAGGCCTTTAACTCTTCTTTCCCGGACTCAGGTATTTTGCCTACACGCTTGTTGAAGGGCTGCTATATGCATTGGAAGCAATCTGTTCAACGGGTTGTCTCCAACCACTCACTTGTTCCTGCCGATAAGTCAAACCAGTTTGTCTCGTTGACTTACAAATTGTTGAAGACAACTGTTGAAGAAGTATTCGTTGAGACTGCGCAGTCGATTATCAGGGAGTTCCCTAATGTGCGTCGCTGGCTTCAATGGTGGTTACAGCCCACCATTTCCAGTATGATTTTTAACTGGCGGACTGTTTTGAGTGATGCTCTTCGCAAGCATCCTTCACGCACATCTAATGCGATCGAGTCATACCATAGTGCCTTGTATCGTTTGATACCTACAAGAAAGGCATTAAATGTTAGATTAAGGTTGATTCTTCAAGTATGTAGAAGGGATTGGCGCTTAATCAAAAATTACTACAAGTTCGGCCTGGCCCCTTTTTACACAAAGACTGGCAGTAAGAGAAAGAATCGCAACAAGCCCGTAGCCAATGATGGTAGAGCCCCAAATTGTAATAAGGCAATTTTTACTTCTCAGAAGAAAAGAAAACTCGAGTCGTTGGATACAAACGTAGATAGCCAGTGCAATGAGATTGTTAATCCTATCAAGAGTACTAAGGATGCAGTTACTGATTCCGAAGACGATTTCGATTTGTATTTTGATCAGATAGATCAAGCATCTGATTCAGAGGTGTCCATTGACCTCAATATTGAAGAGTCTTTAGTAGTTTTTGAGCAGCACGATGATCGTATGCTTAAAGCATTGGGAGGTAAATAATAATGTGATATTAAATATTGAACCAAAAACTATAATTAACACTTCATTGCCCAGGTATTGTCGATGATCCTGTAACTGAAATGTTCGGTACCGGTATCAGTAGTCTTGACATGGGCGAAACCAAAAAAGCTCTACAAACGACTTTAAAGGTAGAAAGCGATTTCGATTTTGATACTGAAGCCATTTTACGTGAATTCGATGAAGAAGAAAGACTACTGTGTCAGGAAGAAAAATTATATATGCCAAAAAAAACTGTCACTGTATCTCAATACAAACAGAATGCAGCATCGTTTAACTTAGCTTCCAAGCAGGTCAATGATGGTTTGGTGGTGAAGAAGGATTTTTTGTCTGCGATCGCAGCAAATAGAAAAAATTCTTGCTTTATTGATGCGACTTTCGAGCTGTTGTGGAATGCTGTCCTGCCTTTTGTCTCCTTGGAAGGTTTGAAATACAACAGATACATTTCAATTTTAATTGATTCGTACAAAAAGTATACTTCCACTGTTGAAACCATGGATCAAAAAAAGCTTGTTGTCAGGGAAGCATCAGCAATGATCAGGGGGTTTGTTTGGGGAATACCCAGTTCCATCGATGATGATAACAGCCCACCCCAATTCACAGACGGTGAACCTGCTTGTGCTATGGAGCTGTTAATGTTATTTTTCAACAACATGTCTGTTGAGTTTAAAGCACGAATCGGAGGGTTTAAAGACAACGTGAGCCGCATTCATCATTGCTCGGAAACTCACGAACATAATTATATCAGTGATATACGTTTTGTAGATCTTCTGGACATTGATGACTTGATGCGAGACTTCTTATTAGAGACGCAAGAGTGTAGCTCGGAGGAGGAGCAAGAAAAAGAATTTTGTTCCGTTCTTTTACATCATTTAGTTGTCAGGGAGAAGAAATTCCCCTGCACATACGAAACTGATTGTAAAGGAATGGTAACCGCAACAAACGAGATAATTGACTCTCACACACCTCCCTTTCTTTTTATCACCGATCCCACCAATTTTGTGAGACGCCATGAATCATTTTCAAGCAACAGCGAAAACGCCAACATTAACCACTCCAACATATATTTTCCAGAAAATATATCATTAACCCAAAACTCTCAATACCAACTACACGGAAGAGTTTACTCTACTTCTTCAACAGGAGATCATTTCTTTACAGTTTGTTACAAAATTATCGATGGTATTAATTTTCTCGTTCGCATTGACAATCTCGATAAAGAAATCAAAATAATCACATCAGATATGAACAAAGCCCGGCAAATCATTAAAAGATGCCGTGGAACAGTTTATGCCTGCTACAAAAAAAAAAACCTTATAGACATTTTCTTTCTTTCTTTCTTTCTTTTCTTTTAAAATATATATTATAATCAATAAACATTTAGACAAATTCACTTTGCATTAAATTCATGCACCTGTGAGGTACGTGCCTGAGTGACCGTTTTTTCCTATAAATTTCGGTTAAACTAAATCCCGCGAAATTACAACATTTTTTTTTACAACATTTTTCCCCACCCTCTTCTTTCTTCTTGTTAACACCCACCTGTAGATACAATATGGACGATCCCGTGTTTTTATATAGAATGTTTTACCGTTCCTTTTTTCCTTACAAAACCTATTTTCACTGGCTCAACTATGACATTACACCCACCCGAAGCTTTACTCATCGTGAATTCAGTTTTACACTTGGCAATGATATTTACTTTCGTTTCAAGTCCTTTCCTAACGGGGATGCATTAAAAAAAGAAATCGAAAGATTACAGCCTGCCAAAATTGATATCGGTGCTGTCTATAGTATCAAAGTAAGTATACTCCTTCTTTTTTATCTTCTAACCTTTTCACTTTTACAACTGAAAACAGCCAGCAGATAAAAAGATGGTGAGCGAAAAAGCTTTTAAACCTTTAGAAAAAGAATTTGTACTCGATATCGATATGACGGATTATGATGATGTACGTACCTGTTGTCAAGGAGTAGATATTTGTTTGCTTTGCTGGGAGTTCGTGACCATCGCCATCAAGATTATTGATGCTTCTCTTCGAGATGACTTTGGATTCGAACATATCATGTGGGTCTATTCAGGTCGTCGTGGTGTGCATTGTTGGGTATGTGATGAGAAAGCTCGTAAATTGGACAATGAGAACCGAAAGGCCATCGTTAGTTTCTTGGATATCATTAAAGGAGGTAGTCAAGTTGCACGTAAAGTGAGATTACCTGTGTTATTACATCCATCGCTTGAGTAAGAAGGGAAAGAAGGAATTTAAAGAAAGAGAAAGACTAAAACCAATTGTTGACTTTAGACGCTCCTTCACCGTTGTCGAAGAGTATTTCAAGCCACTTTTGTTGCAATCGATGGGTATTTTGGACACACCAAAGGAGTCTCATAAAGTGTTAATGATGACAGACGATCGAGTGAAGGAGGCTTTGGCGGAAAAGTGGGCTGACCCAACAAAAACAGCACACGAGAAATGGGAAATGTTGATCAAGGAAGAGCAAAAAAAGGAAAGTAAGGATACTTGTGCCTCGAGAGATATCATGTTTCAATACTGTTATCCTCGCCTTGATAACAAGGTTTCTACCAACATTAACCATTTGCTGAAGAGTCCATTCTGTGTGCATCCAAAGACATGTAAGTTTTCATATGGGCAATATAAGATGGGATGATTGACAATTTTATAGTTAAGGTGTGTGTACCCATTAAGCCAGAAGAGTGTGAATCTTTCAATCCAATGACAGTACCTACCTTGACCAAATTATTGCAAGAAATTATTGAACACGATAAACTGCCAGGCGCTGATAAAACCATACCAGACTATAAAAAGACATCGCTTAAATCCTACGTTGAATATTTCGATATATTCGTAAAGAACATGTTGAACGAAACTATCAAGGAAAAGCGTGAAGCAGCTGCCATGTCCATGGATTTTTAAAAATTTAATAAAACAAGCGCTTTGTCACAAGGGTACCCCCCATTGAAATTGAATTTTTTTTTTTTAATATATTAGTTCTTATCTTTAGAGAACGACTACGGAATACCATGTTGAAATGTGTCAATTTACTTCCAAGACATGCTGGGTGCGAAACTTAATGATTCTGACAATTTTTTTTTGTCTATAAAGAAGAAAAAAAAAAAAAAAGAATAAAAAAACTGAAAAATGAACGGAAAATCGTGCCTATTTGTTACCCCCTTCAAAAAAAAAGTTTTGGGTAAGAAATTACCAGACGGGGATTTTTAATTCATGCAAAATCATTTCATGTAAAAGCAGAAAGAAAACTCACTGTGGCTGCGTATTTGCTATGGCAGTTAGAACACAATGTACACAGGCCTATATACAATCAAAAAAGAAAGAAAGAGTCTATACATGTGTTTATGAGATATGCTTTTGTTATAATTTTAGAGATTTTATGTCATTTTTATCCCTGATTATACCCACACATACAGCCTACATGGTAACAGTAAAAATGTATATCTTATAACAGACAATTTCTCTTTATTCACAAATTAATTCACGTACACAAGAAAGCTGTACTGCTGCTATTGAGACAAAAAGAAAAGGTCGCACCGTGCCTTTCTTCCCACCATGCCATGACTGCGTTACCTCCAAAGGTTTATAGAGTAAGTATAAATATCGCTGCTGTCTAACAAAAAAAAAAAGGGGGTTTACATGACAGAATGCCACCTCAACAAATCATGTATTTTGTGATAAAAATAGCTTAGCATAACCCTTTTAAAGCCTTCTTCAAATTGCATATTAAGTCCAGCCATTTTAAATGACAATTCTGTACAATTATTGAAGCCATAACTAACTGTTAGATAATCATGCGAGTTGAAAATGACTGCGATGTTTCCATATGCCATCAAAGCATCTTATATGGCAAACTTTGCCCTTTCTCTGCTGACTGGGTATTCAATTTGGATATAGGTTTCATGAGTTACAAATTATTGCCATAAGAGCTGTCGGAAGGCATACATCTAAATTTATTACTCAGGTTAGTATGATCAAAACTAGTGCATTATCTTACAAATAATAAGTAGTATGGATAGGCTGAATTAATTTTTTTACATCTGTGAAGAAATCCATACTACATTTAAAATGTGTTGTGTTAATTCTAGATTCGATTGCTGCAAAACACGACCTTCACAAAGACCCTTTTTCTAAATAAGTAAATAAAAACCCCTTTATACACTTGAGGTGATGCACTCCCTCCCCCCCCCCCTTTTTTTTATTTTCGTGACAGCATGATCTGCAAACTATGCAATGGTAGTAGGCGGAGTTTTCATTTCGGTACGGTACTTATAAAAAGGACCTTGAACTCTACGATATACATGCATGGTTTACATGCAATCACTATTAAAAGCATAGGAACAGACCCGTTTTGTTGTGATTTATGATAAGCAAGAATTAATCTTTTAGGTTAGGATGCTATTATTTGACCATTTTTTTTTTTTAAATGGAATAAAAATAATCTCTTTCATCATGAGAGAGTAGAGTCACTTTGTATGGTGAATTGCTACTTTTCTAGTCGATTTAGATATTATATAACCACTTGTTTGTTTACATTTTTTTTTACTATGTAAGGATTTATCCAAGACTTCTATTACTCTAGCAATGTGGCCCAGGTATCTGTTTGTTGAGGTATCTTTACGTAATTTTGAGTAGTGTGCGCCTCTTTGTTATATAATCTATAGGAATTCTCAATTAAATATTTTTTTGTGATAAATTATAATTACTTGATCTGGTTACTTTCTTTTTGTGATTCTAAACATTAGATGTTTCTTTCAAAAGACATCCAATGGACTGGTACCTTTGAACTTCATGGGCTTATCCGAGTGGATAATAGGTAAACCATGGAAACCTTTTATCCAAATTAGTTGCTATTTTAGGGACAGGTGCTACTACTTGATTTGTAAAAATCATCACTAAAAAAAAAAAAAAAAAAAAGTCATTTGGAGTATGATGATTGAGGTTTTTTGTTTTTTTTTTTTTTCTCTAAAAACGACAACGGGGTGTCTTAAAAAAAAAACACTTGTCGATCCTTCTTTCTTTAGCCATATTGGCAATTCGCTTAAAAGAAAAAGGTCGAGAGCTTCATGTGATTACACAGCTTTTTGTCTTTCTTTAGATGATAAAGAAATGTGGCAACTTTCAGAGCAGTCTATGATACCTGAAAGAAAAAAGATAGAGACAATGAAAAAAAAGAAAGAAAGAAAGAAAAGAACATAAAGTTTATTTTAATTTTTTTGTGTACTGATCTACCCAATACATTTTGACTAATATGCACACAAAGGAAATCCCCTTTTTGTGATACCTTCATTACTATATTTTTGTAACTAAAAAAAAAAAAAAAAAAAGAAAAACCCAGCTTTTTTAATTTTATATATATATTTCCCTTTTTCTCTCTTTTATATATTTTATTTGGAAAACATGACCATGAAAGATGAACACATGTTGGAGGAGTTTGGAGATGTTGACTTGACCGGAAGTTTATCAACCACTCATCTGGCGGACAATCTCTTGGCGGATAAATTACTGGATGAATTATCCTCATTGCCTGCACCATCACTTTATTCCACCATGAATTCGTCTAGAAACACATACGATCAATTCTTTGAGGAAGTCTCGTTGGATTTACCGAGACAGCAACAGCAACAACAGGAAGAAGAACAGACCACTCCACCCAGGCTCATCAAGTTTTTACCTCGTAACAACAACACCACCAACAATAAAACGTCGGTCCATGCTCGTACCGAACCTTCTTCAGATACAGCCGGCCCCTTTTACTCTATTTCGGACGTTTTGGACGATACTGACTTGACACATAGTAGTACTACCTCGGTGAATATTGTAGGAAGAGAAAGTGGGGATTATGAATCCATTGATGTGAATAATCCTACAAACCCAAGAGCTGCCAGACGTAATGTGAATGAAGCAGAGGTCATTGCTACTTCTGGTGGTACCTCCATGGGTCCCGTAAGACGCCGTTCCATGTAAAGTTTATATTTCTGTGTGTTTGAATGTTTTTTTTCAAAAAAAAAGATAAACTAACCTATACAAATAGCTTGAATCCTTTCAAACGAGGCAAAACCATCAATCAAAAGCCCTCACCTCTGGAAACTGTGATTTCCAAGACCCGACCTCGTATGCTTCCACCTAAAGACCCACAAGAGGAAAAGAAGCATTTACAAGAGTATGAGAGTATGATGCGAAAAGCTCGAAAGCTGGAAGCCAAGAAACAAAAGGACCTGTATCGTAAAAAGGAAGAAAAGGATAAAAAGACATCATTTGCTATTCAGACGTGGGAGAATGAGATTATCCCGCAATGGAAATCCAGAGTCAATGATAAGCGTACAATACAATTATGGGATGCTGGTGTACCCCCACGATGTAGAAAAAAGGTATGGCGTCTCAAGATTGGAAATGGCTTGAATATTTCCAAGAATACATTTCATGAGTGTCTACGAAGAGTACCTCAAGCGGTACGTACAAAGGATCAACCTCCACCTAGAAAATCGCATGAACCAGACCCATCTTATGGTATACGTAGACAGAGAAGAACAAGCAGCTTGGATGTGTTACGAGAACAAGAAGAACATCATCGGTTTGATGAGGCTGATAGAAGATCCTTGGAATTGAGACCGTCATCTTCTACTACTTACTCTTATGCAACCGCTGAATCTGAATCGGGTGCTGAACCCAATAATCACAAACGAGGTGAATCCTTTGGTGGAAGAAGTGCTATGGAATTAGATTCAACACGTAATAGTACGGTAGAAGAGGATGATATTGGTTTAGAAGATGATGATGGGGATGAGGATACGAGTAGTCAGGACGATGAAGGGGAAGACGATGAAGATAAACGACTTAAGGACCCAACAGCCATTAATTTCCTAAATAAGGCCATTGATGAAGATATTTTACGTACATTACCCAGTCTATGTGTATTTCAGGTAAATATAGATTTTTTTTTTTTAAGGAGGTTCAGCCGACATTAAACCCTTTTATAAATTATTTATTAGCCCGACGGACCTTTATTTATGTCGCTTCGTAAAGTACTTCATGCATATGTCGGTTATCGACCCAGCTTGACCTATGTAAGGAAAAAACCATGGCCCAAAAAAAAAAAACTATGATTAACATATTATATAAAGTCACGAGGAGCCTCTTTTTTAGCAGGTGTACTTTTACTCAACATGAATGCACACGAGACATTTACATCGCTCCTGAATATGATTCATGGCAGCGAAGTACTTTCAGCGCTGTATAAATCCGATGAGAAAAAGATCCAAGGTTTTTTCAAAGTGTTTAATGTGATATTTGCAGAAAATCTACCCAAGCTTTATTTACATTTCAAGAACTTGACATTGACACCTGAGAATTACTTGCCGGATTGGTTTATGACGGTGTTTGCATCGGTTATCCCATTGGAGTTATCGTCAAGGTTATGGGACATTTATTTACTGCATGGTGATATCATCTTGTTTCGTACAGGTTTAGTTGTGTTGAAATACCTAGAGCCCTTGTTGTGGGGTGGTGACTTTAGTGAGACCGTCAAGATTTTAAATATGGGTTTTGTTGGTGAACATCGTGGTGAGGAAGTAAAGGCCGCCTTGGCTGTGAGTGGTCATATCACGGATGGGGATGAAGATCCATTCTTTGATGAAATATTAGGTCGTAAAGGTGTACATTTAGATGAAACAAGATTTAATGAATTATTGGGTGCTCATATGCCCAAATCATTATAGTTTTTTTTTTTTTTTTTTTTTATATTTTTTTTTTTTCTTTTTTTTTTTCCGGCTTTCTTTTTTTTTTTTTTTTTTTATGAGGAAATAAAATCTAATATTCTTTATTATGTTTCTTAAGTATAACCGAGATTTCTAATCGCCACGTAAACCCTTTCTAACAGGAAGCACAGAGTCCTATTTAAACAAAAATGAGTGATATAGTTATCTTGACAAATATTTACATGGAAAAACTTACAACAATCACAGCATCAACACCATAATACTTTTGAGCTACAGCATTTTCAACCTCATTATTCAAGATGCCATAGGTAAATAACAGGAGACCTGACTCCTTAATAACCTGTACTAAACGTGGTGCTTCTAAAATAGGCTCACTAGCAGCGACAATACCCAACAAATCCGCCTGTTTGGCAAACCGAACTGCACCTTGTAACGAGTTACATCGAATATCTGCCATAGGCATTGTACCTGCATCTGTCAAGAAAAACACTGGATAATTTGGTTGTTTTAAATTCAGAGCCAAACAAATTTCTGGATGAAATGAAGAAAAGATAATGTGACGATCTTGTTGCGCATAATCATAGACACATTCTAGAATGGTATCGACGTAAATGTTGAGTTCTTGAAATTGTGTGAGTTCATCTTGTTCGGCTTCATCAATCATGGGGTACTTGATTTCAATGTTAAATCCTGCTGTATTGGGGACGGTGGTGAGGACTTCGGCCAAGGTGGTAAATGGGCCTTGAATTGTCTCGGGTCCGTTACCCTTCATCTTGCCGGATTTGGAGGTACGTGTTTGATCAAATGGGTTAGAGAGATCCAATCGGTTGGGGCTACTGGCACTGAACGAATGAGATCGGTTCACTCGATTGGTAGGTGTACTATTACTATTGGATGGCGTATAAGTCAAGGGAGGTGAGGGTAATCCATTGGATTTATGGTCTACAGGAATAATTTGCCCGTGAACTCCTTCACTAACACCAGTATGATATTCCTTGATTTGACCCGATCGACGTAAATTCAAGAACTGTTCTGAAGTAATGGCATTTAATGGGATATCATAACCTGTTTCTGTTACGGTCCAATCATGATATACCACTGGCACTAAGTCCCTTGTTAACTGAACATCAAATTCAACATATTCTGCACCCAAGGAAGCGGCAGTAACAAATGACAAGACGGTGTTTTCTCCCACTTGTAATTTCGATCCCTTTCGATTCATGCCAGAACCACGATGTCCAATGACCTGTGTATCCACAGACTTGTAGTAAGTGTACCTGTCTCCAATCTTCATGTTTTTGTGCTGGAAGGGAGTCAAGACAAAATATTCAAAGCCTAATGTGCCTACGCAATCCAAATCTTTAGCCTGTACTAAAGGTACCGTCTGCTGACCTCGTAAGGAGGCCTTTTCGGTAGGGCCCTTAAAAGCCTTTGTTTTGGTAAAGATGAAATCACCTGCTAATACCGCTGTGCCTCTTGCCAAAACACTACTGTTACGGGAGGACCCAAACGTTTCGATCAAATCAAACCGAAGTGTGACCTCCTCCGTCTTGGGTGTGAAAAGCACGATGGGTTCGGGATAGAACGCGTGATCAAACTCGGTGGGTAAATCAATGATGGGAAATTCACCTGTGGCATTGGTTGCAGATACCGAAAGTGACAACCGACGAGGATTATCTCCATCCTGAAAGGATTTGGCAAGCTCAATAAATTGGTGACAGAGAGGGTTACGAACATCGTTCGAACCCAAAGTAATGATAATCATGGAGAGATCCGTCAGGTACTTGTGACCATATAATCGACTTGCTTTGGAGACTCCTGTTTTCTTGGTAGAGGGTATAGAAGAAACACTTTCATCATCCGATGATAAGAGTTTGGCACCACGAGGGTTGAGGTTTAACTTGGGGTCTGTAGGTACAGTCAGTCTACCAATATCAAGATAACCACGGAAAACAGCATGTTCAGAAGCAGTCCAGCCATTATGATCCGTCATGTCCTTGTTAGCTTTCGCCTCTAATAAGGTCTCCACAATCTCTTTAAAGCCGTTCATGGCAGCAATCATGAGGGGTGTCCAACCATTGACTTTTTCGGCTAAATTGAGATCCACATGACCTTGTTGAATCAGAACACGGACACCTTCTAAAAAGTTACTTCGGATAGCAAACAAAAGAGGCGTTTCACCATCTTCGTCGGCAAGATCGACCGAAGCTTGCTTACTGATCAACAACTTGAGGAGATCCAAATTGCCCAATTTACAGGCCAATGCCACAGACGAAGGGTGATGCAGAGAACGAGCAAAATCCGGTAAAAGATCGTCTTCGATGGACGAATCATCGTCTGACAAGGTGGGAGATTTTGCCGATCCAGCAATTAATGCATCAATATCGCTAATTTGCCCCAATTCAATCATTTCCTTTACGGCGATGGTGCTACCATGAATGATGCCAAAGAATAATGGTGTAAATCCTTCTCTATCCTGCCAAATTGGATCTGCAAACCCCTCTCTATCGTAGTCATGATGTGTGATGGCATGCTGTAATAAGACCTTGATTAATTCCGCTTGATTAGATTCGGCAGCATAATGCAGGGGTCTTCTGCCCGCAAAGTCCTTTTGGATGGATAAGGTAGGTTCTAATCTTAATAAGCATTGTACAAGTTGAATGGATGACGGGTTCCTGATACAAACTCGGTGCAGTAAATTACGTTCATTAATATCCTTACGATTCACAAGGGAAAGTCCCAAGGTTTTCACGAGATAATCCAAACATGCTATTGACTCGTGTTCCACAGCCAGTTCTAAAAGTGTATCGTTGATCTTTTTTTTTTTTTAGCTAATTTAGTATGACATGTTTTTTAACTTTTTTTTTCCCCTTACTCGGGTGCCTTCTTTCAAGAGAGATTCTAATTCGTGACGATTGTCATGTTGGATGGCATCTGAAATATCTTCATTCTTGGATGTGTATCGGGCCAATTTAAGAGAAGAGTTATTGTGTGAGGAAGCAGGACTATTGACGGTGATGGATTGTAATGAATCGTCCGAAGTTAAAGTTAAGATCCATTCGGCTAATAAATTCAACTCTTTACGCAATTGTGACGGGGTTGCAAATGGAAGTACGACGACCTAAAAAAAAAAGATGTTTGTTCACATATTCAATGCCGAATCTATATATTAAAAAAAAAAAAAAAGATTACCTTTGTCTCCCAATAAATCGATTGCGTATCCAATCCCAACTTTTTATCCAATCTACACAAGAAGAAAGAGTATTAACAACAAATAAAAAGAAATGTTTGTTTGATGTAGGCTATCTTTGTTATACTTTTTAAGTATTTTTCGAAATCCTTTTGAATTTAATTCGGCAAACCACATAAGCTTATTGATTTGACTTCTTGTTTCTTTCAAAGCCAAGATAAGTTCGTCCTTTTCATCATTGTTGTTTTCGAGCTTTTTTTCGTGGAGGATCCATAAACGACGGTTGATCATGGCCTGTTTGTATACATAGAAAGTATTGACCTTTTCAAGCTCTCTATCCAATTTAAAAAAGATGGCTGATTTGTAATAAATAAAGACGAGTTAAAAAATAAAAATAGTGCAAAAAAAAAAACCCTTTCAGTCCTTTTACCTGTCGTCATTTCTTCGGGAGGTGGTATGCTTACAGCAGCCGCAGCTTTAATATCCTTTTTCAAGGACTTGTAAGAAATATAGTTTCTTGACCATTCCGGTATCTGGTTTGATAGTAATGTCTTTCCAAACTTCATTCTCTATATATATATATAAAAAAAAAGATAAAGAAATATAAAAAGAAAAAAAAAAAAAAGGGATGCCAAAAAAAAAAAAAGGTATTTAACAAAAACGGAATTTCAAACTTTAATATTGTTTGGTTTCACGTGTGCTTCTTTATTGGTTGAAGTCGGTCAATGTATGCAAAATAAAAAGTATTATTCGTGGAGCTTTTCAAAATGGTTTATTTTAGCTTGGTTGAGTCGGTGGTAGCATGCGTCATTTAGACGTCAAATGATAGGTACAGATATTAAAATAATAATCATCAAGAAAAACTTATGGATTATCCAACTGTGGAATGTAGACTGTTGACAGTGACAATGACATAAAAGGAATCTTGTTTATAAACAATAATATGTATTGTTAGCAATTGTTCTTTTATACATGTATTACTTGTCATTATGATAGTTGGCTCATTGTGTGTTTTATGGAAAAAGGTGACAGCTTGCTAAAATTCATCCGCATTTCTTTGACCAAAAGGAGGGCGAAGCTTACCAAATTTGCATCAGAACATGCACCAGGGAGAGATCTAATCACTGCTGCTAAAAGTATAATACTCTCTTGTTTGTCTTGGCTTGGGGTTAATTGATGAGTAATCCTGATTATAAAAGATACAAAGTCTTGTCCTTAATTTTCTTTTATATGGGGATGTCATTTTCGTTGTGTCATATTTATCAGTTATGCAAACAACTGAACACCTTAGGTAAAAACTCAAAGTCTTTACAATATACTATGAGAATTTAAAGTAGTCTGTTAATAATAATGAACAACTCACAATGACTTGGCTTTCAATGGATGGGACTTTAGGTTTAAATTAATCCTGTTTCCACCTTCGTTTGTTAGGCCAGCCCCAAACTCATGTACACTGGTAGGTAAGTTTCATTAAACCAATCAGCATCGGTCAGAAGATTTATATAGAGTTAAGTTATTCTCTTTTTTTTTTTGGAAAACGGCGCAAGAGTTTTGCTTAACTACTTAAATTACTTAATCATGACACAAACCAATTCTTGTTTATCAATTTTATTATAAATGCTAACTCCCTGAACTCAATATTTTTTTCTTTTCTCTTCTCTTCTATAACATCTTCACTAATAATAATATCAAGAACCGTTGAAAGTTTAGTTATAAAGTTCCATTTTTGCAAGTTAGGTGTGATTCTCGCGGGATACAGGTGATATTGTGGTTACTTTCCGCCATACCACAGTGGTTATAAGGCCACGGCAGTATCTAATCGTCTTTTATCCCTTAACTTTTGATTTTGATCAAGATGTCCCAGCTGAAGGTTGAACATATAAGAAGAACCCGCGTGTAAAAATAACTGGAAATCATTCAAAGACGCGGATGTGCAGACTTAACCGTTTCTTTCCTGCAGATGGTAACTTCACAAGCATTTCTTTTTTGTTTGTTTGTAATCGCATGCTTTTTGCAACGAACAGTTCATTTGTCCGGATAACCCATCAAAAAAATGGAAGTAACGACTACTGTCGGACAGTGCTACGAATCCTAGCCACTCGACAGTCAAGGAATGAAGAACAGACATATTGCAAGCATATCTTTTTGTTTGTAATCGAATGCTTTTTGCAACGAACAATTCATTAGTCCGGATAATAAACCATCGAAAAAAAAATGGGAAAAAAAAACGACTGCGACATGGGTCAAAACATGTTATTGCTTATTGTCGGACAGAGCCATAAATCATAGCCACTAGACATTCAAGGAATAGTACAACATTCATATTTGGTCTTTTATTGATGGACTGTTTGATGACATACCTGCATTGAAAACTGTGAGGTAACTTATAAAGACAGACAATTGCAGAGAATGTGAATTTTAACCTCAACTTCCTTCATAGAAGCGAAGCCATGAGTGCAGCGAGCACGAAAAGAAAGAACGCTGCTAGGGTCATTGATTCGGTAGAACCATTAGAAAGGAGGAGGATCGGGTACAAGTGCGATTTCCTTGTGAGAGACACCATTTCGGAGCATGAAGAGAGCTTGGAGTATGGGGCAGGCGAGGTTGGAATTAAATATGAGCAAATGGGTACGAAGTTGATGACCGAAGGATCTGTTAAATTACCCAAGGTTTTGAAAGACATGTTGGACCAGCTCATTTTAAAGAACAAGGACTACAAGAATATCCAGTTATTCGGTATCGTTCATTCCGGACTTGCCGTGCAATTGATTGCTGCTGACAGGCCACATCAATATGTAACGCGCATTACCAGGGGAAAAGAACTTAAAATCCCTTCCAATATTGCAAAATTTGGCGATGATGTCCTTCCTGTCCTTGTTCAAGTTTGGCAATTGAAATAGCATATTTTAAATGTCCAAAATAAGATCATGTCGCCATCAAACACTGAACAAAATAATAGTAATTGGCTCGATGACTGCTTGACAAAAGACGATAATTACATCATTCCCCAGACATCCAACTCAACAGAATATACCGCATAGTTTATTATTATAAACTATAAGTATGTACTCAATCTATTACACGTCTCACTCATTCTACTCAACGACTCACTCATTTTACTCTATGGCTCACTTACTCTACTCTGTAGTGATTGCAGCTAGAACCAGGAAGAGATTCTAGAATCACCTCCAATTAACAGAATAAACTTTCCCATAAATAATCACATTAGTTACATAATAATCATAAGATTCATAAAAAAAAATAAGATAATTAATCGTAGCAAGCATGGCGAATGCTCCTTAGTTTTTTTTTTTCTTGTAATTTTTTTGAAATAAAATATGCCTCGGTTTTGACTCGTTGTTTTTTTCTTTTTATCAGTTTATTCCATTTTCTAAACCCTATATACAACAAGGTCAAACTGATGAAAAAGTGCTGTGGTTTTGCTCGAGTTACTCATGAGCACAAGTATCGTGTAGTTGAATCACCTCAACAAGGGACGCATTGTGGTTATGACTGGTACGGTGGCACTGATGCGCCTGCGCTTAAGATACCCGATAAAGGTATTGCTGTCGAAGGTTGTACGGATGACTTTCACTCAATTTATCGTTCACTCAATCTACTGTATTTACTATGTGATAAATAAGTAACTCGATTGAAATAAATAAAATAAAGTGCATGAGTACGTTATACATTTATTGATTTACACTAAATGTTAAGATAATAATTTAGATCTCGATACTTGCTAACAGGCATGTATTACAGACTCTTTTTTTTATAGATATCTGTTATATTAATCTCACTCATTTACTATGAGCTTCAATCTAAAGCCCACTCTGTGCTTCACTCGTTCTGTGACTATGTACCGGTTCCTGGTTTAAGTACAAGCGGTTGCTGCCATTTCAAAATTTAAGCAACTCTCGTGTAACACTTGGGATCAAAGGACCGACAAACAAGATGTAAAAAGGTGTCACTTTGACGACACTTCAGTAAATAGGAACATGTCATTCATATTTTACTTAGCCAAAAACTTGAATACTATTCTTATGTATGCCCACTATATTTTGTTACTCTTTTCTTACACATAATCCGGGTCGCACTATCACACTTTGTTTAAATAGCTTTAATATTGAGTAAGCCATATGGAGTAGTCACTGAAAATAGTGTATTAATCCAGTATGTATTTTTTTCAGGCAATTGCATAATTTCCCTAATATTCGACCCCACCCTCCATCTGTAAATGTCAAAATTCACAACAGTCTGGGTCTGGAATCTTTTCCACACATAATGAAGCCTGGATGAATGGATATGACGATCTATTAAATTAAAATCTAAAAAAGATTGAAAATAAACTGAAGTATTCAAATAGAAGTGGATATTTTATATGCACATCCAGAAACATGAACACAGTATAAAACTAGCAGATATTTGCATTATAAGTCTACTCCATGAAATTAACTTTGGGTGTGTACACTTTTTGAATTTAGCCAATGATATCTCAAAGCGAAGATCCCCGCCAAAATAATAATAATAAAAAAAAAAGCTTTCATTTTTCTTTTTTTCTTTTATTTTTCTTTGAACAATTACTCCTCTCTCTTTTCCTACTCTCATTACAATGTCTTTGTTACGTTTATTTACAACTAAAACTGTGTTCAGCTCCAGAAACGCCGTGCGATCCTTCTCTTCTGCACCAGGTAAAAAAAAAAAAATTCTTATTCGAGAAAAAGAAAAATATTTAGCTGAGTCATATTAACCCATGGGTCCTTATTTTTTGATTTTTTTTGATATAGCTTTATTTCACGGTAAGAAAGTGTCTCGCGGTGAGGGGTAAGGAATACTGAATAACAGAAAGGTTATTTAAAAGTAGATATTAAACACATGCTCGAATAGGCCTTACACTGTGCATTTCGTTACACCCGAAGGTGAACAAATTGATGTCAAAGCAACCGAAGGAGATACAATGTTGGATCTTGCACAGAGATATGATATTGACCTTGAATGTATGTTGGATAATCAATTATAGGGATTATGATACTAAAAAGATCAAAACCATTAGGTGCATGTGAAGGATCGTTAGCATGCTCAACATGTCATGTTATTTGCGACCAGGAACACTTTGATAAAATGGAGGAGCCTTCAGACGAAGAGAATGATATGCTTGATTTAGCATTTGGATTGACTGAAACGTAAGTGTAATAGAATCTGTGTGTTACTAGGGTAAAATCTAATCTGCGGAAATTGATAGATCTCGTTTGGGTTGTCAAATTGAAATGAATAAGGATTTAGATGATATCACAGTTCGCATTCCTTCAGCGACTAGAAATTTGAGAGTTGATGGTAATTTGGCCTTTAGCATAAGAGACAATACAGGGGAAATCTAACTTTTTTTGTTTTGTTTATAGGATCTAAGCCTACCCATCATTAGTTGTCAAATACATTGTAGAAATAATAATAATAAAAAAAAAAATACACCTGTTTTTAATCTGATTACACAAAATCTTAATTTTTCAGCCAATGACAAAGAGGGTGAGAGGAGCTTGGAAGTTAAATTGGGGCAAAACGCGTTTTCTTAATCTCTTCTTTTTTACTTGTAGTATGTTTTCTAGACACGTTTTCCTTTTACTGGTGGCCATCACCTTCCTTTTGAAGCTTGCAGTAGCCTTAAATGTTGACGTTCCTGCACACCAAAACGAATGTTTTTATGAAGAACTGGAAGAGGGTGATAAAATGACCTTGACTTTTGAAGTAAAACAGGCAATCACACATCATGAAGGAGCGAACTGACCCAAAAACCTTTGTTTTTTCTCTAGGTTGGAGAAGGTGGAAATTTGGACATTGATGTTTGGGTAAAAAAAAAAAAAAAAAACAAAAAAAAAAGCTTTCATTCAGGGCATGTCTTTTAAAAGTCATCTTTCTAGTTATCTAATCCTCAAGACGCTATTCTTGCAAGCAGCTCTCGTGAAAATAAAGGCGCATTTTCAATTAAAGCAGACAAAGAAGGCAGATACACTTATTGTTTTTCCAACAAAATGTCTGCTGTCACTGCCAAATCTGTAAACTTTAATGCTCACGTCATGGAAAATACCGATGCAAAAGGAGACAGTAAGTTTTATTCGTGTATGTTTTGTGTATTGTATGAGAAAATGCTCATATGTGTATATCCTTTGTCTAGCGGTAGAGGATCCACTCAAGAAAGAAATTGAAGAACTGGCAGAGAGTATTCTTGCTGTCAAAGCAGAGCAAGAATATATCGTCTCTCGTGAAAAGAAGCATAGAGATAGTAAGTGAAGACGGCGACATGTTTACAACGTGAGCACAAACTCATCATCGTTAACATTACTAGCTGCTGAGAGTACAAATTCCCGTGTCAAATGGTGGTCGGTCTCTCAATTGATCTTGTTAGTTGTGGTTTGTCTTTGGCAAGTACACTACTTGAAGCACTTTTTTGAAGGAAAGAGCACAGTCTAAAAGAAGATAGAAAATTGATCCCCTTTAAAATAAATCCTTTTTATTTTTTGACAGCGTGTGTTACCTGCCATTTTGTAACTGCGGCTGCATTACGTTTTCTTTTTTGGATTGTATTAGCTGAATCTATGTGGTCGATGGTGATGCTATAATGCTTAACCATTTGCTTGGTTACAAACATTAAATAAAAGTGAAAATCAAGGACAGAGCCTAGTTGGTGGCTTGCTCAGGTACCGTGATGGTCATAGTAGGTGCATTATACATTTATCTCTTGCCAATGGTTGTTTAAAGCAGATTGAAAATCACAGTTGTACTTTGACTTTATAATATACTGACACTCTGGCGTTTCATTAGTTTCAGGCCCTTCTGGAGTGTGTATGGAAGAGACTGGAGGTGACGTTCATATTTGCATGATATACACTATTTTCATAAATTATTCGTGCACGCTTAGAATAAAATTTCAATCAGCGACGGAATAATTATTCGCTTAAAAAATTGGCCTGGACTCGAATATATTTATCTCGAACACCTCAGATTATTGTGGAAGCTGTAAATAGAGAGGGTCTTATTTCATCAAAAGCTACTATTAGTATCCCATTAAAATGATGATATCCTTTTCTTTTTCTTTTCATTCTTTAATTTCGAGGATGAATTCTATCTTCATCAAACATGATTGTCAAAAGTCAAAAAAAAAAAAAAAAAATCTGCGTTACAGCTTCTCAAAATTTTCCTCATGTCTGTACACTATAAATGATAAAAGCTACATAATAAAACCGCTTTTTCTTTATTGACTTAGATAACTTACCTAAGTTCAATAAGACAAATGGTGTCTTGATTGTATTTTGTGTTCGTAGATTTATATTACAGCCGAGTTTAATGTCTTTATATATAAAAGAAAACAAGAAAGAGAGGCTTAATATCAGCTGTTTCTTCGATGAGCTAGCTAATGATGAACAAAATAGAACAGTATTATTATTATAAATAGTTCATTTAATTATACGTTGGATGACTACTTTCAACAACTAAATATTCTTGGATTATAGTCATGGCTAAATATTTCTGCAACAGCTTTTTGAGTCAAAAAAGGAAGTTCGATAAACATTGGATGTATCATCTAGAATTTTTACCAAAGGTCCAATCCTCCCGCATAAAAACATCCCCAAACCATTATCGAACTTTTGCCAAATTTAATGTTGGTAGAACGGACGAATTTTTTCGGTGAGTCTTTCCCTTTTCTTTCGAATTAATCTAAAAACCCCCATCGTTGTTATGCAAAGCGAATCACAACTCGTCTGAATAAACTATCTTCTTCCAGCTGGTTTGGGATCAGGTTGTATTGCCATGCCGCAGATTAGACTTTGAGTGAAATCATCAGCCTGTTTCTTTTTTCTGAAGGCTATTTTTAATCAATAATACATGAAAATGTCATTTTCTTTTCGTTTAATGATATACAGTCTGGTAAAGGCAAAGATTTATTTAGTCAAAAATCCTCACAACTCTTTGTGTAGCGTTGCTTTTAAAAAGTCATACAATTCACGAAAACCTTTCACGCTTCGAAAGGGTAAATTAGAGTACTTTTTCGGCTTTAGTTGTGAGGAAGACGGTTGTGGTGATGAAACATCCCCGAGGCTTCTGGTCAATACTCTGTACAACTTTTTGTTTGGCGTTTCATTATTATTTGTATAGAACTCTTGTTACAGTGATGGTTATGCTTATTTCAAAGAGCTATACTTGTGGAATAAATGGTCTAAGCATTAGTATCAAGGTCAGAAGTGACTAAAACATTCACTACAAAGACAAACCAAAATTAAAACCACAGTCAGTTTACGTCTCACCAGAATTTTTACTTAAGAGACCGTTTAATCCTGTTTAGAATTAGCCAAAAACACGCAAAAATAGGTTTAGAAAAACCTCACCCTCAAATTACTCTGGTTGTATTTGCTTATATTGGTAAAAATAGCTTATAAGTATTGAATAGTAATGTGTTTACACTGACAGCCCTTTTAAGTGGTAAGCTCAATTTTTTTTTTCGGTCTTTTTTCGGAAGATGAACGTATTTTTTTTACGTTGTGAACGAATTTTTTTTTTTACATTTTGATCTAATATTTTCTGAAAATAGATAAAGAATATTATATGTAGATATGTATGTCTATCGAAAATACCATTAAAATTGGTGTTTAATTACACGTAGATTGTTATGAATAATAAATCCGTATTTGATTAAGCGACTGAAATGACAGATGCTATTTCAATGCACCCAAAAAGTGAACGATTGTAGCTACTGACGATGGATGCTTTTCAGATAATTAAATAGTACTTAGCCAACTTAAGCATACATTATTATCGGCTCACAGAAACGGGCAATTTTTCTACAGCCAATACTATAAATTTAGACTAACAGGGTTATCTGATCTATTTTTTTTTCTTTCGTGATATGAAATTACATCATCGTTCTGATTGTATCGCAGCCTCTGAAGTATTGCTGATTCCACGCGATAAAGTTTTTTTTTTTTTTTTTTTTTTTTTTTGTATAATCTTCAGGCGCGACTACTTGGCTTGCTGAGTCCCTCATCCTTTATGCTACATCACTTTTTTTTATAAACTGTGTGTAACCTCCATCAAATAAGAAAGAGTTTTAAATTAAAAAAAATCCTTTGTATATATTTTTGAGATTAAAAAAAAAAAGTAAGTGTAAAAATGGAGAAAAGAGGAGGTAGGAAAAAAACGAAATAATTAGATTATATATAAAAAATTTGGTCTAATTTAATGATTTTTGTTACTGTTATGGTGGTTGCTGTTGTTGTTGTTGCTGTTGTTGTTGCTGTTGTTGTTATTGTTGTTGTTGTTATCTCTGTTGTTATTATTATCTCTACCGTTTGATGTTAAACGTTCATTTTGATCAACAAGGTTAGCAACCTTTTCAGAGTATTGCAAGGATAAAACTTGGAGTCTAGAGAGTTCAACTTGGTGAAGAACAATACACTGAGTAACCTGATCCAGTGATGCTGATAACTCTTCATTGAAAATCATCTTTGCGATAATGGCGTTAACACTGTTGACAGATAAATCGAACATGCTGGCTAATTGTGTTAAACCCAATGTAGAGTAGTAAGAAGCATAAGTGAACAAGTAAGTACGAAGACCTTCTTCTTGAATCTTGCGAACAAGCATTTCCTTGATCTCTTGAGTCTCAACCATCAAATCCCAAACCTTGATGGCTAAAATGAAATCCTTTGCCTTTTCCCATTCACCAGAAGCCAAAGCCTTGGCAGCACTCATGATATGATCTCTGGTGTTCTCAGGGGGTCCACTGAATGCTTGGCGTTCGTTGTAATCAAGCAATCTACGGAAAGGTCTAGAGATAAACTTTTTGTTGTTAGGTCCAGCCTGTGCTTGAGCAGGGATTTCTAAAAGCATGGAAGAAGTCAAGAAGATACATTCGAGAAGTTCCAAGTTGATGTGCATGTGGAAAGGTAATTGACGTTGACGTTCAATGGCCTCCACTTCGGGGTTAGTGGGTTGTCCGAAACGTTGAGCTTGAACACCTTGAGCTAAAAGTTCCTTAACACGACCAGATCCTTGGATCTCGGAAAGGGCAGAGTGAGATTCCTTGATTAATCCATCACGGAAGGCACAGATACCGATTTGGACCATGGCACGGTTATACAAAATTTGGGTAGCAATATCAGCTTGATGAATAGAGTCTTGGACGTGAGACATCAATAACAAATCACGGGCAGTATGGAACTTCTTGTGAAGAGCGTAATGGTAAATATGACAAAGCATAGCACGAGTACGGAAAACAGTGGTAGTATCCTTGTAAAGGTAGTTACAGAGTTGATTGACTAACTCAGTAGGTTCTTCAGAGGGGGTAATCTTTGAGACAACATAGTCAGGTAAAAGCTTCTTGGTAGCAGCTTGGAGGGAGCCAATGACTTGTTCAGGCTTGTAGTAAACATGATCCAACTTGCGAGAGACAATTCTAGGAAGAGCATGAGTGAAGTTATAAGTTTCACAATAGAATTGAGCACGGTTAAGCATGGCAAAAATGGTAGCCTCATCTCTGAGACGATCAATATATTCGGTAGCGTGAGGATCAATGTTTTGAAGAGACTTGTTGAATTCATCATCTAAACGTTCAACAAAACTGAGGATAGAACCACGGACCTTTACAACTTCACCAGCTTGGGGAACGACATCTCTATCTTCATTGTTGAGTTCTTCAGCATCTTCAGTGACAATGAAAGACTTGTTGGTTTCAAGTACTTGAAGAAGTTGGTTGAACTCCTTGGCAGCAGACTTCCAAACAGTGACATCCATGAAAGTGGCCTTGCTGACGTTAATATCGAAACGAGAGGCAATAAGAACCAAAAGAACAGAGATCTTTTGGAAAGGAGATTCGGCAACTTGCAACAAACTTTCCAATACAAGAATTTGTTCAGCACGATCAGTGTTCTAAGATAATAAATATGGGATGAATACTCCAATATAAAAAAAAAAACTCTCCGGTTGTATAGTGCTTGTTACCTTTTTACCACGACTTTCCAAAACTTCTCTCAAACGGGTCAAGAGACCTTCTTTAGTAACAGCAATGATGGTCTTACCACCCTTACCGACAGAAGAGAAACCATCTTCATCATCTGCAGAGGCAACAGCCTTTGAAGCAACCTCTCTCTTCTTGACGGGAGCAACAACTTCTTCCTCAATCTCTTCCTCCTTCATGAATTCCTCAGAATCCTGTATTCATTTTAATTAATATCAAAAAGACTAATATTGTCGATATAGTGTATACCTTCTTGTAAGCAGTGATAGACTCCTCAAATTGCTTAGAAAGCTTCTTGAGCTTGGTCTTTAAGTTGTTCATGGCCTTACTGTTATTGTTCTTCTTCTTGGTAGACTTTTCCTTTGCAAGGTTTTCGGTTACATGATCGTCAAGTTCGACCATAGTCTTAATGTAAAACTTGGGAACAGAAATCTTGTTGAAACCAGTGGTGGCTCTTGTGATTGTAATAGTAAGTTTATCAAATTCTACATTAAAAATTTTTTTTTCGATATTAACACATGATTTCATTTAAAAAAAAAGTTTTTTTTTTTTTTTTTTTTTTACCAGTAGAAATCAAATTCCAATCATTGTTCTTTTGACCGTTCTCAATGGCCTTGACGGCAGTCTCCATCTCTTCAATTCTCTTATCCTTTTGAGATTTAGCTTGACGTTTCTTGTTAGATTCGTCATCTGAATCAGAGTCACTTCCACCCTTCAAGAAACGGTTCTTGGGTTGATCATCCTCAGCTTCAGAGTGATAACTAGCGGCATCGGAATCGTACTCGGAATCGGAGTGGCTATATTGAGAATCGTTATCAGAGGAATCTGAATCAGATGATTCAGTATCTGAACTACGGAAGAAACGAGACATTTTTCGGGAAGTGATAAAAAGAAAAACTCGCGAGAAAAAAAAGGTCTTCTGGGTTTACAGTAAGGGGGGTAGTTTGGGACTCACGTCAAGTTTTCGTAAAAATTTTCAAGTCACGTGTAGGTGGCGCTGGTGGTCATTGAAACACCGCTACTCGTCTTCTTGTCGCATATCCTACTGAAGCACTCACTTGAATCTCTTGATCCCAACACCTAGTTTAAGTTATCAGAGAGACTACTCTACTCATCGGAACCACATGTTATATTCAGAGTAAAAAAAAAAGCTTACTGGTTATAATAATACCAGGTCTCAAGCGAGATAATATCAGGTTTACAGGTTTCAAAAAGACTTGTGAATACACACTTTAATTTATTACTAACCAAACATGTGCATTAATTTCATTTCGAAACAGAATAGCGCGTGTAACAGCTGCAAAAATAAATTGTGCTGCTACTTCTGTGCACACCCTTTAAGGGAGTTCCACGCTCTTGGACGGAGCAAGTCAGCAGGGCAACTTTTGTCAACAATCAAGGATAGATATTTACCTGATTTCGCTGATTTGTTGATGGTGCACTTTTCTTGAAAAAGATAAGCAATAGAACTTATTGTTCATTGATTAAAATACAAATATTTGTTGTTATGAGGGAAGAGGTCTTTTTTCTTTTAGTAAAATAGCTCTCGCATGAAAGTTAAGAAACCGCTCAGGTGTGGCCAAAAACCCTCCATAGTAAAATTCCTTTTATCAGAGGCTTTTTTTTTTTTTTGGTCCTAGATATACAACATCACATGAGTTTTTTGTAATAATTATTTCCTCTTAAAAAGACACTGTCTCTTTCTTGCTCTCTCTCTTCAATTTATTGCTTCTTCTTTTTTTTTACTCATTCCATGTCGATTCAAATTGCACCGACTGAACTATTACACGAGGTATTTCTACACCTGCCAAAGTCAAGCTTGCTTCAATGTGCCTTGGTCTGTCAAAGCTGGTACTTACCTGCTCTTCAACTTTTTTATGAACATGTAGAGTTATCCGAAAAGACCAAAAAGGTATGGTTACATAGGGTACAAGCACCGACTGCAATTCCTTCTATCGGCATGTTTGTGAGGAAACTCACTGTAAATCTCGCGTTCTCTACCACTCTCTCACAAGTTGATTTTCTAAAGGTGATATCCTACTTGCCCTTCCTCAAAACTGTTGATCTTAACGCAAGTGGATATAAATTACATTACCTTTCTTACCTGAATAAGAGAGATCCTGGTTGTGTCACCTATTTGGAGGATATCGAGACGGGTGATCTTTTCACAAATTACCAAATTCAGCAACACTTCTTATGCGCATACAGCTTTCGGCACTCTCTAAAAAAAATAACCTTGAGACATCCTGCTAACATGTATCTTATCGGTGGTCAAAATGGTACAGCTGTATCTTTTCTTGGGGAGTTTGCCAACTTGACACATATCAACATTATTGACGAAGTCCATTTAGGCGAAACAGAAATGGAGGTGTTTATGAATTCTATTCAATCTTGCTCAAAATTAGTTAGTCTATCCTATCAAAATAACTGTCTGTTCCCATACCAGCAAGATAACGTAGTACAGTCTAGAATTATGAGAAAAAGCACAAGACTTTCAAGGTTGAAAACAATATCGTTAAATGTATCTTATTTAACTGCCATCTACATGACCCAAATGTTACTACTTGTATCTCCCAACTCTTTGGAAAAGCTCACAATTTACATGACAGATGCAGATTACCGTGACTGGATACAAGAGAACTATGGGCTATTCATATCCTATTTTGTCTGTGTTAAAAACTTGGATATCTCATTTACCAATGCAAGCCGACGATTTTCAGATCAAAGACCACGAATACAGAGCGCCTCGAAATTTGGGTTATTTCTCCAATCTTTAATAGGAACTAGGATCTTGGATGTCCATATAGCTTTTATCAAATCAGTAGGCGCGAAACCCAACATCACAATTAAAAAAGACCCAGAAAACATACACATATTATACAATATTGGAACCATGGCGGATTTTTGTATTTGTCTTGAAGAGCTCTCATTAGTTTGCTCATCAAATCAGATTCCTATAACTGTTGATTCTTTGGTGGCTGAAATTCTGCTAAATGAAAAGGATGATTTTGATTATGGTCAATGTATGGAAATGATCAAGTTCATTCGTTTGCTTCCTTATCCTCCGAAATCGGTTTGTATAACAAGTCCAGCAAAGACGCATTTAGATGAAGAAGGATATGTGATAGAATTAAAGTCTAGTAGCATGAATGGTGCTACCCCTTTAAATACATCTATACTAGACGATGCCTTGTTTAAAAACATTAACCTTGAAGCATTATCCACAAAGGGTTTCTCGGATATATTACCCCACGTCAAAACTTTAAAATTAATTCACTGCAAGACAGAAAACAAGAGAGTAGCAATTGACACAGAAAAAATCAATCTGGATGAATTATCGCAATTTATAAATGTAGTTTTTGCAAAAAAAATCAAATAAAAAAAGACAAAGATGAATAGAATTGGGAAATATTTTAGTTAAAGTTACTCATTTGGGTCTATAAAAAACTGTTTGCCGATTTCGGCTCATATTTTATGTAATAATTCCTTTATTTAATTGATATTAATAGTGTCACAATCATAATTAACCAGCACACTCAATTAAGCCAACCAAATTATATTTGATGTGGGTATCATCAGTTAATATAATGACGTGCTTTCTTTCGCATACACGTGTCAAAGAAGACACATTACCGTATACTGATGTACAGGTCTTTCGATGTAAAAATACCATAGCCAAAATATATTCTGGAAAAGCTATAAACATAACCCCTTACAAAAACATGATTTCTTTCTTCATAACCTCTCAATGACAATTTAGTATATCTTGTTTAAAATTTGTTTATACAATCAAGGCTAATGGACTTAATAGACATACGCTTCTACTTTTTATTTAAAGATGACAAAGCTCGAAAATTCACATTGTTAGTCAGTTGATTTGTTTTGGTTGTATCTGATGTGAAAACCTTTGAAAGATAAACTGGATATTCGCATTAACTTTTTTTACTTCTGAGCATAGTTTTGTAATCCCTTGCGACACATAGGGATGTGAAGCATGCTCTTTTCGTATGATCCACCGCTTACTTGGCTGTGTAACTAACATACAAAGCCGGGAGTACAGATAAACTGGTTGGTAACATTTATTGTATAATGTTGGCACGAGTCAACGCGCAAGACTCAAAAGTTGAATTGCACTCTCTTAGTTTCCTTTTTATTTATGTAAGTTCCTTTCAGAAAAAAAAGTATATTGCATGAGTAGATGATGATCTGTGTTTAAACGATAAATATAGACAAAGACGGCGGTGTGATTATCTCGATTTTCGAACGACATTAATTCTACGTACAAACCCGTTATTATGCGCATACTAACAGTTTAATATCACTTATAACGTGTCACCTCCTTGTAAAAATATTTAATAATGTTCTTTTTTAAAATTTACAGTTTCAATCGTTTTTCCGATCGCCGGTCTTTTAAAACTAACTCGATTGTTTGGAAATATGTCAAACTCGCTACAGAAATCCTATAATGCTTTAAAAGCCACAATTCCTTAACACTGTTCTTATCTTTGTTATAACCGACATCAACTTAATCTGTTGATGATTTGTCTGCAACGAACTCAAGGATTTCTTTATCCGATCTTCTTTTTTCGTGTAACGGCCATTTTTTTGATAAATTCTTGCTTACATGAGTAAAGGCCCTATGCATGCAAGAATTTTGAATAAAAACAAATTATATATGCATAAACAAAACAGTACTTTATATTAGGGGATGATTAATCGTAATTATATTGGGCTTCGCGGTAAGGAGCACACATTGCTGATACATCATTCTGACATAAGAGAGAAAAAAAATACGCGAAAATGCAGCACTTGCCCCGTTTAGATTTCTTACTCACACTTTGTTCATGAAACTGTGTCACTGTATACTGTAGGACGAGGTTACAAAAGGTGGCAAACTACTACCTGAGTTTTTTTTTTTTTTTTTTTTTTTTTTGCGCCCAGTAAAAAATAAAAATGGGATTTCTTTCCTAAATGAAAAGAGAAATAAATTATAGTGTACAATTAAAAACCTCAGAAGCAAGCTTCTTCAGTTAAAAAATCGCTTTTGAGCAGTAGTTCTGTGCCAGTTTGTGTATGCTTTAGATTTATACCATTGATCAGGTAATTGACCAAGCAAGGTTTCATATTTCGATTTGCTAATATTCTTTTCACGTGAAAACCATGGCTGCAATGATTGTAACAATTCAAGTCGGCTGTTGGCTGCTGCTCTTGCATACTCTGAACATCGAAGTGTAGTTCTTTGTTTCTTTCCGTGAAAGAGTTTTTGGAAACCCCATCCTAACGGTATTGATTTAAAGTCGCTTTGAATTCCTCGAAATCCGACAGTAGCCATGTAAGAAGAAAGCCTTTTAGAGACAAAGGGGTCTTGTCGGCGTAAATAAAAAGAGTCAATCACTATTTTTGAGAAAAAGAGATTGGGGAATGTTTATTTTCTTTTTCTGTGATCTGTAAATGCGTGTGACAATGTACTTACTTTTATTAATTAATAAGTCTTCACGGGATGAACCACTGTAGGTTTCATAGTCCTATTTGATATTAATCTAAGTAAATAGTACAGCCAATAACAGACACCATTTGAACTTACTGGCTCTACTAACTCGATCCATCCACCTGGCTTTAAGATTCGAAAATATTCCGTCACAAGTGGTAACCAAGTGGCTTCTGTCAATCCCCAATTTAAGTCTCGTTGAAATATGAAATCCACAGAAGCATCATCGAAAGGTAATTTGACTTGTTGAACATTATCTGTAATCTCAAACAATTTAAATTTACAATTTCTCGGCTTGATATACTGAGGAAATAAAGGCTTCTTGTCGATACCGATGAACTGGGCATGTGGGAAACGAGTTGCTGTTTCCATAGTCCAAGTTCCGGATCCGCATCCGACATCTAAAACGACCGTATCATCTTCAGATAATAATTTATTGATAGGTGCGGAAAAATCGACGCCGTCAAAGGCGCTGCGTAAAATATAATGCTGGGCCACCATACGATTGGTTTCTTCATTGTCATTGCTGGATAACATATCACAAGTGATATTATCAACAGATGGTTTGCGTGAACTGGTAGAGCTGTTCATGATAGATCCAGATCGACTCAAACTCACACCGGAATCAGCGATGGATAAAATGATGGATTTGGCGAAATTTTTTATGGAGTGGTGATTAGATAACGGAAATGAATCTAGCGACTGGATAGATGGTTTCTTTACTAGTTGTTTCTCTGTGACTAACATGTTGCTATTATTGTTACTACACGGATGTAGTAATGATTGTAGTAGCTTTGTTTTATCAAAAGTATGCATTGTGAAGAAAGAGATAAAAAAAAAGTGGTTTAGCTGACATTGGCCACTAAACAAATTTATTTAAGGAGCTGCAACAACAACATGCATTGTTACACGAGTGCGATACGCATGTTCGACACAAACATCCAGGTTTTCATGTAAACAAAGCGGACTAAAAAAATCATGCTGCTTTTTTAATCCTGTGTAAAAAAAACAATTTTTATCAGCCAGATGACGGCTGACTCGCATCACAGCAATGTTAAAATTTCATTTATAGTTGCATTTGTAATCTAGAAAAATACAATCCTGTCATAACTCGTTGAATGTATTATGTATATAATGTAGATGTTTAAAATGAAGTATATAAAAAAACTGTTTTTATCCCATGATGCAATTGCGCTAAAAAATACTATACTACCTTTTACAACTAACAGTTTTGTGTAGCACCATCAAAGCGTACACTATAAAAGGAAATGGCCATTTGTTCTGTTCCCATTTAACTTTAACTTAGACAAGCGTGGTAAAATATGGGGAAGTTTTTATTTGTATTTGCTTTTAATTTTTTTTGCAAGAAATCGTATGATTTTTTTAATAGTATTCTTATTGTTGACTATAAAAAAAAAAGAAAGATATTCAGGTACTGGGGATTGCGGCTGAAAAACTCTAATTTCAGAATATTCTTAATTTCGCTCTGTTTGTTATCTTGCTCCATTACGATGTGAAGATCTTCCATTTCGAGGTGAAACGGGACGATGGGGTGATTTTTTTGGACGAGCATGATCTTTGCGGGTTGGCGATTTCTCATAGGAGGATGTGTGTCTGTTTTGAGGTGATTTTGGGTGATAGGATAATTTATCTGATTGATCAGGATGGACTTGTGACAATTCTGGGGGTGTTTTTTTATTACGAGTTGGCTTTTGATCGTAAGGTGATTGACCACGCTCGTCATGTTTGGATTCGCGAATGTCACTCCTTTCTCTATCATAATCAGAAGGCGTTCTTGATCTACTACTGTAATCAATGTCATATCTGCTATTGTCTCTGCTATCGTCTCTGCTATCGTCTCTGCTATAATAGTCACCACAGAAAGAATATAAGTACCTTCTGGCTCTATCTCGGCTACGACTTCGTTGATTTCTATAAGTATAATCTGAGCGGCCTCTGTGACCATGAACTCTTTTCCAGTATGGGGATAAAGAACGCTCACGGTAATTTCTAGTATAACCTGTATTATATCGATAGTAATCTCCTCTATAATATCATAATAAAAACGTGTGATGTAAGACTTTAAGCTTCAGACAACACGCGTCCCCCGACCCCTTCTTTTCTACACTTTTGTGGAATACACACTGTTTTTTATGCCTATAAAAGACAGTAGAGATATGTACCTTAATGGACATCTATTAGCATAATGACCAGCTTCGCCACAGCTGTAGCATTTGTTATCTTCTCGAGCTCGCTCGAAGTTTCTTAAGCTCGGCTCGGTTGCGAATACGATGGCTCGAACTCGCTCGCCCTTTTTATTACACAAAGTGCACGTCAAAGTGATGTTAATTACAGAAAGTTATGATAATAAAACTGTTATTTATTGAAATAGAAGTTGGAAAAAGAAAAAAAAACTTTTTTTTTACCAGCCTTAAAACCAAATTCGGATACTTAATTCATAAATATAATACAGTTGGATTTGTGAACATGAAAGTTTAAATTAATTCTGCTACGTCATGTTACTATGATTGCTGTGAAAATTTGGCTTAGTTGGGTTAAGTGTGCAACACTGTATCATTTTCTATGGTAAATGTGTTTGTTGGTTGTACAATTAAATAAAAGTCCAAAGCATTTTAGTTAGAATTATTAGAGCATAATTAAAAAAAAATGGTAAAGGGAAGAAAAGATCAAAATCAAGGGGAAATGCCATCTGTAGTCTTTCAAGGACCTCAACTTTAAAGTAACTACTATCGACATTTTAGCCGAGCGAGCATCGATCGAAGCTCGATCGAACCCAAAAAAAGTGGCGCAAGCTCGAGTACAAAAACTCGGTTCGAGCTTCGTTCGAACTGGCGCAAGATCGGTGCAAGCTCGAAAAGTTCGAACACTAGTCGGATAGCATAAAGAGCATCTTCATACTTATCAAATTCAATAAAACCATACCCTATTTACTTGAGTTAAGTAAAATGACGCTATAAGAAGTAACAACGTTACCAAATCTACTGCCGCTTCTGACTTTACAGTGACGATAGTTTCCACATCCGTCAAAAAGTTCTTCTAAATCCCTTTCATTAAAGTAACGTGGTAAGCGACCTAAGAATAATAGAGTCATTTTTGAAGAGATTAAATAACAGCTGAGAAGAGACAGACAGAGATAAAAACATAAAATAGAAATGTATACACTTTCAAGATTTTCCTCACGAAAAATTACAATGCAATAAACGTCATCTGTTTAATTGGCAAAATTGAGCTATTTGTGATCTACTTTTAGCCCCTTGGTAAATGTTAAACAATGGCATATTTAACATTTAATTATATATTTCAGTGCCTCTAGTGCCAGTTTCACTTTTGAACAGCTTTTGGTAACACCCATTTAACACATTTGGCAAAGTTGGAGTAAGCATTTAGATTATCGTGTTGGAAGTGATCATTACATTTAAGTGTCTTATTTAAGAAACAAACAGGCACATCGCTCACTTTATGAAAAAAATCGAGTTTTTTTTTTATGCTTTCTTGACATAAAGTTTTCGATTATTCGAATAAAAGATCTGTGCGATTGTTATCTTTTTAAACGTATAAGCCATACATCTCAAACTCAATTTTCTCCGTTTATGGAATGCAGTAAAAAAATAAGGAAGTAACCCCTCTTATACCTTCTATCCCATGCGTTTCCAAAGCAGAAAACAAATACACCAAATGGTAGATACAAACATACCTCAGTATTGATGAACACAAAATTGTATATTATAATTGGCGGTGAACATGTGTCAACAAAAATCGAGAACAAGGAGTAACCCGAATTTATTGAATCACAAGATAGCATTTGTAGCTACTCATTTACCATCTAATCCTGGTGGCAAAAATGTTTTATTTATTTTTGTTTTATTTATTTTTGTTTTATTTAAAAAGAAGGATTTAATTTAAAGCGTTTCGCACTTCATTGTAAGCATAGGTCACACTATCTGCGTTTCTAATATCGAGGACCTTGATCTTTTTATTGATTTCTTCATAAAATTTGTGTCCTTGAATCTCAGCAACTTGTAGATTATCTAGCACTGGGTTGGACGGCTCCTGCTTATTCTTCATCAACGTGCCATACATCCATCTACTCCCAATGGTTTTGACCTTTTCGAACAATGTATCTAAGGTACAGTCTAAGAGGGCATTTTGCTTATCTTTAAATGCAGCTTCCCCTGCTGGTTCTGAAGCCTCTTTAGAACGAACACGACATCCCTTGAACTGATTGTACTTAATGGCACCATATTCCAAAGCAAGTTGTTCGAGTCCATTCTTTTGTTTCTCGGTTAACTGAAGTAACTTTTTAATAAGATTCCAACCATCCACCGTTGCTAGAACAACGCCATACCCGTCACTGACTTCCAAAAAAGCAGACACAATAAAGCAACGGGAAGCATCTGTGCACATACGATAACATAGTCCATTTAATAAGTCAGTGGCACACCGCTTACATGTCCATTTCAACTCCACGTGTAAAATTGACCGGACACTACAGTAAATCCTGAATATTTCGCCATTGTCATTAGCCTCATCAATCGCTACCAAATCGCGGACATATTTCTGGGCAATTCCATCGATGATTCCACCCCTAGCCATTTCAGGTTCTTCATGCAATGTAACGTTGGCTTGGATCAATGACGTTTCCGACGTGGTACAGGTAAGACTCCTATTATTTCTATTGGATCTTCTTAGCAAATTTCTAAAGGTGACTACGGCTCCAGGTACAAGACCAAGGGGATAATGGATTTTTGTAACAGGTACATAAATGGTAATAAATTCTGGTGTATCATCTTGTCTTAGCTGTACTTGTATTATTCGATCAAAAAATCCAGTACCAGCACCGAGCTGGTCATACAAATCTCTATCTTGTTCTTCTAGAGGACCTCTTCTTCCAAATGCATCCATAAGTTTCTTGCTAACCACCACACCAATTACATGAACAGGGCTAGTGTAATAAGAGTATTCTTGATATAAGTAGGTTTCGTCTGGGGCTAAAGCTTCTCTGGTCAGTTGGGAGACACTGAGAATTAGTCGTGTCATATCCCTGCGTCTGCTTTCTGAAACTATGACAGGTGTAATAGATGTTGAGGATTCTGTTGTAGTAGGCTGCATGCTAATTTGAAACATATGGTTTGCTTCCTTGTCCAAATATATGGTATTTATTTGTCCTTCGTGCATGCCTGAAATGATACACCAGTCGTCCGGTTGGCAGATTTTGCTATAATCTAAAGTGTCAGTAAGGCTGCTAGCTACCAGAACTGCTCTCCTCAATCTTGATGGTGCATTAATCGGATAGATCTCTACAAGTATACGCGATTCCATGCATACAATTGGGGTTGGGTCGTCCAGAGTATTATGTAAAGTGGCCAGAATAGGATAAATTTCCAAAATACGTATCACAGAATAATTTTGAACGTTTTCATTTGTGCAGGTAAATCCGATAGTTGTATATGGGTCAAACTGTGCTTCCATATGAAACTTGGGTGTCAACGGTTGTCGTACTAGGTACATGTTTTGCGCATCGCATGTAATATACGTGTGCTTAATAACTTCTCTTACGTCTTCATAGGCATGACTGTAAGATAAATCTTCTTCAAACATCCTTGCTTCTTTTATAATATAAACACCATCAAATACGATCTGTGCTGTGGTCATCAGTTCGATCTCTGTGCCTTGCTCGCTTAGCATCACCCTACCATCGTTTGTCATAACTTCAAGACCCACGACATATGAGTTGTCTTCTTTGAAAAGCGACGATCGAATGGAAACATCATCAATTACACGAATATTACTGCCGCCATAAATATTCGATTCATAAGGTTGGAGCTGTGCAATCAAGTTCGCCTTCAAACTTGCAAGCGTCAAGTAGCTATTTAAGTAAATATTTTCTGACTGATCCGGTCTCATCTTAGAACAATCGACTTGATGAGTGGTAAAATTAGTAAAGTCATCAACACAACGTTCAAATTCACGATTTGTATCATCAAGAACATACTTCATGATGGCTTTAAACATTTCCATAAATTCCTTTGGAGTCCAGTCTACATTAAATCGATTGTTCAAACTTTCGTATAGTTCCAATTGTCGAATATGTTCCGCGAATGATGCGAAATTCATAATGCAATCAATGTATAATTCAACATGGTTTGTCACAACTTCCATGTTTTCACATGTAACATTTAAATCATTGGAGAATTCAATAATATCAACATGTGTTTTGCTGCACGATCCCATCACAGCGCAAGGACTGGCCTTGTTCCAGGCTGTCAACAAATGGCTATTCTCTTTACCGGAATGAATCCATGTTGGGTGGATATTGTGGACAACTATTCTGGTGTTTACTCGGTAAGGCATATTGAGCTCATAGCTTGGACAATTGAAAAGACTTAGGACAAATAGGTTATCTATTTCATATATTCCGAATAAAGAGTCGATCACTCGAGTGACTTGGCCTGCAAATGATGCTGATTGCGCCAGATTCACTTTGGGCTGATATACATGTGGCACTTTTTTAATTTCATTCAAGTACTGTGAAGATGTAATTACACAGCATTTTGTCGCAGAGGTAAATGAATACTGATACTGTTCATTGTTTGCCCTCTCTAGTCCTTGAAACGCGTAAGTGTTATTAATCTGAAAGTGGGAGCGGTAAGCGATAAACATATCACCAGAAAAACTGATAAAAATGGATTCATTGTCTTCTTGGTCGATCAGCTCCATAAGGAAAGTTGCAGGTGTATATCGACGAATACGAAGACCTGTAATGGCCTTTACTTTCCCGACAAAATGAGTGGCATTTGCAGAAAGATCTTTATGAGGCATGTAGTACACTTCTCCCTTGAAAGTCGTACGGAACAGTTCATTCTCTTTAACAATGTGGTCGCGAATAATGGAAAGATCGGATCCGTCTTGGTAAGTGTCGTCGGCTCTGAACTCGAGGAATAAGCAGCCATCTTTAATGAAATTCCATTGCTTGATCGATACTACACTTTCATGGAAGTCAGGAGAAAAGCGATCCATGAGACATGCAATGGATTCTCTGGTATTTATGTCAATGAGACGAATGGTGCCTTGTTTAGTATCTTCCCCGAATTCTGTTATAAGAAGCAATTCTCCCGTCAGGGTGTCTCCTGTGGTGATGGAGCTACAACTTGTTGTAGACTGTAGTAATTCGTGAATCGTTATTGCGGTCATAGCTTATCTTTGAACAACAGAAAAGAAAAAGAAAGTAGGTGCTCTCAAGATCAGAAACCGAAAATAAATGGCCCATTTTTATACAAAAATAGTTCGAAACGTTAACTTTTCCAAAGATCCAACGGGTTCTTGGTAATTTTAAAACCGGTTTATTATCTAAAAACAAATATCATACACATATATTTTATTGTTCTATAATATTCAATTATGTTTTTGTTTATTATGTCTTCGTTTTTTTTTTATCATGGTTTTTTTTATTGATACAATAAATTCAACAAGTCTTTATCTTGATACTCAGCAAGTTTTAGAGAGCCGATTGTTCAAATGAGGAGACAGAACTGTATCCAATTGTCGAGTAACTTTCGACAGTTCAATTAACTAATAGAAAGAAAAGCATAAAATGAGCCCTTTTATGTAACATTGTTCTCGTAAAGAAATCATATCGGATATTACCCCATTAGCCAAATTTCTTATTGAAGTTCAATAACTGTGGTCCGCTCCAGTGAATTTTATTAACACACCCATTATAAAGATGGTGTACCGAATATGTCCATACATTCATGCCAAGGTAACACATAAATGGAACAGCAATTGTCAAACTTTGAACTGCAGCCTTTGGATTCAGAAAATATTGGTCGACGCATTAATAACAGCCTTTGGATCAAAAATATATTGGCTGCTGAGTATCACTTCTAAATTTGATATCCAAAGGTCTGAGTAACACCCAGATATGTCTAAAAATTGTAATTTTTAAACCCTGAGCTTTACAAGACCTGACACTAGGTGCTCTCAACTATTTAAGAACAACGTTACAGAGGTACAAACGAAATGAACGAGAGAGAAATATATCTGTTATTATTAAACGGGTATACTGCTAAAGTAGAAGGAAAATGTTTCATCATATTGAAGGACCCCGATAAGTGCCATATTGTATGCGTATACATATAACTTTCATCTAAAGTCACTTCATCCAAAAGACTAATCTGCTTGAGCTTGCACTTAAAAATTGAACGATTGGGTTTTAACCAAATAACTATTGCCTTCTTTTTAAGCCTATTTTGATAAGCACAAACGAGCAAAACTTGATAATGCTGTTATTCAACCATGAGGAGGGCGAGGGGTAGCAACCCCAACCCCCTTTAGATGTGCTGCGTTATAAAGAGTAAATTAAATAACACTACCTCGTCATGAACGACATACTTATTGGTAACAAATGTATAAGTGGATAAATATATCGAAAAGAATAGATATGGATGCACCAGACTTCCTTCCTTACCTGACATCCTGAAAAGGTAACCTGTTTTTTTTGTCAAACTACAAACAAAAGACCTAAAAAAGCTCAGACAAGTATATGGCATTTACAGTTTTACTTGAAATAAATTTTTATTTTATTGTATGTATTGGGGATATCTGGAATTAGCTACCTATTGATTTCAAACAATTTTTATTTTACTTTAAATGACACAATTATTTTCCATGTTCCGTGGATATTATGGACAAATATTCTGGTGTTTATTCGGTAAGGGATATTTAGCGAATAGCTTGGACAGTTAAAGAGACTAACAACAAATAGGTTATCTATTTCATATATTCCGAGTAAAGAATTGATCACTTGAGTGACTTGACCTCCATATGTTACTGATTGCGTCAAATTCACATTGGGCTGATATGCATGCGACACTTTTATGATTTCATTCAAGTACTGTGAATATGTCATTACACAGCATTCTGTCGCAGAGGTAAATGAATACTGATACTGTTCATTGTTTGCCCTCTCTAGTCCTTGAAACGCGTAAGTGCTATTAATCTGAAAGTGGGAGCGGTAAGCGATAAACACATCATCAGAAAAACTGATCAATATAGATTCATTATCTTCTTTGTCAACTAGCTCCACAATGAAAGCGGCAGGTTAATAGTGACGAATGCAAGGACCTAAAATGGCCTTTACTTTTCCCATATTATTAATCGTTTTTAGAGGAAGATGTTGATGTGGTATGTGGTACACTTTTGCCTTGAAAGTCGTACAGAACAGTTCGTTCTCTCTAACAATATGATCTCGAATAATGGAGAGACTGGATCCGATTCGGTATATGTCGTCGGCCCTGAACTCGAGAAACAAGCAGCCATCTTGAATGAAATTATAATGCTCGATTGATACTAAACTTGCATGGAAGTCAGGAGAAAAGCGATCCATGAGACATGCAATCGATTCTCTAGTATTTCGGTCAATGAGATAAATGGTGCCTTGTTTGACCGAATTCTGTTATAAGTAACAATTCCCCCGTCAGAGTTGCTTTAGTGGCGATAGAGCTACAACTTGTTGTAGACTGTAGTAATCAGTGGATCGTTATTGTGGTCATGGATTATTTCTGGATGATAAAAAGGAAAAAGGAAAAAGGAAAAAGGAAAAAGGAAAAAGAAAAAAGAAAGTATCAGGCCTTGTAAAATTAGTTGGAAGGTGGTCAGACAAAGATAAATTGACCACAGATTAATTATTAGATTAAATCTAGAAAAGCATTTACACTAAATATTCTAGATAAACCGTTTGTATAATATATCTTGCAAAGTTACAAAAATAGTAATTGGCGTTTGTCTTAAACTAATGATAGGGGGGGTTCATCAACTATTTCTCATTCTCATAATATGTTGAGGAAAGAAGTTGTTTTCGATTGTGCGTTATACTTTGAATGTCCGAAGCTGGACTCACAAAACTTCACTACCAAAGTTTTTTTGTTTATTTCTAAAAATAAAAATGACCTTTGTGTAAGGACCATTTCGGTTTACTTTTTATAAAATTCATCACTCTTAGAATTTTCAAGAGGGCTAAGCTAGTACCAGAAGTAGAGGCACGTCTGTCTTCTAACGGTAATGTTGTACCTGGAATGTACATTCGGTTCAGACCCAGAAGAGAGATCAACTGCGTAGTGTTAGGCCCGCGTATTGATGATCAAAAAGAAAACTGGAAAGATTTAAATCCTTACAAGTTCCAACCAATACAAATTGTCTTTTTGCCTTAGTAATGGATTAAATTCCATTCCCGCAAACTATGGTCGTGGTGGCACTAAATCACCTCAAGGAGGTGACAAAGGAGCCTGACTTTTAGGTGGTACCAGTGTCAGATACGTTTTAGTAGTATGCATGTTTACAATCTTTGCTGCGTAATTCAGTGGAAAAAGAGCCTGACTTTTCGGTGCTCCATATTTACAATCCTTGCTGCGTAATTCATTGGACTTTTTGGTGTGCATATTTACAATCCTTGCTGCGTAATTTCAGACTTAACGTATTTGTGACACCATATTTTTTTTAGATTTAACCTGATATGTCCATTTATTAGGTAATCAATGCGAAAGAAAAAGGGGTAAAAAATCTATTGAGGGCTTTGATGGTAACTGGAACAGACATGCTTTTGCATACAATTTGATGGTTACTAGAAGATCTTCCTCTGTGGTTTACCTGCCCAAGATTTACTCATGATGTCTGATATACCCGTACTGTTTATTTTCTCACGTTCTACTAATAAGGACTTGGAAGGGGATGTGCTGTAGGGCAATCATTGACTCACAATGACCTGAGATACAATATTTTTCAAAGCCACCCAATTTTTTTTGAATAAAAGAAATTTAGCTCGCTTAGTGGTGTTTCCCTTCATTCTTTTTTTGAACAAATATAATGGCTTCTGCTGAGAATTTTGACAGAGCTGCTCTCGAGGTAAAAAAAAAAAAAAAAAAAGGAGAGAAAAATGTCCCTGTCAACTCAATAGCTAAGTTTTTTTTTGTACTTAGCAACTCATCACCAAGCGTTTCTTTTACGCGCCTTCTTTCCAAATTTATGGTGGTAAAGTATTACAATTGAAATAAACGGGACCTGGCAAGGTATTAACTTCTGACGTAGGTGTTGCCGGTCTTTACGATTTCGGACCTTCTGGATGTGCACTTTTCAACAACATCGTTTCCGTTTGGCGTAACCATTTCGTCTTGGAGGAAGAGATGCTCGAAGTCGATACTTCTATTATGACCACCTACGATGTTCTTAAGACCTCTGGTCACGTCGATAAATTTTCTGATTACATGTGTAAGGATTTAAAGAATGGTGAAATTTTCAGAGCTGATCACGTCATTGAGGCTGTCTTAGAGGCACGTCTCCAAGGTGATAAGGAAGCCAGATCCGCCAAGGCTGGCAAGACCACTGAAGAAATCGCTGCTGATACTGCTGCCGATGCTGCTAACAAGGTCGATAAAAAGAAGAAGAAGAAGAAGGGTGTTGTTGTTGCTGTCGAGTTAGCCGATGACGTTCGTCAATCTTATGAAGAATGTTTAGCCCAAATCGATAACTTTGATGGTGATGAATTAACCGCTATCATGAAGAAGTTCGAAATCCGTTCTCCTGAATCCGGTAACGAACTTTCTGACCCCAAGGCATTCAATTTGATGTTCGAGTCTTTGATTGGTCCTACTGGTCAACTTAAGGGTTTCTTGAGACCTGAAACTGCTCAAGGTCAATTCCTTAACTTCAAGAAGCTTTTGGAATTTAACAATGATAAGATGCCTTTTGCTTCTGCTCAAGTTGGTCGTTCTTTCCGTAACGAAATTTCTCCTCGTTCCGGTCTTTTACGTGTCCGGTAAGTTAATGAGAATGTGGAAAGCAGGAAAGATACTAACGTCTTGCCTACAGTGAATTCACCATGGCCGAAATCGAACATTACGTCGATCCTGATAACAAGGACCATCCCAGATTCAATGAAGTAAAGGATATTGTCTTGACTATCTTGGCCAAGGATGTGCAATTGAGCGGTAAGACCACTACCAGCCAAATCACCGTTGGTGAGGCTGTCGCTAAAAAGATCATTGATAACGAAACTCTTGGTTACTTCATTGCTCGTATCCACCTCTTTTTGGCAAAGATTGGTATCAAGAATGACCGTCTTCGTTTCCGTCAACATATGGACAACGAAATGGCTCATTATGCCGCTGATTGTTGGGATGCTGAAATCAAGACCAGTTACGTAAGTATAGAATGGAGAGAGAGAAAAAGAAACTTCAAAAGAGTCTGGAAGACTGATTACATGCTATAGGGTTGGATTGAATGTGTCGGTTGTGCCGATCGTTCTGCTTATGATTTGACTGTCCACTCCAAGCGTACTGGTGAAAAGTTGATTGTTCGTGAGCAATTAGCTGAACCCCGTACCGTTGAGCTCTGGCAAGTTGAGATCAACAAGAAGACCTTTGGACCCAAGTACAAGAAGGAAGCCAAGGCTGTCGAAGAAGCTCTTTTGGCTCTTTCCGACGATCAATATGCCGCTCTTGCTCAAGAATTAGAATCCAACGGTGTTGGATCTGTTCAAGTGAATGGTGCCGCTGTTGAGGTTGGCAAGGAAAATGTTACTGTCAAGAAGGGTACTGTTACCGAACATGTCCGTGAATACACTCCCAGTGTTATTGAGCCTTCTTTCGGTATCGGTCGTATTCTTTACTCTCTTTTGGAACACAGCTGGTGGGTTCGTGAAGATGACGAGGCTCGTAACGTCCTTTCTTTCCCTACCATTGTTGCTCCCTTCAAGTGTTGTCTTTTACCTCTTTCTGGTAACGAGCAATTTGTTCCCTTTGTCCGCAAGTTCTCTCGTGAGCTTCGTGCTGCTGGTATTTCTCTCCGTACTGACGATTCTAAGGCTTCTATCGGTCGTAGATATGCCCGTAACGATGAGCTCGGTATTCCTTTTGCCATTACCATCGATTTTGATACTGTTCAAGATGGAACCGTCACTCTCCGTCAACGTGACTCCACTGAGCAAGTTCGTGACTCTTTCGAAAACATTTTGAAGATTCTTAAAGAATCCAACTAATTTTACATATCTACATACACGTTCCTCTCTTTTTAAACAATTCAAAAATAAATTTTTATATATTATTTCGCGCATTTTTGAAAAAAAAAAAAAAAAAGAAAAAAGAAAGAAAAGGCCTCTATTGATGGCACTCATAACAAAGCGTAGTTTTCCTGTGTAAGTATTAGCCAAATGCATGTATTTTTCTTTCGATGAGTGAGTTGATAAATAATTTTGGAAAATAGTGTAAACAAAGTGCATTTAATTACTTTTCATGATTAAATAAATAAAAAAAAAAATATGTATAATACTAGAAATGAGTTAAATTATATTCAAAGAAAAAAAAAAGGGTGGGGGATGTAGAAATGATTTTTTTGGTGGGTGATTTTTTTAAGCTGGCGTGTACATGTGTCCTCTCTTTTTCTTTTTCTTTTGTCTTTATGCGTAAGGATTAGCAGCGAATACTCGGATCAAAGGAGGGGTTCTGACCATTTCGATGGTGAGCATGACTCTAATCTTATCCAAGGCTTTAATCGTCTGCGAAGATTGTTCAGAGCTATATCCAGTACTGGCAGATAAACGAGAGCTGATGATGGAAGCTCTCTTGACAGCAGATTTTCTGGATGTAGAGACAGAAGAAGTAGGCACGATACCTGCATTTGCAGCAGCAATGGCAATGGCTTCAAATTGTTTGTTGTTTTCCAAAGAAACATTGCTACTGTTACTGCTACTACTGGATTGTGAGTTTTCAGGATATGCAGATAATAATTCCTCTTCCTCGTATTCATCATCAGATAAACTCCATTGTTGTTGTAATCCAGTGGAAGGAATCACACCTTGTTTCCAATACATGGTCAATGCACGGGCCTTAGGATCATATGTATGACGCAAAAGAGGTAAGTTGGGCAGATGAATACGTCTTTCGATGCCGAATTCGGGTATGGAGACATCGAATGCATCTTGCATGATAGCAATGATACGGGCTTCACTGTACACAGTGGTAGTGACTTGAGTGCCGGTTACTACGGCTTGATGATTTTGCTGTTGCTGAATATCTTGTTTGCGAACAAGGTACAAGGCCAATGATAACAATTGACTTTGTTCACGAGCAGCCAAACTAGCTTCCTTCTTGACATTACAGTGTTGAGCAAGCTTTTGGACGGTATCGCGGTCCAAATAAAAGTGTTTCTCTATAATCACGAAACAATAAAAAATTAATATAGGCACCCCCCCCCTTGATTTTAATATAAATATTACCATTGGCTAATGTAGATTCCAATTGACGGTGAGTGACAATATCGGCATATCGACGAATAGGCGAAGTGAAATGTGTGAAGAGAGGGACGCCAGTAGCGAAATGGGAATATTTCAAAATATCAAATGTACCGGTACAAAAGTATTTTGGAGGTTGAATTGTCTTTAATACCAAAACGGATACTAACTGACGTAATTCAACATCATGGATATCTTGAATAGATTCTTGGATAGAAATTGCGTTGGTGATGTTTAATTTAACACTTAAATAACGTAAAGCATAATCTCTCAAATCGTGCTTAACAAATTAAAAAAAAAGTTACTATCGCGATGTTAAAATAGCATAAGTAAGACTTACAATCTTCTTGGTATTGGGAGGAGCTTGACGACGCAATAATGCTTGTTCTGGGTATTGACTAGATATTTTTTGAGCAACACATTTGTTTGCCAAAAAGGCGAATTCCTTGACGATCTTGACAATGTCGGGTCTAGAATTAAGAATGGTTGCGGTGGTAGGTTGGTTAGGATCATCGAATTCCAATTGTTGTTTGGTTAAAGACATGGCTTCCTTGGTATAACGTGATGCGTGAAGGTATTTAGAAATTTCAAATAACATACGAACATCGTTTTTGATCGCTTCGCTTTGTTGATTTTCATCAAATCCGTCTACTATCTTTTGTGCCTCATCGAACGTGAGTTGCGCACAGGATCTATTTTTATAAATAAGATTAGCAATAGCCTATAAATGGTTACATTCTATTTAAGGGTCCCTTACTTGACAACAGTTTTTCCGAACCAAGTATCCAAAAGCATACCATCCGAGCTGAGTTTCCAAATAATCGAGAACGCAGGTCTTTTTTTTTTTAAAAAAAAAAGAGAGGCGTTAGTAAACACTTCAATTTTTTTTTTTTTTTAATTATCACTTACTTCAATTCGTTCAAGTTAAAGTTTGCAACATTGGACAGTTCGGTAGGCAACATGGGTACATCCTTTTGATCGAGATGAACATGGACAGCTCTGGCTCTGGCTTCTTTGTCCAAAGGTGAGTGAGGTTTGATAAAGTAGGCAATATCAGCAACGTGAACACCAACTTCGTAAGTATCATCACCCAATTTAATAATAGACAAACCATCTTCGAATATAGTGCTGCCAGTAGGATCAATGGTGATCATACGATGGTCGTTTTCCAAAGTCAAGTCTCGGCGGCTTCCATCACCAGGGGGAGTGAACTTGAAAGGACTGGGAGGAACGCATTCCATGACAGCATCATTGAAGGGAGCGTCAGAAACGTTAGAGTCGGCTAAAATAGCCTTGATTTGTACATCCAAATCAGTAATAGCACCCAATTCTCTTTCCAATGTACCAAAGGGGTGAAGAGAAGTAATGGGCCAACGCTTGATAGAACCAACAAAGAGACGGTTGGTATAGGCCTCATTATGATCAATAAAATCTTGAGGCACTTGTTCAATAGGGATAGCGATTAAAGGTACACGTTTATCAGTGGCCTTGAACCAAACGATTCTAGGAACTTCCTTCTTCACATTTCCTTCCCCATCTTCTTGCTGTTGTTGTAACGCAGCACGCTTGTTGTTAGGTCTTGACAAAGTCAATGTACCTGAGAACACTTGATTTTGAGCACGTTCAAGGATAGCTACGACAACACCAGCGTATTTGGGCTTGAGGGTATCGATTTCCTCATCACCGCCAAAAATAATTTCGTTCTCATCTTCCTCATCGGGCAAGCGAGTCTTGTTTTGGCCATTGTTTCGGGCCAATTTAGCATCTTCTTTTTCCTGCTTTTCGCGAATAACTTTCTCAACATTAACAAGACGGATAGCTACGGTGTCACCTTCTAAAGCACGGTTACGATCACGAGAGCCGCAAATGTAAATGTCACCACCATCCAACTCATCACACGCAACATAGGCATCACTACGATTACGCTTGTTTACACGAAGAATACCACGTACTAATTGTCTTGCTCTAAACAACGGAGTTAAGGCCGAGAATGGCAAATGAGCAATGAAAAGAGGTCGACGTTGATGAGGGTTGGCATCATCACGAGAGAAATTGACTCGAGTAGGTGTGAAAGGAACAAGCGAAAATGATGATCTGTTACTGTTGTTACCGTTGTTACCATTATTTGTGGAAGATGCGGTACCTATAACAAATAAAACATTAATACGTTTCATTTCTTTCTTCCCCTTTACCCCCCACATGATTGCTATAATTTACTATTTCTCCATTCATCGAAATTACGAGAAGAACGACGATTCATTTGTTTTCTGTTATCGAGATTGCCATTGCTAAGAGATAAGCTCAAAGATTTACTATTCATTGATGTTCTTTTGTTATCCATGAATGATTCGCCGTTTTCGTTTAACACAGGCATTTGTTGAAGAGAGGTACGCTTTTTGATGTAATTGTTATTGTCGTCATTTGTACGTCTGAAGGTACCCATCAATTTAGCCTCGGCTTCAGCCAAAGCAGCCTCTCTTGATGATAAAGAAATATTTTCATCGCTAGGACGTCTCTCCAGCTTTGAGGGAGAGGGAGTGGTGATGGGAGGTAAAGTCTTGAGAGTATTGATCATATCCTGCAAAGAGTCTACCGTCATTTCTTCCTTGAGCGTGTGTAAACCAACAAAACTACGGCGATTCTTGTTGTTGTTACTATGGTTGTTGTTTAATAAAGAATTGGTAGATTTGGATGAGGATACAACAATTTCAGAGTTTCTTTGATGACGTGGTGTAGGCATCATAGAGACAGGTTGTCTGTTTCGCCCAGTATCGAACTGATTAGAACTAAGACCGTGAAATGTACGACGCTTGTCTGACAAATTTCTTGAAATAGAAATCTATTTTGTTTTCATGTCAGTAACAAGATTTTTTTTTCTTTTTTTTTTTTTTTTTTTTTGTCCTCATCTTACCTCGGGAGGATCAAACAAACCTCGAGTACTCTCGGGTGCAGTTTGTTGTTCTAATGTCTCATGATTCATTGAATTGGTTTTTTAGTGAAAGGACCCTTTTTGTTTATTAGGTACCGAAAAGAAAGTAAAGAAAAAGGGTAATAACAAGAAGTGAAAAAAAAAAGAACGGAGAGGGTAAATAGAAAAAGAAGAAGTCGGTTTGTGTTGGTGTATTATGTGGTGGTTTTGTTTAATTCATATTCGTTCGCCGTCCTAATCTCATGTTACATTGTTTGCCACAGTTAAATTGGATTTCTCATTTGGTTGGTGATAAAAGTATTTGAAACCCTTTTACTCCGAAGGCATTTTTCAAGTGTTTGGGGTTCATCTTGCTCAAAAGAGATGGATATTGTATCTATATTTCTTTCCCTTTTTAAACTTTTAAATTGTCTTAAAACCTGAATCATCTCCGATAATTATTGACAGACCATCTTTTTTTTAATGTGCTCGCTAAAGCAAATATTAAAAAAAAGCCTCTTTCCCATTCTTGTACTATGTCCATTCTATTCCAGTAGCGCATACATACTTTTGGGTCCTGTTGTTAAATGCGTAACGATGGAAAACATAATTACCAGTGCCAATGAAAATAAGGTTACTGTAGTACCTTTTTTTTAAAAAAAAATGCGCCTAATGATCAATAGCCTGTGCATATCAATCAAGTGATTTTTTACAGTTTATGTATACTTTATCAATGTTCTACTCCACTTCTTGAGTAAATATAGAATATACCGTTGTCTATGATACCAGTAACGAACTCCTTTCCCTCCATTCCTTTTTTTTTTTTTTTTTTTGAAAAAATACTAAATACATGTTACATGTAACACACAAATCTTATTGTTGGCTGGGAAATAATGGCAAAACAAAAGCTGTACACACTACTTCAAAGCAGTTAATGATATATAAAAAAGGTCCTGCTAAATTTTAAATTTTATTCCATGCTGTTGGTCTTTTTTTTTTATGCTCCCTCATCCAGATCAATATGGCTAGTCTCAGATGTCAATAATTATGATCGGTTATCTGTGTTTGTGCGCATTAACTTTAACTAATTTTAAACCCCTTAATAGACTACACTGCTTGTAAATATTAACATGCTCAAAGATAACCAATTTTTTTGCTTTTAATTATAAATTTCTTTTCACTTTTTGATATACATCTCATTCTGTGCCACAGATAGTGGGGTTAGGCCTGATTTGTCTCCGCCAAATGGTTTTATATTATTTTCAGGAACTGTTTTATTCAGTAACAGTCCCACTTTATTAATTTGTAAAACATGGCTGAACCACCTCATTCATGGTAACATGAACTTTTTATTGTGCATAATGCCCAGATTGGATGTACGTAAAGCACTTATCAAATCGTTCTACGGGTCAGCGTGACTTGCGAAAAACGCGTTGTGAAGTTTTTTTTGTGACCAATTGTCAATATCAGGTTTTAACCTCAGTTTTTTTCGCGTTTTCAGTATAATTTTTTTTTTCTTCTTACTGAAAACAAAAACACACATATTTTTTAGAAAAAAAACGATGACAGATCTTGCTAGTGATCAACTCATGAGCGGCATGCTCGACTCCCAAGCTCAAGGTTTACCTTCTGACATTCCTCCTACACCTGCCGGAGGTATGGAGGTAGACGAAGACCCCCGTGCCACACGTAGACCTGGTTTTGAACCTGACAATATCCCTCGAGTCATTGATGAAACTGCCATGGCCGTAATGGAAACCTTTGAAAAGTTTTTAGAAACGTAAAGCAAAAGAAAAGATACCAACAGTGTCAATAAGAAAATATTAACTCTTGACAATATATAGTTACAAAGATCCCCAATCTCAATATGTCGCCAACAGTACCTCTAGTTGGTTCGGCTTCCCTTACATGATGCAACTTGAGAACTTCAAGTATTCAGAAATCGACACAATCTTTGTCGATTTTACACACATTGAGTCGACCGAAGTTCCTTTAGCTACTGCAGTAAAAGAACAATACTACCGGTAAGAAATAAGGACATGGGGGTTTTTTTTTTATGATTGAGCGATTAACCTCACAATGCCTCAAAAATACTTCAGTTTCCTTCCTTATCTTCGTCGTGCTGTTCACAACACTGTTCGTACACATTTCCCCGATAGTCTTTATGTTAATGCACCTGCTTTTGGAGTACAAGGAGGCACCTATCGAGATTTCACTGTCGCTTTTTACGGTTTGGAGGAAAAGAACCGAGTTCGTCAATTGAAGACAGATAAGATTGGTCACCTTCTTAGTGTTAGCGGTACAGTGACACGTACTACTGAAGTACGTCCTGAATTAGTCTACGCATCATTTACCTGTAACGAATGTGGAAAGATCATCACCGACGTCGAGCAAGAATTTAGATATACCGAGCCCACCATGTGTCAAGGCGCCACCTGTTACAACCGTTCTCATTGGACTTTGAACGTTGAGCAATCCAAATTTGTGGATTGGCAAAGAGTCAGAATCCAAGAAAACGCAAACGAAATTCCTACGGGTAGTATGCCCAGAAGTATGGATGTCATTGTTCGTAATGAAATGGTAGAGCGTGCCAAGGCTGGTGATAAATGTGTCTTTACCGGTACCTTGATTGTCGTGCCTGATGTTTCTGCTTTCAGAACCCCTGGTACTTCGGTTGAAACTCAAAGAGACACCTCCGTACGCTCAAGTGAAGGCATGAGCGAAGGTGTCTCTGGTCTCAAGGCCTTAGGTGTGCGTGATTTAACTTACAAACTCTCATTCTTGTCTTGTATGGTTCAACCTGCTACACATAACAAGGCTACCGGATCCAATCTTCACGGTGAAGACACAACAGATGAAGATCCAAGAGATGTTTACAACGATTTCTCTGAACAAGAGATCAAAGAACTTCATGATATGGTCAATTTAAGAGGCGCTGTCTACGGTAAATTAGTGAACAGTATCGCTCCTACAGTGTTTGGTCATGATACTGTCAAGAAGGGTATTTTGTTACAGATGATGGGCGGTGTGCATAAGGTCACTCCCGAAGGCATGAACCTTCGTGGTGATATCAATGTCTGTATTGTTGGTGATCCATCCACTAGTAAATCTCAATTTTTGAAATATGTTTGCAGTATCATGCCCAGAGCTGTTTATACATCTGGTAAGGCTTCCAGTGCTGCTGGTTTAACTGCGTCGGTTATCAAGGATGAAGAAACAGGTGAATTCTCCATCGAAGCTGGTGCTCTTATGTTGGCTGATAACGTACGTGCTCTTCGCGCGCAAAAAAAGAAAAAAAGCATACGCGTATATTAATGTTTTACTTTTTTCTTATCTTATAGGGTATTTGTGCTATCGATGAGTTTGACAAGATGGATATTAAGGATCAAGTCGCTATTCACGAAGCTATGGAACAACAAACGATTTCTATTGCCAAGGCTGGTATTCAAGCCAGTTTGAACGCCCGTACCAGTATTCTTGCAGCCGCCAATCCTGTCAGTGGTCGTTACAACAAAAAGATGACATTAAAACAAAACATCAATATGTCTGCACCCATTATGTCTCGTTTCGATTTATTCTTTGTAGTCTTGGATGAATGTAATGAAGTGACAGATTATAATATTGGTCGCCATATCGTCAGCACACATCGTCTGAAGGACGATTTCATGCAACCTGAATTTTCTACTGAGCAAATTCAAAATTATATTAGATACGCAAGAACCTTTAAGCCTAAGGTAAGGGGAATAATAGGGGATACGAAAAAAAAAGCGCGATAAAAAAAGAAAGGAATAAAAATACTAATATCACTATTTCAGATGACTCCCGCTGCTGCTGCTAAATTAGCTGATTGTTATAGAGATTTGAGACAAGGAGATTCCCAAGGTGTTGGTAGAAACTCATATCGTATCACAGTCAGACAATTAGAAAGTATGGTCCGTCTTTCTGAAGCGATTGCCAGAGTTAATTGTCGTGAAGAGGTAAAATAAATTTTGTTTTTTAGGATATATGGGTCACTAAACTGCTTTTTTTTTAATTTAGATTACAGAAGCCTACGTTGGTGAGGCATTCAATTTACTCCAAAAATCTATTATTCGCGTTGAAGAGGATGATGTTGATATTGACGATCAAATGAACGATCAAGATGATGAAGTCATGAGAAACACAGAGGCACTCAACGGTATGTCATTGAACGAAGCAGAACAAGAACAACAACAGCAACATCAACAACAACCTGACGATAGTACCGAATCTGGTTCTCAAAGAATAACCATTCAATATGATAAATTCAACGAGATTATGCTTATGTTAGCGCATAGACTTCGTTTGAACCAGAAAGAATCCGAAGATGGTAAGGGCCCTAAAAATTATATGTTCAGGGGATTTTGAGGGTTATATTTTTTTTTTTATTTAACGTGTCGTTCCCGTTGTAGATCCTGGAATGCGTCTCAGTGAATTGGTTGTGTGGTATCTTGAACAAATTGAGTCTGATATCTCAGCGGATCAACTCGATTATGAGCATACTGTTGTGGAGAAGGTTATCAAGAAACTTCTTAAGACTGTAAGTTTATGTTTAACAGGTACATCTTCTTATTTACTAACACAATATTCGTAGGGTGAGACTTTGATTGAAATTAGACAAGACGATAACGAGGGTGAAATTGATGAGCACGACCCAATTCTTATGCTCCATCCTAACTGCGTGCTTCCTGACGAAGAGTAATCGAATGACTCGGTTTCTTTTTTTTAATTTCTGTTTAGTCCCTTCGTTATATTTTTTTTTTTTTTACAAGTATAAATATTATTAATTTCTGCATTTCCCAAGGGATGAAAAAAAAAACTGGAAAGGGGTGGGGGGAGAGTCACTAAAGAATTACGCTATTTACTGTTAAATTTTTGCAAATGTCAAATTCCGAAAGGGGAACTTTTTTGATTGAGGATCTTCCTTTGCATTTTTAATATATCGTATAGCTTTAATTATGAAAGGGCAAAAATCATATAAATACAAGACCATCTTGACATTTTTTTTTTTTTTTTATTATCTTCATCTATCAAGTTCTCATCTTACCAACTCATCTCTTCTCTTTTTCATTCATATTTAAATCATCTTTATTTCAATGGTCAACTCAATCTTCCTCGCTTCTGTTGTGATCGCATGTGTTGCTTCTGTTTCTGCTGTCCCCATACCTGGTGGAAGTATTGTTGATATCTTCGCTGATAACACTATCGGTGTCGACAACTTGGAGGGTGATGATATTCTCACTGAAGCTATCAATCTTGACGATCTTGAAGTCAAAGGTAATTCTATCACTTTTTATATATTATCCATCTTACTAATTGTATGATCTTTAAGATGTTGCCCAAGATGTCGATGTTCTCAGTGATGATAACGATGACTTCGACTGGCGCAACAGAGGATTCAACCGTGGTGACCGTGGTAACGATGGCGGTAATGGTAACGGTGGCAATGGTGGTGGTCGTGGTCCTATCAACCGTCCCGATCGCCCTGGTCGTGGTGGTAATGGTAACGGTGGCAACGGTAACGGTGGCAATGGCGGCGGTAACCATGGTAGCGGTTGCGGCTGTGGATGCAAGCGAGACGGTGGTCTTTGTAAGTTGATTCGTTTATAATTTAAAGTACTTTAGACTAATGACTATCGTTATCATCTAGTGTCCGGTTTATTAAAGCGTCATGAAGATAAAGACTCCAAGGTCAAGCAGGCTGGAAAGGAACACAAGCACGATAAGGCTCACAAGAATTAAATCATTCTCTTTTTCATTTTAATTTTCTTCATTAGTTATTATTTCTCATCATCAAAACCATTTTATATTTTAAAATGATTGTCTTAATTTTTTTTTGCTCATTTAACTATTCTTACTGTTATTCATATTATTCCTTTTTTTTTTTCTACATCGAATAAATTCATAATCATCTAAACCTACAATATATTTTTTGTTTCTACCTAATAAGATTTACGAAACGATTTTAGCGCGCGCGCATAAATTTTTTTTGACATTAAATAAAAAAAAAATATTTATCCCTGTTTTTTATTCTTATCGGCTTTCATAAATCCCCTAGAAATGAAGGAGATTTCTATCTTCACATTATAAGAAAATACGAATTTTTGGACACAGACACACTGACATAAATAAGAAATGCTTTTGGTAGTAATACGGTTTACTATGGATAGAAATATCAGAGTACTTTTGAAGTTTTAGTGAAATCCTTTTGTGATTTTCTCAATACGAAATGTTATTGTCTGTCATTAACACTTTTTTTTTCTAATATATTATGTTATGGGATCTACTCGGTATTACACAATGATTTGTCTATTTAAGAAATTGTGTAGTAAATATTTATATCGATTTATGCACGCAATTATCAATCAAGCATTTTTTTAGACTGACGATGGAAATACTTCTGTATTATAAGAGAACAAATTTTACTTGATAATAGAAATCGTTCCTTTTGCATTCTTCAGAGGCGAACCCCATTTCCATGCAAAGTTATACAATGGTTAAATTACTTGCAATCAGTCTATAATGTAGTATTTTCTACTATTCCTTCCATGGTGATTATTAAGGGTCTTCTTACCTTAAGTGTGCCTTACAAGATGCAATATGCAGCTCATCCGACGAATTATCCGTGCGCGCAACTTCAAATCGTCAAATTCCAAAAGGGGTGGTAAAAGGAATCCGACGATCCTTTTTATTAAAAAGTGCCCCCCTTTTTAACAAATACCTTGCAAAAATTCAATTAATCTGTTAGGACAGAAAAAAAAAAAAAATAGGCCACGATTAATAGTATAAATACAAAGACAAGTTGACCATTTCCTTATTTTTATTTTCATTCAATAAATACATTCAAATTTGCTTAACCATGGTTCGTTCTATTATTCTCATTGCTGCTCTCTTCGTTGCTGCTGTCTCGGCTGCTCCTAGTCCTGATCCTCTTGTTGGTGCCAAAGCTAAAAATATCGGTCTTCACGATATTTTCCTTAATCGTTTGGGTAGACATTTAGTCAGCGCCAAGAGACTTAAAGCCCACGGTAAGCTCAATACTGAGAATAGCGCACCTCTTCTAATCCCCCACATCTTTTTTTTTTAAATATATGTAGATATCGTTCAAGGTGTCAATGTTGGTGGCGAAAACGGTGGCGGTGAGTTTGTATATCACTAAATACTATAAACATCAAACTAACTAATGTCCAATTTCTATAGTGTTAAAGCGTGATGAAACACCTACTGTTACAATTGCCAAGCAGGCTGGTACAAAGGGATTCAGAAGAAATGCAAAAAACAAGGGTGCCGCTAAGGGTGCCAGAAACTAGGGATATTATTATTTTTATAATCTTTATTGTATATTCTTATAATATTTCTCATCCTTCATTCATTGATCGTTGTTCTTAAACTCTTTCTCTCACATCATTTAATAAACCTACATTAATAATTTATACTTTGTTTTTTTAAAATAGACAAGCTGTTATATATGTATATATAATTTTTTTTTATTTATTTTTTTTACTTTATTTGATATTTTTAAATGTATAAAAGGCAAAAAAGACATGTAATTTAATTCCACATGAGATACTACAGGAAAGAAAAATAGTGTTAGTAAAATACGACATAATCACACATAAATAGAACACGTACCTTGGGAGTACTGGAAAACTTTTGATAACCCTTGATAACCTTATTAACAGATTCCAAAAAGTCCTTTTCGGTGGCAACCTTTCTTCTTGCACGAATGGCAAACATACCAGCTTCAGTACACACACTTCTTAATTCGGCACCAGTTGCGTTGGGACATAATCTTGCGATCAACTCATAACGAATATCACGATCTACACTCATGCTCTTTGCATGAATCTTCATGATGTGGGCACGACCTTCTAAGTCAGGCAAACCAAACTCAACACGACGATCCAAACGACCAGGTCTTAAAAGAGCAGGATCTAAGGTATCAGGTCTGTTTGTGGCCATTAACACCTTAATATTACCTCTAGGATCAAAACCATCCAACTGATTAATCAATTCTAACATAGTACGTTGAACTTCGTTATCTCCACCTGCACCATCATCGAATCTGGCACCACCAATAGCATCAACTTCATCAAAAAAGATAATACATGCCTTCTTTGTACGAGCCATTTCAAATAATTCACGTACCATACGGGCACCTTCACCAACATACTTTTGAACAAGTTCGGAACCAATGACACGAATAAATGTAGCATCTGTTCTGTTGGCAACAGCACGAGCACAAAGAGTTTTACCAGTACCGGGAGGACCGTAAAGTAAAACACCTTTTGGTGGATCGATACCAAGGTTGACAAATCTCTCGGGTTGTAAAAGAGGTAATTCTACGACTTCGCAAAGACGCTCAATTTGTTCTTTGCAACCACCAATATCACTATAAGTAACATCAGGCTTTTCCTCAACCTGCATCATGGTGACTGAAGGATCAATCTTGGGTGGTAAAGGAATTTGAATTTGATACTTTGTACGGTCGACACTAAAGAATTGAATAGAACTTGTGAATAAATAAGGAAAAGGATGGGTCTCTCTTTATCTTTACCCAACACGCATGCCTTCTTCGATATCTGTAGGAGAGACATGTCTAACCAACTCAACAACAAACTTTGCGATTTGCTTAACATTAATAACGTATTTTGGATCTTCGTTGTTCTCTCCTTGAATGATCTTTGTACAACGAGCCACTTGTAAAGGCTGTTCTTCCTGCATTCTTTGTTTATCGGCAGGAATATCCCATAAATTGGGAGCAGCAAGACCTGTATCAGATTCCTTGACACCTAATTTCAACACATCAGTTTCTCACTTTTTTTTTTTTGCATAAATTATATCAAAATATCAAAATATTTGAATTCTCCCAATAATTACCAATATGTTCATTGACACGTTTTTGAATGTCCTTGATATCTTGTTCTAAAGACTTTAATTCTTTGGTGTAAGGACCTTGACCCTATAGGAAAAGGTAAGTATTTCCATATTCTAGAATTTCTAAAGGGGAGGTGTTGTTGTGCATGTTGGTATTTACATAGGTGGTTAAAAGTTTAATATCTCCTTCATCCAAAGCTAAGTAAAAGAAAAAGAGAAACGATGAGTAATTGGATTCTCTTGTATACACAACTACATATTTATTTACCAACAATCTTCTCGTCCTTTTCTTTATCTTCAACATTCTTGTCGTCTGAAAAAAACAGTGTTTTAGTTGGTTTGCGTCTTCCTTTTTTTTCAGTTTAGTTACTTTACATTTTTCCCAGTTCTCTTTAGGTGGCATATTGGGTTTTCTGTCGGTTTTTATAAAAGGTGTAGAAAGAGAAAACAAGTGCCCTCAAAAAAAAAAAAGTAACTTACGTGTCGCGAGTTTGTATCAATCTCCGCTGTTTTGGTAAGAAAGTTACGTCACTATAAAGCCGTAAGAGACTGCTTTTGAAGTTTGTAGGATTCTTGAGTGTTCCATCCTTACATAATTACAAAGTTAGACTTTTATGGCCTCCTCAGTAAGCAACATCGATAATTGTAACCACAATAGCACGTCGTAACTAATTATGCTACGGATAAATAATTACATCTACATCATAGTAGAAAATAGAAATATCCGCTTACAGCAGCCAAAAGATCTGGCCAAAGGATATCGGCAACTCGATATAATGGGTCTTTTCATATTTCCACCAAATTTTATATCAATACAATCCAATTTTATGGATAAAAGCTGTAGACTGTATGATTTGGTTGTCATTGTATAGTCACCACAATAAAATCCTACTTAATGCACACGCCCCTTTTTGGTTTTCCATATCTCCTTTACTTCTTAACATCGCACTACTTTATCAGACAGGAAATATCAATATTTTCAGAAAGTCAATTAGTGCTGCTTCATCGCAGAGGCCTGGAATATCTACGCGGCTTATAAAATGCCTTTGATACATCTTGTTGGTTTCAGCGCTAAATGATGCAAATACCACTGTTGCTTTGCGAATATTCACAAAAAATGCATCTATTCGAACAAACAGAAAGCAATGAAGTTACTACAAATGCTGTTACATAACTACACGCATCAACTACAGTGAGGTTGAAGGAGTACTTTAGCAATGCCTTTTGAAGTCACATAATACTTACTACTTTTACCGCAGTCATCAAATTCTGTTCGAAAAGAGTCTTGTGAAGTCATGTATGAGATTAGCGTCAAGAGGCTTGGATTATAATGCATAAAAAATATTTATTCTTGATCTTTATATTTAAACATCTGACCTAATTAATCATATCACTAAAAAGCTTTTCAGCGGTAGCGGTAAAGCTTATACCGCTAAAAAGTTAACACGCCCGTATCGGTTTAAGCTGATACCGCTAAAAAGTTAACACGCCCGTATTGGTTTAAGCTTTTATATGAGAACTGACCGCTGCTACTAATTTTTGGCGAATGAAAGGGATATGATATACTTTTCTTGGTTTAAATTCCTTTATCGGAACAAAATGTACATACTTGCCTACGGTTATTTCAGCTGATTTGATGCTGATTAAGAAAGGACTCATAGATGGCGCAAAGTCCCAATTCTAGATCTTTTCCCTCCGTGTAATACAGTTACATGGCTCCGGTATGACTAATTTTTTGGTACGTGCATTTTCGGTATTCTCGTAATTTAAGACATGTTCAGCATATATTATGTTTTTAGTCAATGGGGGATTTTCAGTAGAATGAAATTTAATTACTTTTAAACCCTGGTTAATTCAATCCAATGGCCTTAGGATGTAGTGCTATATTTCATAGGCTCAACAATAGGTATTGTGCAATCTGGAGTTTTGGAAAGATAAGGGGGGCCTTAAAAATTCAAGAATGACTCCATTGAGTGACCAGTGAGGAAGCACAGTGATATTGGGGGGTTTTAGATCTGAGTGACAATCAAGTGCTTCCGTCTGTTCTCTGGTTTATTTACCTTCCGTCGTCACAGTTTGTTCATTAAACCACACAAAGTGACACAGGTTCGGGCCACATTTTATAAACACAGTTTACAATGGAATGAGTCGACTTATAGTCTGTGGATTGACATTGTATCACTTACTCGGAACAAGTGGGTTTAGGGGAAATAAAGAAATACGTTTGAGTGGGGGGATAATTGCCTGTTTAATACGAATGTTTTGGTTGTAACAGCGAAAAATGGTAAGGATGATCAATTGTAACATGTACTTGATGCTACGATTTTATTTACATTTGCGTCTCTCCCTCTCCTTTTCTTTTTTCCCTTTAAAAGAAATGCGGGGAAATTTGTATTATTGTTTACTTTATGTTGTTTAAATATATAAGGTTGTTCTATACAAAAATAAAACAAATATACACAGTCGATCAAAAAATAAGCCGTGTAACCTTTATTTTAAAAAGAGGTCCTTGCTTCTCTTCCGCCGATTATTACACGAGATCCTCTTGAAAAAAAAAATCCCTCGCATGTATCAAAATAATAGGATATCCGTCAGAAAGTGCAAAATCACGTTTCCTTTTTCCCGAAATGTCTAGTCGAGAAGATGTCATACAGGATCCAAAAACTTGCTATTGTCGGACCGATGAAGTGTAAAATGTGTATCTCCCGAGCCGCCGTTAAAGACATATGAAAGTTGTCGTTGGGATGGACATCCTTCTTTTTTTTCTTGCGTATCTAGGGGAAAGGGGACCGAGCCTCATGCCGATACATAATTTATTTATTTTTTTGATACCAGCACCTGCGACCGGTCGGTGAATATATTGCATGCAGGAGCTATAATGTTTTAATTAGTCTAAAGAAATGCATGGCAGAAACATGAAGTTTTAATAAGAACAAATTTATTTTTGTATGATTGAAAAAAGAGAGTATATTTCAAAGGGATTTATGATATAGAGTAGGATTTTTTTTTTTAGAAAAAAAGATTATGTGTGCGTGTGTGTACAGTTAGTGGGTTTCCTGGGTGCAAGTAATACAAGGAAGGAAAAAACTGAATGAGAAGACGAATATATAATTTAAAGGAGAGATTGTGGGCGTGTGTATATTTATAACAAAAGAGGAAGAAAAAAAGAGCGATAACATATCAAACGGTATTAGCTTTTCTTTTTCTTTTTCTTTTACAGGGTATTGCTGTACAATTTAGGAAAGTAAATTAATATCAACTGGGGGAGGAGGGTTGCATCTGAATTGACTGTACCAGACAGTCTTTGGAGATTTACTATTTTTTTTTACAAGAGTTGTAGGTTTGATCAACTTCCAGAGTTTCTCATACCAGGGACCATTATTCACTGGTGCTGTATTGTATTGCAAGGATTCATATCTTTGTTGCTTGACCTTTGTAGTAGTTGTATCGTTTGTTAAAATGAGTGTGTTGGATATAATAGAAGCGGAAGATGACAAAGGGTGCTGTAACCGGTTACAGTGATGAGTCGTTTCCAAAATGGTCGAATTGTTGGACTTGAATCGAAGCAAATTCTGTTTAAATTTAAATGCAAATTTATTGTGACCACGGCGCTTCTTTGGTGCGACAAAGGTTTCCTCTCGCAAGGTTGAAGGCGACGATGGTGTAACGCTCACAGCCCTTCTTTTATTACTATAATTACTCATATTGTCATCATCGTATCTCTTTTGGGAATAGAAGTGCGACTTGGGGGGACATGACAGCAACTGGCGTTGATACCCACGCTGTTGATGATGAGGGTGATAGAGGCTGGTGCTTGTTGAATTGCTAGACAGGTGCTGACGTGACCCCATGGTATGAACAGAAAGACTGACAATTGATGAAGAAGCATCGGTAGCGGTTAATCCGCCAGGATAGTCATGTTCGGCTGTTGGTAAGAAATAAGAGTCATTGTGATATGGAAATGGTAATACGCGAGGTGATTCCAAAACTTCTTGTGGTCTTCGCAACATTTTTCTTGCGGAAGGCGTAAAAGGTGCATAGATGGCTTCGGGTGTTCCCATCTCGCTACAGTAACGTGCAAGTGGCATACTTGACGGGTCAGCTAACTCTACTTTGGAGACATTTTCCATTGTAAGAGGATACAGTTTGCGAACAATCTCTACGGTTTCTTCCTTAGTCAAACTTTTCTTATTAGATGATGATGGGGTTGAATAGCATGAGGATGATGCTGTTGTTGATGGGGAATATGGGGCTGGATAATAGCCATCATAAGAAACAGCTACATCAATTTGCTTTTCAAATGAATCGGGAGCATTCATTTTTCTGGCTTATTATACGTTTGCAAAAAAAAGATGATGATAAAAAGTAAAGAAAAAGAGATGAAAGAAGTGTTCAATTAAAAGCATGTATTTATATACAGAAAAAGAAAAAAAAAAGAGGGAATGGTCTCATATCACTGTGGGTAACGATGGAATCAGTTTAGTCGATCTCGTAGTAGTACCTGCGTTGAATCTGTAACGGGGGCCTGTGTGCTCAGTTCTGTACACTTGTGGGTCTAGATACCCTGTCTACGAAAAACTAAGTAGGTTGTGTGCGACTATATCCGCATACCCTTTCAGTTACACACATTAGGCTTCAATTTTATTTTGTTCAAACGTTAAAAAGTAAGATACATTGACGCAATCATATGCTATTCTTTTCATTGCATGTGTTGAAATAACGTTTTAATCCGAGGGGTTCCCGAAACTCGCACTCTTTTTTTGGTCTTGCCATAACATTCACTCCATACACGAGTTTATTTAACACTCCAAGAGAAGTGACCCCATTATTTTTTTTTCGGTTGCAACATACGAAAGGAAAAATCCCCAAAAAGAAAAAAATAGCTCCAAAAGATAGCTAAATCTACCACGAGGATTTCATGTTTAAGACCTTTCATTTAAGCTTTATGTCGAATGATTCCCTCTCTTTTTAATATCAAGTCATATCTTGTTCAATTCCCATCAACAGCTCATTCGGCTCTACAAGAACCTTGATTCTTTCGAAGTTCTATCCCATCAGACGATCCTCCTGATCATCCGGACAACAAAGAAGCTCGTCAAAGCAATCTAATATCTTTAGGGGGGAGGGGTTACCCTTTTGTACTCCCCTATTTTGAGTTTTTATAGTGGTTGTCGCCACATATCAACTTATTAGTGTAAAAAAAAAAGGGCGTGTAAGACACGACTTTTATTTATATCTGTCATTACTGTAAATATACTTGTTCGCATCAAGTTTTCAATATCATCTTGAATTTAAACATTGGCTCACATAAAATAAAAGTCGATTGACTTGATTGTTTCAATTATAAAAATGAACTAGGTGTAATTGCTATCAATTGCGTATTATTGATTATGAGCAAGCGAGTCTGGACAAAAAAAGGCAAGTTGCATACACGTGGGTAGGATGGGTGGGGGTGCAGTAAAAAGTTCAGAATAGAGAGTTTCGTACCACATACTTTTTATTTATGCAGTAGCGCTGACATTCAAAACAGATTTCATAGATTACTTTTGTGAGACAGTGCGCTCATCTGTTTCGTTTAAAGACATCTGTGTAAGAAGAAAATAAAGATATAAAAAAAACGTTTTGGACACATAGTCTTTTTTACACATCTTATTTCCAGGAACCACCTGTCCTAATGCAGTTATTTTATGCCACATAAGCCAGGAACTTTCTATGAGATTCCAGCCTTCACGGGAAAAAATAAGTGCACAGCCTCTTACTTTGTCATACTTTCTGCTCTTCTCCTCTTTAGCGATCAACGGAGAATAGTAACGTCATCGTGTTGCAAAACCACGATTCCTCTTGTGTGTAATCTGGTGTATAAGCAGGAATTGAGCCTTTTTATTTGTCAAGTCTTAAAATTTCATGTAACGGTAACCGAGTACATATGCACAGACACCTTTACTTTAATACGTAATATTATGGCTGAGTCATGACTCACTCTTATGTTCTCATATCTACTTGGTATAGACTCAATGAAAAAAAATGCAAATACATAAATGATTCGCATTGAGTATATAAATGGAATAACCGGGTGTTATATAGAGTCCCAATTATAGACAGTACAAATGGGACAAAGTGTGTGTTACAAACTTAGGCCCGGATGGGTTTTTATCGGCAACCGATAGAAGCTTTCCGTCGCATAATGGAGCGAATGATCAGCATTCTCGGAGTAATGGAAATCATGTGCAAAGTAATCATAATAATAGATAACATATAATGTTTGTTGTCTAAATAGAATTATCATTGGGGTTTAAAAAGTTGTATATTGGATGAGTGGGGCAGGAGAAGGGAAATATGTGTGCTTATCTTATAGGATAATGCTTGCAGATGAGTATCTTGCCACTTTAGTTCTTCTCTTGTCAATACACTGGCATGTGAAATGAATTTCATTTTATATAATAAGCGTCGATATATTGGGCAGAAGCAATTGGAAATGATGCCAGTTGGTAATTGTCACGAGGAATCTCACTGGGTATAAAAAATAAATAAATGCAGTTTAATTTCCAGATTTGCATGGCATTAAATAAATTCATCAGCAACCCCTCTTTGAAAACAAAAAAAACTCAACAAATAAAATTATTATAGCCCCTCTCTCTTCTCATTTTCTTCTTTTTATTTCTTTTCTGTTGTTATTCTCTACGTCATGGCAACGGCAATCTCTTCAACATCTCTGCCCATTCCGCCGCCAGCTTCAGCGACATGGTGGTCACCAAAGACAATTCTTCAAATACTGTTTGTCAACTTTGGCTTGTTTTTTCAGTCAACCTGCGTCGTGTTTACGCAACTCTTTTCGTTATTTATTTACCCATTTTCGTTTAAAAAGTACCGCCAATTTATTTCATACACGATGCGTATGTGGTCTCAAAGTCTGGTGGCTCTGGTACAATGGTTTGCGCCAGCAAATATCGTCATGACATTTGATGAAAGTTGCGGTAGTCTGGATGAGATTATAAAGGATGGTGATATTACAAACTTGACTTTTCCCAAAAGAATCATCGTCACTGCAAACCACCAGGTACTAAAAATAAGCGCGTTTCTTTTTTAGTGTGTGTGTTAAAAACATATTTATAGATTTATGCTGACTGGATTTATATTTGGTGTATCGCTCATTTGGCAGGCGCTCACGGTGTTGTGAAAATTATATTGAAGCACAGTTTAAAGAATTTGCCTGTTTATGGATTGTAAGTTACAATTATGACTATGGTTGTTGTGTACCTGAAAAACTGATTGTCTTTTTTGTTATTTAGGGTAATTACAAATAAACAAACAATGAAATTAGGAACTTAATAATTCATGTTTTTTTAGGGCATGCGGTTTTTTGATTTTATTTTTTTGAAAAGAAAATTGGCCTTGGATCATGATACCATTGTAGGTAATTTGGAACGGTCAAAAAAGAGTGATCAACCAATGTGGCTTGTTTTATTCCCCGAAGGCACAGGTAAAAGTTACATTTCCTCTTGAAGATTTGTGAGTAATGGAGCTCTAATTACTATGAATTAGTTGTATCACCATGTACTCGTAAAAGATCAAAGGAATTTGCTGAAGCAAGTAATATGGCAAGTACACAGATCACATAGATATTAATCCCGTTCACTAACCATAATACATGTTTACAGAAGGATAATAGATATACATTATTACCACGTTCAACAGGGTTAAGACTGTGTACAACAACACTGGATGACAGCGTAGAGTACATGTATGATTTTACCATTGGATATTCCGGTGTAGGAGCCAATGATATACCAGAACAAGTGTACACCATCCAAAGTATCTTTTTTTTCAAGCATTTCCCAAAACAGGTGCATGTTCATGTGCGTCGTTTTAAAATTGCCACCATCCCAAGAGGTAACGGAGAGGAGTTTAATCAATGGGTCCATCAAAGATGGGTAGAAAAAGATGAATTGATGGGCCATTTTTACAAGTATGGCGTATTCCCCGATACCCAAGACAGAACCATAGATGTACCTATCAAGCTTCGTAACAATTCTGTCATGGATTTAGCACAGATCTGGATCTTTTTGGTTCCATACATATTGCTACTTAAACAGCTACTAAATTTTGATTTTCATGTTCAAAATGCAGCTGCTTAAAAACAACACTCGTAACCCCTTTCGTCGCCATATATAAACATAATAAAACTTTACAATTTCTTCCTCATAGATGACTGTCCAGTACTATCACAGAAAAAAAAAAAAAAAAAAAAAAAGATGTGTCATTTCGATTTTGGGCACGCCATAGATTTGCGTAATTCGCAACCAATCATAATATAGATTGTGATTGGGCATACAAGTTGCAACATCGCTAATAATTCTGATTTGCCGCATTTTTTTCATGTATGCTGGGTATAATTGAACCTTTTTTTTTTTTTTTACTTTCCCTGTTTGTGCCTCCTTTCAAAAAGAGTATAAATCTTACATTATATTTACTCTATCCCCCACCCTTTCTTCCTTATTTTAAAATAATGTCTATCCAGCCTAGAGTACCTGTACCTCAAGGGGGTGCTTCACTCATGTTGGCATTCCAAAGTCAGCACAAGAACATTCTCGTCATTGGCGATAACTCCATTGCAGCAAGTCGAGTTTTATCATGCCTTGAAGCAGACGCCAAAGTATACCTTGTTTCCAACCCTGAATACATGTGTTCTGAACTTCAATACCGAGTCGAAAATAATCAAGTCACCTTATTAACACCCGAATTCAATCCTGTCATTCTGGAAAGATACCAATTCAGTTTAGGCTTCATTTGTCAAGCTTCACCAGAGATTCAATCCATTGTAAACAGCTTCCGTCAGCACGCCATTCCTGTCAACGTAGCTGATCACAGTGATCTTTGTGACTTCTTTATGACTTCTACTTTCAGAGATCAGTCACTTCAAATTGCCGTTTCCACTAATGGACAAGCATCCAAATTATCCAACCGTATTCGTCGTCACATCACTTCAAGCCTACCCGCAAGATTAGGCGATGCTATTAATCGTGTAGGTGTTTTAAGGAAAAAGGTGCGTGCTTCGGATCCAAGCTCCGCCTCCAGCTCCAGACGTATGAAATGGTTGGCTCAAATTTGTGAATACTGGAGTATGGAAAGATTAGCCCAATTATCGGATCGGGACATGGAAGAGTTATTAGAGTCGTATCATCATGATGAAGGTTATGAAAGCTTGGAATCATCTACAGCTCCTAAAACACAACAACTTACAAGCGATAAAGTCAATCACTGGGGAAGTATTGTGCTGGTCGGTTCGGGTACAGGTGATCCTGATTTATTGACCATGGCTGCTTACAAGGCTATCAAAGAGGCTGACTTGGTCTTGTCGGATAAGATTGTCCCTGCAGAAGTTGTCGCTCTTGTTGAATGTGAACTGAAAATTGCTCGTAAATTTCCCGGTAACGCTGATGCTGCTCAAATCGAGTTTAACGAAATGGCATTGAAGGCCATTAAACAAGGTAAAAAAGTGGTTCGTCTCAAGCAAGGCGATCCTTATTTATTCGGGCGTGGTGGAGAGGAAGTCTTGTTTTTCCGTAAGCATGGGATTGTGCCTCGTGTTATTCCCGGTATTTCTTCTACTGTCGCTGCAGGTCTGTTGGCAGGTATTCCCTTAACCCATCGTGGTGTTGCGTCTCAGTTTTTGGTCACAACCGGCACTGGCGCTAGCAATTCTTCTGCTCCTTTACCTACATTTGATAAACATCGTACGGATGTCTTTTTGATGGCTATTCATCGTTTGGAGGCATTGACAAAGGACTTAATGGCGACACAACAATACCCAGAAGACATCCCTTGTGCTATTGTAGAAAGAGCAAGCTGTAAAGACCAACGTGTAATCTGGGGTAACCTCTCGAATATTGTGCAAGTTCTGGAAAGTTGCGGTGGAAGTAGGCCACCTGGATTACTTATTGTAGGACATGCTATCAATGTTTTGAAGCATGAAAATAAGGGCTTGGAAGGTGTTGCTGCCAACTTGATGACGGCTTCGGGTTTATCTGATGAGGTCGTATTTAATCATGAAGCTAAGGTGGATGAATCCAACCTTTTACGATTGCATGATCCTGAATGTGTCTTTTAAACAACCCTTCTCCGTTAAGCACACATACACCCACACAACACTTAATACCAACTATGTACATATCTAAATAGAAATAATATTTATCAATCTTAATAAAGAGCAGGAGGGTAACCTTCCGTTTAAATCAATTTTATTTTATATTTTGCATTTTTGTTTTATTTCGACTTTAATTCTGTTACCTCAGTTATCATTAGCATTATTTAACAAGACAACCCTTATCCACATTCTTTAAAAAAAAATGATTGCATTTTCATCTTCTTCGCTGTTAGTGCTTTGTCCTGTTTGTATGGATCGACCCATTAAATATTCTTCAAAAGTAGATGGTTTATAATAATTATCGAGGAGAATGAATCTGTTTGTGAGGTAGGTTTGGTGATAGCGACGATGAGGCTTATAGAGAGGTGACTGCCGTGGACGATGATCATTCATTAGCCATGTATTTGATTATATGTATGAATTTACAGAATCTAAACCATCATCCAAGCACTCAATGGCACGCTTATTAACATTTTTATTTGGTAAGTCCTCAAGTGTTTGTTTGCCTTATTTTTGAGTGTTATGACACAACCCGAAATTATCATCCTGTAGGTCTAGTAAAATACTCTCCTCTACCAAAAGAAAGACCAGAAGAAAGAATCAGCTACTACATCTTTTTTTAGAGTCATCTGATTGTTTTTTTTCCTTTACAATGCTTACAACGGATAGCTCCAGCAAAAATTGAAAAAAATGCATAATTAAGAAACTGCCGGAACTTGATCCTATTGGCTGAAAAATTGTTCCCAAAAAGTTGGAACATTTGAATTTTTCACTTCTAAGACCCCTTAATAACTAACCTTTCACTATATTTATTTATACAAAAGAAAGAAAATATGCTTGTAAGTAAAGACGACATAAAAACTTCATCCTGACATAATCTATCTTGTTTACCAGTCTATAAATAAACTCTTTCGCACACTTTTCCTTCCATCTTCTTTCCGTTTTTTAGATATTCATGAAAAACAGTACCTAATGAAAGGAAGTGATAGAAATTGTGAAACGACGAAATAGCAAGACAAAGTGACGATATGCTAAAGAACCTCAGCTACAATGCTGTCAGGTTTTACACATCCTATATTGACATATAGCCCGTTGAGCTTTCTCTTCTCAAGATTTCTGGCGGCATTGAAGAAGAAAGTCAGGGCAGACTTACCAAAGACCATGGGAAAGCTGGCTTTGGTATCCTGTCCATGTTACAAAGGATAGGGTATATGTTTCCTTACGGTTCTTTAGAGACTTTCTCTACAATGTTACTGTACTTTGTACAAGTTTTAGGTGAGTGTCATTAACCATATTTTTAAGATACGTTTCTAAAAAAACAAATATTATGCAGGGGATAAGATCAGGCTTTGGTCGATCTAGCAAGTTTCCTCGCGCGTTCACCCGATGAATTTATCTTCTCAGCAAATATTCCAACCTAAGTTGATGATAAAACTTCCATAACGTCTTAAAATTACTTTAGACGTTCGAGGTAATAGAAAAGTGTCTTTGTGCTTCGCCTATTAACTTTGTTTCATAAAGTGTGGTATTGATTTTTTGACCTTAAACAAGATCAAAAAATCGTCGCAAGAAAACAAAGAGGTTGAAGTTTCTTTGGCAAGAAACAATTTGAATTCCGGAAAAAGTCAAGATACCCACCATCCCTTCGACCTTCGAAAAAAGGACTATTCTGAAGATAAAGGGAGAGCATATTGCTGGATATGAGAAACTTAAAATATACCTCGAATAAAAGGATGATCTTAGCATCCACCTCTGATTAATAAACAGACAATTATAAACTTTCCTACCTAAACAACTTATTAGTGCTAGTCATCACAGAACATGTGAATAATATTGTAATTTAATTATCCTTTGCCGACCAAGAGGTCAATTTTTAGTTTTTTTTTTCTTTTAGATTTCTGTTTTTTTTTCATTTTGTGCTAAAACCACATAATAAATGCTACTGTCTACAAAAGGAAAGATGTTTCACGGATAAAAGATCGGGAATAAGTAACCCGGCTTTATGGAAATTTCTTCGTTACAACACAACTCTAGGCTCCGACCAATGAGAGATCAGAGAATTTAAGGAACAATATTAAATCAAGGACAGCTATCTTACGATCTTCAATAAACCAAATGAATGGTCCATCATATAAAACTACGATGGATCTGAGCTGTCAAAAATACAAGCCACAATATCTTCAATCTTCTATAAATATCAGGGCAAACCTGCCCGTCTAGTTAGCTCTTAATCAATTTTTATACAAATAAATCGACAAGACTTATAATTGTATTCTCTTTGTTTTTTTTTATCTATTTTTTTCTGTAAATCTATTCTCTCTTAAAGTCTATTTTTACTACACATTTCACTTTTTACCGAAGTACAACAGTGTGTAATAGTAATAAAATATTTATTAAAGACCAAGAATTTTTTGGGATGTCTCGTAAAGATGTGTATCTGGCTGTTTCTTCAAGTAATCCACACTTAAATCTATGGTTGTTTGGATATCTTCTTGTAAATCTTCTGGTTCACGAATAAGACGAGCTAATTTCGATAAAGGTTCGTAAAACAAGGGTATAATGGTTAATTTGTGTTGAATATCTTGCTTAAATGATAAACTAGCATTTGCTGCATCATCTGCTAATGTGGCATTATTCAATAACCGTAACAGGAAATTGAAAACTCGTTGAACAAGTGTGGTAAGCGCTTTAATGGCATTGTTTTTGGTTTCCTGCAAGAACTTTTCCAATTCTTCCTCATGTTTTTTCATGGCGTCTCGAAGTTTTCTGGCCGAAAGATTCTTTTGTTTTTTGTTGCCACGTCTTCGATCCCTTTTCGATATAGGCTTTACAGGTGGACGCTCTGGCGCAGCTGTCAAAGACATTTCTACCTCAATCTCTTCGGATAGTTCCACTAATATATTGATAATGGCCCAATTGATTTCTTCAAAGGTGTTTTGCGATTGCGACACGTTCAAGACCAGCTCAAACAGACTATCCGGTTCGGGTGTGTCTGATAGTAGTACTAAATCCATAATACGGTCTAAGAACTTTCTTTCGGGTGCCATTCTCATAATATCCTGCTCCTGCTCTTGTTGCTGATCCAATCCGATATTGACAAATCTTTTAATCATTTGTTTAACCAAGACGGGTGCTTGGTCGTATAATCCAGCACACTGTAGTACCCAACTCACGGGGACAGTGAATTTAGATCCACTCGTCCAGAGATCAAACCACACCTTAATCAACCTTTCCTTTTTATCTGTATCTCCTAATCTCACCATTTCTTGTAGCATGGCCGCTAAACCACTATACTTGACGGAATAAATATCGTGCGAATTTGATAGATCTAAAGGCTTGAAATTGATTCTCTTCGCAACAGGCACAAGAGGTGTCGCAAAGTACCATTCGAAGTCGTCGCGCGTCTTGAACAATTGACGAAAAATACAACAAGCTACACCTTGCCCAGTTGTATCCTCTCCTACCAAAGATAAAATCACACCCAGGAAATGGTTTTTAAACCAAGCTCGCGAGCGAGGGGCTTTGGGATCTTGGCCAGGCATGATTTCTCGAAAATGAGTCAACAGCAGGTCGATGAATTTTTTTGGTTTTGTCATGAAAAGACCTTGCACCATCATATATTTTGAAACCTGAGGTCCATCATCAAAATAATGAATCAGTATCGTGTTTGCATGATCACCTTGCTTCAAAAGCCATTGTAGACTTGTGAGAGAAAACGTTTGTAATAAGGTGGGCACAACATACGTAGAAAAGGAAACGCACGAGGATAATGCTACTTTTAAAAATGGAGCAAAGCAACTAGATGTTGTTTTAGACTCGAGCTCTGTATTTAGCCCCTGTGCTAACCAACCAACATAGTATTGCACAATGTCCGAGTTGGCATTTTGAAGGCAATCACCTACCCAATCCTTCACATGTTGGGTCGCATCACCCCTTGTCATTCTTTGTAATAAACGACAACATCCATTCATTAATACTTGATCCGAGCAGTTGCTAAATTGTGATAGATCAATAAAAGCGCCTGATTTTGTTTCATAGTATGACGCATCTGCTGCCTCTGTATCTTGTTGATGGTGTTCATCTGGTATATTGAATAAGTGTACAAATGCATAATATGGTGCTGATCGCTTATTATAGGACTTTTTCGATAATAACGACATGATTATATCAGCGACAAAATTCAAATGACGATGAAATCTATCCCTCGCGGTCCAATCTGCTAATAATAAATCCAGCACAGTCTTTCTATCTGCTGGATAATGTTGTTTGATTGCTTTTTCTAGATACATATCAAAGGTGGATGGTGTCATTGTAGTCATCTTTTGAATCCAAAATAAAGTGCCCTTTCGTATCGATTGGGCTTGAGAGTATTTATCGGCTGTCCATGATTCCAACAACTCCTTATTCAATAAGGGGTTACCCGTTTCCATCAGATCAGCTACGAAACGTATAATTTTAGAGGTTTAAACATATCATCTTGTTGATTACTTTACCTGTCTGCGTTTGATGTTCCATATAAATCTTTGCGATATATGGATACTGATTCGTCTGCATTTTGCAGCCATTCTCCAATCCCAAATAACCGACGGTAAATGCGTCTTTTGTGAATTCAGGTCTGGCTAGTGCATTGCCCAAAAATTGATCTACATGTGTCGCTAGGTACTGCGTATCCTTTGCCTTCAAAATTGTAAATAATTTCTTTGCGACATCAATTGTATATGCAGGTTCATGCTTAATTCTGTTGTCCAAGGTGTGCAAAAATAATTCTTGAGCAAGATCTCCATTCACTCGTTCATTTTCTTCCAAGGTACAACAACAGGTCAGCCAAAGATGGGTGATGATACCCACATAATTGCATTGTATGAACTGCATCATGGCTTCAACCCACTCTATGGACGGAGCAGCGGTACCAGCTGTGAGCACAAGACCGTAGAGACAAACTAGAATCGTAACATCGGATTGTTTACGTAAGGCTACCCAGGTTTTGGCAGTGATAGCGTAAGGAAACTCGATCAACCAGCTATTGCCATGCTGCTGCAACAATCCATTCACACATTTCCGAAAGGCATCGATAAAGATGGATTTGGTATACTGAGAGCTAAATGGATCGTCTTCAAGATCAATCGAAAGCAATAGTTGAATGAATCTGTCAAAAAATAGAAACGATTCCGCTTTTTGGTTTGGGTAGATGAAGGCGGTGCTTGTTCGAACTTTTTCAATAATAACTGCACTATCCGGGTTGGAAAGTAATTCGAGTATGTCTTTCAAAGACAGATTCGTTTCCTTTTGACTGTTGAGTAAACTACTGAGATCCATGGAAAGAAAAAATGAGATATAAAATGCATCGTTTTTGGAATCGCGTGAAAAAGGATTGGTGTTTTCTAGCCCTTTAGACAGTCACTCTGTTAATTATGGATTATAATTCACGACGTCTTCAAAGTGTATTCTGTCGAGCACGTAATGCCGGACACCTGCGTTAATGACACCAGATATGGCATGTTTTAGGCTTAAAATATAGGCACTTTATTAAATGGCGTTTTTGAGTACTTCGCCTATTGTTGTTTAAAATAACCCAGTGTACAGGACTATTTTCTGCAGATTTCAGAGGTGAATCTATTGTAAGTTTCATTGTTATCTGTCAAATGTATTTGATTGCAAGTCTTTTCAGTCTCCTTGTGTATTATTATGTGCTGTGTTTCTTCTTTTGCCTCGAGCGAAGGTAAATATAACAGACCATTTTCTACTTTGTGTGACTATTGGAAGGCAATGTAAAGTTGAATAAGAATCAATGAAACAATTGACGGTGTTTTCAGGGTTAAAGAATTGAAGCAGTCAGCGCATCTTATAGTTAAAATCAATAGGACCCACATGCTACAACCTTTTAAATGACAACCACACTTAACCCGAACTTAATCTATCGAATACAGTTTTCACACTTTAAATTCAGAAAATGTTAATTTTTTTTCAGACGAATCAAAATTTACTTTCAGACATTGATTTACCTTTTTTGGACAAAATAAATAAAAAAGCAGACAAATGAAATTTAGTTTTAGGATGATTTGATAAGTTACTATAAGGTTTACCTGTAAAATCTTTAAACCTTCTCCTCACTTGAGTGAGACGAGGTAACCACATTGGAGGTGGCGTTTAGTCTTTTAAAGACAGTTGGTCGGCCTTGGCCATCCCAAATGGATTGAGATATAGCAAGCATATTTTTCGCAGCCATCACATCACGATTCCAAAAAATATTGCATCGTTTACAAATCAATATTTGATGGATGTGTGAGGATTTTTCGTCAGTACCGCACCTCATGTTTTTTAAATCATTACTAAAACAAGAATTGCATGTCTATAAAACTATTACTTTAGTCGAAGGTATTGATATACATTAATATACTAACCTTTGATGTTTTAAACTCGTTAATATCAACAAGAAGTAACTCTCCAAGCTTCTCTCTTCTTTTCAATTGTCGATAAAGCTTGTCCGTTACACCGGAGCGCAAACCCTTAAACTTTGTTTGGCTTTTGTTCTTGAGTCCATCGCCAAAGATGATTAAAGGCATTTTATTACGATCCCCTTCTTCGAATTTCTCTTTATGTTCTCTTCATGCAAGTTTCATTATTAAAATACAGTCATATCATGGTTTGTTAGTACGCTTACCTTTTGATAATTTTCGGTTTAGATTTTAAAGAGTCAACTATTTTAGATCTCCTTCGCTTTTTACTCTTCTTCTTAGTTTTCCTTCTTTTCTTGTTGTACTTTGTTGATCCATTTAAAAGGATATTAACGGCGTCCTCTATACTCTTTTGTGATGCGATATAATTACACCATCTACTATTGGTAGTTCTAAACCCGTAGAAATTAAAAAGTGTATCAATATGTTGGAGAATATACGTAATGTACAGTATATAGGTATCATGAGACGCGGTTTTAGGTGAGGGGATATTGGTCTCAATTTGATCAATTCCCAAGCTTTTCTTGAGTTCTTGTTCCTGTTTATGCCTTTGCGTAACACCGCCCATATTGTAGTATTCTTTTGAAGAAAGACGTCTCACATCATTGTCTCCATGGTAGGATACAAACACATCCTTCCTTCCGGGATCAACAGTACATGGCCTAAAATAAGTATTTACCTCGTCAGTGTTAAAGTCATCGAGTTCTAGGGCAATGCTTTTAGTTGACGAAAATGGTTCAGTACGACGACAGAATAGTAAGCGGCAAGTATAACCATCGGTGTACATCCCGTTCAAAAACATCTTGCCGTTGGTTGCAGGCAGCTCCTTCAGATCTTTAAGGCTAATAATAATAGACAAAATGTTTATCATTAATATTGTATGAAGAAGGTTCTCAATACTCTTTCTTTCGTATGTACCTTCTAATTTTTAGCTTGGCAAAGTTAAAACAATCATAAAAATACCTTTGTGTGAAGCTAAATAAAGTCTCGTCCTTTTCTTTCTTTAACTTTGAGCCAGGGAATATACCAGTAACGTTTTGACTATCGATTTTGATAAAGCGCCACTGCAAACCTGGATTGGGAAACAGGCTAAATATTCTCGGCAGTACGAAATACTTTGCTTTATCATCTTTCTTCTTTTTCTCATCAGATTGAACCGTATCTTGAGGTCTTCCTGGTTCTGAGTCATGCTTCTGTAAAGTAGAATTTTCCGCAATGATTGATTCATACTTGGATAGAATGTGTCTTAATGCCGGTAAAATACCAAAAGGGGCAGTATTCTGAGTTGCCTTTGTAATTGTGAACGATGGCAAGCGGTTCTTGAGCTCCACAATTAAAGGGTTTATAAATGCCTGTAAACCATTTTTTGTTTCTTGGCTTAATGGTGGGAGGATATCATCATTTAGAACGGTAACAGGATCAGATGATAGTACTTGATCTAAAACATGTTCATATACAAGTTTCCTTATGACAGATTTTTTAACGTCCTAAGTTAAGTTTGTTAATAACTTGTAAGTTAGCGCTTCCTGATAGTAACTCACAGGAAATTCTTTACAAATCATATAAATGAAATAGTTGCAGATAATGTTCTGAAAATTCTCAATGTAATAGTTATTATAACACGTAGCAGTAGTTTCACATGCAGTTGCAAGCACTTGACCATAATTTTTCAGCCCATCTTTTTCCACGTTTAAGTTTACTCCCTCTAGATTATTAAGCTCCATCCATACGTCTTCCAAGTGGTGAATTTTGGCATACTTTAACTGAAAGTCTTTGATCGACAGCTGTTTACAAACCACTCTACACAATGAATACCAGAAATTTTGCTGAAAAAATTCATTGGACAAATTATTGGGGTATTGTAAAATGTAGTCATTGACAAAGATTTGAGCTTTAAACAAAACAAGACGTAAGAAACTAGATAGATCCTGGATCTTGTTTACGGCCTTCTGTAATCGGTCATCATCATCATCTGTTTCATTTAAAAAGCCCTTTAATGGAAGAGATATAGTATATCTTTGATTTTTAGCACCAAGATCCTTTTCGATCAATTCTTGTAAGGTATAGTTATGGTTAGGGCACAATTTACTTCTCGCAGAAGAATGACCACTTGTATCACAAGACTTGCAAATCAGGGTCGATGAGCTTGAAGACGCAGTGGTCCTGTTTCTTTTAGCCACACTCTTTTCTTTTTTCGCTTCAAATGTTTCCTTTCTCTTTAGGCCTGATTTATTTTATGAGTTATTATGTTTGGCTATATTCCTGAACATATACAGTGCATTTTTACCTCTGTTTCCACCAGCAGGTTGATTCATTGTGCCGGTACTCGTTTCGTCCCCCATCTTAGCAAGTTTAGCTGTTATTTTGGCATTTATAAAATCTTCTGTAACTGGGTAAATACGAGGTCTCATATTTTTTTTTTTTGTGAAAGAAGCACTGTTTGATGTATTGTCAATTAAATCAAGTTACATTATAATGCTCAAAGTCAACGTCATCTAAAGTAATTGAAATTCCGTTTCTCCCCCTTTTTTACTGTTATAACGTATTAACTGAGGATTTGTGTAAAAAGAGCTCATAAAAATACACCTTTGAATACATTATGAACTATCAATGCAGAATATGAAAACTGTAAAATTCATAGGATACATCCTTTGATAGCCTTTGCCTGGATTTTTTTTTATTTTATTTGTTATATATATATTACGTTAGTATGAATCATTTTTTTACTTCTGTCTGAAATATATTTTTGTTCATCTGAAAACATTATTAGGTTTATCTGAAAATAAGTTTTCCTTGTCTGAATTTAAACTGCTAATACTGTAATGAAGAAGGTTTTTGGTTCAAAGGTCGCCCAATATGTTTGCAAGATCGAATTTATGATCCCTTTGGGGATTTTTTATCAATTCAATGCTAGTCTTATATTACTTTTCGTGGAATTTAACACATTGCTGTTGCATAGCTGTTGCATAACGTCTGATGCGCACAATTCTACAACTGTCTGGGCAAACGTCATATAAGTGACCTTTAACACTGGATTTGGATTTCACCAAGGTATTTATAATTTTACCATAAATAAACACGGTTACAGGCTCTGAAAAACAAATTAGTAACTTGATTTTAGGAAATACAAGCAAAGTATTAAAACAACAGTTTTTTTTTATTATCCGTCATAGTTTCGAATAGCCGTATGAGCGAATTTGATGATACCTCTGTATACGGCTCAGTCAATCTTGCGACAGAAATTGTGAATGGGTTAGAACCAATCAAACTGACATTGTGATTATGTACTCTGCCTCCATTATCCTTAGTTCTGTATTCAGATTAATACGTTATTGGTCATCTATAGTCTTGTATCATCTCGTAAGCCATTTGCGCTGTTAAGGCATGTTTTCAACATTATGTCTCTACTTTTAAAAAATGTCTAAATTACGATGATATTTAGGATTTCTCAAAGTTCTTGATTTAAATATTTGGTCAACGAAAGTACACAAACTGGAATTAAAAATCCCAAATATGGCTAACAATGGTCATGTGGGATTTTTTTTTATTTTCGTAAATCTGAAATAGGAACTTACCCTGCACAAACCAAATTGGTTTGGCTTTAATGCGCTTAACTTTTTTTCAAGTGTAAGCATTAGTAACTATCATCTTGATATCATTCTAAGAAAGCATGCTCGTTTGTTCTTTTTAGCTAAAACCTTGTCCAACCTTAATCAATTTTATCTTTGGGAAAAAAAACAAAAGTGATACACAGCTGCACAGAAAATATTAGTCTTTTGAAGCATTTTGTGGGATTGTACCTGTCGGAACGTGGGATATTTTTTATAAACCATTTATCAAAATGACGACGATCTACGAATATTTATTTATCAAAATAAATTTTATTTTCGTCTTTTTAAACAAAAGTGGACACGGTGGTTGTCACGAGCGGTATCTTTGAATATACTACTACTTGTGTATGGCTATCTACGCTGGGTTTAAACCAGAAGTTAAATCTGGAGATTTACCCCCATTTTATTTCATTCTTTCACTCGGGTGAGGTTTTTGACAAAGTTAGGATGGACTTGAATTCATGAGCTTAATGAAGGAATAAACGGATGAAAAAACCAGCATAGTATAATGGTATTTAATCTCGTACAACAATTAAGAGAATTGATTGCTTGGCTGATTGTGTAGACTTAATAGATAACAGTATTGTTACTGTTACACTATATTAGACTCGACTAGTTGTTCCCATTTTTTTTCTCAATGTTGCATTTAGATGTAGAATATCAATACAATTCATGGCACTATAAAACGATAAGCATGGAAGATAAAGAATCAAAAATACGACCATCAGTAGTCGCTGTCAAATGTAATCAGTCAATAATTAGTAATAATAGATCATCTAGTTTTTTTTTTTTTTTTTTTTTGTATTTTAACAGTTGTACCAGTATGTCAGAGACAACTCTAACTGAATTCAAAAACAGAAGGTTTATTTCTGTAGATTGTGGAGCACAAGCCAGATGTGTATTCATTTACTAAAAAAGCTCTTATCGTTAAGTGATTATTTTTAATCGTGAGCTTTTATTTATGGGGTTATAAAGTTCAACATAAAATGTACTCCTAATCGAGCCATTTTCAAGATAGTTAGTAATAAGCTATAGTCATGCTTTTATTGTTTTTATCTTTTAGTTAACTTCAAAAGTCCGCCTACTGCAATCTTTCTGTTTTCGAGCTACAGTCAGTTGATTCCTTAAGAGCGCGTTTTGACACGACACACACCAGTGAAAAAGCCCGAGAGCTGGGGAAGAAAAAAGGTTGACAATTTACCATTTACGGGAAAAAGGATTTACTCGGGTGAAAAACAATTGAATAACTGATTTATTACTGCGCAACATGTCTGATTTTACAATATCTGATATGCATTTCAAACTGTAATTGATTGCACTGTACAGATAATGAGGTCACAATGCGATTAGATATAAAAAAAAAACCCTAAATTTGGCATGGTAATTGTAACCATTGGACCAATAGAACTGACCCGATGACAAATTTTGGGCATCTCACGCCCAATCCTTTTACTTTTACTCGTGCCTTTCAACTCCAAACTTCAGATATACGCTGCCAATATATAGTTCATCATCCGATATATGTACACACACATTATCGTTATGTTCGTGGGAGATAAGATAGACTTTCAAGACATGTTAGACGAATAACAGTATGTGTACAAAATAAGATATAAATAATACAAAACATATAAATATAAGAACGTGCATCATCATTTTTTCCCCTTTTTTTTTATCAACAATAACCTAGCTTAAAAAAAGCCTGTTCTACACAAGCTAAATCACTTTTTTTTATATATAAAAAAACACAAGCACATACAGTCGTATAATTCCAAAACAGCTATTTCCTCTTCTAGTTAAAAAGAATTAAAACGACAACACATATATATGGCAGACACAGATAAAGTTATTACCAAAGAGATCGAACAAGGTCAAGGACAAGAGTTGAGTGCCGATGAACTCTTACTTCAGTCCATGGGTTACAAACAAGACTTGAACCGTTCAATTTCAGCATTCTCTAATTTTGCTATCGCCTTTTCATGTTGTTCCGTACTTTCAGGCTTACCTCCTTTGTGGGGTGATGCAATGATGGCAGCTGGTTCTTTGGGTACAATTTGGGCTTGGGTCATCACATCTTGTTTTACCATGCTGGTAGCATTATCACTTGCTGAAATTTGTTCTGCTTACCCAACCACTGGTGGTCTTTATTTTTGGGTATCAAAGCTCGCCACTGCTGATTGGGTGCCACTTGCATGTTGGATGACTGGTTGGTGTAACTGGATTGGTTTATGCTGTACGTCAATATTTGTTATTTCTTGTCCTCCAAAAAGACTAAACTTGTTTTATTTTTAATATTATAGTTGGTATTGCTTCGATTGATCTTGGCCTTGCCCAATTCATTGCCGGTATTATTTCAGTTTGGTAAGCGATAATTCACATGGTATTTCTTTACCGAAAAAATAAATAAATAAAAATTCTCACACTTTACAAATATAGGAATCCTGAGAGCGAACCATTATCTGTCTATGCTCAATATGGTATTTTCATTGGTATTATCATTATCCATGGTTTCATCAATTCTGTTGCTGTTAGCTGGAATGGTATTATGAACCAAGGTGCATTCTTTGCTAATATGCTTGGTATTCTGCTTATTGTTGTTGTTGGACTTGCCCTTACCAAGCCTTTAAACACTGCTGAATTTACATTTACTCAATTCTCGAATAATTCTGGTTTTTCAAATAACGGATTTGCATTCTTACTTGTCATCCTTCAATCACAATATACCCTTTCTGGTTATGACAGTGCTGCTCACATGTCCGAAGAAACCAAAAATTCTCAAAGCGGTTCACCTTTTGGTATCCTTGTCTCTGTTGGTGCCAATGCTATTTCTGGTTTAGCATTTTTGCTTGCTGTTAGTTTCATGGTCAAGGATTACGACCTCCAAATTCTTTCCGAAACTGCTATTCAACCTCAAATGATCCAAGTCTTTGTCGATGGCGTCGGTGCCAATTGGACATTGGTTTTTGTTATTTTCATTAACATTAGTATCTTCTTTTGTGGTTCTGCATTGACTCTTGGTTCTTCCCGTATGGTGTACGCCTTTGCTCGTGATGGTGCCATGCCTTTTTCCAAGTTCTTGCATACATTGAATCCTAAGACCCAATCTCCTGTTAATGCTGTCTGGTTTAACATTTTAGTTGCCGGTGTTGTTGGTATTCTTTACATCATCAACTCCACTGCTTTCAATGCTATTGTGTCGGTCAATACCATCGGATCTCAAATGTCATACTTGGTACCCGTCCTTCTTCGTGTTACTTCATCTCGTACAAAGTTCCAACCTGGACCTTTCAGCTTGGGTAAGCTCAGTGTTCCTATTGGATGGATCTCTAGTTTCTGGCTCATGTTTACGTGTGTTCTCTTTGTTCTCCCCACCGAAGCCCCAATCACACCTGATACCATGAATTACGCCATCGTTCCCTTTGCATTCATCATGCTTTGTTCATTAACTTACTTTTACTTTTGGGGTCGTAAGTGGTTTACGGGTCCTGTCCGTGTCATCGATGGTAAAGTTGTTATCCTCGATGATGATAACTCCATTCATTCACTCACTAAAAGTGAACTCTAATTTTTTTTTTGCAAAAAAAATAATAATTATGTATATATAATATCCCCCTTCTATCCCCTAATAAATCATTACCAAATTCAAATCTAGCCAATGGTAGAATAAGCATAAAATATTACGAAACCTCTTGTTATGCGGAATATATTACAAACCAGTTTTTTTGTTGCTGTAATATGACGTTTGTATGATGGAAAATTTATCTCGGTTTCTCCCTATATAAACGTGAATCGCGGCTGGCCATTCTTTAACTTCTTTAATAACTTTTACTTTATAAAATTATGATTAATAAACAGTTATTGTATATACTGTTGTTAATAACGACAGTATTTTCCCTTGTTTCGGCATCGGTGTTTGCTAGCCGTGTAGAAGATAAACCACAGTCAATCTATGACATCTTGGTCACTGAACAAAAATTCCATGATTTTCTGATGCAAATTGAAGAAGCTAACTTGGTTGATGACTTTAAGAATATTGATAAAGGTACTGTCTTTGCTCCTGTTAATGCAGCCTTTGAAGGAAAAACTACTTTGATTGCACCCCGCAAGAATTTGACCAAAGAGCAGCTATTGTATCATATTATTCCTGTTTCTCTCAAGTCGGGTGATTTATACGACGGTAGACTCTTGGACACTCAAGCTCAATTAGACGGTGTCACTCAAAAGGTCAAGGTCTTGAAATCTACTATCTCAAGAAACATTGAAGTTGGTGCTGACAACGGTCAAGAACTTGGTCATGTACTTGAAGAAATGGAGGCTACGAATGGAATGATTCAAGCTGTTGATAAAGTATTGCCTTTGCCTGTCTATTTAGGTAAAAATATATCAATTAATTAAAAATATGACCAATACTGATGTAAATGTGTAGATGAAACATTGCACATCAATCAAGAGACTGAAAACTTTTATGAACTGGCTAAAACCGCACGTATCGATCGTGAACTCAAAAATGCCAAGGGAAATACTATTTTTGTTGCAAAAGATGATTTCTTTGGTGATACTCTTGATCCTATTCAAAAGAAGTACCTCTTGGAGCAGAAGGGAGGTAGAAAGGATTTGGCTCGCTTCTTGGATCATCAAATTGCACCCAAGATTTTCTATTCTCATGATCTCAAGGAAGGAAAATCTTCAATTGCCACAGTTGAAGGTTCCGAAGAACTTGATATTGTTGTCAAACATAATAAGCTTCTCCCCTCCACTATCACTGTTAATGGCGTAAAAGTGATTCATCAAGATGTTTTATCAGCAAATGGTAAATGATATAAGCAAACAAACAAAACTAAGAAAAAAATTCCCATACTCACATATATCTTTACATTATAAACAGGTGTAATTCATGTACTTGAAAGCCCCATCTTACCAAAGAATAAGGAATTCCTCAAGCTATCGGCTCGTAAGGTTTTAGTCGGAATGAATGCTACTCGCTTCATTGAACTCTTTGATGAAAATGACCTCGGATCTTATTTGGACGATCAAAATGATGTAATCACCATTCTAGCTCCGTCCAACCATGCTCTTGATGAACCTAAGTTTATGACTGCTGCTGATACCAAGTCATGGTTGAAGTATCATATCGTTCATGGTCGCTATACTCCTTCTGACCTTCAAGATGGTCAATTGTTAGAGACGGAATCTCATGGTGATTTGGGTAAGGCCTTCCAACGTATCGATGTTCACATTGTTTCTCAAGACCAGGATTATGAAAATGATAAACTATTCAGAGAATCTATCACATTTGGTAAAGCTGGTGTATTAGGTGATCCAGGTAAAAAAAAAAAAAAAAAAAAAAAAAAAAAAAAAAAAAACCTAGAAATGTTTTTAATGTTTACATTTTTTAGTCACTGTCGGTGACAACTTAATTATCTATCCCCTCGCGAGATCTCTTGTATTGCCTCGCCCTCCCCTTAGTCGTCTTCCTGTTAATTTGGAATTGTCAACCTTTGTTGCTGGATTATATGCATCCGGTGCTGGTGAGGAAATTGAAAATGCCCATGGTATTACCTTGTTTGCTCCTACCAATGAAGCCTTCAGCCGTCTTGGTCTCTTGGCTAAATTCTTATTGCAACCCGAATCTAAAAAGAAGCTTGAACAAGTTGTTACCTATCACGCTGTTCGTGGTGTATTTTATGAAAACTCTACTTCCGAAGGTGAACACCGTGAAGTCACTTTGTCCTCAGGTGCTGAAATCAGATTGAATAAGACAGACCATGGCTTCTTTGTTCGTGGTAGTGGTGCTGCTGATGGAAATGATCGTAATACTATTGCCCAAGTAATCGATGCTGATATCTTGACATCCAACGGTGTTATCCACACAATTGATCGTGTTCAATTACCCAGCTCGCTTGAAATTACCAATCGCGATCTTTTATCTGCTGAGGGTACTAATAGCTTATTGAACCTTTTGGAACGTACCAACTTGACCGATAAGGTCTTGGACAGCTTGGATAAAGATACTCCTTACACCATCTTGGCCCCCTCCGATCAAGCCTTTGGTAGATTGAACCTTACTCATTTGTTGGAAAATCCCGAGAGACTTCTTAAAGTTGCTCGTTTACATATTCTTCCTGTCGCTTTGCCTCGTATTGATATCGGCGAGACAGCTGACAATAGCTACTATTACAATATCTTTGGTAAGAAGAAGGAAAGCAACAATGATCGTAAAGAACACAAGGATGTCCCTATGACTGGTATTGACGTTCCTACTTTGCACGGTGACACCTACGTTGTCATTAGTAAAGGGCTTACTGGTGGTTACACAGTTACAGTCAAGGGTACTTCCCAAGAAGGCGCTGATGTTATCAACCTCGGTCGTTCTAGCGCTGGTGGCGGAGTTATTATGATTGATCGTGTATTGCTTCCCAAGGAAGAACTTCACAGAAACGGCTTACCCTGGTGGGCTATTACTTTGATCGTCATTGGATCTTTAATTGGTGCAGTTATCCTTGCTGCTGCCGCATACATTGGATGGAGATACTATCAAACACGTCGTGAAGGTCATATCAGCTTGAGTAACCCTAACTAATACGTTGTTTCTTGACACCCATTCCCAATTATTAGCTTTTCACATTAAAAAAAATGAAAATAAATATTTTTTTTTGCAACTAACCTGTGTCTTAAATAACAAACATCTTAACAGTCAGCTTTATAGCTAGTTATATAATTTCCATTAGTCTCATTTTGAAGAAAATAAGTCCATGTATGCCTTGTTAGCTATAAATAGATTAATTTCATAAAAAAAAGATTTAATATTTACAGAATGAGATACACATTTTAGCAAACTAACTCTTGTGTGACCATGCAAGAACGTACTCGTTACACACACACTGCAAAAATGAACAGTAACGTTTTTTTTTTTTTTTAAAAAAAAATAGAATAAACACGCTTTGAAATTTTCCTTTTTCTTTTTTATATATATAACTCGTTATGCCTTACACGTCCTATAACGCTTATATTGTGCAAACTAATGGCGCAGTATTACTGGCCACGGTGATACTCAATTATTTTATTTTCTCTTTTAACATTTGGTCTCTCACATACATCTTTGACGCGATGTTTACTCAATGTTTAGGTAAGAGTAAGAATAATTGAATTACCTGAGTGTGGTTCTAATCAAAGCCCATTCAGAAATATTGCTTTCTATTTTATGCATTCACAATATTTATTCAATTTACAAAGGAACAATTAACCCATACTTTGCCAAGGTTAAGGTTCCTTATGGCGTTTATTTTTTCAGTAAGTAGAAACATTGAGAAAGTAACTTTTATTTATTAAACATTACTGCCTCAGGACCAGGACCTCTCTCAAAAAACTTTTTTAAAACAGCACACTTAGTAGTACATGGTAATATACGTTGAATGATTAGACATATCTTTATTATAAAGGCTAAAATATTCATGTACGTATAGAATTCTTACTGGGAAAACAACCTGTTCGACCCAATACGCCCACACCCGGTCCAAAGGCACAACAATCCATTTCAGCCGCCCCCAGTATTCCTGCTGTCAGTACTTCTGTTCCCGGTCCCACAACCTCTTGTCCACCAAGCGTTACCAGCATCTTTAATACAGGATCCAACTCTTCTTTCGACATCTCACCTCAGAGAGTCTTTAGCACTTTATCCAATTCAGTAGCTCCTAGAAACAGTACGTTTAACAGCGCAGTACCCAAGCTTAAGTTTGCATCATGCATTAAGCCCCCTCTTCGACCATCTGCCCATAGAGAGCGCATTATGTGGTATATGAACAGAACAGAAGAAGTAGTTGCCGATTTTAGAATCGAACAGGTAAACACAAGAATGAATAGATACTGGAGTAGATCAATAATATATTAACAATACAATACTTAGATTCTCGAATTCAAGAAAAATTGGACCAAATTTAACGATCACTGCTCCAGCCTCTTCTACGACAGACTTCTTCTCGTAAGTGTGATTGTATAAATTATTTGGAGACATGCTAATCAACTCTTTTTTTTTTAAAGGTCTTGTACGAAAAAATGTTCTCACCCTTGGCGAAAGCTATTGAACATTTTGATGTTATCCTTGCTAAAAAGAACCAAAGTCTGGTAAAATTACCTTCTGTCACTATTGCCCTCTCCTTGGTGATCCCTGGGTTCAACGTAAGAATAATGCCATGGATTGAGAGAGTTTGACATATTAACATTTTTATTTTAGAACAATGCCGATTTCACAGTCTCAGAAGTTGTGGATTTTCTGGCAGTGCAAGGTCACACCGACGAAGAAAGTATGATATATGTGAAAAACCGTATCTTGGGTAAGCTGAATTAAAAGGTTCGCAGTAAAGGAAGGATTATGATTTTCTGATCGGGTTCCCAAAATGTAGATTTATCCAAAAGCAACAGGTTGGCTGGCTTTTGCTACACTCCCAAGTCGGCTGGCATGCCTTCGGATGCTGAGGTAAGTATAAATAGTGTCTTTTTAATGATGATTTTGGTTTTTTAATTATTATATTACAGATCATGCTGCATGTGTTGGAGGTTTACTTAAGCCTCAAGGAACCCATGGCCATTCCCCCACTTGTGCCTGTAAGTAATATAATAACAATCTATACGCAATATTCTAATTTTTCAATTTTAGCCCCCCGTCAACTTGTTTAAGTTCCTTTTAACATATGTATATGTGACCCCAGAGTAAGTTATTTATTTGATATTATGTACAGCATGTTTTGACTGATTATTTTTTATTAGATTGGAGCACTGGGACATCTTTGAAAAGGTCAGTCCCCAATAATCAAATAAAACAAAAAATAAAATAAAAAGCAATCAGTCTCTATAACCAGTTACTGTCATGTACATTTATATATGGTTTATATCATTACAGCCATACGAAAGTATGAGTACGCATATTTACACTTCAGAGGCATACGCGAAAGATGCTAGATACGGTTTAGATTGCCTTGGATCAAACCTTCTATCGATATCAATTCGCATAATCGCCTAGCAAAAATCACGCATTGCATTTGATAGATAGAATAGTTTTGGGTTTGTAGCAGTCAGAAAGAATGGAACACTTTATCTATTGAAGCTGCAACTGTATGGTGCAACTTGAGTTGTGGATCATCACCAGTAAATGTGTTTGATGAGTATGTATGCTTCCTAGTAAAAAGATCATATGGTGATGCGTGCGGACATTCAACCACATGCGAAAAAAAAAAAGTACGAAGCAGACGTACAGCTAGTGAAAATACACGGAATCCAGAGGATATATCACAAAAAATTTCAGTGTGAGTAATAAGGAGATTGTTGCATGTTATCCATTGAATTTTCATCAAGTGTCAAATTTGAAGTCTATCACATAAAAAAAAAAAAAAAAAAAAAAAAAAAAAGCCACACGCTTCTCACATAAGATTAGAAAGGGTTTCCTTGCGGAGCCCGTAAACTCAGAACATTTTTTTTTCTTTCACATAAAAAATAATATGGCCGACTTTTATAGATCCGTAAGTGACATGGTATGAGTGACATGATCTACGACTGACATATATTTCAGCGCAAGAAGCGTAACTTTGAGAATAAGGATGCGTCCGGACCTGATTATGGAAAGGACAGACCTAGCAAAAGATACATGCCAACACAAGATGTCAAAAAGGCTAAAGAGATTTTATCGTGTAAGCCTAGAAAGTCCACCACGTCCTTAGCCATTCCCAGTAGTATTATTGACAGCGCACCCACTATTGAAATGAAGACGATTCTTGCTGGACAGATCGCTCGAGCACTTGTTATTTTCTCAGCCGATGAGATTGTAGTCTATGAAGACAAAGTACAAACCACACAACAAAAGATCAATCCCAATTTATTCTTAGCCCGTGTATTTCAATACATGGAAACACCTCAATATCTTCGTAAACAACTTGTGCCCATCAGTCCCGATTTGAAATTTGCAGGATTATTACCTCCTTTGGATGTACCTCATCATCCTGGTATGGAGGAATTAACCACTTACCGTGAAGGTGTCACGCTCGATAAATCCAACAACAATGGAGAAACAGACAGCACTTTAGTAGACATTGGATTATTTAGACGTGCTCGCATTGATCGTGCTGTTCAACCCGGTGTGCGTGTGACTGTCGAATTAAGCGAACCCATCTCTGCTGCTGATACTCGTAAAGGTCAAAAGCCCATTCCTGCCAAGGTAGTGAGTCCCAAAGTCCCACGTGAAAAGACAGGTCTTTACTGGGGTTATAACATTCGATTAGCTTCTTCCTTTTCTCGTGTCTTGACAGAGTGTCCCTATGAAGACGGCTATGATTTCACCATTGGTGTGAGTGATCGTGATGGAAAGGATATGTATAACTGTGATATTGAAAACCAAGTCAAACCCTATGAGCATTTATTGGTTGCCTTTGGTGGACCCGTGGGTGGACTTCAAGAAGCCATCGAGGCAGATCAAGATTTGAAGGTGGGAGGTGATGAAGCTGCCGAATTATTCGACTTGTTTATTGATCCCAACGCAAAGAGTGGTACCAGAACAGTTCGTTTAGAAGAATCCATGATGATGGTCATGTCTGTATTAAAACCCATCATTATGAATAAAGGAAAATAAAAAAAAAGAAGAAAAAAAAACTATTTATTAAATGTTCCTAATTCATCAAATGAAGAAAGTAGAGGGAGTAACATTAAGTCAACATTCTCATAGGATACGTTACAACACATGGAGATCAATCGCTTGTATTCTTGATGACGTTTACTAGGTGTTTGCAGTCTTAGTCTCATCAGATGATCAGTGTGTTCTTTTCTTTTTGCTTGCAATTGTTTTAATTGCGCTAATAATTCATGTGCATTTTCGATTGTTGGTTCAACTGCTGGATCGTGTGTAAGTTGTGGGATGGCATCTTTGATGGATTCTTGTTGGATATAAAGTGACTGTTTTTTTAATAATTGAGTTAACCTCTCCCCATCATTTTCAATGGCATATAAACGAACTGGATCAAATTGAATCTGTTCTGATGTATGTTGAGTACCCAATAACCTCTTTTTTGCTAATTCCAATTCGTTCCTCTTTTCTTTGATTAGATGATCCTTTTGTATTAACTCTCGTTCATAATTGCCAGCAAATCCATCGAATATCTGTGACACTACGGGTGGTTGAGCTCTATCGTTTACAATGATTTTCTTAAATAGAGATTCGACGGTATGTCTTAACCTTGATCTTGCTTGTAAATCAGATCTCTTTGGATGGATATCGACTTCGTTTGACATGACAGGCGAGTGAAGTTGTGGTTGCAGTCTATTATTTCGTTCGACTTCAGACAGATAATCTTGTGCAGTCATGCCGTCTTCATTTGTGATTTCAGAACTTGCACCAGCTTCGACCAATAATCTAACCAGCTTTTTATTACCGATTCTTGCAGCGATGGATAAAGCAGTATCACCATAGACATCTTGCACATTTAAAATGGAGATGAGTTCAGACTGATTCGAGGACAAAGTTTCAATAAGACATTCCATGTAATATCTTGAAGCATGAACTTTGCCCTTCCAACTTGCGGTGGCGGATACATGATGAAAGACAGTCTGATCCTTTTTATCGATATTGAAAATAGTTTTTTTTAACATGTCAATTAAGAACAAGAATGATTTGGCATCGAAATTGTTGGTGAATAAGACAGAGCGCATTAATGCAGTTTGGCCTTTATAATTGACACGATAGATATCAGCACCTAGGCTGATCAAGATACCGACCAACTTTAATCTGCCCATGGCAGCAGCCCAATGAAGACTGGTATGCCCTTCGTCATCAATAATGACATTGACATCTAAATCAGGCGGAGGTCTTAATAAGATGGCTGGAATACCTGAATCATCTGAAATAAAGTATTGTAATAGTTTTTGAGCATAAGAACGGTCATGATCATCCTCATACTCAAATTCATCTTGTGGTTGATGTTCGAATATCTGTCTACTTCTCTTTCTATCTGACATATCCAATAAACTAAAGTCTTGTACATCATGATCCAGTTCCAACTCTTCTTCTACAGGGTTACGTTTAGCAATCACTTTCTTTCGTTTGGGTTCGGTGGTGCGTGGTTTTCTAGGTCGAGTTGAGACAGCTGTGACATGTTTAGGAGCTAAAGGGGGGCTTTGGTCTCCTTTGACAAAATCAAAGATAGGACGTAATTTATTATCGACGTGATAATGTTCAGCCAAGGCCACTCCTCTTTCAAAAGGAACCCAAGTGCCTTTAAAGAAGGGTTTTATTCGTCAGAAAAAAAATAATGACTGAGAAATTATACATGCTATACGGTTACCTTGGTACTTGCCGTAACCACCTTGCACTTTTTCATGTTGGCCAATTTGAACTTCCTTTTCTAGAATTCGAGTTCGTTGTGGTTTGTCGAATTCGGCTACTTTTAATATCTGTGTCGCGTTCAGGTAAGAATCCAGCCTTCTTCTCATGACAGCTACATTATTACAGGTCATTTCATAGACAGGAATGCCTGAATAAGTCGCTTTATATATCTGTGTCATTGCTTTTTTTTTTTTTGGTGAACAAAGAAAAAGAAGAGAAGCACAAAAAACTTTTCATATACAGCAAAAGCTGTCTTAGCCTCACTACACACACACACACACAACACACACACAATGCACGTGGTTTCAAAGATATAAAATTATTTTTTCCCCTCCCTTTTTTTTTTACATCTCTTCCTTTCAATCTTTTCATCATTATAAAATGTCATCTACTTCTGGTATTGAAGTTCCCGCAACTAGCAACAATGCCTCTGCAGGCAAACCTAAACAAGTCAAGCTTGTTTTATTAGGTACTCTACACATGTTTGTATCTATAACATCAGCTAACTTTTTTTTTTTTTTTTTTTGCTGCTTATCCTAGGCGAATCAGCCGTCGGTAAATCCAGTCTTGTTCTTCGATTCGTGAACCGAGATTATGTTGAAAATAGAGAACCTACCATCGGAGGTACTGTTATAGATTGTAGGGTGACCTTGTGTTGACTTTTTTTATTTTTGATAGCTGCCTTCTTGACCCAAAAGTGTGCTACGGATGATAGAACAATTAAGTTTGAGATTTGGGATACAGCAGGACAAGAACGTTTCCATTCACTTGCACCCATGTATTACCGTAACTCTCAAGCAGCTATTGTTGTATATGATATCACTAAAGCTGTGAGTAATAAATTAAAATAAGGGGTTTGTTTGAATACTAAATAAATTATCTAGACTACGCTCGACAAGGCTAAATCATGGGTGAAGGAATTACAAAGACAAGCCAATACAGATATCGTTATTGCTCTTGTTGGAAACAAGCTTGATTTGGCTAGAGATGATTTAGAAGAAGGAGAGAGCACGAGTGAAGAAAACGAGAATGAAAGACAAGTTCCTAAAGAGGATGCACAAGCATATGCAGATGAAGCCGGTCTTTTATTCTTTGAAACCAGTGCCAAATCAGCATACAATGTCGATAACTTATTTGCTGCTATTGCAAAGAAGATTCCTTTGGAGAATATGCATTCATCTGGCAGTAGAGGTGGTGGAGTTGGCAGAAACGCTGCTGGTCTTACCCATGGTGTTAATCTGATGCAACAATCCACCAGTGCAGGAAACTCGGGTGCATGCGCTTGTTAAAACATTCTATTATGATTTTATTTTCTATATAAACTTTCTTCCGCCATTCAAAAAAATACCCTTTTCCCTTCTATAACACCTTGTTATACATCTTTTTTCCCCCTCTTCCCCTTTCATCTCCCTATAAAGAATTAAATAAAACAACGTGCAATCATCTTGAATGCTTCCCCAGCCCTTGCCCAAAGACCAATGACGACTTGGCGGAGTCATACTTGAGTAGCTTATATTTTTATCTTTTTTTTTTTTTGACTCGTGCTACACTTACAGATAACAAAAAAACATGCGCATATTTTGGTTTAATACAGACAACCAGCAAGACCCATTGACACTTCTTCATGACACTGAGCCAACTACTCCTTCACGCGAGTTACAGTTCCCACCGGAAATTATCAAAAAAATCGTCGACTATTTGCCACGGTCTTTTTTACCTCAAGTAGCAGGCGTCAGTCAATTATGGTACGCAACCGCCATGCCGATACTCTACCGACACTTGTATGTTCGCACGTTACCCCATTGGATGTTGCTGGTCAGAACCATGACGTCTGAAAATTTTAAATTCGGTCACTGTGTATCTTCACTTGTGTTGAAACCTTCACCAAAGTTGATCTCTGCACAATTAACAAGTTATTTAAACCAAAAGGTGGTAGTCAATGACGACGCATTGCAGCCTAATACAAGAGGATATGTACGACTTGAACGGGTGAATTTTGATTTGACTGGATTGGAAGGGATAGAAACACCAATGAATGAAGAAGAGGAAGTGCATGAAAATTATATGGAAATGGATGACACCAAGAAGGAATATGAATGGTTAATTTATGTCACAACAGACCAAGTGGGGTCTGTTCTCTGTCAATGTCCTGCATTAGAGTATTTGAATTTATCAGGGTGTGAAAGTTTAAAGGACGATATCATGACCAAATTAGTTGCTGGTAAACTAGCGGATATTCATCGAAGCAAGCCCATGAAGGGTATCTGGCTAAACCTATTACGAGAATTGACACCAAAAGGTATTGGGCGTCTTTGTCAATTTGAGCAGAAACAGTATAAATCAAGCTTAAACCACTTGGATCTTGGATATAATATAGGCCTTTCCAACATTGCGGTGAAAGAGGCTATCCAATGTTGGGGCAGGACACTCACTCATTTACGATTGGATACTATTTATGAGGTAAATAATGAGACAATCCAGTTTATGGCAGAGCATTGTCCCCAGCTTCGGTTACTGCATATCACTCGCTGTTGGAATGTAAGTAATCCATCCATTAAAGCACTGGCCAAACATTGTAAACAGTTAAAATACCTATCCTTGGCATTTTTGAATGCTGTAAATGAAGAAGGCATTCGTGCTGTCGTACAACTGTTGCCAGAACTAGAGTGGTTAAATATTACTGGCTGTGGTATCAATCAGTTATTTAAGCAAATGATTCTAGAGTCATTTGCAGACTATAGAAGACGACACCGTCTATGTCCTGTTTATATTCAAGATGGCAGTGTTAATTTGATTTAGAACTTAATAAACATTTGAAGTTCCGTTATTTTATGTGTGTATCCCAGTGTATTTTTTTTTTCCTTTGTCCTTTCTTTTTTAACCTATAAAAAATAACCATCTTATAACACATGGCTTCAGCAAGTAAGCATTATCTAAAAAAGAGAGAGAGAAAGAAGAGTGCTCGGAAGTACGCATAGACAACAACTAACGTTTTTATTTTAACATAGTCTTTATTTTGGACCTTAAGGGAAAAGTGCTTATTTCTCGTAACTACAGAGGTGACATTCCCATGAGTGCAGTGGAAAAGTTCATGCCTTTGGTAAAGAGATTTTTATAATAATGGTTGCCTAGATGATATTTGTCTAACCTTGATGCTCGCGTTTTTTTAGATTTCCGAGGCTGAAGATGAACAGATTCCTTTACCTTGTTTCACGCATGAAGGCATCAATTACTTGTACCTTAAACATAGCAATCTCTATTGTAAGTAAGTCGAAAAACGAATGCTGGGGGGGAATGCGCGTGCAAGATGAAATGTCTCCAACATTGGGCTAATAATTCATATAGTATTGGCCTTGACCCGAAAGAACACGAATGCAGCCTCCATCATGCTCTACCTTCATAAATTGACCGAAGTATTTTCAGAGTACTTTAAAGAGCTGGAAGAAGAATCTATTCGAGACAATTTTGTGATTGTGTACGAACTTTTGGACGAGATGATGGATTTTGGGTACCCTCAAACTACAGAGACAAAGATCTTGCAGGAATATATCACACAAGATGCACATAAATTGGAAGTTCAGGTGCGTCCTCCCATGGCTGTCACCAATGCTGTGTCTTGGCGTTCTGAAGGTATCAAATATAAAAAGAATGAAGTCTTTTTGGATGTGATTGAAAGTGTCAATTTATTGGTGAATTCCAACGGTAATGTGTTAAGAAGTGAAGTGTTGGGATCTGTCAAGATGAGATGTTACTTATCTGGCATGCCTGAACTTCGTTTGGGCTTAAATGATAAAGTCATGTTTGAAGCAACCGGAAGAGGTAAATGAGAATATACGCAATATCACATACAAATAGGATATTTAATCAAGTGCATATGCATTATTTTACTCAGCCAATGCTTCAGCAAAAGCGATTGAAATGGAAGACGTCAAGTTTCATCAATGTGTCCGTTTATCTCGATTTGAAAATGACCGTACAATCAGTTATATTCCTCCCGATGGAGATTTTGAATTGATGAGTTATCGTCTTCAGACGACAGTTAAACCTCTTGTTTGGGTAGAGGCAGTTGTGGAGACATACTCTGGATCGCGTGTTGAATATCTCGTCAAGGCCAGGGCTCAGTTCAAGCGTAAAAGTACAGCCAACAACGTCGAGATCGAAATTCCGGTACCCGATGATGCGGATACACCCAAGTTCAAATGCAGTAACGGTAACGTATCTTATAAGCCGGAGAGATCCTGTTTGGTCTGGAAGATCAAGCAATTCCAAGGTGGAAAAGAGTTCATCATGCGCGCTCACTTTGGCTTACCATCTGTACAAGCAGGTAAATATTTGTTGTATTAAAATAGATTTTTTTTTCTGCACACACATAAAACAAATCTTGCTAACAAACGTATCATTATAGCCGAAGATACAGAAAAGAAACCTCCCATCAATATTAAGTTTGAAATTCCATATTTTACAGTCTCTGGTATTCAAGTTAGATATTTAAAGATTGTTGAAAAGAGTGGTTATCAAGCATTACCCTGGGTCCGATACATTACACAGAATGGAGGTTTGTTACTTAATGATAAAACATCATTCCTTGTTCTCTCAACCTTAATTTTATGTAAATCTTTTAGATTACCAAATGAGAATGCCAGAATCTATCAAAGCCACCAAACATACTGCTGCTTCGAATGACTATTAGATACCTCATTGTTATTTCAATTATTTGGGGTCATCTTAAATAAATCTTTTTATAAACAACATGATTCTAATTATGACTTATGTCCGCATATGTGAAGAAAAAAACAATGGTCACTCAAAAGATGATATAAATCATCCTATTGTCCTGATTTTTCTTCTTTATTTCCCTTTTTTTTCTCTTTATCCTTCTTTTTTCCTGAAAAAAAAAATAAGAGACATAGAATGGCCAATTTATCACAATCTAGTCTTGGTGATATTCAGGAAAAGGATGTAGAACAACAAGTGACATCTAGCCACCGAAAGCGCAATATAATGATCGGTGGATTGGTGCTACTAGTGTCCGCAGTGATAGCGATTGCGATCGCAGTCCCTGTGTCTCTGGCTCGTAAGAATAGTATAGAAACGAATGCAAATATTGCTGCAGCTACCGAACGGGTAAAACAACAAATAGCTGTGACAACAGTAGATATCGTACAACAAGAAGAAATTGCCCTAAACAGTGCTAGTCTCGTTTCGGCTGATCAACACTCCATTCACCCGCCCAAATATGCGCATGTGGTATCGCCATATTCTAATTTGACTAGATTAAAGATATACAAGCCTGTGCCTGAGGCCCGTGTATTTGTGATGGGAGATATTCATGGGTGCCTAAAAGAGATGAACGATTTGCTAAAAGTTATTCAATTTCAACCAAACAAAGATGTATTAATATTGGCAGGGGATTTGGTCTTTCGGGGACCGGATTCACTAGGTGTAATTCGAAGAGCAAATGAATTAAACGCATTATGCGTACGAGGAAACCATGACGACAAGGTGGTTCGGTTAAGAGGTTATCAAAATAAATTCGGTATCAAATCCATGTCAGAAACGGAGGAAATCATGCCAGAAGGAGACGTAGGTGATCCATTAAAATTTGGTAATAAGCACTTGGAAATAGCAAGGTTAGTATCTTAGTATGACAGCTAATTTAAAATCATGCCCCCTTACATAAATAAACCCTGTTAGAAATATGAACGTGGACGATTATAATTATTTGGCTGGTTGCCCATTGATCCTGGATATACCCACTCTAGAAGCACGTGTGGTTCATGGCGGTTTAGATCCTCATATCTCTACTTTAACTGATAACGATCCTTGGTCTGTAATGAATATGAGAGACGTGGATGAGGAGCATGAACCTTCCAAATTAAAACTCACCAAAATTGATCCTGACGCTTCTAATGTTCATTGGACCACTGAATATCAACAAAATGCTCCCAACAAAAACATCACTGTCTTTTACGGACATGACGCTTCTCGTGGTCTTCAATTGGGAACTAATACAATCGGTGTAGATAGTGGATGTATCTACGGAAGAAAACTTTCGGCTATTAATATCAAAACTCACGAACTATTTCAAGTTGATTGTGTGGGTGAACATGGCGATGATGATGAATAAAAAAAAAGAGGTGTGTTCGGACGGGTGTTCAAATCGGCATGAATTTAGACACAAGCCCTTTTTTAACAATAAAAATAATAATAATTCCACAATGTGTGTTATGTGTATAATGTGACTCCATATTCATGTACTCGTGACATCAACAATTGAAGCTGTGTGTGAGTGTGAGTTTGCTCTTCCCCTTTTCATTTTTTTATTTTTATTTAATTGTTTCTACTTACACATCTAATGAGCTTTGAACCCAACAAAACAGCATGTGCATCCACACCTGATCAAGAGTATCTCCCACAACCACGCAATAGCAACCATATCAGCAAAGCACCCTTAAAAGATAAGCTATTGACAAATTCCTCCTATTTAGCCGCAGAGATTCCTTTAAAACTAGGACATTTCATGTCTAATCTCTGGACGTCTGGTTCCGAACTTTCCAGTTCCTTCTTCCTTCATAATCATGAGACAGAAACACAACAGCATATTATCTGGTTATTAGGAAATGCCTATTATAATAAACCTTTGGATGGAATTCAACAAGCGATACTAGAAGCGCAAAAGGATGAAATGTTTCGTCCCGTTCAACAAGAAAACCAAGTTCATACGGATACTACTTCCATGTCCATGTTATGGCCGTCTGATTTTTATGACGATTTCGTGTCCCGATTATGGATGACTTATCGTCACAACTATCCTCCTATCCGTCCTTCCAATCACAAGACCGATATTGGGTGGGGTTGTATGTTGAGAAGTGGTCAAAGTTTATTAGCAAATACCTTATTGATTCATTTTTTATCGAGAGGTAAAATTAAAAAATGATTTGAGTGTAAGCAAGGCATTTAATTTTTTTTTAAAAAAAAAAGATTGGAGACGACAAAAGCAAGAACAAACGGTTTATAAACAATATAGCAAGGTAAAACAAAAAAAAACAATCAAGTTTTTTTATCCAATGACTGACGAAACAATGGGTCTAGATTTTACATTGGTTTTTAGATGAGTTATCACCAAGAGCTCCATTTTCAATTCATCGAATTGCCTTACTAGGCAAACAGTTGGGAAAAAATATTGGAGAATGGTTTGGACCCAGTACGATCAGTCAAGTTATACAGTAAGTGTGGGGTTAATATATTTCTTTTCACATAATTAATAATGGATAAAAAAAGAGCCTTAGTATCTGATTTCGCGCCAGCTAATCTATCGGTATATATTGCAACGGATGGAGTTATATATCGAGATGATGTACAAGACGTAGCTACGGGGAAAAAACCGAGAGGGGATTTTTCACATCTAATTACCAGAGTATCTTCAGATGAAGGAGGTAGACAAGAGGCTAAAAATTTATATGAGGCTAGCAATAATGACGACGCAGCAACACCAGATCGAAGAGACAGTGAATTTAAGCCAGTTCTGATATTAGTGGCACTTCGGCTTGGAATTGATTCGCTTCATCCAACATATTATCCCGCTTTAAAAGCATGCTTTGAGATTCCTTCTTTTGTAGGTATTGCAGGAGGTCGACCTAACTCTTCCTTGTATTTTATTGGTCTTCAAGGCGATGACCTGATCTATTTAGACCCTCACTTTTCAAGACCTGCATTGGAAACAAAGGGACTATCTGAGTATACAAAGGAAGATTTTGGAACATACCACTGTACATTACCCAGAAAAATTAACATTGCCAATTTGGATCCGTCCATGTTGCTTGGGTTTTATTGCAGAACGACACAAGATTTTGATCTATTGTGTGACCAACTTGATCTGGTATATATATGTATATAACAGGACTAATACAAAAAACTAATCAATAATGATAGATTTCTCAAAAACATAGCGCTATTGTGTCTGTACAACAAAGCGCACCTGAATATGATGAGGATGTTCGAAGTGAAAATGACTTTGGTGTTTTGAGCGATGAAGACGAAGAACTGTCTGTAGACGATGATGATCATTCCATCTTTTAAAAAATAAAATATATCTTTTTTGTGTAGTATTAATTAATTATATATTAATGTAGAGGGAGCAGGAGGTTGTTCCTCTACTACTTGCTTTCCAGTGTAACACGATAAGATGTAATATCCTGCATGAGATTTACTGCAAAGTATTATTCTGCCTGTCTCATAAGATACAAAACAAACACAACTACATTTGTACATTATTAAAAAGTAGTGTGGTTTAAAGCAGTCTAACTAAATTCTACTCACATGTCACAGTTAGCAGTGATCATAGTTTTTTGTTGTCGGAATTGTCCATTTACCATATATTTGCTTGTACATACTTAGTACATGACAAGCTCTTGGGACCCTCGTGTCTGACGGTTTGTCAACCGTACTGTCATAAGGAATTAGCTATAGGACTCGTATTTTAGCCCACCTTAATCTGAAATACATCTTGATAAGGAGGTACACAATTAACCTTGCTTTTTGTTATTTTTGATTTGCCTTTTTTTGTTGTATAAAAGGACTCTTTCTTCATCTTTAATAAACTGTCATGTTATCCGGGAATTGGTGGTTTTTTTCATATGATATTGAAAATGAATGAAACAAGAGGTATTTCACTTCGACTAGGAGAAAAGGGAGGGTTTTGTTGAGAACAATTATGGCTAGTTGTGGCCTCTAAAGTTGATCTACTCTGTTTTGTTCCTCAAAAGACCAATAAATCAAGACAGAAAGAACTCGCAACTTCCTACTGTAAATATCGTATTATTAGACAGCTTAAATTCTTCATGATATTATAATAAAGGCGCTTCTCCTCTCACGGTATCTTTCAAAATGATGAACCAAAGATTTTATTTGCTTTTAGAGGGAATCTGATTTTAATTACAGAGGGGAAACTCCATCATCATTATCATTTCATCCATACGTTTAAGACAAGTATAGAACAGAAGTTATTAGAAAAAAGAAAGGATAGATAGGTTCAAAATGGGACATGTTTTTCAAAAATAAGGGGTTTGCAAATGAAGCAATAATGGAGTATGGGTTTTGTAACAAAGCTGATGAATGCAGGACACCTAAAAGGTGTTAAGGGCATGTGTCAATCTCCTTTATTTGCACTCAAACGCGCTAATTTGAACTCTTAAAGCAGTTGAGTATGTTTATGCTGGTACGTTTTGTAAGGTCTTGCGCGTTGGTCAGCCTTCTTACGATAAATACGTATCATAGTAGAACTCTTAAATTCAGCAATTCCGCCTTGGCTGAGACATCATCCGTGTCACAAGGCTTAACCCATGTACAATCGGTTGCACCATATCCGGCTTATTGACAAATTGACTTTCCTTGCCATTTGTGCGAGCTATAGAGTTTGTGGGTTAGTGCTCCCGGTACAAAAAGCTGTATCACAACAACAGTTACCAACCAATAATGCAGACTTCTATTGGCTGGATAAACACTTAAGAAATTATACTATGATTGTGGCTCCTCAGACCTCCACGTTAAACAGGACATGTAGAAGTAGAAAAATAAGCTGATTCTTGCTATAAGCCCAAAATATTATGCAATAAGTCGTATATGATATGACATTGTTTGCTCGATTTAAACAATTGGAATAAACATAATTTTTAGGATTATTTACGATTTTGCTTTTATATTAGAATTTATGAATGGTAAGAAGTAGGTATATTACTTGAGTCTGTAATTGGATCAATAATTGCACTGTTGGATCAAATAAAGACGAGCATATCATGTTAAACCGAAGCTAAGTAATGCCATGGGCACTGTAGTCATTACCACATTTAGGACTAACGATTGATCTCACGATTTCTTTTTAAGATGAATAAATAGCAGACATAAAACCAATTGGGACATAAACATTGTTAAAAACATATGACTGCGCAGGCATGAAGCCTCAATTGTGGTACCCACACGTTAATTTTACAATGACAAAGTGTCATTTTAAAACAAACGCCCTTTAAGAAAGAGCTTCGTTGTCAAAGGGACGATTATCGCTAAGCCAGTATTATTCCAAAAAAAAACATTGGATTAGTTGAAAATGGAAAACTTAACAAAAAAAATATATGGGTAGTTAGAAATCGAGTAACGTATTTGTGTCAAGGCAAAGCAAATCGTAACTTTTTATTGACAAGTACAACCTTAAAAAAAATGATTATAGCCTAATTTTCAAAAAAAAAAAAAAAAAAAAAAAATGCTTAAACATAATTTACATGGTAGGCAAGTTTAGTAGTAGAATAGGATGGGCGAGTGAAACAAAGTTTTAGGTTTACATTATGTTTTAAGAAATGTCGTCTTGATCTAAAAGCACGAAATCGCACAGTAGTTGTTAATCTATTGAACTTAAACATTTCTTGGATCCATACATTGACTTATTTCAAAGGAATAATAATGTCAAGGAAATGACAATATCGATGATAAGTGTGGTCTCTCTTACCAATAGTATTGACTATGTGCTTCAAAAAGTCATATCAAATTATGAGCAAAGACAAAAAATGGTATATCTCAACAGGTTAATATGTGGAAGATAGATTGATTTGCTATATTATGTAGTGTAAAGCATCAATCTTATTAATTCCTTATCAATTCAAGCAAAGGCTTTTACAAAATTTTCAGGGCTTAATAGTTTATTGTAACTGAAAGACATAATCAAAAGCCTATGCTCATTATGTGGATCGCTCTTTAACCAGCTATTTTTTCAAAATTCCTTATTATGAAGGATGGTTTGAAGTTTTTTTACTGGTTGTAGTGTACTAGTTTGTATCGAAAATAAGGGTATTTCATTGTTAAATTGATTTTCTGAAAGAATAACACTATTAAAATTTAATTCTATGCTAGGCAAAACCCTTAGCTGATTACTTAATAAAAAAAAAAGAGTAGACGCAAGCCCTAGACATGTATGTACAACAAGAAGTAAAGCAAACTGTCGTACTGAATTTAATTTTTGTTAATAAACTTTGAGAAATTCAGGAGCGAATATGAGCTTTTTGAGAATGCAATCTTTGGCCAATAAAAAGAAAGTGTAGATTGGAAAAACCAATTTTTGGGAGTCATTGTTCTATTACATTTAAGCGGGTTTACTCGCCGAAGAAAAGACGACTCCTTGGTTACATTACTCCGCCATGAGATCTCTTTGTGTAAAAAAAAGAACAATAAGCTAAACCATCTGCTTTTCAAAAAAAAAAAAAAAAATGGCTTGTTTTGTTTTACCGGCACATTTCCAAAAACTAATTTTTTATTCTTGTTCAAGAGTTTCAACACTTCTGACACCATTAATTCAGGTACATGATACCCTTTAGTTTTTTAAAGTAACGCAACGTTTTCCCACCAAAGCTGATTTCAAAGTGAAGTGGCAGCTTTCGAAAGATGTTACACTAAAACCAACAATCATGTCGAATCCATTTGTTTACGGTGTGTAAAATAAAAAAAGAAACTCAACTGTAAAGAAAAAAAAAAGCTTGAAACAAAAAGGACACACCAAATGGCTGAAGGTTTGAAGTTGCCATAATAAGACAGACGGGTGGCGGAATATGAAAAAGTTACAAAACCACAAAATGTCTAGGCTGCAATATGAAAAGTGTCATTTTTTTTATATTCATGTGTTGTATTTTTTTTTTTTGTTTTCACTATACACATATTAGGTTCCAAAAAAAGTTATATTTAGATGATGTATGCAGCATGGGACAACTTTTAGCATATAGTTGGAATAATGAAAACGTAAAAATTGTCATGGTAACTGGAAAAAGAGAAGATTTAAAGTCAGGAAGGAAAACTAAAACGTTGACTTCAACTGGAACGATAAAAAAAAAAGGCTTACAAACATGAGAGAAAAAAAAACTGATCAATCAAATCTTACAGGTAATACATTCTGTTTTTTCATTTTCGAAAAAAAAAAATCATGTATCCATAGAGAGAAAGTACAATAGTAACAATAATGGTAACAAAAAAATAAAATTAGGGCGCCTCTTTCTTTTTATGTTTAAGGTTATAAACTGAGGCTTTTGTTTTCTATTCAACTTTTTCTTATTTAAGCACTTTTTTGAACTATTTTCACATGAGGCTGATTATTTACAAGCAAAAAAAAAAAAAAAAAAAAAAAAAATCATTCAGCCATTTTGTTATTATTTTTTTTTGGAAGAGGCGCTCTTGCATGGACGCGATTTATTTACATGTAGTTAGAGGGATTTATATCGAAAATGTTGGGTACAACTGGGATATAGCTGACGCGATGTTTTATGCTGCACATTCCTCAACCTTTTTCGTTAAATACTATTCCTTGTTTTGTTACTGCTTTATATTCCAAAGGCTATTGACAGATTCATCTAGATGAAAAAATCTCTGCTCGTCATAGATAGTACAAGTTTATTTTTTTCCTATTTTTTTTTTTTTTTTTTTTTTTTTTGATTCCACGTTGCAGTAGTCTGTGACACAGGAACTTAACCCTAATGTTATATGATCCAAACAACACAATAAAAAAACTTGTTAAAGTACACAGCCATTCGATTTCATGGCTCGACTGTTTATAAAAAGTTAAAACAAACCTGCACTTATTTACGTTTGCATCAAAAAAATCAACGGGAAGGTCAATACTTGACATTTTGCCAAACACTAGTCGCACACACATACTTCAGGATTACCAAAAAAAAAAAAAAAAAAAAAAAACTGGGCAGACAAAAAAAATCAAGGCCAGAAGGATATATCTTTAAAAAGGATCGTTGTCATACCTATGACAAAAAAAATGGGGAAAAAAAAGACATGATTATCAAGACTCTATTGTTGATATTGTGGATAAGCAGCTTATTGGTTAGCCAGCATAATTTCGCCCAATTTTTACCTCAGCTTTTTTGACAAGCGACTGTAAAGATAGATAAACAATATGCACTAATAACAAGGTGGGATTTCATTGTTGTATGAAACACCATTGTGTTTAGTACAGGATTCCTATCATGACCTAATTTTAGATAATCTTGGGACACACTTTTTTTTTTCTTGTGCTTTTGACAACAACAGCAGCAGCAGCAGCAGCAGCATTGATAGCGTACTGAGCCGGCCAATCATGATGACATGGTCATGGTGTCATTACTTGAATGGGATGCCCGGGGGAACACTCATCCCAGATAGGGTTACGGAGGTGGCTAACAAGGGGAATTACCTTATTCATTATTGTTTTTATTTTACAGTAAGTTTCTTACAAAAAGCTATGAGAGATAGCTGTTGGGCTAGAGAAAATAAAGCTCCTAATATTTGCTCACGCTGATGAGGCAGTGTCTGTTTTCCTTTGTTTCTTTTTAAATTCTCTTGGTATTTTTTTTTTTTTTTATATATACTTTTTCTTGTTCAGGTGTTTTAATATTATTTATATCTGCGAATAAAAGAACGATGCCATCTTCCATGTCTGTGTAAAAAATGACAAAATGCGCGTATTCCGGTCATCTGAATACAATGTAAAAAAAGATTTTTTCTAGTGTAACTGGTATCGGAAACGGGTGTAGTAAAAAGAAAATAGTTGCACAAACAAAAGCCTAAAAATACACCTGCCGCTTGGCTGAATTTTGTATAAAAAGAATGGATTTATTCCAAATGTTTCCTTTTTTTCTTCTTTACTACAAGTCTCTCTATTTTTCTTTACTTTTTTATTATTTTTTTATACATACATATAATATACCTTTACATACAATGAACACATCTTTTTATCACCAAGATCAAATCAACATGTTTTCTTCTCCACCTCATCAACAAGCAGATCATTACAATTACTTTACATCAATGCATCAGCTTGAGTCTACTTTATTAAATTTCCCCCCTTCAAATGATAATACAATGAAGATGGAAGCTACTTTCTATCCCAGCCCATCTGATTCCCCATTATCAAGCGAAATGATGGTGGTTACACCTGATTCTACTACGGATCTTCAATTTCATGAAGCCTTTTTCAACACCCACAGTCAATTCCTTGATTCTATGGCCATGGTACCACCTCTTGGTCAATTTGATTCTTCTTTTGATATTCCCGTGGACGCATTTGCTTCTATTTTGACTCCTGATCTCTTTGAACACAAGGCTCCTGCAATTGATTTGGTAGATCAATTTATTGCAGAACATCAAGCTGCTTTAGATGTACCAGAACATCAAATTAGTGAACAGTCCAAAGAAACTAGCTGGTCTTATTGGACTTATTCATCTCGTGCTTCTACTCCTGAAGTCTCTTCAGACTCAACCACAACCCATGAGGACAACTCTACTGCTCCTTCTTCACCTGTACCTGAAGTGGCTGTCCGTAAAAACAAAAAGACTAATAAGGTAACTAAAGCTCCTGGTACGACACGTAGGGGTCGTGGTAAAGGTGTCAAGAATAGTGTCTCAAAGAAGGCTCTTGCTGCTGCTGCCGCTGCTGCTGCCGCTGCTACTACTAGTACTACCGCTGCTACCGCTGCTGCTTCTGCTTCTACTCCTGTTATGTGTACATCATCATCAAAAGAACCCGTGGAAGGTGCACTTTACGTTTGTCAACATGATGATTGTGGAAGATCATTTACTAGACCCTACAACCTCACTAGTCATATGCGCACTCATACTTCTGAACGCCCTTATGCTTGTACTCACTGTGGAAGACGATTTGCTAGACAACATGATCGTAATAGACATGAAAAGTTACATTGGGGAATCCGTCCTTATGCTTGTCACCACTGCCATAAATCATTTGCTCGTATGGACGCATTAAATAGACACTTGCGTATGGAAAATGGCTGTACTGGCGCACATTTGTAACTTTCTTTTTCTTTTTGCTATTCTATTATATATATATCATATCTGTTCATATTCCTTCCTTCATGTGTAATTTACTCGCCCATTTCCCCCCTTCAACTTTGAAAAAAAAAAAAAACTGTAAATAATAAATTCAATATATCTTATCCCAACTATTCTTTTCGTTACTATTGATATTGTTGTACAAAACCGCATATATAAAAAATAACAAAAAAGAATGTTTCCTTTTTGAGAATTATTTAAATACACATCAGCCTGGTTTGATATAAACAGAAACCAAGCTTTATTGTAAAAGCTGGTTTATAAAACGTTTGATAGGTGTCTCTTTATTTTTGTAAGTCAGATTTTTTTTTTTTTCACATTTGTATACATTTTCTTAGCTCTTCCAAATTTCGTATGTAGTTTTTTTTTTTTTTTTTTTTTTTGAATATGACGTCTTCTTGGAAAGAAAAAAAAATGTATTGTTTGTTCTATAAACGTATCAGCTATAATCTTCCTCGTACAAGCAAGTGTAACGCAAAACCTTATTTGTTTGTTTTTGTCACTTTTTTTTTTTGTGGTGGTTTGTATTTCTGTGGTGGCTGTGTGGAAACATTACTCTTTTTGTCACTTTTTTCTTACAAGAATAGATTTTTTTTGTTGTTGTGTTGTTTTGAACCGCCCAATATTGTGTACAGTGGGTTCCGGTCCCGAACAACCAAATATATCCTGTGAAGTAAACAAACTATTTTTTTTGACACTTTGTTAAAAGACACTCATTCTAAGGACCAAAGGAAAAAAAAAAAGAATTGACTGAAACGCAAGAGACAACAGGTGGGACAGAAAATGAGAAAACGATTCAAGAAAGATGCGCAGTAGCAGACGTAGCAGCCCGCAAATTTTAATTGAGTCATAGAAACTACAAGACACACTTTGCACAAATAAAGTTGCATTATAGTACAATGGGCGCAATAGTTGAATATAGGCATATATAATTTATCATGCTTGGGGACAGGGTTTTGCCGATTTAAATCGGTAGAGGTCCAACAAACGCTTCTTCTGATTACGGTTACATATGTCGTTGTATTAGTCCGCTTTCTGCTAAAGCCGGGGTTCTTTTGGCCTACTACTTTTGATTATGACGCGGTTCGTAAATCTCGTACGATTAACTACCGTTTGCTCATTTCCCACATATGTTGATAGGTGCATCTTGTCCATGTTAGGGAAAGGAGGGAGTCGTCATAGAAATGGTGGAACCAGATTGTCGGATTTTTCTTTATTATGTAAGTAGTCTGGCTCTTTTTACTTTTCTATCCCCAAAAAAAAATCATGGATGATTAAAATTCGGTCTTTTTTAATTTCGTAATGAAAATCTCTTTTGCTTGAGAATGGGGTATCAAAAAAGCTCATGACTTGGCTAGACCCGATTAAGAAATATGTTTTAGCAGGCTACACAAACCTTTTTTCATCTGCCGACGGACAATCTTGGCAGCGCAAGTAAAAAAAGTTTTCAAACCTTTTACAAAGTGTAACATAGTTTTTGCATTTTTTTCTTTCTCGGTAAATAGGTGGATGAAAGGAGTTTTACGGTGTTTCAACCTTGAATAACTAGCTTTGCCAAAACATAAACAAAAAACATGTTACAAAAATAAAAGTACAGTATTTTATTCTAGTTTTTACAGTGATATGTTGTAACTAGGTACACGTTCATTTTGAATTATCGAAAAATATGCATTACGACAAAAATTGATGTTGTGTATATATAAATAACAAATAGATGACCATCATTATGCACCTGTCCCAAAAAGAATGGTTGTGGTGGCTAAGCATCGTTTTATCCATATTTGGGATGATGAGGCTTTTTTTTTTATTTTATTTTATTTTAAAAATAGGCTTTTCTATCTAGCCCTGCTAGAGCAACAAAGGGTAGGAACAGGTACCTTTAAAAATTCACCTGATAGTCCCAGCTGATAGCTTGTACGAGGTAGCTATTTTCGGTCTCCTATAGAACAATAAAACTACCCTTCATTGTTTGTTGTTTAAAAGGGATCATCAACATGAAACAATAACCTCTTCATAATGAAAAATCGTTTTTTTATCACTGTCCAAGCAAAAAAAAAAAAAAAAAAAAAAAAAAATCTGGGAGAAAAAATTCTTGAAACTCTTCTCTCTCTCTCTTTCTTTTTTCTTTAGGTACCATGGTTATACGACGATTGCGCGTTTTCAGATTTAATCTATCAAAACCAGATTTCCTAATTTCGCACGTGTCTGTAAAAACGTCTTGTTTAAAGACTAGACGTTTTCTCAATCAGAATGACGATCTGTTGTATTACCTTTAGCCATTGCACCATGAAGATAAAAGAAAAGAAGTCATCTCATGAAATATCTACGCATATGGCATACTCAAGCAATACTATTTTGTTTTTTATTTGCTAGACATAAAAATAGAATTCGCCCTCCTCCCCTCAATTTACCTAAAAGGTCTAATCAGCGATATCTGTCCTTTTTTCCTGAATAACGGGCAATTCCTCATATATCCTTTGCGAATATTCGTCATGATTTCTTGGTCATGTCCTAAAGTATCATGTGCTATCGATAAGCCAAAAATTATTATGGCCGTTTATTCCACAATCAAAGAATATTTATTTTTTATCGAAGCAACCATTTTAATCTTATAGTTGTACGTGGAAATAATTTTACCTGCGTAGAACGTCTTGTCAAACATATAAAAACTAACGGTTGGAATATGATATAATGCTGTCGGAAAAACGGTTTAATCTATCACTAGTTAAAAGTCTTTTTTTTAAGTGACATTTTACCACCATCGTTGCTTCAAGCTTATCATACTGCAGCTTTTATTTAAGACTTTCTCCTTTGCAACTTAAAAATCCGTGTGTTAAATTTTGTAAATGTTCATATTTGTCATTTCCCTATATAAAAAAAGCAAACTGAGGAAAGCCCATTTATTCCGAGTAAAAGAAGTCTGCACACACGTCTATTCACGTGATTATCTGTTTTGCATCCATTTTTAATTTATAGTCCGTGTCTACACCTATAAATCATTATTGGGAAACAAAAGACATAATCAACATTCAAAGAACTTTGCAGAACAAAAACTAAAGAACAGTCATCAATCTCAACAAGCTTAATAAGAATAACTAAAAAAAAGTAGAAAAAGTAATTATTTAATACGATACATGGCAGTTCAATATATATTGTACTGGTTGCGTATAATATAAACAAAGTACTTAGCGAGCAAGTATTACAATTTGAATCTAGCAAGACCAAAGAAAAAACTAGTACTACGATCAAAATTGTTGCATAAACATCAAACCATGCTTCAAACGACTATTTACTTGCTGATGTTTATACTTTTGTTCGCTCACACAGTTGATAATACAAATCAAGTATCACTAATAAGAGAGATAAATATATTGAAATCAGAAATTTTGTTTGATAAATTTGAGTCGATAAATAATGCTGAAATTGTTTATTATTGCGAGATAGGACGTTTTTTAGTTTTTTTGGGTCAGGACCTATGGCCTCTTTTAAGGTTAACATGTCCACAGTGACTTTTAAATCATGATGATTTCTTAAAGCACTGTTTCTGTCAGATACAATATTTTTTTATACCACATATTCCTCAGGCTTTCTAATTCCCTGAAGACACCAAAAAGATGGTTTTATACCAGACTTGAGACTTCAAATAAAGAAGTTCCACAATTATACATATACGTGCTATACTTTGACTACAACAAACGCAAATGAGATTAATTCAATACCGATATAAATACACAAGCGGATTATCTTATATCAGTACATACAATGCTGCATCTTTGTCGATGGAGAAATTGCGAGCAACACTGCATCATCATGGATTCAATGAAGAATTTGATCTTACAACTGTCTTTTATGTCCGTTTTATAAAGGTTACGTTACAATATTTGTAATCATTACAAGAAATTTCTAGTTGATATATAACTAATCCACGCATCCATGGTCTGGTTCCGTTGAACTCCCACAAACCTCGTTAAATAATATTATGTTGGAGAGTAAGATGGCAACTTACCTTATAATATATGTCGTGAATCACCTACTTCTGGCTAAAAATGATATGGCTGAACTTCTGGCTGACTTGGAGGAGAAGTATACGCTACTGACTGTATCAAATTTGATTGTATTAAACGACTGCCTAGGGACTTGTGGAATTTTCGGGAGGCATAAACGATAAGAATTCCTTTTTAAAATGTATGAGAGACCCCAAAAATTATTTAGTGACATGACAAAGGGCGATGTTTTTAAAATCCAGTAAAATAAGAGTATCAACTACTAAGAGCATGGTTTTTTTAAAACAAACTAATAAAAAAGTCTAAACTTGTGGCATATGCTTTTTATTTTAAATATCTTTCGTAATCTTTTAGGATTAAGAATTAATGATTAGGATTAGGAAATACCGAGCCCTTTATACTTATATTGTATATACTCATAAATTATATTTCTGGCTCAGGAAGACACAACAATAACGTCTAGTACCCAGTTGTAAATCAGGATCACTAGGCGTACCAACCATTTCTTACTAAAAACAAGACTCCGCTCATAAAAAAGTAGTGCGTATATCAATCCCACAATACGCGCTTTAGACAACATGACATGTTGTTTTGCACCAATGACAAATCCAACCGAATTGGTTCCATCGATCATAAGAACATTCTAATTTCCCATTTGGCCCATAAGCAGCCATTACGTAATGATCCATTTATTTTTATATTAATTGTGCGGTGAACATCCAGACAGATTCACTATTATATTGCTTTGCCCAAACAATATAAATAATAATTTACGTGGTAATGAGTTTTACATGTACATAATTAATTTTTTTTCTCCAAATACCAATAGCAATATATACTGGAATATATTAAATGTATTTATTTTTATGACCATAGGTAACAAGTGAAGGTTAAAAAAGGCGGAGATCTGCGGTTTTCATGTATGCTCGCGCTTTGCGGTATAAAGACAAGATGAGCCAATATTGCCACAAGATAATGTCAGGTTACTTGTTAGATACCGTTATCTCGGATAGTACCTGATTGGCGAAGGATCAGGGAACTATTCCCGTTCCGCTAATAATGGGGAAGATCCCATATATGTTTAATTATTTAAGTTTTTGAAACTCTTTTTTTTTTGTCATGACATGAATGACGCATTTATTTCTTTTTTTCCCCTTGAGTGTAAAAGTAGTTCTTATTTGTATAGGACATGCGCTTTTCTAAATGGAACGTTTTACGTTCAAGGATTTTGAGTTTTGTCATGTCTATCTTGGATTGATCCAATCACAAGTTGGTAAATAATGTTCATTTTAAAGTCGTAGATCTTTTCTATATTTGTACCCTATGTCTTGGTGTGCAACACATGATGGGATAATGCACTCCCAGTGGCACTGAAAGAAAAAAGATGCAAAAATGGAGAAATGTGAATATTTTGGGAATCCTTATATAAGAAATTTACATGTCTTAATTGATTAACTGTTTATTACATCTGACGCGAAATTTCCTGGCCATTAAAAGAGGATGAATATAATTGTAACACAAACATTTAATGGCACGAAAATATCCTTTAGCAAATTTAAATAGCTCAATTTTAATTTTCGATTTTGTACTTCCATGCGCCTTAAAAGCCATTGGCCTGGCTTTGTTTTAATTCAAAGTTACACGTTGAAAAAGGACATAACATTTATGTTATGTCTAACTTAAAAGTCATGTATAGTATGTAAAAAAAAGCTTAATGCGAGGGGACAGGTAGTATGCAATTTAAACATGAAACGCATCATGTTAGTGATGTATAAAGTGCCTCTCTCTTTATGATTCCAATAACGTTTCATGCAATCAGTATATAAATTATTGAATTCTATATATGGTACATCTTATCGAAAACGTGGGTATGTAGCATATTATCAATGTACGGTTATTTTTATTTTATTTTTCTACATGAATCGCAAAAAAAGCGCAAAAAATCAATCAACCACATATATAAAAGTAACGCCTGTAGATCAAACTTTCTCTTCTTGTTACACTTTAAAAAAAATCAATCCTCTTTTCTTTGTTACATTTATTTCATTTAAAAAATAATCTTCATTTCGATCAAAAGAAATGAATTACATCGATGAAAAGCCCGAAATAACGGCTATAGAAGATGCAAAGATCAAGTTTGCCAAGGTTCATCGTCCTGAAAGGACAAGAACAATTCAAACCATGGAAACCACTGGTTCTCGTAGACCCTCTATAAGTGCTCCTAAACGTCCTTCAAGAAAGGATAAGCCCGAGAAAAAAAATGTTGATATTGTAAAGTAGAGAGTTATCTAGACATTACCTACGTCCACTAATTTTACTCTTCTTTAGACTGAACATTTGCTCACCCCAGAGGAATGCGCCGACAAGTACAATACACTTATTGATTTAAAGAAGGCGGGTGAATCTCAAGGTCTGACTGCTCAGCAAGCTGCCAATGTCTTGCTTGAAACCGGTCCTAACGTACTAACACCACCAAAAAGAAGACACCCTTTCTTGAAATACATCGATTGTGTTCTTAGTCTATTCAATCTGCTCCTGATTCTTGCTGGTATTCTTGATTATATTTTATTAGCAATTGATTATAAAGCAAACTTTGCCAACGTAAGTTCAAAACATTGATTTATTAAAAAAAAAAGCATCCCACTTATGAACTATCCCATGTGCAGACATACCTTGGTGCTATCTTGATCGGTGTTTCCTTGTTGAACGCCTTTATTGAATTCTATCAGGAACAAAAATCTCAAGCTTTACTGGATTCTTTTCTTGACATGGTTCCTGCCAAATGTATGGTTCTTCGCGACGGCAAAGTACAGCAGATCGATGCAGCTCTACTTGTTGTGGGTGATGTTGTCTTGATTCGTATGGGTGATAAAGTACCAGCGGATCTTCTGATCTTTTCCGCATCCGATCTCAAAGTTGATAACTCACCTCTGACGGGTGAATCGGATCCCCAGGAACGTGGCCCTTTTAATTCCCAAAAGAATGTGTTTGAAGCCGAGAATATTATTTTCAATGGTACTTTAGCCGTCTCTGGTGAAGGTTATGGTATTGTTGTAAGAACCGGTGATGGTACCGTACTCGGTCAGATTGCTGGTTTGACTGCTGGTGAAGCAAAAATGGATTCGCCACTTTCACAAGAGGTATGACAATTAACCCCGCACGTATAACATGACATAAACTGATGGCCTTTTATTTCCTTTTTCTTTTCTTTTTAGATTGCTAAATTTGTAAAAACCATTGCTACCATTGCTCTCGTGACAGCAGGTGTTTTCTTTGGTATCGGCTTCCCTGTAAATAATAACAATGTTTCTCTTACACTTAACTTTGCTATTTCTGTTTTCGTTGCTTGGGTTCCTGAGGGTTTACCTGCTACTGTGACTATTCTTTTAACTATCTCTGCTAAACGTATGGCTGCTCGAAACGTGTTGGTCAAAGATTTGCAAGGTGTCGAAACACTAGGTGCCATTACTTTATTGGCTACTGATAAGACCGGCACATTGACTCGTAATCAAATGACTGTGACCTATGTTTGGTCTTGTCTTACCATGAAGAATGCCATGGAAAAGCATACGGGACAACCCCTTATTGAATCGCCTGGCGTAGAAGAGATAATGAATATTTGTACGTTGAATTCCCGTGCCAAGTTTGACCGAACGGATGTCCCTGTCTCTGCAAGACAAATATTGGGTGATGCTACAGAGACTGGTCTTGTGCGTTTTGCTGGCGAAGGTTTTGGTACGAAGTTCGACTCGATTCCCGATCAATACCCCAAAGTGTTTGAAATTCCTTTTAATTCCGATAACAAGTGGGCGATGACCATTCACAAAAAGAAACATTCCCGTGGTCTTTTAACTCTGTTCATTAAGGGTGCTCCTGAGCGTGTTCTTGGTCTATGTAACAAAATTTTATTGGCAGACGGTTCTTCTACTACCCTCACGGAAGAGCACCTTGCAGCTTTCCAAGAAACATATTCTTACATGGCAAGTCAAGGTCATCGTGTATTGGCATTTGCACAAGACTTGCTCTCTGGAACTGAGTACCCCGAAGATTTTGTATTTGATAAGACAAACAAGAATTATCCCATGTCTGGTATGACCTTTGTAGGTCTTGTTTCTCTTGAAGATCCTCCCAAGCACGGTGTCCGTGAAGCCATTGGTAAATGTCGTGCAGCTGGTATTAAAGTCATGATGGTGACCGGTGACCATCCTTTGACTGCTGAAGCCATTGGTCGCAAAATTAATTTGATGGTAGGTGATACAAAGGCTTTAGCGGCTGTAAGACTGTCCTGTTCTGAAGACCAAGTACCTGAACACGAGTACAGCAGTATTGTTGTTCATGGTGACACAATTGATGCGCTTTCAGAGGATGACTGGGACACCATCTTTTCCAAGGATGAAATTATTTTTGCTCGTACCTCTCCCAAGCATAAATTAGAGATTGTGAAACATGCACAAGCAATGCGCCATATTGTGGGTGTGACAGGAGACGGTGTGAACGATGCACCAGCGCTGAAAAAGGCCGATTTGGGTATTGCCATGAATATCTCTGGCTCCGACGTTTCTAAAGATGCAGCTTCCATGATTTTATTGGACGATAACTTTGCTTCTATTGTACACGGTATTGAAGAAGGTCGATTGATTTTTGTCAACCTGAAGAAATCAATTCAATACACCATCACGCATTCTATGCCTGAAGTGATTCCTAACCTGCTGTATATTATTGTGCCTATCCCTCTTCCATTGTCTGCCATTCTTATTTTGGTGATTGATCTTGGGTTTGAATTGTTTGCTGCACTTACGTTTGCTTGGGATATTCCTGAATCCCAAGATGGGTTAATGAAGATGTGTCCTCGTAAGCCTGTTAACCCCGAGTCCATTGACCGTCATCGCCGTTCTTTAATCCGCAAAGAGCAATACATCGAATACAATGAAGAGACTGGAGAGGAAGTACGTCCCCATATTTTCCGCCGTTATCGTAACGCTATTCATGAATTATGTTCTGCTGCCTATTGGAAAGAAAAGTTTGAAAAGACGGACGATGAAGTCCTTGTAGATTTACCACTATTATCATGGGCGTATTTAGAGATTGGTATGCTTGAAGCGATTGGAGCTATGACATGTTATTTTGTTGTGTTCTGGTATAATGGAGTTACACCGTACGATGCGGTCATCATGCAACGCGGTGCTGGTGAACCTACCAATTATTTCCAAAACGGGCCTTTGTATGCTCTTGATTATACCAATGTGGCAGGCAAAACTCTGACTGCTGAGATGCAAAAACAAGCTCTTGGTCAAGCGCAATCGATTGTTTATTGGGGTATCATGGTGATGCAAATGTTTAATATGTTTGCATGTAAGACACGTTTCAGTGTACCCATCGGCCGTTACATGTTTTCCAACAAGTGGACGTTTGCAGGCATCATGGGAGGTGTTTCCTTAGCCACTTTAATTGTGTATTGTCCTCCGTTTAATATCCCATTCGGTACAGATTACCGTTTGATGCCTTATTGGTGGTTCATTGCATTTGGGTTTGGTTTCCTTATTATTGGGTACGCATGTATTCGTATTAAGATTAGACAAAAGCTTAGTCCGGTGTCTTTCAACCCTGATATTCAAGGTTTACGCATGTTCCCTACCATTCGAACCGTAGCTACACATGATGCTCGATCTGTGAATAGAATGGCTTAAAAAGGCTATTCTTTCATATATACATATATATATTAATCCCTATATCTCTCTCCTTTCATATAATTACATTCTAAATAATAAATAAATTGATAGATTTTTTTTTCTTCTTTGTGACTCTCCCTGAAATTGAAAAAAATTAAACTATACTTGTTCGGATACCATTCCCGAAAGATAATTTTACATTATGCATTGTAATCCGGGTATGCGCCCTTTCAAGGGGATACGGGATAAGGGACGATGATGAAACATTTAGCAGTAAAGATTTTTTATTAATATTTTAGGTTGAAAAAGTTAAAAATTATAACCAGAGAAAGTGCTAAGTCTATTGTTTGATTTAGATATATACTGTGATGATCTGCTTGTACTCATGTTTGGAGGCATCATCAATTGCTGTTGTTGCTGCTGCTGTTGTTGTTGCTGCATCATCATTTGAGGAGGTATCAGGTATTGAGGATTTTGAAGCGGAGTGGACATACTTATTTGAGGTATAGGGGAGCTTTCGCTGCGACTCATGGGAGATCTCATCATTCTGCTGCTGCTATTATTATCATACATCATGATGGTACTGGGAGGTCTACTTGATCTTTGTTGTTGTTGGATATTATAGTCACTTTTACTGGCTCTTGACATTTGCTTTCGGTTTGCCTTCATTTGTTGTTGATGGAGCTGTTGTTGAAAGTTATAGTTGTATTGACCTGGATCAGGTACTTTACCCAATAAACCGTCAGCTAAATTGGCCTTGGATGGATCTGGTACTTTCTTTTTATAAGTTTTACGTGATGCTGCTTTTTCTTGTTCTAATTGAATCATGAGATCCATGGCAGACACACTTTTGCGGTTATTATTTTTACGGGTATTATTGTCGGCAGCAGACATACTTTGATATTGTTGCATGGCTTGATATTGTTGAATTTGAGCATATTGTTGAGCTTGTTGCATTTGCATGGCTTGTTGGATTTGCATGTTGTAGGCCATTTGTTGTTGTTGTTGTTGGAAATAAAACATGTCCATTTCACCAAGCGTGGATCTTCTATCACGGCCTCCGGTTGCTGGCATCATGGGAGTGGGAGTACGAGGAGGTGCTCTTACGACGGGTTCTTCTACTAAGTCATCACTGTCATCTTCATCGTCCTCTTCAGTCAAGGGTGCTGTGAATGATCCACTGGAAGGAGGAGTACCTGTACTATTCAAGTCTTCAGCTTCCATAACCGTCATACGCCAATGTTCAATGGAGCCTGTTCCTGCTCCAGCAGCAGCAGCAGCAGCGGCAGCGGGAGCGACACTTGTTTCAGGTTGGGTCAACTGATTGACATCACCTGTTGATCTAGTTCTTCTATGAGCACTAGGTCCACGTTCAAGTTGTCTTAATGTAGACATACGACGAGCAAACATTTGTTGGTCTTCTTGTTCTATTGATTTCCTAATTTAGTATTGTTTGATACGATTTGGCTACCTCCACGTGTAGTGCCTTTTTTAAATGTTACAATACCTATTTTCTTTTCAGCTGTCTTGACCTCATCCTCATCCTCTTCTTGCTCCTCATCATCTTCCTCCTCATCCTCTTCTTCATCATCACTGGGTTGGGGTACGCGATGAGGTGCTTTACCCTTATTTTTTGATTTGACGGATGGGATTGTAGCCTTTTGATTACTTGATTTGGGCTTGTTGACAACGATAGGCTTAGAAGCAACCTTGTGATTAATTGTTGACTCTTCCTCGTCATCTTCCTCAGACTCTTCCTCTTCCTCTTCCTCCTCTTCGTCGTCACTAGGAATGAATCGATGGGATGGTTTTGTATTATTGGCTACTTTTTTTTTTAAAAAAAAAAATTTAAAATTTAAAATGAGCACATGTTTTTTCATATAATATATAGACGGCCCCCGGAGTGGAGAGAGAAATGTTACCTAATTTTCCAGAAGATAATGAAGACCGACCACTGGGACTAGAAGGTCTTGGGGAAGTTCTCAATGGCTGTTGTGGTTGAAGATGTTGTTGTTGTTGTTGATGATGATGCTGTTGTTGTTGTTGTTGCTGTGGATACTGTTGTTGTGGATACGGTTGTTGAGGTCTTTGATGATTTCTTTGAGAGTCGTCTGAGCGGACACGGTTCATAGGAGGAGCAGCTCTATGTTGCTGCTGCTGCTGTTGTTGTTGTTGGGGATATCTTTGCTTGTTATTATTGCCTTTTCTTCTAGGTTGTTGTTGGTGAGGGTTTTGAATGGAGTTTCTCATTTGGGCATCAATATGAGCTTGATGAAAGATAATACTTTTGGTCCATGGTTCAGCTTCTTCTTCTCCAGCGTCTGGCGTTTTAATCGCTTTGGCTAACGCAAGACGAGAAAGACTTACTGTAACTTCTTCTGTGGACATTATTATTGTTGTTTTTTTATTATTATACGAAAAGAAAAAAAGAGTAACAGCCAAAAATAAAAATAAAAGGGTTTAAAAATAAATACCCTGAGATCCAATTAAAAAAAAAAATTAGATTTTGGTTCTCCCCCCTTTTTTTTTTTTTTTTTTTTTTTTGCCACATGTTATGATTGAAGTAGCGTTTGCGGGGTTTTTCAAAGATACAGTCGATCTGAGATTTATATAATAAAGTTTTTCTTTTGCAGTGAGGAATTAATTGTTGTGAAAGAATTAAAATTCCTTTAGTGTGTGTGTGTGTTTCGGAAATGAGATATATATAGGAAATACTCTGTTTTTTTTCACTATCATGCTGGGCACGCAATGCTGTCTGTCATTGGATTGGTAGGCTCTATACGAAATGTATCAACTGACTTCTTGGCCTCATTCTAACCACACGGGACGGGATTGCATATTTTATTGAAAACTGGGCTATTATTTCGCAATCATTTTTCATATTGTTACAGGAGAAACATAGAAAAAAAGAAATCAAAAGGAAAACGTCATTTTATCACACTAGAAGAATTTGACACGCATCCCTTATAGATTAATTAATCAAAGGGTCATTGATTACAGTCAAAGACAAAAATAATTGTCGGTAATTGAAAAAATAATTGTCACAAGCTCAATTATCATTTTGGTCATTTTGGTCAAGAGTATTTAATCTTTTTCATTTGGGGGTATTTCTTGCTTCATAATAATAAGGTAAACATCTATTGTAAAATAATAAAGAGGATAGTATGCGCCTTTTCTTCTCCGTCTCTACCTTGGCTTTGCTTTTCAGTTAATATCATAACAGGTATGGAAGGAATGTGTTCACTGATGAAGACTGTCTTGATGAAGCCATTCATCTTTTTCCGCTTTTCCCCCTACGGTGCTCCCTTCCTTCCTCTCTCTCTGTACATACCAAGATAAATTTAGCTTTTTTGAAGTAATTTTACGTAATAAAGTCGTTCAGTACCATGTTTGATTTGTTTATATGTTATTTATCAATATTTACTTATTTATTTATTTTTTCAGTCAAAATAATAATGAACGCCATCACCCTCTTTATTGTAGGCGAGGATGGGCCCTCTGGCGATGCCAGTAATACATATCGGGGTAAGCAAATGTTTATTTGAAAACATACTCTTTACTGACTAAGATAGATATGTCATAGAAAATAAAACATTGATATGTTGTTATTTATTGTTTTTTTTTTATGTATTCATACTGACCTTTTTCGTTCATTCGAAACCCCAGATGCACACGGCAAACGCACAGAAAGCGTTTAAGTTAATTAATGCATTTGTATAGGATTAGCAACTTAAAAATTGTGCAAGCAACAGCCAGGGTTTTGAAGCATTCTACAAAGATCCCTTGACAACGAAATGTATCGGTCTTCCTAAACCGTAACGTGATTTCTCGTCAAAATGAGGATGGAAGCGCGCTTAGATGTAAAATCTGCCCTCAAGTTTAAGATAATAGAACGATTTAACGATTACGCCTTATGCTCTTAGAAAGAGAGAAGGCCTTTGACAAGTTGCAATCATTGTACCATACCTACCGCTATTGGTTTGCATGGAGTATTTATGCTTCAATTATAGGGAAATGTCTATACCTCCGTATTTTTTTTTTTCAAACGTATTTTTTGGATCATGTGATGGTCTACAAGCCATATCGTCTAAACTTAATAGAATGATCGATTTATGTTTTCCATAAAATATGTCTGACTATTATTGCGAGATACTACTGAAACGCAGATAGACAGCTACCAAGTTTTAACTTGCTTTGGAGGTTTTTGCAAGTGTTTCTATTTTAAGTAAAGGCCCAGACGTTATGAATGATGAAACAAACAATCTTGTTTATCAGCTTACAAAAAAATCTCGTTCACACACTTTTTATCCCTTTTGCTTTTCCTTTAACACAAGTCTCTTTTTATTTTTAATGAAAGTTAAAAGGTAAGTATATAATAACTCTTTTCACTGAATTGTTGGCTCTTTTTTTTGAAAAAAATATAAAAAATACATTGTAATTTCTGCGATATCTCAGCTACAGTTTTCCTTCATATGTACCTTAAATTGGGTGGCCTCGGCACGAGTCTTCCACCTTTCGCTCATTCTTAAGACCTTACAGCAATGCAAGGAGGTAAACCCCTTCTTAATTTTTCGTCTCGGACGCCCTATACATCTCAGTGGCTATAATAACCTTTTGTTTCAAGAATATCATGTCAGTCTTTACATACGTCATATAATTTTCAGTTGTATTATATACTGCGTCAGAGGGATCAGATCCACTGGGGCCAGGTCCTCTGATACAAGTATAAAAAAAAACCACAAAACATGTTGACAGCAGATGCAATTGTCGTGAATCTGTTCTGGCGAGAGTTTTCTGCTCTCTCAGTAACAGGAAGTTGGTAGACTTAAATAAAGTTTACGATCAATCTTAAAAAAGATTGGAAACTCGAAAAACGTACCAGACCAACTGTCAAGATATGCCAATAATTGTTATAGTTATTCCCTCAAACCAAAGTACTCTGAGGACTTTTTTAAACAGTATACTGCAAAAGAGGAAGGATACGACTTCAACTTGAAAAAAAAAATCGCGTACGTTTTTTTTATAAAAACCATAAAGTCTACCTCTGATATCACAGATAAGGCTCTAAATGTTGTTAAAAAGTCTACACTAAAAGAAATGGATAATGGTAAGTGTTTATAAAACAACAATTATCCCAAATACGGACTAAAGTCATGCTATAGATTATCATGGAGACAACACTGGAGAACCAAGTTAATCGAAAAACATGGTAAAGTAATAAATCAAATAGTTATGTAAAAAAATATATGTGTTAGTGTATTTATTATTGATGATATCTATACAGGCGAAACTGAATTGATGGGGCCGTCAAGATTAATAAATCATTTACATAATCTATTAAAGTTATTAACAGTTATTGAAAACGTACAAGTCAAGTGCCATATTGCCATATCCAATATGCCTTTGTCGTTGATGCCACTATCTTTGCTAGACGTTTTAAATAATAATGGTGCTGATCAAAAGGCTTTGCAAGTTTTAGGGAAGTTCCCTAATGTACTTAAACTGTTGAAAGGTTTGATGGCTAGTGATGCGCGACTCGAAAACTTTCCTCTGGATGTGTGGCAATTCAAGAGTAAAGCTTTGGCTAGGGGCTCGATGAAGAGTAACTTTTTTTCGACAATTGGTATCATTTTGACCGATTTCTGGGGATTATTCCAGAGGATTGATTTATACAAAAGCCATGGGGGGTCTTTTGGACAGATTACGTTATACGGATCTTTAAGCATTTCTGCATCATCAACAAAGGGTTCATATTTAGCTGGTAAATGGTTATCATGTTGATTGGAATACGTTTGAAATATACTGACATTGTAATATTATGTATAAGATGCGAATCAAATATGCTTTCTCATACCGAACATACGCCTCTTTTTTTGGATTCGAGCGAGCTTTAAGAGAGCATCAATTGAAGCTCGCTCGGTTATAAAATGGATAATAATCACTTCAAATTCAAGGCTGCAAAAAGACGGGTAATGACATTTTCTTTTAACAATACTCTCAACTTCATTATTCGTTTTGCTCTTTAGTTTCTGATTTAAATAATTTAGCATCTTATGGAGTTCAGAGTGTATTTGCGACAAAATTATCTTGATAAAATGCAGTCTCTTTAGTACAAAGAAATGACAAGTTATTGAATTAAGAAGTGCAACCATCCATGTAACTTGGGATGCAAGGGAAAATATGATCTCAGTCTTCGAGTTGTTAGCTACGCTGCAAATAAAATGTCTTAATTTTGTAAAATCATTGGTATTTTTACTTGATTATTTTATTCTGCTTTTTTTAGAATGAATATGACAATCAAAAGGATGTTTTGAAAAATTTATGTCAAGAGAACAACTTCCTGGACCATGTTGAGGATAAGGATACGATTCGCTATTAATTTGAAAATACGAATATGTTCGAATGAATTGTGTTGTATATTCGTATAAATAATATTTGTTATTGACCAAAACGCTGTATATTTTCCCCCTTTTTGTTTTTACTTATTGAGCATTCCATTCAAGCAAATATAGTCGCATCATCTACTATGAAAGGTTCCAAAATAATAACCCTCTCAGAGAGTGACATCAAAAATTTTTCGTGATTGACAGTGGGATGGTGGAACCCCCACCCTCGGCTAAAATAATATTCCGACATCTCATCAAACCATGGGGGAGATTGACCACTAAGGCTCAAACACACCCCCGCATGCACCGGAAGAAACTCCATAACAAATACACGTTAAAAACAACCTATTGAATCTATTTTTGGTGAAAACCTATCGATGTTTATTACAGACGGAACAATTACAACTTCCATAAATGTTTATTAGCCATTGTCACCTCGTGATCCGTTCTTTTTTCTTATTTACTTTCAGCATGTATTAAATAAATAAAAAAAAATGACCAATAGTAGTGTATAATGGGGATCAAGCCATTTGGATTCGAAACGATGAATACGGCTTGTCTCAAAAAAAAAAAAAAAAAAAAAAAGTATAGCGCTATTTTCCGGTTTTTAATCTTTAGTAGTGATTGACAGATTGAAAGAAAAAAAAACGAGGCATGGACCATTGTGTCGTACAAGATGAATAACGTGGGTGTACACTCAGGAAAACGTATTTTTTTTTGTATGACCAATAATTTCAATTGAGAGTCCACTGTGGAAATGTGCGCTTACCATTTCAAGTGATGTAAAACGGGATTCGATAAAAGAGAGATCTTCCATAGATTTTGAATATTTAGTCCCCATTTATCTTACTATAATAAAGCCTTGGTACAATAGTTGGGCGTACAAAGGTGTACCAGAGTATGGGTGGTGATCATGTACCTGGTTCTTAGCTTTAGTAAAATAAACATGGGCCCTGTAAAAAATCAAGAACTCTTCTTGTTGATAACGGACAAATGGCTTGGATGAAACTAGCAATTTGTTTGTTTAGTCGATTTCATTGATGGAATCATTCGATATACCAAAAAAAAAAAAGCTCTCTTTATATCATTAATCCTGTATTAACTAGGGTTTGTTTATGATAAAACAGGCCACCAACAACATGTGTAATTCTAGCTTCAGACGAGTAAGAAATACCCAGTTATTATGTAAACGTTTTTTTTTTTTTTTTTTTTTTTTTTTTTTTTTTTTTTTTTTCATTTATTTATTCTATAATAATCTATACAAGTTTTTTTCTCCCACTCTTTTATCATCAAAAAGAAAAAAAGAAACTACCATTGGGTAATATCCACTTCGGCCTCACCAAACAAACTAGTTTTAGTAGCTTTTACAACTTCACTCGCCTCTTCATCAGAAATGGTGCTGGAACTATAGATTTCAGGCACAACACGCTTGATGAAATTCAAAATGTGACGGTTAATCTGATCAAATTCCAGCAAGAATCCATCATGTCCATCTGGAGAATCAATCACAATCATTTCAGTATCCGCCATACCTTCTGCCAATTCATACTGTTCCGAAATGGTAAACAATCCATCGGATTCAATGCCAATCACAAGTGCTGGCTGACTGATGGAAGCCAGTAAATCAAAATAATCCCCTCTTCCACGCGATACATCATGTGAATCCATTTTACGTGTCAATGCAATATAACAGTTGGCATCGAATCGGCTGATGAATTTGGATCCCTGGTAACGAAGGTAGGATTGTGCTGAAAAGACAAAGGGTGTAGGCATAGTTGTGTTGATGGTGGCGGTGGATTCATCTCGTGTCTCGGGTGGGCTGGTGGCTCGATGTCCGTCGTTATGGATAAGTCGATTGGCTTCCCCCGAAGAATTGGCTCGCTTGGTTGTACTTTTCAAATCAGATGCTTTACGACCGAATCTGGACTCGAATGAATCCCGTGATCTGTAAGTGAGTAAAGCAGACATTCTTGCAGCAGAAAGACCCACAACGGGAGGTTTATCATCAGTGTAATAACCATCGGCTGCAAAAAACAATGATGTTAGGTTTATGATTTATCAATAAAAAAAACAGAGAGAACTTACCATAGTTAGGATCACTATAGATGGATTGACGTTGAGCTTCACCCCAACTGATACCCCAAGCAGAATGACGGCCTGAAGTAGCAATGGGTACAATGGCACGTACATACTCTTGACCCATCTGAGCCCATTCGAGCACTTGCATGCCGCCCATAGAACCGCCCACACACACGGCAATTTGTTTCACGCCAAGTTGATTTAAAATAAGACGATGAAGACCGACATCGTCTCTGACACTTACTAGAGGGAATTCGGGGCCGTAAATGTTTCCGGTCTCGGGGTTGATGGTTAAAGGAGAGGCAGAGCCATAGGGAGAGCCGAGGACATTACAACAAACGATAAAGAATTTTGTATAATCAAAAGCTCTTCTAGGACCCATCAATGGACCCCACCTTAATATATATGTGTGAATAAGATAGTGTGCAGATAATGAATAAAATAAAAATAAAAAAAGATAGTTACCAATCTTCAACATCAGCACTACCAGTGAGAGCGTGACAAATGACCATACAGTTATCTGCTTTTTCGTTAAGTTTGCCCCATGATTTCCAAGCAATAGGAATATTTGTCAATTTGGCGCCAGATTCCAAAGTGTATTCTGGAATGATGGTGATATTTTGATCAGGTATGAGCTTTACCAATTTATTCTTGGATTCTTGCGACGGTAACTCATTTATGGTTGCATAAGTTTTATATTCTTGCATGATTAAAGAAGAATTGATGTTCAGCAAAATAAAAATAAAAAGGGGAAGGTTAAAGTGTATGGAGTAATCCCAGGTATAAATAAATCTAATTCAATCTACAAAAAAAAGAAGAAAAGAAATAAGAAAAAATATCAGTATACACATATATAGGGGTTCGGTTTTTTTTTTTTTTAGTGATGATGATGATGATGATCAGCCAATGGCATACAAATTCTAACGACCAATGAAATTGGATTGTGATGACACAAAGTAAGCTGGAAAGTGACGTGAAATTATGAATCATTTCACCCGAGTCAAAAAAAAAGCTACAAAAAGAAAAAAAAATAAACATCAACATCTATTTTTTTTCTTTCTTCTTTTTCTCTAAATACATTGACAAGCCCAAGAATGACTGATATTGCTCAACCTATCGAATCTAACCGTACTCGCGGTGGATCTTTCTCTCAAAATAAGCCCAAGGTGCTTCGACCCTTCAATACCAGTGAAGTCAAAATCCTCTTATTAGAAAACGTCAACACAACAGCTGTCGAAGCTTTCAAAAAGCAAGGTTACCAAGTAAGCTGTCATATTAGATCTTTTTTTTTTTCTATCTGGCTAAAAAATCACGGAAATTCTAGGTTGAAACATATGCAAAGGCATTGGTAGGCGATGAGTTGATTGAAAAGATCAAGGATGCTCATGTTGTTGGTATCCGTTCCAAGACAAAGCTTACCAAAGATGTCTTGGATGAGGCAAAGAACCTTTTAGCCATTGGTTGTTTCTGTATTGGTACAAATCAAGTAGATCTTAAGCACGCAGCCAACAAGGGTGTAAGTTTTTTATTTAAGAAAAAAAATGATGATGATGATATTAACATCTTTTGTTGTAGGTTGCTGTATTCAACTCTCCTTTCAGTAACTCTAGATCTGTGGCCGAGTTAGTGATTGGTGAATTAATTACGCTTGCTCGTCAATTGGGTGACCGTAACACAGAAATGCATGAGGGAAATTGGAATAAGGTTTCAAAGAACTGTTATGAAATTAGACACAAGGTTCTTGGTATTGTGGGCTATGGACATATTGGTGCACAATTGAGTGTGTTGGCAGAAGCTATGGGTATGACTGTTTACTTTTATGACACTTTACAAATTATGCCCTTGGGACAAGCAAAGCCTATGGAATCCTTAGAAGAGCTCTTAGCCATTTCCGACTTTGTTTCTCTCCATGTACCCGAAACTGAAGAAACCAAGAACATGATTGGCGAACGCGAGATCATGAATTACATGAAGAAGGGCTCTTACCTTTTAAATAATGCTCGTGGTACAGTTGTTCAAATCCCCGCACTTGCAAAGGCATTACATTCTGGCCATCTTGCTGGTGCTGCTATTGATGTGTTTCCCAAGGAACCTGCTGCCAATGGCAACCATTTCACTGATTACCCTGACTTGTTGAGCGCCAAAAACTTGATCTTGACACCCCATATTGGTGGATCTACCGAAGAAGCTCAATCAATGATTGGTATTGAAGTCTCTAGTGCATTGACTAAATTCATCAATGAGGGTTCTTCTCTTGGTGCTGTCAACTTCCCCGAGATTGATTTGCGTGCTATTTCTCAAGATGAAAAGGATACTGTGCGTGTGCTTTATATCCATCGTAATATCCCCGGTGTTCTTCGCGCCATTAATGAGATCTTTGCTGACCATAACGTTGAAAAGCAATATTCTGACTCCAAGGGCGAGATTGCCTATGTGATGGCTGATATTTCAAATGTCTCTCAACAGAGTTTGCAATCCGTTCATGATGCGATTGTTGCAACTCCTGCCAACATCAAAACTCGTATGCTCTATTAATTGTAAATAAAACTCCAGCCCCCCCCCCCTTATTATTATTTGTGAGTCATTTTTTTTTTTGTGGGATTCATGCACCGAAATTAAATCTCCCTCCACACATACAAACACACAACCTATTTTATTTTAATTAAGAAAGGTGTGTTTAATAAGTAACTCCCCATAGGGTCCTATTAAATGATCAAGGGAACCTAAAAAAAAAAAGTATATTTTATTACCCCATTAATTAATATTATGTCATACTGTGTGGGTTGCTCTGAATTACACGTGAAAGAATCAGGAGCTGTCAAACTTATGCCAAGAAAGTCTTGAAACAGATGTTTAGTCTAAAAAAAATTATTTTAGGGTTTTTTAAACATACCAAGGCTAGTTGATATCAACATGCATGTGTAAAGAGGACCAGTCAAACTCGGTAATGTCAGCAAGAAAAGCAATCACTTGATAATTTTTCTTTTTTAGTAGGCAGGAATGCAAGACGACGTAATGCATGTTTATTATAGAAATAATAAAGGTCTGTGCCTTATTATATAATGTATTATTAAGTGCGAAACGCTTATATACAAACTTATATAAATAGATAACCAAACAAACTGCGTCGGAACCGACCCTGATATAGAAGTTATTTTATCGCGTGGCAAACAGATGATGAAAGTGTGTTTTAAGAGGTCAAGGGGGGTAGAGTAGAGAGAGGAAGACCAAAAAAGGGGGGCCACCCCAAGAAAATAGGAGCTTTTACTGGTGCTCACACAAACACACACACACACACCCCTTCTTTCTCTATTATTAAAAAACTGCTGCTTGTTTCTTTTTTTATCCCATTGTGTATATACGCCAAGAAGGTTATTAATTTTAGATTTTAGTATAAAAAGAAACCTTTTTATTTACTTTGTTCCTTTTTTTCCCCTTCTCTATTTACTTTTTTATTTTTTATTTTCTCTCTCTCATTTTACTTTTACATATCACACTATGCCACGCTGGTTCAATACATTACAATTACATCGTCGTTGGAAACAGTCGAAAACACAACATAAGCGCACCGTAAATGGAAAATACAAACTACTACATGAGATCGGACAAGGCGCTTCGGGCATTGTCCATCTTGCGGTAGACACCAAAACCAATGTCCGATATGTAAATATTTATAAGCTTTTTTTTTTTGGGGAAGCATGTGACTCAATTTTTTTTTTTTTGTTAGGCCATTAAAGAGCTCAGCAAATCGAAACTTCAACGTCAATATCATTCCGAATTACTGCGTCAATCAGGACCTGCCGGTAGAAGAAGCAGACCTTCATCCACCTCTTCCTCCACCTCTTTAGACGATACTTTGACCTTATTAGGCATCGCACAATCCAAAAAGAGAAAACTCAATCACCATGACAATGAAACAATAAAAGAACTCTATATCGAAGAATCAAATCTGTTAAAGAAATTAGCTCCACATGAAAACATTATTAAATTTGTCGAGGTGATTGAAGACGTCGAATACAATGATTCCATCTTTATAGGTAGGCAAAAATAGATGGTAAAATTGCATAAAAAATCTCCCTTTCTGACCCTTAATTCAATCATGAGCAGTAATGGAATATGCTGAAAATGGCATTGTCATGGATGTCACACCTCACTCTGTAACAAAGGCACTTTCTGACACAAAATGCCGCATTATTTTCAAGCAATTAGTGGCTGCAGTGACCCATTTACATCAGAACGGAATTATCCACAGAGGTAATAAGAAGAATGCCGATTTATATATTATAAAAATACTCATTCTAAATTTAGATATTAAACCGCAAAATTTACTATTATCAAACGAGAATATCGTCAAATTGATCGATTTCGGTAACGCCACTATTGTCACAGAATCACTTGGCTATACGACAGGTACACCTGCGTTTATGGCACCTGAGCTCTTGAAAAAAGGTACATAATGCAAATGCAGCGCCCCTTCTGTCGTCGATTAGGACAGGGTGGGAGTATAAATAGTTCACATTCACTAAACACACGTCTTACTTTTAGTTCCACGCAACCAAGTGCAAGGATCCCCTACCAGTGCCGATCTATGGTCCATGGGTGTCACTCTTTATTGTTTGGCCTATGGTCATTTACCGTTCGAAAAAGCAAGTCTATTGGACTTGTATGCAGATATTCAGAACAAAACGTATGTATTTAAATTGATCTTGTGCCACAACCCGCCGCTAACCTTATCTTTTTTAGTATCTCTCACACTGATCAAGTGGATCCCCAATTAGCGGATTTAATTGACAAATTATTGGAGAAAAATCCCGTAGACCGAATCACCTTGAAAGACGTGAGCTCGCATCCATGGTTGAAGAAATAAGCTTTTTTTTTTTCTCTCTCTCTGCATTCACTTAAACAAGAGACGCATCATTCACCCCCGCACATACAGTCAGCTAGACCTTGCTATTACACTTTATACCAGCTTTTTTTTGTTTTGTTTTGACAACATCATGTTTCTTTTTATGCCCTTATATGTAACACTATGTATCACCATCCCTTTGTTCATTCACTACTATATTTCATAATAACTTTCTAAATTGTAACTACTATATACACACATACACACTCTCCTTTTACTGTACACACTCAATCCCCCCCCCCTCCCGCACGGCGTTTTTCTCTTTTTTATAAACATAAATAAATGTCGGAATGTCAAAAACAAACATCATGGGACACATTCTCTTGTATATTCCTAATAAAATTAACCTTTTTCAAAATATAGCGATGCAGCGTCCTCTCCCCACTTATATGAATGTTTCTGTCACGCTGAGCCAAATGTTTACAAAACATGTAGTAAAACCAATACCCTAACTACCCAACGCAATTCAAATGATTCGAGGCCTACTACTACTGCTGCCTCTGGGCTGGGAGTATAGCGTTAAAGATCAGCAAAACAAAACAAAAATCCTGGGTATGGCTAAATATACAGCTTTTAGATAGCATAATAAAGATATTGAGTGATCAGATGTGTCTCGAACCTAACAGTACATATTGTCGGTTTTTCCCTTTAACGGAGTACTCATGATTGCCTTTGGCATGGTACTAAAAGATCTTCCAACAAAATTTTTATTACCATCCACAGCTCTCGTTCAGTTTCCGTCTGCCATAGTCCCGATCATACTTATTTTCAGTGTCAAAATTAACGTGTTGATGGTGTATTCCATACTTGCTGTTGACTTTTGGCTTCCACAGCGGCAGAGAAGTTGCTGTCTGAACGGTTCCAATAAACGTGCCCGATACAACAATATGATACATAATCTTGTTGTCCTTGTCTATTTATCTGCTGCATCAATCAGGGTAAATTCGACCATAGTTCGATTGTTTCTCATTATAATAAGTCGGTAGCGTAATTTAATAAAAACAAAAGACAAGTTGTTTGTAGACTGACTCGTTCACGCACTTTTTTTTTTCTCCTTTTTTTTTTCTTTTCCCTTCATGCTTATTTTTTTTTTTTTTATATATATATATGTATATATATGAAAGTAATCAATGTTACTTAATAATGACTTTTGTTTTTTCAAGAAACACTAAATTATCAGCTCCTTTTGTTTTTTTTAAAAAAAAAGATACATTGCGATTTTTGCGATCTTACGGCTACGGCTAGTCTTTGCTATAGGATGGTGACCTCCTAGGTTGAGTTCTTAGGGGTTTAGACGCTCAGTTGATGGAAGGACTGCAAATGGTAGGGATCGCACTGTATATACGTGTGCTCATACTGGCTTGCTGGTTAGTTAAATGAAAAGTATAGACTTAACATAAGCAAGAAGTGTAAAAGTCGAGGGAAAACAGTGAGGACTCAATTACAAATTATTAAGAACTAGAATTTCAGTCAAGATAAGGAAGTAGCTATAAATGTAGAAGCATATTTTCCCATATATAAAAATTCCTATTGCGATCTATATAAATATGGAAAATAAACAAATTCCATGGTTCGATTAGCCCATTCGTTCCTGCTATAATTCCTTTTTTTGTCCATGTGATACGGCATGATTTGCGGCATGTTTGTTTAAAAGTAAACACCCGGGAAAAAGGTGCAAAAACGAGAGAGAAAAAAAGGTAATTTATGTATATTTAATAAGAAAAAGAGGGGTTGAGTATAATACAAATAAGGTGTTACGTCAAATTAAATGAATAATAAGAAAGAAGGGGGTGAAGGGGAGGGGGAATAATAATAATAAATATAATTTGGTAAAAGGGAGATTGGGGGGGGGTTTAGACAAGCTTTTTGGGTTCCTCAATGGCCTTTAAAGCAACCGTTGCCTCTTCTACAGTATTGTTTGGTTGCTTTTGAATGATTTCGACATAGTTAGCAGGAAACATACCCATCGTACCATCACGAAGACGTCCACGCCACCATTGACTGACTGCATTGGTGGTTGGGTCTGTCTTGGAAATGATAGCCACAATATCACCCTTCTTTAACGTGAGTTCAGAAGGTGATTCGGAAGCAAAATCATAAACAGCACGGGCGAATTCAAGTTTGGCTGGATCGATCCCACTAGCGGCAGCTACGGCATTGGGGTTATTTAAAGCAAGCTGTTGTTGTTGGAGCTTTTGACTGGAGGCGATCAATTTGATTAATTTATGCATCATGTAAGGAAGACCCACTACCATCAGCATAAAGATGATGAGTGGTTTACGAGACATCTTGGGTGCTTTGGCTTGTTGTTCAAACTGTTGGAATTCCATCACATTCATCTCCATGGGTTTTCCTGGAGGTAGACGGCCCGTCACTTTAGCCATCACCTTTCGCACAAGACGGTAAATGGCAAGGATACTAAACACTTGGCCCAGATAATTCTTAAGTGACCCTAATTGTTCGGCCACTCCCACCATGGCCATAAAACTGGAATGGGTCGCCATAAACGTCGATTCCAACATTTGTGCAAATCCGCCAAAAGATCCCACAATGTTCTCAATTACTTCAAACGTCGATCGTGTGCCCATTTCCATACGTTGTGTAAGTCCCATTTCGTCGGGGCCGCCAGGTCCACCCATACGACCGAATCCTCCTCCTCCATATCGATTCATGCCACCGTAACTGCCGCCGTAACTGCTACCATATCCACCACCATATCCACCACCGTATCCACCACCATATCCACCATAGCGTGAGGCCATACCACCATAGCCTCCATATCCTGAGGATCCATAGGCTGTAGTGCCATACCCGCTAGAGCCATAGCCGGTAGAGCCATAGCCCGTAGAGCCATAACCTGTTGAGCCATAGCCGGTAGAGCCATAACCTGTTGAGCCATAACCTGTTGAGCCGTAACCTATATTTATTTAGCATTAGTCACACTTTTTTTTTTTTTGTCTAAATTAAGAAATGCTTCTATACCTGTAGCAGGTCTGGTGGGAGTAGTGAGTGAATCGTTTATTGAGGATCGAGCAGGTACATCTGGCACATTCGAAGCTGTCGTGATGGTATTGGACGGGTTCACCACGGCAGTTCCACTATTGGCATTATTGACTTCCCAAGGCTTTGGCGGGGAAGGCATGATGGAGATTTTTTATATATATAAAAATGTGTAGAGGGAAAAAAGAAAAATAAAAATAAAATAATAATTGGGTTAGGTTGGCTCATGGGAAACCATATGACAAATAGAAATTGCTCTTAAAAAAAACACCGACGTCACATGTGATTGGTGATTTTGGAGAGAGGAGGCTGGGCTCATAAAAACGGTGAAACTATGCAACCGGATCAAACAATGGAGACTCGTTATTTTTAAGGTAAAAAAGAGTGTTCATATACATATAGTTGAATCAGCGCAATGTTGCTAACTGATTTCTTCATTGACAACATGTCATATTAGAAGAATCTTTTAGACATCAATCAATCTGGAAAATATTATTGCCCTCAATTGGCTCTTTAAATAAGATGTACTACTATACTTTTCATGCATAATTGGTAATGATTTATCGGGAAGTGTACGGGTCTGTGATTACCAAAGCCGAGACGCTTACAAGATCTTGTAACATCAGGTTTAATTACATAACTAGTCTCTCATAAGAATACAAACATCGAACAGTTCATGCAATCAATTAATCAATGTCAATAAGAGGAAACCCAAAAATAAAAAGCGCCAAGAATATAATAAACAAACTATAACGTCTTATTAATCAATCTTCTTCCATCATGAGACGTTTTTTTTTTTTTGAGTTTTCTTTTTCTTTTTACAAGAGATACTTTAATTTTATTCTTTCTCGAAGCAAGAAAAAGGGCTTTTGAACTTGGCTTTCATCAATCTTGACTTATACCAAAAATTGGGTTAAAGTTCATTTGTTTTTGGAAAACCAAGCTTGTCCGAAAGGAGACCATGGTTGATAGTTAACTTGCTGAAGGACTTGAAAAACTTGTTAGTAACTGCTTGGATCAGTTTTGCTAGGGCTTGATCGCTATCCTTGCCTTGACATATGCTATCATCTTGCGGTAGTAGAGTATTCACAATATTTTTTCTATTACTTGATGAGAGTATCCCGCGAACTGACATTGCCTCTTAACCAACCGCATTCGCTATACGACATTGAGGATGCGAATTGGTTCCCATTGTTTCTATTTTGCGTTTTTTTAATGCACCAAAAATAAAGCCTCTTTTATATTGAAACTAAATATACTTTTGACGGAAAGGATTAACAACACTCTTAATCGTCGTCTGTGGCTCGATAATTACACTTATGGTTCGATTATTGGACGATTTGAAGATCATTGCCCTGCTAGCATTTAACTTTCCGCGACAATACCTAGATCTACAATCGTTGATTACATCAAACGGTGAGGGCAAATGATAAAATGAGCTCTACACTAGAACAGCGGGAAACGTTATTTGGTCGAATAATTCTAAGTTCGGCATCAAAGTAGAAAGGGTCTGAATGATCAGAGAATGAGTGGAAAAAGTATCACTCAGACCTTGTTTAAAAGACTGTGTAATTTGGCAACGGTTCAGTGATTATTTAGGTTGAGTAACTAAAGTCTCTTGTTGTCATGAAGGCATCACAATCAAGAGACTTAGACTGCCTTTTTGCACAATCACTTCCTCCCCTGGCTCAAAAATGTAAGCCAGGAAGCATTTAGGAACCTAGTTATCATCCAACAAGACGGCACTTCCTGTCATACTGGCAGATTTTCAAACTGGTACAAGACGAAATGTGGTGTTGACGGGTTCGATTTTTGGTCTGCGCAAAGCCCAGACCCCAATCCCATCGAGTAAGTCTGGGAATACTTGTAGATAAGCATAGAAAGCCTTAGATAACTATCAATCAAATCCAAAACATCAATATTTTAGAAGCAGTTACTTGCAATGAATGGCACGGTATACCAGAGTCATTCTTAAAAAAATCGGTTAGTAGTATGAGCTACAGGTGTAAAGCTGTACTAGCACAACATACTAGTATGAGGGCTTTCAAAATTCCGGAACGTTTTATTCATTCAAATATTTTGGTTATATTAGTTTATTTGGGTTCTCAATGATTATTTTTCCGTACCACAACATGCTTAAAAAGACAAAGTTTTTTTTTGTGTTGTTTTCGAGATGTACATACACCACATTTACGATAACATACTTACACTCCGACAATTGCAGTAATTTATCATCTTTCACCTTTTGACATTTATGTCATAATTCATGTAACACTAATATATTTATTCATTTATGGACTGTTATTCTTTTCTTTACCGAACGTTAAACATGAGCTTACGATAATATCAATTACCCAACTTAGTACAAGAGAATGTTGAGGAGATCGGTAGTCCAGATAGGTTGCCATTTGATCATGAGATTCAGTTTTTCGGGGATGGACTTTTATGGTTTGTTCGTTGGAAGGGATTCAAGAATTGCGTCGATGAGGTTGACATCGTTGTGGAATCCACCCTTAACATACTTCCAATATGTCTCGGGGATTGCTGAGAATCCGAACAAGTGATTCCGACTCATTCGTGGCATGTGCCACCTAAGGATTCACCTACGTTATTGTTTAGTCATGGGAATCGTTGTAATTGGATCTATTTTTCATATCAGACCTGCAGCCTTGTATTGGTTTTCTCGAAGAATTGATGATGGCGTTAAATCTGTAAGAGGAGATTGTGTGAGTAAGTTTTGTGTATGTATCTATATAAACGTAAAAAAAAAAATCTTTTTTCTTCTTTGCTGCGGAAGAGGACTTTTACACAGTGCGTTATTTTACTACGGGGTAACGTCCGTATTAGACCAGACGGCCGCAGCCTGAGCATGATAATGTGGTCTTGAAGTTTTCTAGTGAAAGTGGATTGATACAGGTTGTTCACACGCCTGTATATGAGTTCAAGTGACTTGCCACAGTTGCTTTTACAATATGTTGCTGACAAATACCACCCAACATCTTTTTGTTGGAGATCTGGAAGCTGTTTTTTGGAGTCAGATGAACTTCCACCTTCTCGTGGTTGACTCTGTTAATCAAAGTACTTGGCATTACTTTGAGAACTAGGAGAAGTTCAATTTTTTTTTTTTTATAATAAAGTTATTTATTTAAACTAAATTATATTCTTGTTCAATTTGTAATGCCAATGTTCTGTTTCTGTGTTTAATGGCTCCAGCAAGTGTGTTTTCATAAATGTATAACATGTCTTTTTTTAACTGTACATGATCATATTCACTGATTACGAGCTGATCCTTGCTATTTAATTCCGTAATATATTTCCTTACCAGTTTGTCTGATTCTGTCAGTTTGGTAACAGAGTTTTTAAATCTGGAATCTACTTCAGCAATTTCTTCCCGAGGTAGAATTTTATACGTAAAAGCTCTTAACAACAAAGAAGCTCCTCTTTGTACGATATTTTCTACAGGAAATGAAATTGGATGATTGGGAATATATGCTTTTGAAGTAAACTCCTCGCTAAGGAGCATCCATTGTCTTGCAGAATGTGTCTTGATGTATTGATTTAAAAGTCTTATATCTTTTATGAATGCTTTTTCTGTTGTTGGTATAAATATGTCTTTTGAGACAACAGTCTTGTATTTATCTGTGATGGATGTTGGCAATTTTCGAATCGAGGACCCTAAAAACGCGGTGATGGTGTGACCTTCAAAAAAGCCGGAAGTGGCAAGTCAATGAAAAAACGAAGATTGGTCGGAGACCAAAACGAAATCAGTTTGTCGGAAATTAAAGAAAAAGACGAGCTGATCGAGGTTGGAGAAGGCCAATGCCGCGAAGCTACCATCTGCTGGATAATGGCTGAACGCCTCTAAGTCAGAATCCATGCTGACAAAGTTCAATATCAGTTGAAGCTTGTGGATACATCAGATGATGATGCGACTATGAGACTGAACAGGAATATACGAGTTAATACAAGTATTCTCCATGATATCAAGGTCCATACAGGAGGCTTGATAGAGGAGGCATATACTCCGGGGATGGATATTGCTGGTATATACCACTATTTTGACATTGAATATTTATTGAATCACATTAGGATATAATGCTTTCACATACACTTTATTGAATGCGAAGATGTCGTCGCGTCTATCCCAGTAATCGATAATGTATTGTGGCCGTCCGACGAGCTTAAGTTTAAAGATTTTGTCGATAAAGATGTCGTATTTTATCTATTTCAATTTATGTTAAGAAAAAAAAAGACGCACACATAAAACGGAAATGTCTAGACCTCCGTATTTTATTCAAACATATTTTTTTTATACTATTTACAGAAATTCTGGCCAGAAGACCAGCAAGCCAGTATGATTGCACCTATTTACAGTGCAATCACAGCCATTCACGATTCGTGAGTTCCAAAAACTCAAGAACTCTGCCCTCCTATAGCAAAGACTAGCCGCAGCCGCAATATCACAATTATATATCTTTTTCAATTTAGCTTCTTTCAAAGGAACAAGAGTCACTACTAAACAAACCTTTTTACGTGATCGGTTACTTTCATACGATGAAAGAAGTATGTTAAGGGAAAAGAGAAGGAGAAGGATAAAGTGTGTGAGCCAGCTTTATTTATAGACAAACAAGCTTATGTCAGGATGATTTCATTTGTTTATTTTATCTCCCAAGCAAGTCAGAGCTTAGTAATTGTCTATCTGCATTCCAGTAGTAGCTTGTAATGACAGCGAAGCAGATTTTATGGAAAACAGAAAACGATCATCCTATGAAGTTTAGATGATATGGCATGTCAATCGATGTGTAGACCATCGCGTGATTCTAAAAAATACGTTTGAAAAAAATACTGAGTTCTAGACATTGCCCATAAAACCCTGACACAAATTTTAATATGGGAATTTCAAGTTCAACTCGCTCAAAACATTAAAATCGCAGCAAAAAGCACAGGAGGTCTCTTTTCGCATCAGAATACATTAGAATATGGAGCGAGTTACCCCCAAGAAACTGATATTCTTCTGAACCAGACAATTTTTTGAGACCATAAAATAGAGACACTAATGTGAAGAATAGTTCATGATTTATAAACGAGAATAAAAGAATACGTTATCATGTAAATGTTGTAGTGCATGGGGTCCATTTATGCTGAAAAGCTTTTTTGGCGGATAAATATTTAAGCGCGCGTATATGTGGTACACTTAAGCTGTCACATTTTTGGGCTCTCTTTTTTTTTTCTTTTGGGAGAGTGAAAATTTATTTTTTGTTGTTGTTTGTTTTCCCTCTTTTTTTATTTTTTTTTATTTCTCACATATCTTATTATCGTAATATATGGATTTTACTTGGGTGAACGACGGACAGAATACTCGTAAACACCTAAATTTACTTCAAAAGTCCAACAATACACCGTCACCCTTGTCCAACAGGTAAAAACTGGGAAAAAAAACCAAAAAAAAAAAAGCGTAATAATAAAAAAAAAGTGACTGACAAAATGAAAAAAAAAAAGCAGGTTAATCCATGGCATGGATAACGGAGACAATCCGACGAGTAGTGGTCGTGTATCATTTCATGATAATTTGACAACTTCTTCACCTTTACGTAGATCGCGTGCAGATACGATGCCATCTCAATCTTCAGCTTTTCCTTATGCTGATTTATTTTCCAACTTGACTTTGAATACAACAGCCGCCACGAGTAACAACACGAATCCCATAGCGATCCATAACAACGTAACTACAACACCGAATATTGGATTGATTTCACGTCATCGTTCTGGGTCTGTGACACTCCCCAATGATGATGAAAATGAAAAGACGTATGCGCCGTTTTATTATGATCCGTCCAGTCCTATTGATGAAAATGCTTCGAATACGATTGCTTCCACACTGGCATCATTAGGATTGGATGACGAGGAAGAAATAGATGGAACAGAAGAAGAAGGAGAAGGATCAGCCGCAGCAGAAAAGCAAGGTTATGAGGGTCGTACTCGAGCTTATACAATGACTGGTAATGATGCGATGCGCTTTAGTCCGTTTTCACCTCATACCAGAACTAGTGTATTGCATCGCCCTCGTGCGATTAGTTTGGGTATGGTGGATAATTTTTCTCCCTTTGATATGAACAGTAGCATGAATACAAGTACGCGTTTTACCCCATTAAGATCGTCACGCAGCAGCAACAATCTGGTGGATTTAAATGACAGCCTGCATGAAGAAGACAACTACGTAACATGACAAATAATTATGGTTTGAGCGACACATTTAATTAATTATTTATATGCATATAACAAAAAAAAATCAAACAAAAGGAATACTATGGTCAGCCAGACGGAGCGGATTCACCTTCTTCTGCACAAGCACAAATACCGTCGCGTGCACTTTGGTTAGGTAATATTAATCCTGGTATTAGTGTACCGGATCTTGTACAATTATTTTCTGCCTATGGACAAGTAGAAAGCGCCAGAATCTTATCGGATAAAGAATGCGCTTTTGTGAACTTTTCCACCGTGGAATCGGCTATTGCTGCCAAAAACGATTTAGAGTCAAGACTGGGTTCGAAATTAGCGGGCACACCTGTCAGAGTAGGCTTTGGTAAGGCCGATGTCAATCTTGCCATGGCATTGACCAATGAAGCTGGGCCTAACGCACAAGGACCTACGCGCGCCCTTTGTAAGCTGTGTTTTATGATGCGTATGATGATTTAGTATGTGAACTTAATAACTTTTCTTTTTCTTTTTATTAGGGGTCGGTAATATTCCTGCCAATATGAATCCAGCGATTTTACGTACGATATTTCAAGCGTTTGGAGCGATTGAATCAGTACGTGTTTTATCACACAAGAACTGTGGCTTTATCAACTTTGATCACCAAGAAGATGCGGTGCGAGCAAGAAAGAGTCTTCAAAACAAGGAGATTCTTGGTCCTGGTACGGGAGCTGTTCGTATTGGATTTGCCAAAGTACCACCCAATAATCCCGACGAAGAAGAGGAAGATACCCAACCCTCTTTATCCAACTCCTCTTCCAACCCTTCGCCGCCTACCTCAGTTAATCATACCAACACCTCCATGGGGGGTTCCGAAACCTATCAAAACGCACAATGGACTACAGCCATGATGATGTCCAGTATGATGATGAGTAATACCACTAGTAATAATACACCGCCTAGTCTCTACTCAGCTATTGCTTCCGAAAGACTCTTTATCATGCAACAGTTGGGTTTATCTCATCCCTCTGAAAAAATCAAGGCCGATCGTGTCCCCATTACTTATTTCTCTGTCATTCCTCCCGTACCCGAATTAAACGGTGACCGCAAATTAGAGCCTTTGCGTTTGCGTGAGATGCGAAAGCGTTTGGAAAACGACGAACAACAGTCACCCGAAGAAGTTGAAGGCATTGCTCATGAATGCATGGAAGAAGTGGTTGAACTATGCAGTGGTAAGTGTGTGTGTGTGTGTGTGTGTGTGTGTGTGTGCGTGTGTGTGTTTAGATATGTAAGTACTTACTTTCTATGGCAGACTATATTGGCAACACGGTGATTCAGAAATTGTTTGAATATTGCTCAGAGGGGACTAAACTACAAATGCTGCAACGTATAGCACCCTATTTAGCATCGATCGGAGTGCACAAGAACGGTACGTGGGCAGCGCAAAAGATTATTGATTATGCAAATACACCAGAACAAGTGGCGATTGTACGTCAACATATAGCGCCGTATGTGCCATTATTATTGCTAGACCAATTCGGCAACTATGTGGTACAATGCTGTTTACGTAAAGGGTATACGCAGAACGGGTATATATTTGACGCGATTGTGGATAAGTGCTGGGAGATTGGGCAAGGCAGATTCGGGGCGCGTGCGGTGAGAGCCATTTTGGAGAATTCGATGGTGACAAAGGAACAACAGGTGTATGTGGCAGCAGCGATTGTACAAAACACAGTGTTATTGACTACGAATGCAAATGGCGTGCTTTTACTGACGTGGCTTTTAGACACTTCTGAACTTCCCGGACGATACCGAGTGCTATGTCCACGACTTTTACCCTATTTAAACAAACTATCTACACATAAATTAGGATCCATGACCGTCAACAAGGTCATTCATCAGACTCAAGAACCCGATGCTTCCTCCTTGCTATTGAATGCGCTTGCTGAACATGCAATGGATTCTTAATATTTTTTGTCTATAACATCTATCTATTCATTAAAACATATATTTATAATTTTCATCTCGGTTGTTGTCATTTTTAGCCAATCAAAACAAAGAGTTTTAAACATGTCTTTTTAACTGGGAAGGGTTTTTCTTTTTTTTTTTTTCCTTCTTTCTTCCCAGTTTGATATAACCTAAAGAATGAGAGCTTACATTTACGATTCAGAGGATACTGCTGACCAACGTGCAGCCCATGATACCGGCATTGAAAAGACTGTCGAGGATTTAGCTAAAGTCGGTGTCTTGTACTGGCGCATTGAAGGCCCTAATGGCATTGAGCAAATTGATGAAATTGCCAAGAACAGAAGCTACAAGAACCGAGACACTGTAAATAAAGAGAAAAGGACATGCAAAGAGAAAGAGAGAAAAATTAAACTTTATATATATATATGTGTGTGTGGCGAATAGATTGTGGTATCTCCCGAGGCTATGGGCCCAGTGTATGAAGAAAAGGTAAAGTCGTTCTTTGCCGAGTAAGTGACGTTATGTAGACTGCAGGAAGAAAAGACTAAAGAATATCACATCATTTGCTAGACATCTTCACGAGGATGAGGAGATCCGTTTTATTTTGGATGGGTCTGGGTTCTTTGACGTGCGTGATCAAGGTGACGTTTGGATCCGTATCCACTTGGACAAGGGCGACATGATTATTTTGGTAAGTTTTTATGTTTTGGCTTTTTATTGTTTATCAAGTAAAACTAATAACAAAGAATGGGGAAAAATAGCCTGCTGGTATCTATCATCGTTTCACGACAGATGAAAATAATTACATCAAGGCTATGCGATTATTCAAAGAAGATCCTTTATGGACTCCTATCAATCGTAAGCGGAAAGAAAAAAGAGGGATTTTCAGGGGGGCTATTATTCACGTACTTTTTTTTTTTCTCAGGTCCAATTGCCGATGATAACAAATATCGTGTAGAATATGTCAATTCATTTAACATTACTGCATAAAAAAAAATGTTTTTTTTTTTTTTTATTTCATCACAAAAAAGATTTTTTATTTTTTTATTTAGACATCTAAAGTAACAAACGTTTTAGTTGGATAAATAAATAAAAAAGAAAAGAAAGAGTTGTTTTTTACCATCATTTTAACGAATTCTTGATAGTTGATTTGACCATCACCATCAACATCAGCTTCACGAATCATTTCATCAACTTCTTCTTCGCTTAATTTCTCACCAAGCGAGGTCATGACATGACGTAACTCTGCAGCAGAAATATAACCATTACCATCCTTATCAAAAACCTTGAAGGCCTCTTCGATTTCTTCTTGGGAATCCGTGTCCTTCATTTTTCTATGTTTTTTTACCGGTGCTTAGCAACTAGCGTGTTATCATAAATAATTATAGGGTTACCTAGCCAACATGGACAAGAATTCAGGAAAGTCAATGTGACCGTTACCATCACTATCAACTTCGTTAATCTACAAGATGGAAAAAAGATGTAAAGAAAAATAAGAGGGCTGAGCCATTAAAAAAAGGAAGTGGGGGAAGGCACGAGATGGAGAGGGGAAATATACCATGTCTTGAAGTTCAGCTTCGGTAGGGTTTAAATTCAAGGAACGCATAACAGTACCGAGTTCCTTGGTGGTAATGGAACCATCACCATCTTTGTCAAAGAGGCTACATAGAATAAGGTTAACTCATGCCCACTTTTTAAGTTTTTTTTTTTTTCTCATCCTTACTTGAAAGCTTCACGGAACTCTGTAATTTGTTCTTCTGTAAGTTGGTCGGCCTAATATTTTTGTGTGTTTTTTGGGTTGTTTTTTTTAGAGAAAAAAGTACAAAAAGGGCGTTTTATTTTGTTTATTTGACTAAATTACCATTATAATATGTGATATAGAAGAAAGAAAAAGAGAGAGACCACAAGAAAAAAAAAAAAGAGAAGAAAGGGAAAAAAAAAGGTGTGTGACCTTTTTCACATACGGTGGTACAAGACAACTACTTTTAGGAGTTCTTCTTTTCTATATCTTATACAGGAGAGAAACATGTATCCATTTTTTTTTTTTTTTTACTTCTCTCTGCCATTGAAAAAAAAAAGACTTTTTAATTATGCCGCTCTTTTGGGAGGAGGGGTTAGATAGCGCGCGCGCGTACTTTTTTTTTTTTCTTCTCCCTTGAATTTCACGTTTTCTTGGCGGGGGCCGCTTTTGTCGTGATTATAAACCGAACACCCCCGCAACCCCCTCGTGGCTTAGAGTTGTCTACCCTCAGTAACTTTTTTTTTTATTTTCATTGTTGCCGCGTGGAGTCTCTCTCTCTCTTTTTTTTTTTTTACACGTGTATTTATATTTTAATTTTATATCTCAGCTTTTATTACATAGAGTCCGAACAAAAAAAAAGCACCTCAAGTATCTGAACTGCAATAAAAAATTGATCAAAAGGACTGCTTTTCAGCGTGTAAATTATAAAACCCAATAGAACAACTTACTGCCAGTCCTGAAAAGTCGGTCGTAGTCGACTTATCTTTCACTGAGATTTAAAATTGTCTGCTTAAGCCTGACCACACACTCTCTGCGTTTAATAGCTCCAAGGTGCATCAACAATAGGTAAGACATTGCTATACTAATGGTAGTTTATTTCAGAGATATGAAAGCTACAAGAAGTACTAAATTAGTTCCGTATTTTAAGTTTTTTTCATCCTTAAATGACGACTTTGAACATGCGTAATCAACGTTTAACAGCTGTAAAGCTGCCTTAACAGGTTGCTTCATTAACAGATAAGACTTTACAAAACAATCTTTTATTTTGTATGATTTGGATATAAGGTACATTATCCAATCGACATATCTCAGTTTTTCTTTTTTTTTTTTTTTTTTTTTTTTTTTTAAGGGACGCCATTGATATTTTAAATTGTCCAAATAAAAAAAAAGCCACTTCCTTTTCACCTTATTACAAAAACTTTACAATGGGAAAATCGAAAATCGCCTTATGGCGCGAAATGGAACAATTTAAGCGACAAATGCTTTTGAATCCCGGTTACGAACTTACAGAGAGTGAAATCGCTTCATTTCAACCCTCTCCTCCCCCAAGACGCCAACCACGTCAAAAAGCTCAGGCACCGAGTTACGACCCCATGTCTGAATACCCAGCAGACGATGACAACAATACGACCGTCGTCTTGCATAATTGCACCATGGACCCTACACCGGCTCCAGCACCTCGCAAGCGTCGACGAATCCGTATCCGTTCGTCTGTACCTATCGTTAAGGCTGTACCTGCGAAAGTCAGTCCTGCTGAAGCCAAGAAGGAAAGGGCCATCAGGTACCAGAGAAAACTGGAGGTTTTAGCCAATAAGTGGGGCAATGTGCTTAACAACTTGTGCGTTAACTACCTTGTTTTTGTTGGTCAGCAAGGTGGCTTGCCATCCACCGAGATTGTTTCTCCAGTTGCAATCGATTGCCAATGTGGTAGTGAAAAAGTACTTCTGACAAAGACCGTCAGAATGTACTTTTTCCATGGTAAAGAGCAAAATATTCGACAAAATACTAGTATACTCTAACCCTGAATATAATTTTGACATAGCCATCAAGGATGTATCAGTTAGTTACTGCAGCTGTAAGCCCTTGGCAGAAGCATTAATTTTGATGGGTATGTTTCCTGCTTCGCCCACAGACCCCAAAAATGCCATTCATTTGGGTTTGTTGGGCTATTTTAATGAAGTTCGAAACACCTTGAAGTCTTCTTCTGAGGGTATTACAAAGTTGTATAACAACTTGCAAGGAAATCCACTGGTAATTAATGTCTTAAAATTAATATTCATATATCTAACCAATATTTTTGGTAGACATCCTTGTCAGTGAACAACTTCCGGACCGTATTCAACTTGTACAACAAGGTCATTTTGTTGACAGAAGAAATGGTGAACGATCGATCTTTGTTGAAAGATCAGGCGATGTGCTGTCCTGCTTGTCCTAGTGTATGTTTCCGTATTAAATTATAGATAAAATGAAACCATAACCATCTTTTGTTTTTAGAGGGACTCCATTCACCCTATGGATCGCATTTTCATTACTATGGATGGGTGCTTTAGTATGAAATGTAAGTCGAAAGCAAGTCCTCTTGATCAACTTAATTTGGTCAACACCGTGGAGAACGCTTGGGTGAAGCCTGAATGTGTTGAGCTTTATAAGAAGGAAAAAGCTCCCAAAGACGTAAGGATTGTATATTCGGGCGAATTTATAACTAGAGTTACTGATGGTTTTTTTATTAATAGGCTCTCATGAATGAGAACACATTCAGAGCTGCAGGTAATGGCGCCTCATACAAGTCAAAGCTGTATCCCGTAAAAGGAATTTTTACAGCTTCATGCGCGCGCCATGACCTCACCCTAAAGATGGTGGATATGGATAGTGGTGAAGGGTATGTGATAAACATGCCAAAAACATTATGTACTAATCCTAATTTTTTTTTTTTTGAAGATTCAAATATCCACTATCAGTTCTCCACGAGCTGTTTCAGGAGGACAAGGACAGCCTTGTTACGCCCGTTAATTTGATGTACGACATCATTTGTGTCTTGGAGAAGTCGTTGACGGTAACATCTTATTCAATATTGTTGATGCATAAATGCTAATGTATTCTTATGATAGACTCACTTCCCGTACTTGACTGCTAACGGCACTCTTGCACTCCCCGTTTTTCATGCTTATGCGCATGTTATTAGCTGTCAGTCCAGCTTTAATCCTAAAAACATTGAATCGTACGGCAGGACTGACGGCGAGGCATCGGAACGTTTATGGTCTTCACTCAGACCATTCGTCACCATTACACGTCCGATGTCTCAGGCCAACAGAAGGCTGACTCTTACGTTGGCCATCCGCCATCGTAACATGGAAAAAAAATGGGGAATGGGTAAGATGTTGTTTTTGTAAAGGAAATGGTGCATATCACTAACGACGTTATTTTGGTTTATAGCAAGTGTCTTGTACGGGAAGTACAAAAATACCAAGAAGATCCTGGCGGCAGGATTAATCAAGTTGAAGGATGTCAACCAGGAGGAGATTTCGTTGGCTTGGGAGAGGCATCTGGCGTTGACTCGAAGCGGCAAGTCGTGCAGCAAAATCTGGAGTGATTTGCCACCATCATTGGGATCTGTAACAAGATTTTATCTTTTGGAGTCGATCTTGTTCAGATTTAGGTAATAATGAAACGATCACTAAAAATATCTAAATTTAACATGTCTTTTTTATCACAGAGTTAAAATGTATGAAAACTCTACCGGTACCAGTAATGCAGCCATTGACAGATTAGATGGTGTATTAACGGTATCGGCCAGTGATGGTAGTATCAAGGTAGCTGGGGAGACCTTCTTCATGCAACAAATCAAAGACATCGAGAAGAAGCAGGAGAAGGTCCTTGATGAAATTAGGCAAACAATACCTAATTTCGTACCCCACGCCTACGCCGACTTGTCCGCTGAAACAGCCCAGCTCTCCCTTGGATCTTGGGAAGATTTCGTCCAACGAAAAAAGTTGCTTTTCAAGGATGCTATGCGCGCCAACCTGCAAGCTTACAAGTTTACCACGAACTTGATGTTCAAATCTGGACATATTGGTAAGTCCTAATTTTTTGTTTGTTGTTATACTTAAATTCTAAATATTGTAATACGTTATAAGGTACAAAGCTTGCAGGTCAACATGGCAAGGCCCTTGGAAAGCAACGAAAACTCCTGGATGACCTCCTGGACATCTACAACCAGGAATTCCGTAAGTAAAAAATTGTTATTCGAAGTTTAGACTACTGAAATCTTTATTATAGAGGAAGGTGTAACTGCCGCAACTTTCCTGGATGGTAACAGCCAGTTTTGGGGGATCGATCTCCACCCTTTAACGGAAACATGGTTGTGTGTGAGGAACGCTGAAGAAGAAATCAAACTTCTTAAGGTAAGTAAAGCATTATTGTCAGATACATTTGAAATTTAACTTAAGAAAATATCATACCAAAACAGCGTGAAGCACACAACCTGAACTCCAATATTGAGGTGGAGATCAAGAGGCTTACCGAGGCATTGGCTCTCAATGGTGCCGAATTGGAGAGGGCAAATGATGCGGAGGAGAAACGGTTCTTGGAGGGTGTAAAAACCTTTTTGGTAAGACAGCTGGACCAGAGCAATAATTGGAAAACGCACTCGAAGCGACACCTGGTGTTGCTGAGAGTTGCAATTCCTACCATTACTGACTCTGGATTACAGTCTGACACTGCCAGACTCCTTGATCCGACCGCTGATGCCGATGAGGATGAGGAATCCCTGGATATCGCAGCGGAAGGCAATGAGGATGAAGAAGAAGAAGACGATGAAGAAGAAGACGATGAAGAAGAAGAAGAAGAAGAGACTGCAGCTGTTGATAATGAAGAACAATAAAAAAATAAAAAAAAATATAATAAATAAAAAAAATGCTCAAGCTTAATATCAATGTCTTAATTCCTTCATGGATCATTAAAAGCGCAAACTTTAGGCTCGTGTACGATCATGATAAGGGGCATATTTGTTGAATGCCGCCGGGGAAATTGATCTTTTACCAGAGATTTAATTTTAAGCTCGGGCAAAAAAAAAGCGGCACCCGAGTATGGATTAATAAAACGACATTTTTTAGGCTCATACTTTTTTTTCAGCAAGGATTAATAAAATCTTAATTTTATAAATGTCGAATTTGAATACACTATAAACCAGAATTATTTTAAATTCATATTACAAGAAACCATCGAATTACATTCAATATTAATTAAATACTATACTTAAATCAATATATAAATGTTTCATGGCTTGAGCGATGTATATAGTATACGTTTAAGTTTTTTTTTGGATCATTTGTCATTTTGAAGCTCTTTTTTGACATTCATGCTACAACTGGAAAGACAATCACTAAAAGTATTAGCACCATCTGAAAGCTACAAGAAAATAGAGTATAACTGCATTGAAAAATACAAAATTAAACATACTTTTTTTTTTTCAACAGGTATAACCACATATTATGCATAATTTTTCAAAATACATAATTTGTTTTTAAGGATTTTTTATATAAAAACATGTATAGACAATATTTTTTTTTATTTTAAAGCTCATATCATATACTATATGTTTACAGGTTTTAGAAAATACCAAATAAAGAGTACTTTCATCAGAAGGGACTTACTCTGCATGTAAAAAACTAATTTGCAATGTTACAGTGCGAAAAACCAAGAAATCGGAAAATGATCAAAATAGATGCAAAAACAAAAGGTTAAAAAGACAGTTGAAATTCACATATATATAAAACTTAATTTCTTTTGACCTGTATGGTTTTTGTATACTTTTATTAAGAAAATATCGTATAATGGTCAATACAGACACTTCCTGGATATGCAGATCCCTTGGATTTGATTGGCCCTATTTATTTTGCAAGGAAATGTAAAAAAAAATCACTGAATTGGTTGTATGATCAACCCAATGATATTATATACCTCTAAATTATATCCACATTTAAATAGTATATTTAGAATATAACTTATAAAAAAACTGGATCTTTATACTTGAAAACATTTATTATTCTTTGTTTTTGTTGATATTGAAAAGCAGTAATGATCATGTGTACTAAAAATAAAGCTAGAGATCGCCCATTTTTTTAAAAAAAAAAGGAAATTCAGAAAAAGTGAGGGGGGTATCCCAAAAAAAAATCGGACATACAAGAGTAAAATTTTTTCATCCAATCGATGAACAATTGCGCAATCGAATCATTTGTTCGGTCCAATAGAATTAGATAATTTTTTTTCTATTAGAAAGATTACAGCCCTATACCCTGCGAATGTTTACTTTTTCCTCCCCTACACTTTTTAACTTACATGGCATCTCACCTTTCTAGCATCAGGTAGTTTTAACATAGTATTCAAGTTACTATTGTGCTTGAACCAAACGTATCAAAAGTATCGTGTTTACTTCAATAATGTCTTTATCGTTTCACGTTTAGGCGGCAAGATCCTATCGTTTAAATGAAGTAAGTATAATCTGTTAAATTGACGTCTCATAGAAACATAACTAAATTTTAATAGTTTACTTTAGACAGTGTATTGCGTTTGCTGATATATAGATGTTCCCTGCATGTCGTTGATCTCTGGTTAGAATGTCTCGTTCTGTTTGAGACATTGGAATTTCCCAGACGGAGGAACATACACATGGGGAAGATCTGTTTGCATGTTGTACTTTGCAATAGCTATTAGTCAACACCATTTTGCTCAAATAAAATTCTGACCCTTATGTTCATCTGTACACATGTTTATAAAAGAAATACTACTTTTTTCTCTTTTCGCCTTTTACCTTTTACCTCTAACCTAACCTTTTAACCTCTTTATTATTGTACTAACCAAATCGATAGCTACGCATAATCCAAATGGCTATTCCCAGAGATTCCAAACCCGGATGCGACATAGATAGAACTCGTTGCCATGTCTGTTCAAGGGAATTTTCATCGCCATCTAACAGAAACAAGCACGCACTTCGGCTCCACAATACACCCACCCCTGCGAATGTTGGAAGACCCTCATTAGGTGGAAGGAAACAAGCTAACCATAGGTACTACAAGAAAAGTACAACAGAACAAGTCAGACCCAAGTGTGCATTGCTTTTGACATCAGCAAGAGAAGAATTCACGGCTTTGGACAAAGGGTTCTCGTTAGCGTTGTATCGTACTTACCTTAAACAATGGCATTTACAACTCGAAAAGTCCATACAGATTATGACTCTCCCATCACTCAACCATTGGCAAAGTGACTCAAGCTACTGGGAATTTTTGACATTCGAACTCGTGATCCGTTACGTACGGAATTATGAATTGTTCTTTGAGCATGAAGTCTTTTTTAATTCGACGTCTCCCCTGAGTGTTATATATTCTAGCAATAGCTACTCTCGCGAGCATATGGTTGTTTGTCAAAAGTTTTGGACTACCCCTATGTCCAAATTTAATTGTTTACTTAGAGCTTACTGTAAAGCTTTTATGGGATATTATCATGCTCAATAATAAATTGACTTACATATTTTAAATCAAATAAAACATATTGTCTTCGCATTATTTTACGAAAGATTACTAAAGTCTTAAACTAACTTCCAGCCTTACACAATTAAAGAGAATAGTATACATTTTTGTGTTTATTTTAAAGACTCATACATTTTTGTGCTTATTTCAAAGACTCATGGCATTCGATGCGCAAACAAATATAACATGCCATTTTTAAAAAGTAAATTTATTTTTAAAAAACAAAAAAAAACAAAACAAAAAAACATTTACCTTTAATGCTCGGCATCAGGGTTTGGAGGTTCTTCCATTCTCTCCTCCGGAAGAACAAATGAAATTTTGTTTCCATTTACGGCCCTCAGGACAGCCTTCATGTTGCTAATTGTTTGCTCTGAAGCGTGCTTTATAGGGATGCCCCGGGGCCAACCACGCATGAACAAGTCAGCAGTTCCATCACAAAGCTTTTTGTAGGGAAAGGCTTTTGCATTTTCCGTACCAGGATGTTGTTCTATTAAGTAATAGTTAGTGTTATGGCAATTCAAAGTGAGTAAATGACTTACGGTACATCTGCAAAAGTCTTTCCCTGTATTCTTTTCTTAAAAGATTGGCGCTCTGGTCGTGGACTCTCGCTATTAATTGTAATAGTCATGTAAGTAACATATCCATAAATAGTTCAAAGTGATACGTACCCTTTTTACTGGCCCTTTGGGCAACTCCCAGACGTTGCATCACATTGTCCTGGATTTGTTGGCCCAAATCTTGTTTCAGGCCATTACAGTACGCTATAGATAATATTAAAAAATTAATAATTACTTTTAACACTCTTTTTAGGCAGCCCCAACTTACCTCCAACGGAAAACAAGTTCAACACGGGAGTTGGGAAGCCATCTTCCGAGGTAGTGGGCTTCAATCGGACAGAGAGCAGCAAGAAGTTTGAACCACAAATGGTATTGTAAGCGGTCAAGTGATCTCGGAAGGACCTGAGTGCCCGGGAATGACGCAAATGCATCTCGTCCTCACTCAAATTGGAGTCGATCCGAGCACTCTTCACAAGTTCAGCCTTGTCTTCCGGTCCAAGTGCCTGGTACAATTGAGAGGCCTCTCTCTGGAAACTACCTTTTTAATATGTAAACAATCATGGTTAGTATTTAAGTGAGCATTTGATATAGTAAGAAAAGCTACCTTGAGGTTGGTCGCCAGAGGAAGAATCGGCTTTCTTTTCGGCAGCCAGTCTTTCAGTAAAAATATTGTAAGGACTTTTACGTTTGACTAAAATCAAAGAGGTTGCCGTATAATGAAAGCCAATCGAGGCCTCAGCCTCTGCCTTGGTGACATTTTCTTCTTTGACCAAGATTTCTGTTGTTTCTTGAATCATCTCTCTAATCTTAGCGTTAAGATCAATGATGCGTTGCTTGTTGATTTCTGAATAACTTTCCATTTTAAAATTTTTTTTGGTAAATAGGAAACGGTGAAGGGCAGCGAGTAAGCCCCCCTTGTAAAAAAAGAAAAAAAAAAAAAAAAAAAAGCACAGTCCCCTGCGGTGCTGGGTGCTGTCCGGGCAGATCAAATGGGTGTGTGGCATAGTGACCGACTGATTTGAACTGATTAGTCTATTGTTCATTGTGATCCGAAAACCTGACATCGTTTAATACTAATCTAGTTGTAGATATACTAGATGTACAGTCGTTGTTATATTTTTGGAATAAAATTCTTATATCTTTAAGGCTTATCCGTTAACTTAGCACCGTTTAGTGCAGTTATATAGCTGTATAGCATGTTTGCAGCGTCATATTCTTCATATAAGTAGAAACAAAGGCGAGGAATCTGTTGAACTTTACGACCGCTATGTTTTCTGTAACTATAAGGGCATCCTCAATGACTTAAGAAAGTGTTAAATATCAATGTAGTAATATCTTACAGCTACTAAACGCAGAGTGTGAGCCTTCAGGCTTGAGCAGACAGTTTTGAATCTCAGAAAATAAATGAAGTAGACTTCGACCGACTTTTGTGGACTCACCGTAAATTAATGTGTTAGAGTAGATTAATTTCGCTGCTAAAAGCAGTCTTATTGATTAATTTTTTATTGCAGTTCAGATATGTGTGGTGAAAAAAAGGGCTTTTTTTATATTTAGGGTCACAAAGATTGACATGTTTGTTGGTGGCACAGAAAATAATTTAGACAAGCAAGGGGCTATCAATGACAGCAAAACCAGCAGCAACACCGCCTTCCAGCGTAGTTGTTGCCTTGGTACGTAACAAGTGTCCACCTGCTTCATTTAAAATCTCTCTATCCCCGTCACTATTGGGTAAACCAGTTAAAATTAAATGTACAAACAAGAACAATTAAAAAAAAAAAAAAAAAAAAACTTACGCTAGGTAGGTACCATAAATACCAAGCTCACTCACAACTTGTCCGGTAATAGTACGTCCTTCACGGATCATGAGATTATCCAAGGGAGGACTCTTGATTAAATCCATCAAGATATAAGCATTACGCTCAGTGGGAGATAATTTCTTTAGCTGAAGCAAGATATCATTACCATAGATATTATTTCCTCCGCCTTCACGTTGAGGTTTCATGACTAAATCTTCACTGTGCTTCAAAGCTAATTCGTAAGCAGCCATTCCTTCCGGCGATTCGTCCAATGGATATAAACCCGCAAATGAGGATCGCATCTTGTCAGCCGTCTCCGTATCCACATAACGCTCCAATCGACCCGGAACAGCCAACACTTGCTGTACTTTCTTACTGCCCACTAATTGATAGGCTACAGTAGGACATTTGATCGAAAAGGACTGTTCAATCAATAATCGAGCATCCCACTCCTATTTTTTAAAAAAAAAATCAATTTTAGAAAGAGTTGGCGGGGAAAAAAAAGTGTGGTCGGGATTCAAACCTTTTGGGTGGGATAATCTTCAGGTCCATAACCTGCACGGAAATAGGTTACAGCAACTTCGTATCCATCACTATTTTACAATTAGTAGTTGTTATTGAAACAAGATTTTTTTCTCTATTAAAACACTTACATAAGCAGCCCCTTGTTGTCAGGACTCAGTGTAGCACGACTATTTATATCTGAAAGTGAGAGTCTCGAAAGCAAGATGCCATGTCTAACAAAGAAAAATGAGCAATTTTTTTTAACATCGTTCTTTTCGCTCACTTACTCTTCCAAAAGGGTATATTCGATCCAGCGTTGGTCAAAGGCGTTACGTTCTCCAGGCTGAACAATCATGACCACACGAGCACTAGGACAAAAAAAGAGTTTAAATATGGAAAGGGGGAGGTTGCCATGAAAACAGACTTACTTGGGGTTGCCATAGTGTTTCCATGCAGTTGCCAAGCCATGAGCAATGGACTGAATGGCTTTATTTTGAGGTAGTTGATCCATTGAGATTTGATCTCCTGCATATCCCTTTACAGAAGCTAAAAGGAAACTATATACACATGTATAAATAACCTTTTTTATAACTCACCCCCCTTCTCCCCCTCCTTATTTTACCGATGAAGTTGAGTTGTGCGCGTACTCAGACTGCCAAAACTGGCGGCAATCGTATTGAATTCGACTTGTTGAATTTTAGCAGTCTTTGCATCTGCGCCGGATTTAGCATGAAGCAGATAATCGTTACGGTGAATACCTAAACTCGCGGTCTTTCTTCCATTGTCAGCCTTCCTATCCTTTCCTTTCATTCGAACAATAACTCACCTGAGCTACGCCTTCCTTGTTGACTTGGAGATAGATTTGATATAATCCATTCATGAATTCATCCAACTTTGATAAGCTAAAAAAAAAGAGAGAGAGGGAGAGACAAAAACTGAGTCCAGGTGACTGAATGCCAGGAAAAGAAGCTTACGTTTCCATGGTTTCAGCAATGAGGTCATCGTCTCTGCTCATGCGGTGAATGAGAGAGTTCCAAGGTTGTTGTAATTGGGTTGCGTGTTCAAACTGGGAGCGGGGAAAAGGAGTAGGATACAGGGCAAAAGGGGCATGAGTGACAGTCGCGTTCGTATTTTCGACTTGGTTCTCGGAAAGCATAGGTCGTACAACGAGCCCGTGAGCCAGGGCCCAATCGATTGCCACTCGGATAGTTTCTGTCAATGCCTTTTCAGTGGTTTGTGGAGGATACATTTGTTTACGGTGGAAAAGAAAGAGAAAAAGAAAAAAATGGCGTAATCTGTTGAATTACTCAGCATCTTTTTGTTTATGACAATAATAGTCACAGAAAAAAAAAAAAAAAAAAAAAAAAAAAAAAAAAAAAAAAAAAAAAAAAAAGAGAGAGAGAGAGAGAGAGAGAGAGGAGATAAATAAGAAAATAAAAAAAAAGACCAAGAAAAAAAAAAGAAGGAGAATATCTGCCGGTAAATACAGTTTGATGCAAGACGATCTCCGTTAAGGGAAACGACTATAAATAAATATTTTGATTTGTTTAATATATACATACAACCACATTTACATCTTCTCTCTATGCTTTTTTTGGGGGGTGAAGTAGATACAACGTGATTAAAAATGACGAATATGCAATCGACTGCAATAAACAAGAAACTAAGGAGTTAGTGCTTTTACAAAAGGAGAGCAAGCTAAAAAAAAAAAAGATATACTTTTTTTTTCTGTGTACGCCCACCTTTTTAGAGTAAGTCTATACGAGCATAGGATTCGTTTAGAATCGATCTCATGCAAGAGTGTTGGGCAGTCCTTTAACGCAATATAACCAAATATAGCTACGAACCATCATCGATCGACATGATAAAAAAGTTAATTACATAAAAGCCCTTAAAGAATTGCTATTCCCTTCTTTTTTTTCTTTTTTATTATTGTTGTTGTTTTTATTTTATTTTGTTCTGCTGTCACTTTTTTTTTTTCTTTTTATATACCCTTACAACGATAAAGATATGAATTCCACAACAGCCAATTATTGCCTTGATTCGATATCAAGAAGGTCCTCTCTCTGTCCTCCTCACCATGATTCCGACCCTGTTCTTTCACCACCCCTCACTCCTGCTCTCTCTCAACATCACCCTTTCGATAAAAGACAATCCGCTGATCTTACCTATTCCCCTAACCCTTACAACGGTCGTCCAGCTTATTCCATGGACAGTTACCATCATTGGATGAACCATTCCGCTACTATGCAACATATCCAACAGCAAGTCCATCATCCTATGCACCACCACCCTCAACAGCAACAGCAACAACAACAGCACCACCACCAACAACAACAACAACAACAGCAGTTGCACCCTTCACCTATACCCTCATTACCACCTCAACAGCAAGTAGCTTCTGCCACTACAGCTACCAACAGAGGTTTAATGTCAGACAGAGCCACGGGTGCTGGTGGCGGTGCTGGTAGTGGTGCTACGGGCTGTTCTACTCGAAAGCAACCTTCCAAACAAAACAAGCACATGTGCAATTTCCCAGATTGCCTTTGGAGTTTTAAGCGATTTGAACATTTGAAAAGACACATGTTGGTTCATACCGGGGAAAGACCTCATGTGTGTCCCCACCCAGGTTGTGGTAAAAAATTTAGTCGAAGTGATAATTTTCATGCACATTATCGCACACATGAAAAGAAGGCCTTTGCCCGACAAAAGAATAACAATAATAATAATAGTCAGGTCAATAACACCGAACCATCTAGTCACACGGCTAATTTCTTGATGAAAGAAGAAAAAGACTTTAGCATGCCTTATTATCATCATCATCCATACCCTTTATTACCTACTCCTTCCAATAACACCAAGACTACAGATTACATGTATAATCAACAACACCAGCAACAACATCATCATCAACAGCAGCAACAACATCAGCATCAACAGCAACAACAACATCAGCATCAACAGCAACAACATTACCACATGCTGCAAGACACGAACAGTCCTACTCCCTCTGTACGACACACGAATAATAATAGCATATCATCCTCTTCCTCCTCTTCTACGACGTCGAGTAACAAATTGAAAGGAGAACAAAAGAAGCCTCATGCATGTAGTGAACTTGGTTGTGAGCGTAGATTTAGACGCCTAGAACATTTAAAGAGACATATGCGTATACATACGCATGAACAACCATTTAAATGTAATTATCCAGGATGTTTAAAAACATTTAGTCGATCGGATAACTTGACTCAACATCGCAAGACGCACGAACGACGTGGATCAAGGTATCAGGCAGTGGATCCAGTTGTTCCAGTTTCGACTACTGAATTTATGCAGCCCACGAATAACAACAACAACAACAACAACAACAATTCTACTACGACAACGAGTGAATCTTCTTTTACATTAGTTGATTTTATCCGAGATGGTAATACGAGCAGCAGTCATAGCAATACTACGGCCTATAATCCACATCCTTCGTCACCTTCCTTTGATACCGCTAACAATAATAATAACAATAATAAATCACATCCTATCTTGGCGTGGCAGCATCCTGGTGATACTTCAACAGAAACTGTAGGATGTTAAAAACCTTTTTTTTTATATAACCTCCTTATTATTTTTTTAGCGTAAAACCCCCTCCTTTTCTTCTTTACAGCCCCTCTCCCTCTTTTTTTTTTTTTTTTTGCTTCACTCTCCTCATTTAGTCCTTTTTTCCTTCTTAAATAAACACATGTTTAAACATATATATATAAAAAAAAAAATTTAATCTTTGACACTGCCATCTCTAGGTCTATATGTCACACCACGTCGTTCTAAATCATCCTCCACATCTTCAGGCACTCTTCCGTATACTACAATGGCATAAACGCCCTTTTGGAATTTATCTACATTCACGTTAATGATATTTCTTGATTTTTGGTTTTGTTTGTTTGTTACCAATACGCTGCCACCTTGCTACCCAGCTTTCTTTAGGATGCATTAAAGCAATAGCACTATAAAAAGATGGGGGTTTAGGGAGGTGCGTCCCAAGAAAAAGAAAAGTTGCTTTTTTTTTTTTTTACCCTTCAAATTTTCCACTGGTACATTCTGTCACACGATCCATACTGCCTCTCATTTGTAAAATCTCTTCGCAGTTCTCACATCCATTAGCTCGGAACTGAGATGCATTCTACAAAAAAAAATAGTTTGGTTCGTTTGTAAATAGGAGACTGACGTTTTTTCTTTGTTTTTTTTTCCTTATCGCTTGTTTACCTTGACTAACGAACATAATAAACACGCACGCAGCTGTTTTTTATCAATGGGTAATACTTGCGACATTTTTTTTTTATAGAAATGAAAAAAAAGTAAAAAGGTGGAAAAAAATGTACGCACAAAAAAAAAAAGAAACAGCCACGAGATGACGTATCACAAGGCGACCGATTTAGGGTAAGCATTTAATAGCCGCTCAAGGTGTTTTATCATAGCAGTGTCCCTGAGTAAATGTTTAGACATTGCCCATCTTTTTTTTTTTGCACAGCATACTGTCAATTGGTTTTTTCTCTTAGCCTAGAAATTATTGGCAGAGTTTCTATATAAATTTTTAGTCTTTTTCTGTATTATTTTAATCTGGACCAAGCCAATTCTTAGTTTTGGGTCATTGTCAATATCAAAATTATCGGCGGGAAGCATAGTAGCCCGCTCAAAATTCAAGATACTACTATATACACCCCCAATAATTTCATTGGTACTCACTAACCAATATAATTTTCTTAGTGACCTCTATTGCTTATTTGCGAACGCACATCAAGTTTGCAGTATACGCTGGTCGTTGTAATAGTAAGTTTTTAAATGGTTTCATCCAGCTTTTATCGTGGTTTTCGAAAAGCTTTAAAACAAAATTTCTGCTTTTCAGGTAAAAAAAGGTTTAGGTCCCCCCATACACATCTAAAAGAAAGAACGAGCAAACTGGTATGACATAGCATTTGTTTCTTGATTATGATCATCATTCTACACTTTATATCTGCTTTCTTGTTAAACTTATCATACGTTATTAAACAACTGTCAGGCCTAATAACATTCAGCGATCTTGTTTATAATTATCTAAGACCCTTTGCAAAAAACAATAAAGCATATCACCATATGTTGTACAGAGCCACAAGAGAAATGTCTGATTTGTTTAATGAATTAACTAAAAACTAATGCATGTTTGTGACTGTGAGCACCCTATTTTTAATATATGACAGTTACACTTGAACATAATCCATAGATGGGCAACGCATAATGTCTTTTTTCTCACTGTTATAAAAGTTTGGTACGTTTACTTGCGAAATCAACTGGCGATATGTAGATTCCCAGAGGATAAAGTCCTCTTACTTTGTGTCTGATTTCGACACGGGTATTCGGCTTTTGTCTCCGGTTGCGTTCGGTCTTTGATTGGCCCGAGTCTGTTTTCGCACACACCTATAGTTGGCTCTCGTTTTCCAACCATTTTTCCTGATATTTTTTAACGAGCGTTGAGGTTTTGATGAGAGTCACTGTAATTTAGAATTAAGCGAAAAAGGAAAAAATAATGGCAAAAATTACCTAATTAGCATGACAAAGACTTCTTGAGTGGGTGAATAGGATTAAATATCCGCCAGGTACAATGGCATAAGCCATGTGATGATATGTAAATCCCAACATTTGTTGACTTTTATTTATGAGCAATATAATATATATATGTCTATATAAAAAAGAGAAGGCATTTAAAAATAAAAAAAAGCTTTTTTTATTTTATTTTTTTGCTCTTTTCTTCTTTCTAGTTTGAAAATTTTTTTTTTTATTTATAATTAAAAAAACAAAATGGATACGTTTGGGAGTATTTTGGATCAATTGTCACTGTCTACACTAAGATATCATTGGCAAACAGTGTTAACCTCCACCGTGATATTTGCCATCATTTATGAAATCTCTAGGATATTCTCTCCCGTGTTATTCCCAAAGACCTTTCAGTTCTTCAAAGGCGTATGTTAACAAACTCAATCGTGTCATCAGATGACAAGAGAGACTAATGCTTATTTTTTGAAATGATTAGTACAATGGACCCAATTGGCATGTGCATGTTGTCTCGACTATCCACTGTCTCGTGGTGGTGACTGGATCATTCTTTATTTTTGCAGATAATACACTGGATCAGGATAGAGTGAACGGTTATGTAAGATGGGCAGCTGATATATATTCGATCTCTTGCGGGTAAATATAGCAAAATGATGGAAAATCTCTCGGCAAGAACCCCCGTAACCTTTTTCTTTTGGTAGTTATTTCTTATGGGATACCATCATTGCGATTTATTTCTATAAATATCAAGGCATCAGCATGGTATTACACGGCATTGTGTCTTTCTCGGTCTTTATTTTTTCTTTCGTAAGTGTGGATATACATACAGATGGGGGACTTTTTCTTATCTAACTACCTCTCTTTTAAGCGTCCATTTATCAACTACTATGGTGCTATCTTTCTCATGTACGAACTCAGCACAATATTTCTCAACTTTCATTGGTTCATGGTAATGACATTTTGTACGAAGATAACAGGCAAAGACGGGATTTATTGAAATTACAAATAGGATAAATTGGGTTGGACAGGTTCCATTATTCAATTGGTAAACGGTGTCATCTTGTTGCTCACCTTCTTTTTCGCTCGTATTGTGTTTGGAACTTACATGTCATATCAAATGTGGAGTAAAGTATTAAAAGGGTTTTCATTATGTCGATCTAGACTGACACATTTTATTTTCCATTTTTAGGTGATATTTACGCAGTCAAGGATGATGTACCATGGAGATGTAAATTACGAATTATAGAAATATGGAATTCTTATATATTAACTTTCTCTTTCTTACAGATTGGATTGTTTATGGTGGAGGTAACTTTATCACCACTTGTTTAAATATTTGGTGGTTTAGCCAAATGATCACAATGTTACGCAAGCGATTCCCTGCCAAGGAAACAGCCAAACACAAGTAGTTTTCTTTTTCTTTTTTTTCATTGTACACCTACAAATAATGATACCCAACACAAATCCATGTGTATTTTGTCCATCATTCCCTCCTTCCCTCCCTCCACCAACACCAAAAATACTAAAAAAAAAGGCTCTCTTCCCCCCAAATTCAATATATAAATAACGCTGTGCAATCATGTCATGGATCATTCTTGTTTGAACTCTGTAATAAGCTTTCCGACCAGTCTGTATTTTACATTAAACTGCATCCTTAAAATCATCTCTTTTTTCAGCTCTCCCCCCAATTGCCACTTTGGTCAAACTGTCAATTTCTAAAAGGGGAGTCTAGATTCCCACTCTTTTTTATTTACAGCACATATTCTCGGTTACAATGAGAAGGCTTCTTAGAAATTTATCATTAAAACAAACAAAAATAGACTAAATATTCTCAGTAGTAAGAGACTGCTTTGGTAATGCACACAGACATTAGGAGTAAAACCACAAAAAAAAAGCTGCAAACACACAAGTACGTATGCACACGATATTATCCATAAACACAATGCGCTGAAGCAACTCAGTCAATTGTTGTTTTCGTATTTCCACGACGATCGACTCCAGTCATTGTTATAGACACCCCTTGCATTATGTTGCTAGGTCAATTGTTCACAAGTATGAAAAAATTAATACATTGAGAAAACTGTGATACTTGATTATGCATTATAGTATACACCGCCAATAAGGAGTTGCTTTTTTGGTAGCTGAGTTTTTACATGTTGCAAACAAGAGTTACGTCAGGATAACATAACGATCAAATGATTTAAGCCCTTTATGCTTTATCCCGGGTATATTGTGATCGTCATACTCGTAGTATTTACAAGTTCAGTTACTGTCAAAGGAGTCAAACGAAGGGGAGGCAAAAACTCATGTTGCACCGATACACACTTTGAAGTACTACAGTGTGTTATTATTTGGTTTTAGGGAAACCTAATCTACACTTTACAAACAACTTTTTATTTAATTAGCAGGAAAATCAGCCACAAATAGATCGTCACCAATTGTCTAAACCAGAAATAACAGGAGAAATTTATTAAAAAATTTAATAAGCTATCATGACGCCTGCAATAAGAAATCGCGTTATAACGTGAAGTGATTCATTAGAAATCAGGTGGATCTGGAATTATGAAACTCAGTCTCCTGCCATTATTAGTGGTCCTTGGTCGACTTCTAGGCACATCGATATTTAAAATGAAAAAAAAAACTGATGGAGTGAGATGTAACTGTTTATTTCAGAGCAAGGACATCAGTACAAAATACCCCCGAAGGGAAAATTAACCTAGGAAATCTCCTGCAAACTAAACACGGCTCCAATGATCCACCAGGGGTTATCGCTCTAGCATATTGCTGTCTGGAAAAAAAGAGACAACAATAAGTGTACTAGACGACATTATCGAGCAGCCAAGACACTGTATGGGTTGATTGACCATGAAATAAGCGCATTGTTGTTCAAGTTCAAACTCCTACTGTTTGTGCTTTTTTATGTGCTGTGGCTAGCTGTCCTACCTTCTTTTATTCCCTCCCCCTCACCCGCCCCTCTTTTTCCTTTTTTTCCCCTTTGTTCTTAAGTAATTTATGGATTCGAACTGTGTAAAAAGACAAGAAGTACCCATGACGATACCCGATTCTAAACGACTAAGAACTTCATCGCATTCCAGTAACGAAGGTTTGAATCAACAGATAAAAAAAAAAACGCGCGTTCTTGATAGTGTCATATTCTAAATAAAAATTATTGTAGAAATGACAACACCTTCTGATATTGATATGTCAGAAGTGGATGAAAGCAAGTATGGTGAAGACCTTGAAAAAGGAATCATTGGTGCATTGAACTCACCCAAGGTAAACATTGTCCTTCTAGAGAAAAGATACAATGGCTGCTCTAAACAATAAAAGCTATAGATTGCCAAAGAGCTTGAAGAAAAAAAGATTCTTGTCATTGGTGCTGGTGGTTTGGGCTGCGAAATATTAAAAAACCTTGCATTGACGGGATTCAAGCAACTACATGTGATTGACATGGACACGATTGACCTCAGTAACCTAAACCGTCAGTTCCTGTTCAGGTAATAAGATACAGAATAGAAACAGGAAGGGGGCAACTAAAGTATTTCTCACTTGTGTAGAAAGAAGGATATCGGAAAATCAAAGGCTAATGTAGCAGCTAGTTTTGTCATGAGCCGAGTTCCTGGTGTTGAAGTTGTACCGTAAGTCTCATGATTAGAAAGGCAGGATGCCCAAATTATTCAACTGATTCACACTAGATATTTTGGAAAGATTCAAGATAAGGATGAAGATTACTACAAGCAATTTCAAATCATCATTTGTGGTTTAGATTCAGTCGAGGCCAGAAGATGGATTAACGCTAAATTAGTCGAGATGTACGATGAGGATGATATGGAAACATGGAAATTGTTGATTGATGGTGGTACGGAAGGATTCAAAGGACAAGCGCGTGTTATTATTCCTACCATGTCTTCCTGTTATGAATGTTCGTTAGAACTATTCAGTAAACCTACTACATTTCCCATCTGTACTATTGCAAACACACCACGTCTTCCTGAACATTGTATCGAATGGGCTTCAGTGTTAGAATGGCCTCGTGTATGGGGTGATAAAAAATATGATACAGACAACCCAGATGATATTAATTGGATGTATCAGCAAGCTGCTGCGAGAGCTGCGACTTTTAAAATTACAGGCGTTACTTATTCATTAACGCAAGGTGTGGTTAAAAACATTATTCCGGCTATTGCTTCTACCAACGCCGTCATTGCCGCTTCTTGCTGTAATGAGGCTTACAAATTGGCTACCTTTATTGCCCCTTATTTAAACAATTACATGATGTACACTGGCAATTCAGGTATATATACTTATACCTTTGAGCTCGAAAAGAAACCGGCATGTCCTGTTTGTGGTGTCGAGTCAACCACTGCTGAAGTCGATCCAAATATGACTGTTGAAGAACTTATTGATTGGCTTGCTGAAAAACCTGATGCGTAAAGTATTTACTGTTTAATTAAAGTGGGGGCCCTCGATATAATTTCTCTAATATTCTCTCGTTTAAATAGTCAATTAAAGAAACCCAGTTTACGTACTGCCAGTACATCTATCTACATGCAAGCACCCAAGGTATTAGAAGAAGCTACACGACCCAATCTCACCAAAAAAATCAGTGAACTTGTTGACGATGGAGAATATATCACAGTAACAGATGCTGCATTACCCGTCAGTCTCCAACTTCGCATAAAATGGAAAGCATAACCAAATAAAAAAAGGTCACATGTCTAAGCCTCCCGAGTTTTTTAAATGTGTGGAAAGTTGTGTATATTTTTTTTTTCTATTATTATTTGGAATAAACCAAAAGTAGATCTATTACAGTCATGCCCGGGTTTACTTTAGAAGAACCTTTTCGTCTTGCTCGTTTCCACAATACAGTAGGCGTCAATGACAGTAAACATTTTGTGGTTGGACTCAACTCGTTAGAATCGACTTTAAATAACGACACTGTCAGCGACGATGCCGACTTTGTAGCCATCACTGTTCAGGGTGAAGGTTTCAAAATTTACAATGTAATTTGACACCGTTAAAGTAGCACTACCATGAGCTGTTCATTAAACCCATGTTTCTTTTTTTTTTTTTCTGTAGACCACAGACCAAAAGTGTATAAAGTCTTGGACTACACCTCCAGGCGTTGCATTTGTTGGACCAGCTACACACATTGACGGTGGTAGAGATTTGGATGCCGTTGATTATACTTATGCCATTGTTGCTTCTGGACCCGACGTCACTAAATCAGAGGAACGTAAATCGATTTGGTTATGGAAAAACACCAAGAATGCTGATAATGAAGAGATGGCCAAAACTAAAAAACTTGTAAAACAAAAAACTAAAAAAAAATCTAATTATCTTGGGCTGTCAAAAATTCTGACATTTTTTTTGTTATGCATTGTTTTTTTTTTTTTTTTAGTTTGACGAACAAATCAGCTCTATTCACGTATCACCATCATTGCATTCTCATGTTATTATTGTCAGCGAAAGTGGATCGATTGAATTAGCCACCAAAGATTTAGATCGTATTACAGCCAAGCAAAAGAGCCATAAGAACGGTGCGGTTATTTGGTCCACCGTTTTTGTAACTTCCAACGCACATACACGTCCCTGTTGTATTCCTACCTCCATGGTTCCTTCCATGTCCACCATCGTTGTTACCATCAGCAACGTGACTGGTTCAGATACTTACAGCATTAAACTCAACTATATCAATGTCGAACGTAGAAGTATCGATGTCCTTGCCACCATTGACGTCAAATTAGCCGAAAAGCCCGTTGCATTTACTTTGGATCCCACCGATGGTAGATTAACGGTTTTAGGTGCTGCTGGAGCATGGACTGTCTGGCGTATGCAATTGAAGCATAGTTCCTCTAAGAAAGTCACCGGTACTTTGACCGAGAACTTGTCTATTCAATTGAACAATTACCGATTCCAGGATGATGTTTTGGGAAATATTGCTGCCGTGACACCTTTATCCGATAGTTATGTTGCCATGATTGCACCTCGTATCACCAAGAAGTCTGAAGTCGAGCACATCATTAGTGTTTGGGATGTCAAGTATGGTACACTTCAAGCTGAACAAATTATCAAGATGTCCGAAAAAAACGTCTTCAACAAGGATAACTGTGTGTACAACATTGCTGTTTTACCCAACTCCCATCTTGCCGTTACTGTCTCTTCCATCACTGCCAAGACGGCTACAAAGAATATCAAGTCTGCCAAAAAGATGGCCGAAACTAATTCAGTCGTCATTCTCTGTCCTTATTATAGCGAGCCTGTCTCTCTTATGGCAGCTATGGGTAAAATGAAATCTACCGTTGAATTCATGGGTATCAATAACGATTTTGGATCTGAGGAAAATGTCGGTTTCTCTCGCAGTGGTAAGGAAGCTGTGTGTCGTGATTTGGCACTCCATCACGAAGAGGCATCGGAAGAAGTGTTTGATAAATGGATTTCAAAAATGGAAAGAAGTCAAAAAGCAGAGACGGACAATTTAGAAATATTAATGAAGGATGATATTACAGAAGAGGAATTCACGCAAGCCTTTTTCGACCATGTTAATGTCAAGTCAGTTGATGTAGATGTTGAAATGAAGGGAGATGTGTCTGAGGACCCTGTCGCTATCAAGACCGAAGAATACCGTCATACCATGAGTAAATGGATGCTTCTCAAGAAATCCAAAAACGCCCATGAATTATCACAATACCATATCGCATATGTGGTGAATAAATGTTTCAGTAAAGCCGATTTCTGGCCCGTGGAAGTCATTCTTTTCTTAATGACAAGGTCTTTGCTCCGTAGCAACTATGCTGAGAAGGGTATCATTGGCTCAATTTTAGAAAGAAAGGAATGGGCTTTATTACCCATTGTCTTGGAAAAGGTAAATGATATCCCTGAAAAGGATTTGGTCACTTTGATCAAGACTTTGGTGGCTTTACATGACGACGATGAATGGAAGGATGGTAGATTCAGCACTTACTTGAAACTCGTCGTGGATGCTCCCAAAAATGACATCTTTTTACAACAATATCTCAAGCGTATCAGTGCATCTGAATTACCCGTCATTCTCAATACCATTGTTAACTGGTTGAAGGATAAATCATCCAACTTGAACAACCGTACCAACGTAAGTGTGAAGTTTTATAGGAAAAGCTTCTCCATCATGCTCATTTTTTTTTTTTTTTTTTTTCCTTAGATTGTCGATTTTGGAAACAGCATTTTAGATATTCACTTCCCTACAATTATTTTGGAACCCAAACTTCAAGATATTTCATATACATTACGTGAGCTTATTGCTAGTGAAATCGAAGTGATTGACGATCTCGAACAGTTAAAGAATATCTTGGGTGCCTATGATCGTAAACATAAGCATGCTCGTGCTAAGCGTAGTATGGAGAAACAATCCAAGGTAGCCGCTGACGCACCTGTTGATGAATTAACTAAATTCAGAAAGAAGAACGTTGGTAAATTCGGTGGTGAACAAGGTATACCCGTCTACAGAGTCGAGGTATTCAGATTCTAATGAGAGCCTCCAAAAAGAAATAAAAAATTGTACAAAAATAAAATTAAAACATATAAAAAAAAAAACCTTCATTTCCACCACCACCACTTTCCCTTTTTTTTTTTTCTCCCCTCACGCATTATTAATAAAACTTATAGAATATGTATACACATAAATCTCCTTTCTGTCTTTTGACGTTACATCATTTTTATCGCGTTCAGTGAAATGTCTTCCATCCCTTTAGTTGTAAGTCAAGCCAGAAAGGGTTTCAGTATTCAGAGATGTCAGGTAGTGTCTCAAAATAAGCTCAAAGTCATTCAAGGGTTTAACCTTCTTATAAAACTACTAATCACTTGTACATCTAGAACGTGGATTTAAGAGGTATCCAAAATGATTCTTTGCTATTACATACTTCCTATCTTTAAAAGGATCGGAAGGAATGATTAAACTGTTGGATTTATAAAAAAAAAAAAGAGCGTATTTGACATCTAATCAAATGATCAAGGCCATATCGGGTAAACATTTTGCCGATCATGTGATAATCACGTGATTTTAAAATTTTAATTTGGTGTTTATTACATTAAGCAAATTTAATCTCAGCAAGGGAGCACGCTAGATTCTGTAGCGCGCGTAAAACCGATTCTCAGAGTCTGTGCATTCGAGTCACCTGCTAGGTGCTAAATAAGGAAAACGATGTAACAGTCGTTATATTTAATGATGATTGACGTTATCCCTGGCTGAATGGTGTGGCCTCCTCGGACGCTACTACCGTTGTTGAAAAGCTTGTACAATATTAATATCTGAATTTCCTTTTTTTTTTTTTTTTTTTTTTAATTGGGCATGTCTTTTTTCGTTTTTGTTTTAAAAACATGCCAAGGTTTCTGAAAAAAAAAAAAAGAAAAAAAAAATATGTCATAAGGTCCATTATTCATCCATTGGGTGACATGGGGTTAAGCAAAACCTGATAAATAATATTTTGACGATGTTATCAACGTGAAAGTGTAATGCATTATTTCACTGAAACAGATTCATATCTGAATATATAAAAAGACCCCCCAACAGAAAAGAGTTCATAATATTACTATTTTTTCGTTTAAAGGATATTTAATCAAATGCATATCGGTAAATACTTAACTCTTGCACTTGTCAGTGCCACTGCTATTGCTGCCCAAAGTCAAGCCAGCAATCGCACAACTACTCAAGGACGTAATGGAACAACTACTAAAGGTCGTAATGGAACAACTGCTGGTACTGCTAATAGTACCATCTATGAACTTTTGACTGCCCCCAACAATCATTTGAATACATCCAAGTTTGTGAGTCTAGTCACTTCTGACTCGGGCTATAAACCTATTGTTGATCTCTTGCAAAAACCTGGTAACCTTACAGCCTTTGTACCCAACGACAAAATTCTTACCAAGATCCTCGGCGTATGGAAGGCCTACGCCAAAGCTAATAAGCTCAACTCTACAGGCGAATATCCCCCTGCTAACATGTCCTTTAATAATATCACAATCTCTGATCTCCTGTCCTACCACGTTGTTGGCGAAAGAGTCAATTTAACCAATTTGACTGATAGTAATGTTTCTCTCAGTGTTGTCCACTCTTTGGCTAACCAATCCAATATTGCCTTCTTTAACGGTTCCGGTTTGCCTATTCTTATTGAAAATAATGCTACCTGGGAGCAATTCCATAACCAGACATGGATGAAGGCTAATAGCTCTTATCTTCAATATGAGGTTGGAAACGGTGTAAATGATACTGAAGTCCTTGTCAAGGATCTTAATGCTACTAATGGTTTCTTAAACATTATTGCATCTGGTAAGTTTTTAGAAAATACTGCGGATCATCAAAAAACACACTAAAATTTTAAAATGTAGTTTTGATCCCTCCCATGAAGCCAAGCGTTGTAATCGATCAAGTAGATGATCTTGATTCTTTTGAAGATTGGATTAAGCAATATCCTTCTATTAATAACACCTTGAACAACTCAACCAACGTAAGTTTTTGTTTTACAATTATTTAGGAATTAAACCCTAAAACAATTATTCTATGTATATAGTTCACTCTTTTCGCACCCACTTCCGAAGCCCTAAAGAAGGTTGACTTCCAGAACATGAACAATGATACTGTTGAAGCTTTGTTTATGAACCATTTTATCCCTGGTGTTTACTTCACTCCCAATATCACTGCTAATGCACTTACCAATGATGGTAACACAAACTTTACTTCTTTCAGTAATGTTACCTTCCCTGCTTACTTTAACTCTACCTCTGGAAATATCACCTTGAATGACACTACCAACATTGTTCACCCCAATATTTTCTTCAATAATGGTGTAATGCATGTGATTGATAATATCATCAACTCTACCAGCGCCAATGCTAATGTCACAGAAACTGGTGCAGCTGGTCCTTCTAGTACTGCTACTGATGTCTCTACAGATCCTGCTGCTACCCCAACCGATGGTGGCGCCACTCCAACCGACCAGACTGATCCTAATGGTCAAACCGATCCTAATGGTCAAACCGATCCTAATGGTCAAACCGATCCTAATGGTCAAACCGACCAAGGTGGACAAACCGATCAAGGCGGACAAACCAATCAAGGTGGTCAACCTGACCAAAACGGTCAACCCGATCAAGGCGGACAACCTGATCAAGCCGGTCCAACTGCTACTGAAGTTGTAACAGCTGCTCCTACAGATATGGTTACCGAAATTGTAACTGCCACCGCTTAATCTTTTCCCTTTTTTTTTTCTTTATAAATATAGTACATACACCCCCCGTAAATAGCACACTTTCTAATAAACTTTCATAATAGTTCGTTTCGAACATAAAAAAAAATGTTTCAACTTTTAACGTCATATCTATTCATACTCATTATGTCTTATAAAAAAAAAAGGCAAAAACCTTGGTCAGATGCGCTTGTTAATTCAGGAGGACAATGGTACCGATTTATCTCTTTTTGACGGTTTTTTTGTGGTAGTCGTGAACCACGGGGTTGAAGCTGAGATTTTCGCCAAATCTTGTTTATGATGAGGCTGAAGACTTTGTTCTTCAAACTTTGAAGGCCATTCCTTTTGATCCGGAGTATTTTTCGGTGGACAATATTACAATCGACTTGGCGGTTACCCTTTGTGCCCCCTCTGGTACTGTCTGTGCGGGTCTCTGGACCAATTACCTTGGCTTGTTGGAACATTTTGTTGTAGTTGAAGTATAATATACATATACTTGGGACTTCTTTATTTGAAGTTCCGAGCCTGGTTTAAATATCAGGTTTTATCCTATTTTTAATAAAGTTCATCTTTTTTCTGTCTCGTATTTATACTTGTGTTAATCGACTATTTCACATTTCTTCGAAAAGGACAACAGTGGTGCCTTTCCCGGGGTAATGCGCAAGGATGATATGTCCAATATCAATGATCTTGGTGGTTTCAAGTTTTCCCCGGCGAGTGTCGATCCCTCCAATGGTCTGATTTCAGTGCAAGCTTACTGTATCTTTAAACAGATACAGTTCGCAAGAAATAGTAACTCAGACCGCCAGTGTAAAGACTTTTCTCCGGAGCAAGTATACAATAACTCAAGCGGCCTTGCACCCTGGTTGTCCAATTTTTGCAGAGATTTAGGTCTCGCGGAGACAAGAAGTTTTGGAATTTCGTGTTTCTGGGTCTTTCGCGGATTCTCTATTTGAAAAATTGAAAGACGAGGCAACTGTTGCCGTGGTGAATACCCATGCTCGCTTTTTCCCTTCTCCAGTCATTTTCTCGTTCTTTTCCTGCCGTGCCAAGGCATTTCAGACTCTTCTGTTGGCTCTTAATAATCCTGTTTTCAAGTCCAGTCAGGAGGGTCTAACCTTGGCTACGGTAGTCTCCTATCTTTTCTCCTCAATCCTTCACCGGCCGATGGATACTTTTTCCTTCAAAGCAATTCATCGTCTGGTGGAGGAGTCCCGCTCTCCTTTTTCTCCTGTCCTCTTTTTGAGTGACCTCATTCGTTTCGACGGTGCACGTTGTGCTATTTCTCCTCCTTTTTTTCGTTCGGTGCTTTCTCGTCATTTTCCTTTGCGAATCATGGCATCTATTCCCAATGGTCGGGTTAGGGCCCAAGTGTCCGAAACCTCTTTTCTGGGTACCCAAAGGTATACTTTGCCAGGTGGTAACGTTCACGTAAGCCAATTAAGAGTAATTTTAGCCAATCTTGTCCCTGCGGATGGTTACCCAGTGTTGCAGCCAATAATAATGTGGCTTGTTGTTACACCGGATAGGATCTTTCCTATAAATACGATTCTTTTTTTTCATTTTCAATAAATATTCTTCAGTTTTGTCTTCACCTAAAAGTGGGATTTATCTTGTAATTGATACTAGTAGTATTTCCTCCGCTTTTTGTTGCTGTTTGTTGTCTATTGTAAATTATACAATCACATCATCTTCTTACATAAACCCGTCGTAAACTCTTTTCTCTTTGACATCTAAGAACTATATTCTCTTCTCATCTCTCACTGTATTATTATCGATTTGCATTTAATTGTCTTATCCATATATTTTATCGTCTAAGATCAATACAGAAATACTCTTAATAAATAATAAAACTAAGTTGACAACTAAAAGTCTGGTGCTCACTATCACAATTGTTATATAATAATAATTGTCCCTTTTTAAATCTAAATCCGTACTAGCGCTGTATCACCAGGTTTATGGTGTCTAATGATGCCATTGCCCAATCTCTCTACAATATGATCGGCAAACAGGTGGATTTCTGTGCCACTACGGGTATCTTCTTGGTCGGTGGTTTTTCTCCCGATTCTGTTAGGCTTTTTACCCAGCTGTTGTTGTCTGAGCTGGTACAAAACTATTCTCAATGGGCTAGCCGAGGTCTAGGCATGATACAGGCCAATTTCGTTCTTGCTGGCGATCGGGTGTTTGAAAATGGTTTTTTGGGATCACACCTTATGACTTGAATTTGATTTGTTACTATCGCATAACTTTGAAAAATACCCTGTCACTAAAATTAATACAATGCTGACTCTAACATATAATTAAAAAATATAACTTTGCTACTTAGCCACTTTTTCTTTTGATAATATCTCGATAAATGTGTCAATATTCGTTCAATCATGATCATCTTTGGGAAAACTACGCGCTTGCAGATTACATTTATTATGTTGCATTCCACATTTCATCATTGATATATACAGTGCACTCATATTTACTTGCATTATACCCATGTTTTTATTTTTATTTTTAAAAAAAAAGAATAGAAGTAAATCTTGTAATTAAAACTTGGCATAGATCCCATGTAACAAAATACAATATGCGCATTCAAAAAACCTTGTATTTATTTCTTGTATTTATTTAAAAAGGAAGCCTTTAAAAATAAAACTTGATTCCATTTTGTTTCACACAATCGAAATAGGCCATTGTTCTTTTTTTTTTATTATTCTTATGCAGTCATCCCACTACCGTGATATATCAGCACATTCATATGGAACGCATGCAAACACTCAATTAAAATACGACATGATTTCCTTCAAAAAAGATACCCCATTATTTTAAAAATAGATTACAAAATAGGATTTATCAAAATAAGCTGTGATAGTGTTTATTATTGTTTTATATATATATATATATATATAATTAAGCAAGCGTTGGCATTATGAATGTTGACACTTGAGGGATGGTTTTTTTTTTATAATTTAATGCAAGTTGACCATGTTTTTTATTTATTTTCTGAGCAAGCCGCATAAATTACGGATTTGTGTTTGCCCAAGTTTTAAACTCACTTTTTTTTTTTACCATTATTATAATGTTGCCCTCAGTAAATATTGCCTTACAGAAAGTGCCCTTGACAGGTTCCTTTGCAGCCTCAGAATTAAACAAAGTGTTGACATTTCAACCATTTAAAGACTGGCTTCAAGCATTTTCTGAACAGCAAGAATCGCGTCGTAATGAAATGGATGTCAATTCGATCGATGTCCAAAGTATTGATTATTTTGGGTCAGAAAAAATCGGTTTTGTAAAATTCAAAGCCAATGTTACTTTTAAAGAAACCGGTAAGAATGCACCCGGCATTGTGTTCATGGTAAGTTATGTTGATGGCACACAAAGAAAGAAAAAAAAAATTGTGTTTTTTAACTGGTTGTGATTTATTACAAAAGAGAGGTGGTGCTGTTTCCATGATGATTGTTTTAAGAGCAAAAAATGAGGAGGATAAAATTATATTGACTCTTCAGCCTCGAGTACCTGTACCCCATCTTTCTTTTCCAGAATTGCCTGCGGGTATGTTGGATGGTTCAGGTAATTTTGCAGGTACAGCTGCGAAGGAGATTGAGGAAGAAACAGGTAACGAGTTATACAATCAACACGTTAAAGGAAGGTGTTACTTAAGATTTGTAAAATTAGGGCTTGTGATCAAAGAAGATGAGCTTCATGATATGACTCAGTTGGCTTATGGTGATAAATGGCGAGGTGTATATCCTTCCGCTGGAGGATCAGGTATTTTTTGAAAGGGGGGTTTTTGTATATCCAATTACTGATTATGCTCATGAACAGACGAGTTTTTAAGATTATTTGTTTGTATCAAAAACATGGAGGGTTCCGAGATTAATAAGCTGGAAGGTAAATTGAGTGGACTCAGAGATCAAGGAGAAAGTATCACATTGAAACTAGTTCCATTGAAGGATGCCTGGAAATCTTCACCTGATGCTAAGCTGTTATCAAGTCTAGCACTTTATCATTCTCTTAAAAATAAACTTGTTTAATAAAATCAAGCTTTTTGAGATTTCCTTTTTTGGATTTGTTTATGTTTACCTAAATAGTACACCCGTTTGTTGCGGGCAGGATTGTTTATTATTGTCAATTAACCAAAGTTGCTTAAACATTTACAAATCAATAATAATCCTTTTTTTTTCTCTCTTCTTTTCTTTTTCTTTTACTCTCTCATACATTTTTTATTTTATTTATTCTGAATGTCTTTTACTCAAGAAGGCCCATATACTATGCCAGATTCCACTGCGTTTGATAGAACAAGACATAAAATCCCTGTATATACCCCTTTAAAAAAGATAGGTACCACTGGCTTTTCTGAACCAACTTTATCAAGTCGATTACAAAGTATGATGCTCGTTGATGACGATGAAATCTTTGAAGAAGACGAATTGGAGGATTTTACATTTCTCCCCCCTTCAAGTGCCCCCATGACACCTAATGACTCTATTTCAACCAGTTCCAGTCATACACAATATGTGAACACTGTCAGAAAGAACCGCCCACTTCCTAAAATTCCCAATAAAGGCACCCCAAAAGAATTGAACAACAATATGACCGAATCGTCGAACGATTCTTCTAAAAGCCAAAATAAGCTCACCGCCCAGCAATTATTTGAAATGTTGAGCCACAATCGTATTTCTGGTATGGATAACGAAGAAGATGACGATGATGAAGAAGAATACGGTGGTGTTTTTGCTTTAAAGACTCAGATTCCATCACCCAGTATTTCAAATAGTAGTCTCCCATCCTATCAATATGAAAATTTTAATACCAATTATTATAAAATGATGACACCTGTAGACGAGGTTGAGGAAGATCAATTCTATGCTTCCGAATATGAAGAAGAATCACCCAATTACATGTTGGAGCCCGTAGACAATAGAGCTTCTGGCCATTTTTCCTTTGATGCCTCGATGAATACTCCCAGTCTTACAAGTGGGCGTACCTCACCTTGTTCAAATAATTCTCATCACTCAATAGACTCTGGTAACCAAAAAGAAAACCGACCTAACACCGAGTACGCACATTATTATCAACAAGGTTACAGTACTCAACAACAGCAAGAATTAGAGAGATTCGGACAAGAAGATTACCAACATCAACAGGAGTATGATGCAACTAGTAACAACAATAATCCAAATTCCGAAGATTACAGCAACTCGCAAAAATCTCGCCAAAGTTCTGAAATTGAGCAAGAGCATTGCCTTACTCCAACGATTCAATCACAAGATATTTCTTTGGTATCTGACGTGAAAAGATTAGCAGAGCTCAACCAAGCACTCATGACCCCAATTATTGCAAACAAAGATATTAAATTTTTTCAATCAACGATAGACCAGCAGGAAGTTGAAAACTCTACAACCCCCGATGATTACAGTAATATCAATACTAGCTCGCCACTTGCCATGACATCCTTCAGTTTAACCCATGACAAAGAATCAATCAAAACCTACCGTCGTATGGCCACTAAAACAAATGATAAAAATATCCAGTTTACATATGCAAAGTATCTTTTGCAATTAGTGTCTTTCTATGGCGTTGAAAGTGAAAAGAATACCACGCGTGATAGACTTCAAGAAGAGGCCGAATACTGGATTGAAAAACTAGCAAAATCTAACCACACGGAAGCTCTCTATATCAAGGGACAATGGCATGGTCACTGTGGCGATAAAAAAGCGATTGGCGTGTTTGTCGGCTCCCAATATAAAAAAGTAAACCAAGCTAAAGCTTTCAAATGCTTTCAACAAGCAGCAAAGTTTGGCTCGACTGAAGCGCATTACGAATTAGCAGAATATTGGAAATACCGTAAAGATTATAAAAAGGCGCTTTCGAACTACAGATATGCTGCTTCTAAAAACCATATCCTATCCCTTTATGTAAATAGTAGTATTAAAGCTCAAGATAGAAACATATAGTAACTTTTATTTCTCTCTTTATAGAAACTTGCAAATATTATGCTTCGCGGTTTATTAAATCAAGAAAAGGATGTTCGCCAAGGTTTAATCTTTTTGAAGAAGGCTGCGGATACAGATAAGCCTGAAAGTGCTCGATCAGCTTATGATTTGGCTTGTCTTTACTCTAACGATTTAGAAAGTATCGGCTTGGATAGGTAATTTTTAATATTCTTTTAAAGATTTACAAGTTCTAACTTTATAAATATTAGAAACACCCTTATAGCACCTAGTGTTTCAAGCCAAACCTATAATCTTGCTGTTCATTATTACAGAAAAGCAGATAAACTTGGCCTGGTGCTCGCTACGTTTCGTCTGGGTTACATTTACGAACATGGCCATCTCAATACAGAAGCAAATGTTTCCGAAGCATTTACCTATTACTTGAAAGCAGCGGAGAAGAAGCACGAAGGTGCCATGCTTGAAATTTCGAGACTTTATAAAGAAGGCATCCCTGGGTTTTTAAATCCAAATCCAATCATTGCACATGAATGGTGTGTTCGGGCAACAGAAAGCGGCAACGAGATAGCAGAATTTATGCTTGGGTATGAATACTGCTTTTTAAGTGTAGTAATCTGATTAGATTCAATTTTTTAATTAACTTCTATTTTTTGCAGCATTTATTTTGAATTTGGTGTTGGTGTTAATCCTGATCAAAAACAAGCATTTGTGTGGTACAGCAAAGCAGCGTCAAAAGGATATGGTCCTGCTGAAAACAAATTGAACGTACCTCAAAGCAAAAGAAAAAGTTTGGCTTTAAACCAAGACGTTGAAAGTAAGCTGGACCACAGACAGAATGGCAGCAAAGGAAAAAAATATTACGAGGATAGTGTTCGCATAGCCGAGAAGTCCAGAAGAGCTCATGCCGAACAGGAAAACTGCCAAATTATGTAGCATGTTTTACATACCATACTTCTTAATATCCTAATTCGTTTATTTTAACTACTATATTCCTATCCTTATTTTAACTTTATTCCTAATTATTACAACATAAATATATTTTATACTATACCATAATCGTTGCTGTTGACATACTTTGGAAAAGATCAAATTGTTTACTGCTTGTACCTACTACTATTGAAAAATAGCATTAAGTGTTCATATAATGAATTAACTTGAGCGTGGGCCCGTTATGACTTCGGCATGTTCCCTTTATGACTTAAGCATGGATCCATTATGATATAGTATTGGCCCCGTTATAACTTAGCCTGGACCCGTTATGGTTTAAGCCTGGACCCGTTATGAAATAATATTAACTCCGTTATGACTTACTCATGGACCCGTTATACGACCATATTGGCCTCGTTAAGCGTAAACCTATCAACTCGGAAATTGTACATGCCTTTGAACTAGCATTAAATGAATATCCACCGGATAAGGTTTTTTCAATCAGTGGGCTTGAAATTATTGATCGCCCTAATATTCACATAGGTTATGGCAACCCAGAGTTGGCCTTTGTATTTACACGGTATGCTCTGAATCACTGTCCAAACCTTCAAGCCTGTAGCATTGTAATGGATGCTATTTTCAATAAGACCATCTATATTAATACTCATTTAAAGGAGCTCCAACTACGCAAAGATCATTTTATAACATCAAATATGGTAGAGAGGATATAAAAATGTTTAAATCTTTCCATCTTACCCCATTTCAAGCAACGTTGAATTTATCTTGTATTCATTTACCGAATATCCAAGTTTTGATATGCGATGCTAATTTTATGGACACAAAAGGTGACTGAGATTAGCCTGAAATCGTTTAAAAACTTGGAGCTATTTCAGTTTGATGATTACAATACTTGTGGAAATGATACCGATTACATATTTATTTGATTACAGGTAGATAAAGGAGACATGGCTTATTATAGCCGAAGAATCAAAAGAAATCTGTTGTGTACGAAGCAGCTACTTTGTTTCAAAAAATAACAAGATGATGCTACACTGAATATTTGCCTCCTGACTGTAAAGTGTAATAGTGGTGCAAAATTCATTGTTTTGTTTGGAAATCACATAATAGCTGCAGAATTTGATCATGGACACCTTCTTGATCACATTTGAATTGGTAACAAGTTTTTTTTTTTTTTTTTTTTTTTTTAAAGCTTTTTAATTTTCAATAAACGGATAAATGGAGGGAGAGATTATACAGTACTCCTCTTACAGGATTCTACCCTTAAATTAGACTGTGTTTCCATCACCAGTTTGCCTGTTGACAAATGACAAGAATATGTCAATAAAAACTCCCTTCTGTATGTAAGTGTTCAAGTCAAACCAGTCCTTGGTACTTTTCATCTCGTCAAGAAAGATATATATTTAGCAAAAGAATAAGTATGCGTGACTAATTAGTTTGTAGTATAACTACAGTGTGTAAAGCTGCTCCTTGTAATTATATTTTCAAATATCCTGAACAGCTTGTAATAAGATGGCTTTCAGTAGACTCATATACAAGTAAATGCGTTATAATTTTTAGTGTTATTACATATTTCTTTATATTTACATTATTAGACGCTTTTTCTTTTTTTCTCCACTTATTTTTGTTTTTTCTAAATGATATTGGAAAGAAAACTGTAGTGAACACGGGTTTTTATTATTATTATTATTATTTTAACAGCATTTGAGTATTCTAGTTGATGTGTGATTTATTTTTCAGTTTTGCATGAGGTTCGCGCGGCTACTCAATTTCTTTGTATCTGATTTACGACAACAATAGAGACTTTAGGGGATTAATTTACACTGTACTAAAAAGTAAATTATACTGTTTGGAAATCAGAGTAGTGTTTTTTCCCACCATTTTTTACACTATTAGTGTAAACGCTTACACTAGTCTGTCCTTGAAATAAGCCAATCGCTTCTGTCAATATCCCATATTTTAAAGACCAACTTTTTAAAATTCATGTTATTGGCCTTCTACTAGTCTGTATTAGGACAGTGATAAAAGTCACTGTGAATGCTGTAGTGTAACACTTAGTGAAAATATGAGTCCCCTAAACTCTCTATTAACAGAGCTTGTCCAAAAAAACTAATTTCCTTTTGTAAGAAAATGCAGTTCTAGATCAAGATTCTACTTTCTATGAACCATTAGTCTCTCATCAAATCATATAATTTCCATCAAATCATATAATTTCCATGACAAAAAGAGAGTGATATGCTGTCAAAAAAAAAAAAAAAATGATCGGGAAAACTCTTGGGATCCCGATAATGACATGTTTTTATGCGCTGGTTGAAAAAAAAACATTTGCTTTTTTAGTTAAGAAAATGGGGGTCCTATCATGTTTTTTTACTTTTCTTTTTTTTTCTTGTTGTGTGTGTGTGCTTGTTGTGTGCGTGTGTCATTTAATTTTATCTTTTTTTGACGTTACCAAGGGCAAAAGAAAGAAGTGGAAAAGAAAAAGAGAAAGAAGATACGAATGTAATCAATGAAAGATTTCAAGTCATTTACCTTATTACCTTTAAAGCATAAAGCGGGAGGTCATGTTGCGATGTTTAGAATACGGAATGGACCTCTTTGTAAAGCGATAAAGACGCATGAAGATGTGGTTTACAAAGACTTGATGCAACATGGAGGCCTTGTGCCGTTTTTACCTCGTTACATGGGTACCATCTATGTTTCTTATGCAAACGGATACCCCGAGATTGCTCTGGAAAGTGATCGTCAGCGTTTAACACAGTTTCAACAGTGCTGTACCGTCAACAAGCAACAAGAGCCAACACCCATTCTAGAGGGAGAAAAGTTTATGGTCATGGAAGATTTGACACTGTCACTAAAGAAGCCTTGTATTCTTGACTTGAAAATGGGCACAAGACAGCACGGAGTTTATGTTTCAGAAGCCAAAATGGCCAGCCAAAAAGCCAAATGTGAACAATCCACCAGCGGTAAACTGGGGGTGCGAGTGTGTGGCATGCAGGTAAAAAAAAAAAAAAAAATGAATATAATCGTTGTACAAACTGTCAAATTAGAGACTGAACAAGTAGTTGATTAGGTGTACCAGTTGGATAAAGAATCGTATGAAATTCAAGATAAATATACAGGCCGTGTGTTGACCCCAGAGTCATTTCGAGAGACTGTGCATCATTTCCTATTGAACGGGATTGATTTATGGATACCCATCTTGATCAAGAAGTTAAAGGCATTGTATGTCGAGATTGAAAAGATGGCTGGATATCGATTTTACGGCTCGAGTTTATTAATTGTATACGATGCATTGAATATGACTGATATCTCTATGAAATTGATTGATTTCACACATTGCATTACTCGTACTGAAATGGAAGAAAATCAAGACAAGATGACTTATCCGCCCGAGATGGGATCCACTTATCCAGATGATGGATTTTTACAAGGCCTGAATACAATCATTCATATTTTACAAGAATTTTAATAACAATAAATATATATGTATAATTATATATTTTTTTAATCTCTTAATCTTAATCCAGCACGTAAATCATCTGTGAGAGGACCATCTGTCTTACAACGTTCACATTGACAGGTAAATAAGTAAGATTTGTCTAAATAGGTTTGTCTAGTTTCCTTATTCCATCGAGGATTGACATAGGTTTCGTATAACTGTTCGTCCTTCTTGATATCACGGATAGCTCTGACAGTAATCACATATTGAGACTGACGTTGAGGGTAATCAATACTGACGTTGGGATAACAATTATGGTTGATATGGGAATGGACCAGATACATGCCACCATTTTGATTGTTGATATTGAATTTACCAAGGTAATTTAAAAAGGTCTCCTCTTCATCAAATAATTGTTTGATCAATGCGTCGGGTAAAGGCTTGGTGATCTTGCATTTCTTGGGAGGTGACTTATAGGCGTTACTTAATAAGGTACGTGCTTTTGTCCATAATTCACGTGTAGGACCCTCCATGAAGATCCACTCTGTTTCCTTGGCTTGTCTTTCTTCTTGGCTGACAGTAGCAAAGGCATCTAAATGGCCCATCATTTGTTCCAATTCTCCACGTTGATGCGATAAAATCATGTTGGCATAGATACGTGAGACAGCCATAGGGGCTTGCCACTTTTCCATTTCACAGAATGAGATGAATTTACCGATTTCTGGGTTGAGGTTGACACATTCTAATTGATGGAAATTATCCCAGGCAACGGTACGACATTCTTTACTACAGTAATACATGTTACAGTGACCACAATGCTGAGTTAAACGGTTAGGATATATAAGAGGTTTACAACAATTTCCACAGGCACGACCACTGCGAGCTAAAGAGAACCCTTCCCAAGGAGGGAAATAAACGAAGGGTTTCTCAGTGAACAAGATTTCATCCTTCTTGATATCGCGTGCAGCAAAGAGACCTTTACCGGTGACTTGGTCGACCATGCGAGCTACCACAGCATCAGATACTGACTTGAAGTCTAATTTAGGGTCAATGAATGAAACAGGAATAGAAGGGTCGTCAGCAAGACCTGACTTGACGGGTGCTTTGGCGACAGAAGTTTGAGTCAAGCCATTAGCTTGCATGAACTTTTTGACACGCTTCTCGGATACTTGCCATGCGGGTTCTTCCTTTAATATTTGGTTAGTGACAGTCTTAACACCTGCTTCGGGTGAATTTAATTTGACTGACTGAATAGCAGCAATTAACTCTTCTTCGCTAGGCACGGTTTTTTCTGACATTATCAAAAGGGAAAAAGAATAATTTTATTTTTCTAAAAGAGACACTGGTTTTTTTTTTTTTTTTTTCTTATATATATTTTAGACCCAAGCCACCCAATCAAATTTACTACACTAAAAAAAAAACTAAATAAAAGCCAACCCCCCTCCCTTTATTTTTTAAGCTCTTTCAACAAATAAAAAAAAAAATACAAAAAATGAACGATTCTACCAAGGACGCCCTCTACAAGGTAAATAGTGCGAATATGACAGACAGAGAGTCAAGGGAAATACTAAAAAGCAGACATGACTTGTATAGGTTGCTGATGTCACAAAGACTATTATCCATTGGGGTTTCATTCCCTTTGTCATTTACTTGGGTATGACCCGTAGCAACCCCAGACCTTCAGTCCTCAAGTAAGTTGTATTTCTCTTTCTTCTTCTTTACCTGTGTACTGACCTCTCTCTATCTCTCTATTTTTTTTTTTTCTTTTCTATTCATGTAGGCTCATCAGCCCTCTTGCTTAATTTTTTAATTTCCTGCGTCTTGTCATATACATAAATAAATAAAAAATCCTGCTATCACTGCAACTCTACAAACTGTATATCACCCAAGTGAAGGACATGGATGTGGATTTACCGTGAGGACGATGAAATAGAGTGGAAATTTTTCGGGCTTGTGTGTTTGCATGACGAACGGGCTGCTTTATGCGAGGATTATGAAATTGTGCCTAGTTAAGGATATGGGTAAAATGAGAAGGTGAGAGTGTTCGAGTGTAACGTCCTTAGTGTATTCGGGCGTGTTTTAGTCCTCGAGTGATTGTCAAAGCGACCTTTGTGTACATGTGGAAGTGGAGTGTGAAACTTGTAGGGCATAGGAGAGTAGCGCGCGTCTCTTTCTCTTGTTGTCCGTTCATCCTTGCATGTCCATCTCGACGTCGATTCTTTCGAAAGGCTGTCAGTATTTCCCAGCAGTTGACTCTTGTTATTTAAAGCGTGAAATTACTTTTTTTGACCCAAAAGCTTTTCATTTACCAAAAAAAAAAAAAAAAAAAAAAAAAAGAAAGAGCATGATTTTTTTTTTTATTTATTACACCACTATTATTTATTACCTTAAAGATCAACAAGAATATTTTGTTTTAAAAAGATTATTAGACCTATTCTTTGCGGTTTTTTTTTTTTAAGATAATCACCAACTTGAGCTTATTTTTAACTTGGAACACCATTCTTTTTTTTTTATATATATCACACCAACTTGAGCTCTTTTATTTTGTCTCTCCAAGACTACATGTCCTTCTCAAGACCAAAGACCACTCTTCTTTTTTTTTTTTCCTTCTCAAGACTAAAGACCACTCCTCTTTTTTTTTTCTCTCTCTCTTACACAACCAAAAAACCACTCACACATTTAAAAAAAAGACAGAAGATTTAAACAAAAATAAAAAATAAATTTTTTATTTTTATTACCCCAAGGAAAACACCACTGAAAAGCAAAGAAAGGGACCACTTACTTTCCAGCGGCATTTTCCTTGAGGTAATCCCTGAAGCAACCCATCTTTTTAAGGATGAGCTGCTTCAGGGTGGCCCTGAAGCCAGGAAGCTCTCCCTCAGGATCCCACCGTGGATCTGCCCTAGCGTTGGACTATTCAGCAATCAAATATATAAAAAAAAATAGGGATTTGGTTAATAAACAAACTCATAATAAAAAAAAAAAAAAAAAAAAAAAAAAGCACTTACCAGAAGCACTTTGATTGTGGAGTCCAAAGCTGTGTAAAACATTTTCATGTAATACAAGCAGTAGACCCCACAATCAAAGGCATTGTCCTGCATAGGACAATCCAGGTGGGCGATGCTGGGTACCAGGAAATTTCCTGGTTGGACACCCAGCTTCGTGAGAGCTTCCTGCTCCAGGTATTTGCCCACAAGGTGACAGGTGTCCGTCCTGTCACCTTGCAGGGGGTCCAAGACAACCATATAGGGTCTACATACAATAAAAAAAAAAAATATAAGTAAAAGAGTTTTGCAAAAAAAAAAAAAAAAAAAATAAAAAAAAAAAAAAAAAAAATTAATAATAATCCACTTACCGGTGCTTGCTGAGGCAATTACCGACCCTATATTGGGTGGCCCGTTGTCTTGAACCCTTGTCAACCCTGAGACAAAGCCCAGGGTTGACAACCACCACCAAGTACCAGTGCATGTCCTGAGCCACCGGGACAATCACCACCTCCTTCTCAAAGAGATTCACCCGGGCTGTCCACCGGCTGACCTTGTCATAGTCGATGCCGGTGTTTGGGCTAGACAGCCGGGTGAAAAAGAAACTACTGAACGTGTAGATTCTTTCGGAGGGGTAATCGTCCCCCCATACCTTGGGGAAGATGTCAATTAAGGAGTCATTTAAAAGACGTTCTTCCTCCAAGCGGCAGAGATCACGTTTGAAGAGGCTAACGGATCTTCTGCCATTGTATGGGTATGTCAAGAGGCTACCATCCTTGCCTAAGGGATGAAGGCTCTCAACATCGGTGGCTGCACCTGAGGATGCTAAAGGGGCGACCGGTACTGTGGTAGGTGGATTTTTGTTGTTGTGGCCACCCTCTGTCTCCTCCTGGGTAAACCGTCCAGGAGGAGAGATCTTGACTGGTCGTCGAGAGGATCGAGACGAACGACCAGAAGACCGAGAGGGGTAAGAAAGGACATTACCCGCATCTCCAGAGGGCACTGCAACCGAGACATCTAGAGTCATGATGTCATCGGCTACAGTCGAGGGACCAGAAGCTACTGCTTCACGACCAAAACTAACGCCTGATGGGCGAGCGGAGGCAGAACTACGCGAGGAGGAGGCAGTAGTTGCACGCTCAAAGGTACAAGTATCATCATCACGATGACGACGAGCAAAAGAAGACCTGCGTTCAAGACGAGAAGGGGAAAGTTCACGCTCGTAAGAGACACCACGTTCATAGGCAGCAGTGCGGCGATGAGAAGGTGAAGATCCACGTTGAGAAAGGGAAACTTCACACTCATCGGTATCATCAAGGCGGTTAACAGCAGTAGCAGCAGCAGCAGCACGGCGAAGAGCAGAGGAAGGTCCACTTTTGGAATGGGAAGAGGAAGCTTCACGCTCATCAGTAGTCGAAGGAGGTCCATAGCCAGCATTGCGATATGGAGCAGGGGAAGGAGTAGCACCAAAATAAAAAGGTGAGTCTTCACGCTCATCAGTAACACCAGTATCATGTTCGGCAGTTTCATCACGCTGTTGAGGAGGAGGAGAAGGCGAACCACTTGTGGAGGGAGGGGTGGAGGCTCTATCCTGATACTTTTCGAGAACTTTAGCGGACCTTGCTTTGTAACGTGTATAAACCAGGCCAAGTCTCTTCTCAAGCCTTTCTTCACGACGACGAATAATCTCTTCAGCAGTAAGTCTGGGAGCAGGGGAAGGTTCAGATTCATGTGCAGAAGAAGAAGCTTCACGCTCACCAATAGTAGTAGCAGCAGCAGTGGGACGTTGAGCAAAGCCAGCATCATGTTTAGGTGTAGTGATAGCAGCACGCTCTTTAGCAATAACACGCTCATAAATAGCATTACCAAGGTCAGAAAGATCGGGCAAAGCAGGAGGATCTTGACTATGGAAGCTTGACTCGGCAGCGGCAGTAGTAGAAGAATACAAGTCATGGGATGATGACATGAAATCACCCTTCGTACTAGCAGGATATCGTTCATCTGTAGGAGGGGACAAACTTGAACCTTGGACTTGACTCGGTTGACTCGGTTGACTCTGTTGACTCTGTTGACTCTGTTGACTCTGTTGACTTGATTGACTCTGTTGACTCTGTTGACTCTGTTGACTCGATTGACTCCGTTGATTACGTCTCCGTTGACTCCGTTGACTCCGTTGACTTGTTAGGGTTGACTCATGATTCTTTGCGACCTTGAGACTGTCAGTACCAGAACCAGCAGCAACAGTAGTGGTACTAGTAGGCGAGGGCTTATACTTATTGACAGATGAATCTGATGCTTGAGCAACGCTTGCTTCAGCAGCTACAATACTACGATTCAAAGCTTTTGAACGACGCTTCTTGTTTACATGGGCAGCAGGCACTTTAGGGATCTCTGAGGGAGTGGGGAATGCAAAGGGATCCGAGGCGGTGGCGGCAGTAGAAGATGAAGTATCTTCAATCAATTCGATAGATCGCTTGCGTGAACCAGTCGGGGTCGAGGGTATATGATCATCACCAGGAACGGCGCATTCGGGGCGAGAGACAGGAATGGGAGAAGGAGAGGCTTGGTTTACAGAAGGAGAGGTTTGGTTTACAGAAGGAGAGGCTTGGTTTACAGAAGGAGAGGCTTGGTTTACAGAAGGAGACCCAGGCATTGCGAAAAGTGGGGGAGGTCTTACTGCAGAAGAGCCAGGTATAACAGAAGGCGAAGCGGGTATTGGAGAAGAAGCTTCTGGGTATGGCTTGTTTCTGATCTCGGCAAGTTTCTGAGCACGCAAAGCACGCGAAGCACGGGTATCCTGTGCTAGTAAATTATGAACAGTAGGGAAGGGCGAATTTGAAGGTAAAGGGGTATTGAGCTTCTCGACCAGACGAGCTTTAGCACTATCCTTGAGACTATCGATATAGCTAGATGGTGAATTGATGGCTTGATTCACATCTTGTTGATAGGTAGTAGCGTTAATTCTATCCAGGTAATCCAGATTGGCTTGATGTCGGGATGATGCACCAGTGGAATCAGAATGATAGATGCGTGACAATCGTTCGTCTTGGGATCTAAGAGCAGCTCTAGCGTCTGCACAGGCGGTAGCTTCTTCCTCTCTTGTGACTAAGTCTTGAGCTGATTGCTGTTCACGGGCCAGTTGGTTTCGTTCTCGTTCACTCTTCAGCTTGTGAAATACTCTTTGTTGTGATTCGAACAGGCGATCCTCATCATCACTATCAACCCCAATGGGTCGCCGCTTTCTTGAAGGCGGGAATTGCTGTCTTGTAGAGGAAGACGAGGTTGGCATAGGTGGTGGTGATGGCGATGGAGGAGCAGGAGAGTCATCATCGTCAGATAAAATCTCTATCACTTCGCTAACTTCTTCTTTTACAGAAGCTTTTTCTTTCACAGAAGCTTGATGGAGTCGACGACTGGATCGTGTGGGTATAAATTTAGTTGTCTTTTCATTATGTGTCTATACAAGAATAAAAGTTTTAGTAACGCTGTTCAACATATACACATGTTCACACACACACACATATATATACACATACACACACACACACACATACACACACACATACACACACACACACACACACACACACACACACACACACACACACACACACACACACACACACACACACACACACACACACACACACACACACACGTATATACACACACGTATATACACACACGTATATACACACACATATATACACACACATATATACACACACACATACACACACACACACACATACACACACACACACACACACACATACACACACACACACACACACACACACACACACACACACACACACACACACACACACACACACACACACACACACACACACACACACACACACACACACACACACACACACACACACACACACACACACACACACACACACATCCTTTCATGTTACTTACCATTTCAGACACATCCCTTCTTTTATTTCTTGGTATTGACTCTTGTGAATCATCTCTTGTATTCATGCGAGCTATAGATGAATGGAGTGAATCGATTAGATAATTTGAATGAGGTTGTCAATGGATGAGAGGCTCAACTTACAGACTACTTTGATAGGTTCATGACCGGGACCTTGTGGAATCGGAATCGGTTTTCCTCGTTCAGTGTTCCTTTGATTTCGAGTATTTGCGTAATTGTGTGAATTGTCCGTTGGTCGACGCTGCATGTTATGAAAAAAAAAAAGTTAATCAAGAGTTCGAAAAATTAAGTTGTTTTCATACTAACATTCTTATTCTTGCGAGATCGTTCTTTGTTATTGCGCATGTGGACTATATTAGGAAAAGTAGAGAGTAAAATAAAAGATAAAAAAAAAAAAAAAAGAAAAGAAAGGGAGAAAATGTTGCGGTATTTATACACGAGAAATCGTGACGCGTTTTTCGTCAAGAGACCCAAAAGACTTTTTCCTTATCACACGAAAATAGAAAGTAATTGGGATGTTTAGAGTCTAGTTTTGTTTGTGTAGCTACCTTCAAACTCCCACATGACCGTTGGGGTTTTTTTTTGCTTAAGGAAACCTTTCAATGCTCAAAAATGAGTTTAAGAAAGTATGTTTTTATTACTCTCAGATGGTTTGACAGGTGCTCTATTATATGATCCATTTGATAAAACATGAGTTTACCTTTATGGAAAAGGACTTTTACTATGACTATAAAGTGTATTCCGCAGCAACTGTTTATGCGAAGTTTTCCTTTTTTTTACACATGAAATGATAACGTAACATGATATTTACATCATGTTCATATAGATAATGACAAGGATCTGGCTTCCGACTGGCTCTTCCATAAAAATGATGACAAGGATCTGGCTTCCGACTGGCTCTTCCATAAATATGATGACAAAGTAATGGCTTCCGACTGGTTGATAAGTATTACATGGATTTGTCAACTACCTTTGTGTATCGTATCGTCTGGACAAATCTAGAAAGGAAGGTGGGCGTGTGAGGTAATATTTTTATTTATAATATTATTATTAGAGCTTCCAGATCTTTTTTCGTGTCCAGAGAACTCACGAAAAAAAAAAGGATGCCATTTTCATGCATGCTACAATCTTTTTTTTTTTTTTTTGCGGGGAATATATGTTATCGGTGTTACGAACCCCAATTATGCAATTACATAAATAAAAAATAAATTATATGGGTACTTTAAAAAGTGGCTTCTCTTGTCCGTATGTCATAGTGTCTATGAATAGGCGATAAAAGAATAGAATGATTAAAGCATCGATATGCTTTGACGTATTGTCAAATGGTACCATTTACGTCTTTACTGTCAGTTGTCAATCACATCAGATGAACAGAGGTTTTTTTTTTGAAGTTGATCAGCTGTTGTTTAAAGGAAATTCATCTGGGAGCTTCTGTTGTTTCATCTCCATAACACAACAATATAATAATACTTTTTCAGTTGTTATAGAGAGGGGGGTTTGATTAGTACAGTTAATTCCGACTTGTTGGCAAACATAAACTTTATTTTTTATTAAAAAAAAAAAAGTCAGTGAGATTTTATTTTCATATGCATATGTCCTTCTTTGGTTAGTAGGTCACAAGAAAAAACGGGTTTTGGGCTGAAAAGAAGAAGAGTGTATGGGGGGGGAGGCTGTTCATAAAGAAAGAAAAAAAAAGTTCTTCTATCCAGATATTCCTATAGCAAATGGAACAAGAGTGAGTAAATCGTGTGAATATAAATGCTAAGAAATTATATTTGGATAGTGTGGGGTAAAATTGTATTAAAAATCTTCTTCTGCGCCCCCACTTGTTTGTAGTAAATACAAACAATTGATTAAGACTGCACTTTTTGCCATCATAATCGAGCTTTTTAATTTCCGAATTCAGCATAAACAATCAGTTTATCAATGGTGATACAGCTTACTTATCTAATTATATGAAACAAATTCATTCTTACTGTCAAAGTATTATACATACACTCTGCTTTTAAACATCCCACCCTATTATCAAATAAAATAGTTAAATATCATCCTTAACTCATCAATACATTCATCCATGAATTCATCAATACACCCATCCATACATTCTAAATTATACACCCATCCATAAATTCATTCGTAAGTTGCAGAGGATGGTGCCACAATATGTCCCACCTCCAGGCCATCTGACTTGAACTTTAAAAAGTCGCGTCTCAAATCTATGTCAATTTTTTTATTGCCTTTTTTACGTTCTAAAATCTAGTCATGAATAAACAAACAGAACCCACACAAACGAAATCAAGAAAGAAGAAAAAGAAAAAGAAAAAAAGAAAGAAAGAGGCTGCTGTGCCTAACCCATGAGTCATGATTACAAAAGAAACTCCATCCCGGAAATTTAAACTAGCTTCGAGATCATTAATCAAAAAGATCTTGTCTGCATCACCAGTCTCGAAGTTATATAAAAGGCTCAACGATGGAACATTTCTTCCCAAAATTACAAGTCGGGTCGACAGGTAACTCACTATAATCACTTTTTCTTACTCGATAATGTCTGACTTTACTTTCAGGTTAACAGTGGATTAAACAAGAATGTCGTCCTCCTCCCGACTTTTTGGTGAGCTTATATACATAAGGTGAATATTTGCTTTATTACCAGTACTCGAGAAAAGCCCAGGACGAATGTCCTCGTCTGGGCTTTTGGTGGACACAAAGCGGCTTCAACCACCGTCTTTAAACACATCACCAACCTTCCCCACATGAGTGAGTGAATCGACATGATCCGCCTGAAGAGTAATGTGCGCATTTCTAGGCTACCTACAGCGACTCTCATTGGGTCAATGTTACCCCATTTGATCACAGCCCCAATTTCGACAAGATTTCAATGGCCCCGTCTATTAAATACATGCAAAATTTGGCCTACCATTAACACTCCTCCCAAGTACACTTCGTACCAACATTGGATCGAAGTCAATGATAAGAAGCTTGCCCCTGCCATATTGAGATTCCGCCAACAGCAACTAAATATCAGCCTTACAACAACTACTGGCAACATCCTCCTAAAAGCATGTCGACCGTATATTGGCGTAGACCCAATACTACAATTACCTATGACCACCTTCGAAAGAAGCCGATTACTCCGATGGCGTATGGGCTGGCTTTCTGCTCGTCGAGTACCATGCTCACGCTGCGATCACCACCATGCATCAAGGAATCATTTGGTTGACTGTCTTCGGGTAGCGGAAAAATTCAATATAGCACCTACAAGCAGCCCAAACCCGTTAGACTATATCATCAACCAGCTTCCCAAATGGTCCATTCTCTCACCATCTATAAAACGACAACAAACCCACGCATACCATAGATGGCTATTTTGGTGGCCCATCCTATCGGATATCATGCTGGAAATCGACCAGATCTGCCAACCAGATAGTGTTTTCTCCCTTGAGGCCTCTTATTGCACTGGTGATACCACTCTCAACTGGCTTCTGCCATATCATCGACAACAAAAAAATAGCATTGCTATCCCGCCACTAAAATCAACCTTGTACTGGTGTTACACGGCACTTTTTGTCGTTTTGACTTAAGATTTTTCATTTTTTTTTTACTGCTTTTTGAACCTTTTTCTATAAAAGGTTCCCAAAAATTCATAATAAAATAATTAGTTTGTTCTTTACTTTAATCTGAATAAGTCTTAATACTTTAAGTCTTTGTGATTTTATATTTATTATAATTGCTTGTAATTTCCTTCTGTAAAATCAGCATTGTAGCTATTCCATTACGTATTTAACTATACTCCTTCGAATACCACTCTTATCTGATTTCGTCGTATAAATTACCCTCTTATATAAATATATTTTATCTTTTCCAGTTGACAACTATATAGTCTGGTGCTCACTTTTTAAGAACTTTTATCTTAAATCTCTATTTTTATTTTCTTCTATTACTTTTACTGAAACTTGCCAGTAACACTGGTTGATGGACGAAAGCCCATAAACCATGTCTTTGAAATTTTCCTCCAACATTCCAATTTTTTCCTTTCTCCTATTTTTACTTTTTTCAAGAAATAAAAAAAAAAAAAAATGAACAAAACAACAACAAACAAATCTCCGCCTCCGTACAACTCCTGCAGATCATAGATCTGTCAAAACGTACTCCAAACCTTATTTATATTTATCATATTTTTATATCTTCACTTTCCACAGCGCTTATCGCCTCGACCCCAATGATTAGATACTTGCCCACCATAGCCCAGTCTTATTATCATATACTTAAATAAAATCTTTTGCCTACATCACTTCCCCATCTTGTTCTGCTACCAAATTTTTGACATAAATACTTTTCCAAGAATTTTATTTCACAAGATAACTAGCGTTTTTTATTACAAGTTTTGAACGTCTTCATTTGTGCAGGTAAATATGATAGTTTTATATGGGTCAAACTGTGCTTCCATATGAAACCTGGGTGTAAAGGGTCGTTGTATTAGATACATGTTTTGCGCATCGCATATAATATATGTGTGCTTGATGACTTCTTTTTCGTTTTCATAGGCAAATGATTGTAAGAAATATCTAAATACGAGCTGTGATGAGGTCAACAGTTCGATCTCCGTGCCTTGTTTGCTTAACATTATCCTACCATCGTTCTTCATCACTACAAGACCCATAACATCTGACCCCATGATCTCTGGATTGTCTTGTTTGTAAAGCGAAGACCGAATGGAAACGTCATTGAATACACGAATATTATTACCACCACTAATATGCGATTTATAAGGTTGAAGCTGTGCAATCAAATCCGCCTTTAAACTTGCAAGCGCCATGATAACCTGACATCAAAACAACAACAAAAAAAGAAAAGAAAAAGAAAAAAAGTTAAAATCGTTTGGACTATTTATCCTAACTCTGTATGTTATCGAGGACTCTTAATAAGGTTATCAAAGAGCTAATACTTGGATTTCATGTGGATTATACTTTATCAGTGGATTGCTGATACCATGCATGATATTTAGATTATTGAGGATGGACATCTATAAAGCTTATAATTACTTGATTTAAGTAAGTTTTTTTTTTAGCCTAGGTGCCCGGGCATAGGAGATGGATCACAAATCTGTATATTTGACCTAATAGAATGACTAAGCAATGCTGTTCTGTTAAATTCGGTACTTTATGCGAACGCTTTTATTATTATTGGGATCGTTTAAATTAAAGCCATGCTATTGTTAAATCGTGCTAAACAACATTGTTTGTTTTAATGCTTGGACTCTATGAGCTTGAATTTTTCGGATCTCGGACCTGTCAAACTTTATCGTTACTTGAATGTTTATTTGTTATCACATTAGTGCTTCAGGGCTTACCATTTTGTACTGCATACATAGACATGTAACTAAAAAAAGCTTAATCTTTATGCAATTTGTCATACTTTACTTCTATCGTATTTATGTAAATGACTTTTCTTTGCAAAAAAATAATTAATGCTTTAAAAATAACCTTTCAGTAACTAGTATCTCACTGCTAGGAATACAATGTTATCTCTCAATTTTTATATAAACACACATGCTAGAAAGAAGAAAAAATTGAATAGATATTAGCTAATGGTAAGTTTTTACACTTTTGCATAAAACAAAATTCCCTTTTTTCAGGTACATGAAAACACTAGACACACTACATTTTTTAAAAGAGCGAAAAAAAATGGAGAAGCCGGGGTTTGAACCCGGGGCCTTCTGCATGCAAAGCAGATATGAA